AGTAGTAGTAGTAGTAGTAGTAGTAGTAGTAGTAGTAGTAGTAGTAGTAGTAGTAGTAGTAGTAGTAGTAGTAGTAGTAGTAGTAGTAGTAGTAGTAGTAGTAGTAGTAGTAGTAGTAGTAGTAGTAGTAGTAGTAGTAGTAGTAGTAGTAGTAGTAGTAGTAGTAGTAGTAGTAGTAGTAGTAGTAGTAGTAGTAGTAGTAGTAGTAGTAGTAGTAGTAGTAGTAGTAGTAGTAGTAGTAGTAGTAGTAGTAGTAGTAGTAGTAGTAGTAGTAGTAGTAGTAGTAGTAGTAGTAGTAGTAGTAGTAGTAGTAGTAGTAGTAGTAGTAGTAGTAGTAGTAGTAGTAGTAGTAGTAGTAGTAGTAGTAGTAGTAGTAGTAGTAGTAGTAGTAGTAGTAGTAGTAGTAGTAGTAGTAGTAGTAGTAGTAGTAGTAGTAGTAGTAGTAGTAGTAGTAGTAGTAGTAGTAGTAGTAGTAGTAGTAGTAGTAGTAGTAGTAGTAGTAGTAGTAGTAGTAGTAGTAGTAGTAGTAGTAGTAGTAGTAGTAGTAGTAGTAGTAGTAGTAGTAGTAGTAGTAGTAGTAGTAGTAGTAGTAGTAGTAGTAGTAGTAGTAGTAGTAGTAGTAGTAGTAGTAGTAGTAGTAGTAGTAGTAGTAGTAGTAGTAGTAGTAGTAGTAGTAGTAGTAGTAGTAGTAGTAGTAGTAGTAGTAGTAGTAGTAGTAGTAGTAGTAGTAGTAGTAGTAGTAGTAGTAGTAGTAGTAGTAGTAGTAGTAGTAGTAGTAGTAGTAGTAGTAGTAGTAGTAGTAGTAGTAGTAGTAGTAGTAGTAGTAGTAGTAGTAGTAGTAGTAGTAGTAGTAGTAGTAGTAGCTGAACAAATCGGATTTCCGAGATGCGTTCTGCATCCGCTACGGCCTGCAGCCTGACGGACTCCCCCTGACTTGTGTATGTGGTGCTGCAAACACAATAGACCATGCGATGATGTGTCCGGCAGGGGGCTACCCCATGGCACGCCACAATGAGATCCGGGACTTGTTGGCTGACGTGATGCGTGAGGCGGTCCGGGATGTGGAGGTAGAACCGCCTCTACTACCATATGATGGTGAGCGGCTCCAAGGGAGGACAGCCAACCGCTCGGCAGGTGCCCGCCTGGACATCCGGGCTTGTGGCTTCTGGACGAGACAGCAAGATGCCTTTTTCGACATCCGGGTTACACACCCAAAGGCAAGCTTGCTGTCGCGTCAGGAAGTCATCAGCCAGCTCCGAACGCATGAACGGATGAAGAAGCGCCAGTACGGAGAGCGGGTGACAGCAGTTGACAGAGGTACGTTTACACCGCTAGTCTTTTCTACCTCGGGCATGATTGGCAGAGAATGTTCGATGGCACTGAAGACACTGGCATGCCTGATTGCTGAGAAGAACGTCGACCTACACGTATCGGTTATCATGGGTCAGCTCCGTTGTAAGCTGTCAGTCTGCCTTATGCGATGGGCAGTCACCTGTTTGCGTGGTTCAAGATCGTCATACCGCCGCAACAGGATGAATTTCACGACGATGTGCAGGTTGCGGGCAGCCTGAGCGTGATAGTACCTGACAGACATTTGCCCAACATTGCCCCATGATAATGAATCCTGAGTTTTTGGACATTGTATTGCATTGCTGCTCCATCTACATGGCTGTATTTGTGTTTCACATCTCCATTTCAAGTAGTAGTAGTAGTAGTAGTAGTAGTAGTAGTAGTAGTAGTAGTAGTAGTAGTAGTAGTAGTAGTAGTAGTAGTAGTAGTAGTAGTAGTAGTACTAAGTAGTAGTATTAGTAGTAGTAGTCACATCCTTTATTGCTGAACCCACAAATAATTGTGATACAAATTGTAAACCATCCGAGGAAGAAGAGAAAGCCATTAAAAATAAAAAATAAAACAAAAAAGGTTATTGTACCATGCAATTGTAATACATGACGTAGTATAGTATTAGTAGTAGTAGTAGTAGTAGTAGTAGTAGTAGTAGTAGTAGTAGTAGTAGTAGTAGTAGTAGTAGTAGTAGTAGTAGTAGTAGTAGTAGTAGTAGTAGTAGTAGTAGTAGTAGTAGTAGTAGTAGTAGTAGTAGTAGTAGTAGTAGTAGTAGTAGTAGTAGTAGTAGTAGTAGTAGTAGTAGTAGTAGTAGTAGTAGTAGTAGTAGTAGTAGTAGTAGTAGTAGTAGTAGTAGTAGTAGTAGTAGTAGTAGTAGTAGTAGTAGTAGTAGTAGTAGTAGTAGTAGTAGTAGTAGTAGTAGTAGTAGTAGTAGTAGTAGTAGTAGTAGTAGTAGTAGTAGTAGTAGTAGTAGTAGTAGTAGTAGTAGTAGTAGTAGTAGTAGTAGTAGTAGTAGTAGTAGTAGTAGTAGTAGTAGTAGTAGTAGTAGTAGTAGTAGTAGTAGTAGTAGTAGTAGTAGTAGTAGTAGTAGTAGTAGTAGTAGTAGTAGTAGTAGTAGTAGTAGTAGTAGTAGTAGTAGTAGTAGTAGTAGTAGTAGTAGTAGTAGTAGTAGTAGTAGTAGTAGTAGTAGTAGTAGTAGTAGTAGTAGTAGTAGTAGTAGTAGTAGTAGTAGTAGTAGTAGTAGTAGTAGTAGTAGTAGTAGTAGTAGTAGTAGTAGTAGTAGTAGTAGTAGTAGTAGTAGTAGTAGTAGTAGTAGTAGTAGTAGTAGTAGTAGTAGTAGTAGTAGTAGTAGTAGTAGTAGTAGTAGTAGTAGTAGTAGTAGTAGTAGTAGTAGTAGTAGTAGTAGTAGTAGTAGTAGTAGTAGTAGTAGTAGTAGTAGTAGTAGTAGTAGTAGTAGTAGTAGTAGTAGTAGTAGTAGTAGTAGTAGTAGTAGTAGTAGTAGTAGTAGTAGTAGTAGTAGTAGTAGTAGTAGTAGTAGTAGTAGTAGTAGTAGTAGTAGTAGTAGTAGTAGTAGTAGTAGTAGTAGTAGTAGTAGTAGTAGTAGTAGTAGTAGTAGTAGTAGTAGTAGTAGTAGTAGTAGTAGTAGTAGTAGTAGTAGTAGTAGTAGTAGTAGTAGTAGTAGTAGTAGTAGTAGTAGTAGTAGTAGTAGTAGTAGTAGTAGTAGTAGTAGTAGTAGTAGTAGTAGTAGTAGTAGTAGTAGTAGTAGTAGTAGTAGTAGTAGTAGTAGTAGTAGTAGTAGTAGTAGTAGTAGTAGTAGTAGTAGTAGTAGTAGTAGTAGTAGTAGTAGTAGTAGTAGTAGTAGTAGTAGTAGTAGTAGTAGTAGTAGTAGTAGTAGTAGTAGTAGTAGTAGTAGTAGTAGTAGTAGTAGTAGTAGTAGTAGTAGTAGTAGTAGTAGTAGTAGTAGTAGTAGTAGTAGTAGTAGTAGTAGTAGTAGTAGTAGTAGTAGTAGTAGTAGTAGTAGTAGTAGTAGTAGTAGTAGTAGTAGTAGTAGTAGTAGTAGTAGTAGTAGTAGTAGTAGTAGTAGTAGTAGTAGTAGTAGTAGTAGTAGTAGTAGTAGTAGTAGTAGTAGTAGTAGTAGTAGTAGTAGTAGTAGTAGTAGTAGTAGTAGTAGTAGTAGTAGTAGTAGTAGTAGTAGTAGTAGTAGTAGTAGTAGTAGTAGTAGTAGTAGTAGTAGTAGTAGTAGTAGTAGTAGTAGTAGTAGTAGTAGTAGTAGTAGTAGTAGTAGTAGTAGTAGTAGTAGTAGTAGTAGTAGTAGTAGTAGTAGTAGTAGTCAAAGAACTTTATTGAAAATCCATGATAATGTGATCGGAAAGATGATGGAAGAAAAAGGCAGTAGTAGTAGTAGTAGTAGTAGTAGTAGTAGTAGTAGTAGTAGTAGTAGTAGTAGTAGTAGTAGTAGTAGTAGTAGTAGTAGTAGTAGTAGTAGTAGTAGTAGTAGTAGTAGTAGTAGTAGTAGTAGTAGTAGTAGTAGTAGTAGTAGTAGTAGTAGTAGTAGTAGTAGTAGTAGTAGTAGTAGTAGTAGTAGTAGTAGTAGTAGTAGTAGTAGTAGTAGTAGTAGTAGTAGTAGTAGTAGTAGTAGTAGTAGTAGTAGTAGTAGTAGTAGTAGTAGTAGTAGTAGTAGTAGTAGTAGTAGTAGTAGTAGTAGTAGTAGTAGTAGTAGTAGTAGTAGTAGTAGTAGTAGTAGTAGTAGTAGTAGTAGTAGTAGTAGTAGTAGTAGTAGTAGTAGTAGTAGTAGTAGTAGTAGTAGTAGTAGTAGTAGTAGTAGTAGTAGTAGTAGTAGTAGTAGTAGTAGTAGTAGTAGTAGTAGTAGTAGTAGTAGTAGTAGTAGTAGTAGTAGTAGTAGTAGTAGTAGTAGTAGTAGTAGTAGTAGTAGTAGTAGTAGTAGTAGTAGTAGTAGTAGTAGTAGTAGTAGTAGTAGTAGTAGTAGTAGTAGTAGTAGTAGTAGTAGTAGTAGTAGTAGTAGTAGTAGTAGTAGTAGTAGTAGTAGTAGTAGTAGTAGTAGTAGTAGTAGTAGTAGTAGTAGTAGTAGTAGTAGTAGTAGTAGTAGTAGTAGTAGTAGTAGTAGTAGTAGTAGTAGTAGTAGTAGTAGTAGTAGTAGTAGTAGTAGTAGTAGTAGTAGTAGTAGTAGTAGTAGTAGTAGTAGTAGTAGTAGTAGTAGTAGTAGTAGTAGTAGTAGTAGTAGTAGTAGTAGTAGTAGTAGTAGTAGTAGTAGTAGTAGTAGTAGTAGTAGTAGTAGTAGTAGTAGTAGTAGTAGTAGTAGTAGTAGTAGTAGTAGTAGTAGTAGTAGTAGTAGTAGTAGTAGTAGTAGTAGTAGTAGTAGTAGTAGTAGTAGTAGTAGTAGTAGTAGTAGTAGTAGTAGTAGTAGTAGTAGTAGTAGTAGTAGTAGTAGTAGTAGTAGTAGTAGTAGTAGTAGTAGTAGTAGTAGTAGTAGTAGTAGTAGTAGTAGTAGTAGTAGTAGTAGTAGTAGTAGTAGTAGTAGTAGTAGTAGTAGTAGTAGTAGTAGTAGTAGTAGTAGTAGTAGTAGTAGTAGTAGTAGTAGTAGTAGTAGTAGTAGTAGTAGTAGTAGTAGTAGTAGTAGTAGTAGTAGTAGTAGTAGTAGTAGTAGTAGTAGTAGTAGTAGTAGTAGTAGTAGTAGTAGTAGTAGTAGTAGTAGTAGTAGTAGTAGTAGTAGTAGTAGTAGTAGTAGTAGTAGTAGTAGTAGTAGTAGTAGTAGTAGTAGTAGTAGTAGTAGTAGTAGTAGTAGTAGTAGTAGTAGTAGTAGTAGTAGTAGTAGTAGTAGTAGTAGTAGTAGTAGTAGTAGTAGTAGTAGTAGTAGTAGTAGTAGTAGTAGTAGTAGTAGTAGTAGTAGTAGTAGTAGTAGTAGTAGTAGTAGTAGTAGTAGTAGTAGTAGTAGTAGTAGTAGTAGTAGTAGTAGTAGTAGTAGTAGTAGTAGTAGTAGTAGTAGTAGTAGTAGTAGTAGTAGTAGTAGTAGTAGTAGTAGTAGTAGTAGTAGTAGTAGTAGTAGTAGTAGTAGTAGTAGTAGTAGTAGTAGTAGTAGTAGTAGTAGTAGTAGTAGTAGTAGTAGTAGTAGTAGTAGTAGTAGTAGTAGTAGTAGTAGTAGTAGTAGTAGTAGTAGTAGTAGTAGTAGTAGTAGTAGTAGTAGTAGTAGTAGTAGTAGTAGTAGTAGTAGTAGTAGTAGTAGTAGTAGTAGTAGTAGTAGTAGTAGTAGTAGTAGTAGTAGTAGTAGTAGTAGTAGTAGTAGTAGTAGTAGTAGTAGTAGTAGTAGTAGTAGTAGTAGTAGTAGTAGTAGTAGTAGTAGTAGTAGTAGTAGTAGTAGTAGTAGTAGTAGTAGTAGTAGTAGTAGTAGTAGTAGTAGTAGTAGTAGTAGTAGTAGTAGTAGTAGTAGTAGTAGTAGTAGTAGTAGTAGTAGTAGTAGTAGTAGTAGTAGTAGTAGTAGTAGTAGTAGTAGTAGTAGTAGTAGTAGTAGTAGTAGTAGTAGTAGTAGTAGTAGTAGTAGTAGTAGTAGTAGTAGTAGTAGTAGTAGTAGTAGTAGTAGTAGTAGTAGTAGTAGTAGTAGTAGTAGTAGTAGTAGTAGTAGTAGTAGTAGTAGTAGTAGTAGTAGTAGTAGTAGTAGTAGTAGTAGTAGTAGTAGTAGTAGTAGTAGTAGTAGTAGTAGTAGTAGTAGTAGTAGTAGTAGTAGTAGTAGTAGTAGTAGTAGTAGTAGTAGTAGTAGTAGTAGTAGTAGTAGTAGTAGTAGTAGTAGTAGTAGTAGTAGTAGTAGTAGTAGTAGTAGTAGTAGTAGTAGTAGTAGTAGTAGTAGTAGTAGTAGTAGTAGTAGTAGTAGTAGTAGTAGTAGTAGTAGTAGTAGTAGTAGTAGTAGTAGTAGTAGTAGTAGTAGTAGTAGTAGTAGTAGTAGTAGTAGTAGTAGTAGTAGTAGTAGTAGTAGTAGTAGTAGTAGTAGTAGTAGTAGTAGTAGTAGTAGTAGTAGTAGTAGTAGTAGTAGTAGTAGTAGTAGTAGTAGTAGTAGTAGTAGTAGTAGTAGTAGTAGTAGTAGTAGTAGTAGTAGTAGTAGTAGTAGTAGTAGTAGTAGTAGTAGTAGTAGTAGTAGTAGTAGTAGTAGTAGTAGTAGTAGTAGTAGTAGTAGTAGTAGTAGTAGTAGTAGTAGTAGTAGTAGTAGTAGTAGTAGTAGTAGTAGTAGTAGTAGTAGTAGTAGTAGTAGTAGTAGTAGTAGTAGTAGTAGTAGTAGTAGTAGTAGTAGTAGTAGTAGTAGTAGTAGTAGTAGTAGTAGTAGTAGTAGTAGTAGTAGTAGTAGTAGTAGTAGTAGTAGTAGTAGTAGTAGCGCGGTTTGGTGGCATGGCAATCCCTGTGCCCTCGGTGGAGGCCGGGAAAGAGTTTTCTGCATCCAGACAGATTGTGGCTCCTGTGGCGGCCTGCATAAGACCACCAGAACATCCAACAAGCACCAACGAAACTACTCAAACAGACCAGCTGAACGAGGCAATAGCCCTCAGCCGGCAGGAGGCCGGGCGTATTCGCAGAGAGAAAGCTGCCCAAGCCACGGGTCTCGTTAGCGAATTGCGCCCGGATTTGACAGCAACACAGGCGCTGTTGGTGGAGAATGCCGCGGAAAAGGGCGTATCATCTTGGGTAACGGCGGAACCATCGTCCCAAATGCAGATGGTGCTGAACAAATCGGATTTCCGAGATGCGTTCTGCATCCGCTACGGCCTGCAGCCTGACGGACTCCCCCTGACTTGTGTATGTGGTGCTGCAAACACAATAGACCATGCGATGATGTGTCCGGCAGGGGGCTACCCCATGGCACGCCACAATGAGATCCGGGACTTGTTGGCTGACGTGATGCGTGAGGCGGTCCGGGATGTGGAGGTGGAACCGCCTCTACTACCATATGATGGTGAGCGGCTCCAAGGGAGGACAGCCAACCGCTCGGCAGGTGCCCGCCTGGACATCCGGGCTTGTGGCTTCTGGACGAGACAGCAAGATGCCTTTTTCGACATCCGGGTTACACACCCAAAGGCAAGCTTGCTGTCGCGTCAGGAAGTCATCAGCCAGCTCCGAACGCATGAACGGATGAAGAAGCGCCAGTACGGAGAGCGGGTGACAGCAGTTGACAGAGGTACGTTTACACCGCTAGTTTTTTCTACCTCGGGCATGATTGGCAGAGAATGCTCAATGGCACTGAAGACACTGGCATGCCTGATTGCTGAGAAGAACGTCGACCTACACGTATCGGTTATCATGGGTCAGCTCCGTTGTAAGCTGTCAGTCTGCCTTATGCGATGGGCAGTCACCTGTTTGCGGGGTTCAAGATCGTCATATCGCCGCAACAGGATGAATTTCACGACGATGTGCAGGTTGCGGGCAGCCTGAGCGTGATAGTACCTGACAGACATTTGCCCAACATTGCCCCATGATAATGAATTCTTGAGTTTTTGGACATTGTATTGCAATGCTGCTCCATCTACATGGCTGTATTTGTGTTTCACATCTCCATTTCAAGTTTCCTAATAAAGATTGTGTCAAGTAGTAGTAGTAGTAGTAGTAGTAGTAGTAGTAGTAGTAGTAGTAGTAGTAGTAGTAGTAGTAGTAGTAGTAGTAGTAGTAGTAGTAGTAGTAGTAGTAGTAGTAGTAGTAGTAGTAGTAGTAGTAGTAGTAGTAGTAGTAGTAGTAGTAGTAGTAGTAGTAGTAGTAGTAGTAGTAGTAGTAGTAGTAGTAGTAGTAGTAGTAGTAGTAGTAGTAGTAGTAGTAGTAGTAGTAGTAGTAGTAGTAGTAGTAGTAGTAGTAGTAGTAGTAGTAGTAGTAGTAGTAGTAGTAGTAGTAGTAGTAGTAGTAGTAGTAGTAGTAGTAGTAGTAGTAGTAGTAGTAGTAGTAGTAGTAGTAGTAGTAGTAGTAGTAGTAGTAGTAGTAGTAGTAGTAGTAGTAGTAGTAGTAGTAGTAGTAGTAGTAGTAGTAGTAGTAGTAGTAGTAGTAGTAGTAGTAGTAGTAGTAGTAGTAGTAGTAGTAGTAGTAGTAGTAGTAGTAGTAGTAGTAGTAGTAGTAGTAGTAGTAGTAGTAGTAGTAGTAGTAGTAGTAGTAGTAGTAGTAGTAGTAGTAGTAGTAGTAGTAGTAGTAGTAGTAGTAGTAGTAGTAGTAGTAGTAGTAGTAGTAGTAGTAGTAGTAGTAGTAGTAGTAGTAGTAGTAGTAGTAGTAGTAGTAGTAGTAGTAGTAGTAGTAGTAGTAGTAGTAGTAGTAGTAGTAGTAGTAGTAGTAGTAGTAGTAGTAGTAGTAGTAGTAGTAGTAGTAGTAGTAGTAGTAGTAGTAGTAGTAGTAGTAGTAGTAGTAGTAGTAGTAGTAGTAGTAGTAGTAGTAGTAGTAGTAGTAGTAGTAGTAGTAGTAGTAGTAGTAGTAGTAGTAGTAGTAGTAGTAGTAGTAGTAGTAGTAGTAGTAGTAGTAGTAGTAGTAGTAGTAGTAGTAGTAGTAGTAGTAGTAGTAGTAGTAGTAGTAGTAGTAGTAGTAGTAGTAGTAGTAGTAGTAGTAGTAGTAGTAGTAGTAGTAGTAGTAGTAGTAGTAGTAGTAGTAGTAGTAGTAGTAGTAGTAGTAGTAGTAGTAGTAGTAGTAGTAGTAGTAGTAGTAGTAGTAGTAGTAGTAGTAGTAGTAGTAGTAGTAGTAGTAGTAGTAGTAGTAGTAGTAGTAGTAGTAGTAGTAGTAGTAGTAGTAGTAGTAGTAGTAGTAGTAGTAGTAGTAGTAGTAGTAGTAGTAGTAGTAGTAGTAGTAGTAGTAGTAGTAGTAGTAGTAGTAGTAGTAGTAGTAGTAGTAGTAGTAGTAGTAGTAGTAGTAGTAGTAGTAGTAGTAGTAGTAGTAGTAGTAGTAGTAGTAGTAGTAGTAGTAGTAGTAGTAGTAGTAGTAGTAGTAGTAGTAGTAGTAGTAGTAGTAGTAGTAGTAGTAGTAGTAGTAGTAGTAGTAGTAGTAGTAGTAGTAGTAGTAGTAGTAGTAGTAGTAGTAGTAGTAGTAGTAGTAGTAGTAGTAGTAGTAGTAGTAGTAGTAGTAGTAGTAGTAGTAGTAGTAGTAGTAGTAGTAGTAGTAGTAGTAGTAGTAGTAGTAGTAGTAGTAGTAGTAGTAGTAGTAGTAGTAGTAGTAGTAGTAGTAGTAGTAGTAGTAGTAGTAGTAGTAGTAGTAGTAGTAGTAGTAGTAGTAGTAGTAGTAGTAGTAGTAGTAGTAGTAGTAGTAGTAGTAGTAGTAGTAGTAGTAGTAGTAGTAGTAGTAGTAGTAGTAGTAGTAGTAGTAGTAGTAGTAGTAGTAGTAGTAGTAGTAGTAGTAGTAGTAGTAGTAGTAGTAGTAGTAGTAGTAGTAGTAGTAGTAGTAGTAGTAGTAGTAGTAGTAGTAGTAGTAGTAGTAGTAGTAGTAGTAGTAGTAGTAGTAGTAGTAGTAGTAGTAGTAGTAGTAGTAGTAGTAGTAGTAGTAGTAGTAGTAGTAGTAGTAGTAGTAGTAGTAGTAGTAGTAGTAGTAGTAGTAGTAGTAGTAGTAGTAGTAGTAGTAGTAGTAGTAGTAGTAGTAGTAGTAGTAGTAGTAGTAGTAGTAGTAGTAGTAGTAGTAGTAGTAGTAGTAGTAGTAGTAGTAGTAGTAGTAGTAGTAGTAGTAGTAGTAGTAGTAGTAGTAGTAGTAGTAGTAGTAGTAGTAGTAGTAGTAGTAGTAGTAGTAGTAGTAGTAGTAGTAGTAGTAGTAGTAGTAGTAGTAGTAGTAGTAGTAGTAGTAGTAGTAGTAGTAGTAGTAGTAGTAGTAGTAGTAGTAGTAGTAGTAGTAGTAGTAGTAGTAGTAGTAGTAGTAGTAGTAGTAGTAGTAGTAGTAGTAGTAGTAGTAGTAGTAGTAGTAGTAGTAGTAGTAGTAGTAGTAGTAGTAGTAGTAGTAGTAGTAGTAGTAGTAGTAGTAGTAGTAGTAGTAGTAGTAGTAGTAGTAGTAGTAGTAGTAGTAGTAGTAGTAGTAGTAGTAGTAGTAGTAGTAGTAGTAGTAGTAGTAGTAGTAGTAGTAGTAGTAGTAGTAGTAGTAGTAGTAGTAGTAGTAGTAGTAGTAGTAGTAGTAGTAGTAGTAGTAGTAGTAGTAATAGTAGTAGTAGTAGTAGTAAGTACATGTATGTCGGTCGTCGGTCGTCACAGCACGATGTCAAGTCCATTCACGTACACGTAGCTAGTCGTTGCGTGTTGGTTTGTAAGTACATGTGTAAGATAGTTGCGATACACTGGCACTCACTGGGGTGTGAACCCAACAAAGACTACATCATTAATTACATGTGTCTCCCTTAACTTGGCTCAAGTAAGAAATCGCCGAAGGGTGATAGCGTTTCTAAGAAAGCTGACATTTGTTTGTGACCCGCCATCAATTATTCGTGTTGACTGTGACCATGGTGATATGCCCACAAAACCCACCCATGAAGCCTCCCCGAATCTACATGACTGTACAGGACCTCACTAGATCACTCTACTCCTCTCCGGCCGTATCTAGTCACGCTGTGCATGAACAAGTCATACCTATCTGTACAGTACGAGATACGTTCCAACTAGACCTTGAAATAGTGTTGATGCGCCGAAAGTGTTTTTGTGATTGTCACCCATTTCAGCGCCACTCATTTCCGCTGCTGTACATTTCAGCGCCCTCATGCCAGCGCCACCTTTACCTGTCGAATCTCACCTCAGCGCAATCTCACTTCAGCGCAACCATTTAAGCGCGATACCTACTACAGCACATCTGATTCAGATTCGGATTCAGATTCGGCTCACTTCAAACGCAGCCTTTTTTCTCCACCGTTTAACCTTCGAAGCGAGTCAAAAGTGTACCGTCCATGGATGGGGTCATCGCGTTCGCGTGCAGGACGACGAGAGGAGGCCAAGGAGTGAATTGTAATGGCTATCAGTACCGAATGGATAAACGGAAAGCCCACAATGAGATATCATGGCGATGTCTTGTTGCTGAATGTCATGGTTGATAACATCGGATACCATCATCGACGATGGAGAAGCTGCGTCATTACAACAGTTGGGCGATCACCACCACCCACCGTGTCCGGCACAAGTAGAAGCGGACAGGATAGTAAGGGCGAATGCAAAACAGAGTACGTGCTGAAACGACTAGCGTGAGGACTATTTATGAGCAAGAATCCATTAACTAACAGTGTTATTTGGCAGGCTAAATTGCCCCTGTTTTGCCCGCCTTTCACTCGCTAGACACGTTTGCTAAAATGAGCCTGCGCTTAAATGATATTGTTCCATGTGAGTGTGGTGGAGGTTGGGGTTCGCGATCGTGAGCGCGTTGGAATGAGCCACGCGGTTAAGGGTTTCGCTGAAGTGGGGGCATACTGCTTTTGTAACATGTTGGGAACTCGTTTCTACTGTTGCACGTCTCATGGAGCGGTGCGTGCACGTTTCGTCTAGACACAAGCTGGTGCTGGAACCATGAAAGGGAACACGTGAGTAGTACTAAATAATTTAATTTCCATTCTTAAGTAATCTGACAAGCAGGAATGTGATAGCACCGAAGATAATCCCTTATCAGTCAGCATGTGGTTGGCAAATCTCCAGGATCACATGGCTTTGGCTTTCACAGTTGAAGTACGTCATTATAGTTGAACCAGGCCAGCCGTTGGCATGTCGAAAAAAACTAGCTGCATGCTTGCTTCGAGGCTGCACACTAATGCCATGGCGCGAGGGGCTGGCGACAGCTGTCCCTTCGAAGTGCACGCCAGAGACTCGCACCACGCGAGTATCACATGTGACAGTCTCGCCTTGTAGGAGTCCCGCCAATTTCCCCCCAGACCTACTGTCTACATTGTAGAGCTAGCATGGTTTTAGCAGAGGCTCGGACTTGTTTCGACATGTCCCAACGTCTAGTATAAGATGAGAATCCTGGCGCTGAAAACGAGCAGTCATCAAAGCCAATGGTCAAGTGCTTGGTCGATTTTCGTCGAACACCGGTAGCTGAGTTCGTCGGCGATAGCTTCATCTGCTAGCGGTGTGCTTGTTTTCATCGGGGTGCACATCGTTTAGCACTTTTCCCGCCGTTTCCTATCCACTGTAGTTGCATGAATGTTGGAATGTCCAGGTGGGGCAAAGACCACTCCTGCTTGTATTCCGTTTATTTAACACGCCAATAGTGTTCTCTTCACTATTTCTCCACTAGCTGAGCCTCCAAAGGAGTATCCTAGCCGCCGTCAGTGTCTCGACGAGGAGACCTACATGTACATGTACATGTAGGTCAAGTTTTCAACCGCGTAGTTCTTAGGTACCGTGATGGCATGCATTTGGCCTGCTCTGCTTTTTCTGTTTTCACCGTGGCTGTCTCAGTTTCCAGATTTAACCGCGAGTTGAGATAGCCGCGGTTCAAATAAACCTCACTACGTTCCCCTCTGTTGCAACGAAGTTACTAGTAATACGTCCAGTCATTGGTTTCAAAACCGTGAAGACCGGTGTGTCCTACTCCCTCACCATTGCATGGCATTCATCCGGTGTCGTCTCATGCGTAACGCCAATACGGGCAAGTGTAATGTGTGTGCGTGGTAGCCGTTCCATGTTTTCTGCCCATGCCCCTGTCGAGTCGCCTGCCGCCGTAGTCGCTGCGGTGGCATCCATTGTTGTGGCTGACTGAATGCTGTACGTGTACATGTGTGTTGTCGATTACCCACCGTGTCCCTTGTTTTGTTTTGTTTTGTTTTGTTTCCCTGGCCTTTTTGAAGTCGACTGTTTTGTTGGTTAATTTTACCCGTGGAAGAGGCAACTATCTGACCTGAAAAAAGGTTTTCAATACGGTCGATGTACAATACATAGGTCTTACCTTGTTCCGATCCCTCGCCGGCGGAGGCCATCTTGACTCCTTCCTGCATCGTAGCGACAATCAACAGACAGGACAGACAATCCCTTAGCGTACATTAGCCACTGGCAGGACCTGTTGTCGGCAGTTCTTTGAGAGAGTGAGGCCAATGATCAGGAAAGGCATTCGCCTCTCCGCCGTTCTTTAAACTAACGTGTTGTTACTTGGCACACTGGTTTCGTAATTAAGATTTCTCTTCCAAGTTAGTTGCGTCGATGAGGAGATGGATCATCCGCAATGGTACAACTTACCTCTACCTGTCACAGGTTACAAGGCCAAACGTTAACGTCTGGCATTTACACGAAGCAACGGCATCATCCCATGATCACAATCATGATAATAATACAGAACAAACAATATCACATGTATACAGCATAGCAGGACACCAAGAACGTATGGGGTTTTCAAAGCATAACAGTTATTCTCTGGGACTGTAAGGACGAACACTAAAATCACTAACTTACCCTGATGTGAAGAAGTCCTTGTGGCCAACTGAAGCCAAGGACTCTATCTCTATCTCTGATATGTTAGAAGGAGGCCTAAGACAAGAAGCCAACCGTTACGGTTAGGTAAATGTACATGTACGTGCACTTCCCCGACAAGCGTTGGCAGTGCGCCAGGACTACATAAAGACGAGAGTAGAATACTACTCTCGTACTTACCCTCCCAGGAGGTAGCACCTCCACGCTATCAGGGCTGCATTGACATTGTCGCATTATAGTACACCTACTCGAGCTAAATCTACGTGACATTTTAAATTGTATACACTTCTCATCATACGAACTGTCAAAGATCTGGGGGCCCGGGAATTCCCACAGTAGCTCTGGCTGGTAAGTCCCTCATGCCTGGTCGGTGCATGCTAAAGCTGTGTATTTTGTCAAGTACTAGTAGTAGTATGCACGGCAAATCCGCGTGCCCTGTCACTCCTCCGAAACCTTCGCGGTAAATCTGAAGTGCTCTCTTGACAGCTGGCATCGCCCTGTTCAGGTCATGCTGTTTAGGGGAAACCACCTAATCCTTACGATATGCACCATGACTGTTAGACCACCACAAACTACGACAATCATGACTTTGTACTACTAGATCTCCACGTACTGTAGTGTAGTTGCGCTACAATCTTACATGTTTACACTGCAATGTAAGTCTTGTGCGTGCGCAGAGCTAGAGACACACAATAAACCGATTTCGTGTAACGCCTGCTCCTTTCATGCATAGCAACTGTACTGATCTTTGAAAGTTAGCTGGAGATTCAAGAATTTCACTGCGCCAAGGAGTCCACTGTCCAGCACACATTACAAGAAGAATAATTGTAACGGTTGTTGCACCGGTGCCAGTAGCGACACTGCGTTTGAAAAACGAAGTTCAAGGCCGAATACGAATCCAGATACAGAACTTCAACTTCTGACGATTGTTTGACCTGAATACTCTCCAGGAAACGTGAAAATCAAGGAAAGGAGTCAGAAAGCAATGGCCCATGCGTGTGAGGAACCACAGGACAGTGTTGGTACACAGCGGCATGAAGAACGGACGAGCCATGCTCCGCGGAGTGAAGATGAGGATCGTAAGATAATAGGTTACTGACTTTACCGTAACTCTGGAATGAGCTAGACCATGTGTATGCGTCTGTTTGTGGAGTGTACGTGTGTGTGTGTGTGTGTGTGTGTGTGTGTGTGTGTGTGCGCGCGCGCGTGCGTTTGTGTTTGTGTGTGTGTGTGTGTGTGTGCGTGTGTGCATTTGGTGTGTGTGTGTGTGTGTCTGTGTGTGTCAGTGTCTGTGTATGCATGTGCGTGTAAGGATAATATTACATGATTGTATTATGTTTAGTGCCTAAGCAAACAAGACTCAAGAGTTCTTTTGTTCTGTAGACCAGTAGACCTGTACAGTACTGTTAGGTGTTAGGGGTTACAGGCAGACCTCGTTTATCCGGTCCTCGTTTATCCGGTCCTCGTTTATCCGGTCCTCGTTTATCCGGATCCCTCGCCATCCGGAAGAAAATCGCTGGTTACCGATGTGCAGCATATGTTATGCATACAACATAACCGGACCTCGCGATCCGTATACCGGTGCATGATTTTGTGTACAAACTGGTAAAAATGTGTACAAAATGCTTCGTCGTATCCGGTTGCATGTGGTTGGCTAGCGCCTGCAGAAGCTAGTATCAAGTCACTCCCCCTTCTTTGCTCTTGAAGTTTAGTGTAAACAGTTGCGACTTACTTTCGGGGAAATATTGTACGTGTATGTGCAATGGTCAAACCGATGTCGGCTAATGTCCTTCCGCCATCTACCTCACTATGTGTAGAGGTGTGTAGAGGTGCTCCTGGGCTATGGCTGTGCTGTCTCCGCTGCTCTCATGTACCTGCCCTGCCATTGAAATACCACACCGGCTGCTGCAGTGAATAACCTGGGTGTGTTGCTGTTCTTCTTGTTCATGTTCTGTGCCGTGCAAGACGTTCTTGTTGGGCTGACATTAAAACGCGGTTTTAGAAATGGAAGAGCCTTGCTGATTCTTACCGCTGGCCTCAGTGGTGTTCTGCTCGACGAAAGCAGTCGTAAACTGCACTTCACTCGCTTCCCGCCGCCATCGCAGTTCCTCAGAGCTGGTGAGAAGCATAGGTTTGATATCACTTTGAGAAGCAGCGCTCCACACAGTATTCACCGGTGCTCTTTAAACTCAGTCTGGAGAATACGCCTCTGCGATGTGCGGCCGTGTTGTACATTCGAGGTGCCAATCATTCTGCCGTAAGTCTACCGAGCCAGTGGAGTCATATCAGCATGACATTGCATCCATGCATTCTTAGCTTGGCTCTCAAAGTAGAATTTTCAGAGAGAAAAGTTTCATCATGACAATTTTCCCCAAGGTTGGCACACCACATGAGTACATGAATGCTTCTAAGACTGAGGGGGAGGTGTGTGATTCTCATCATGTGTATGAGCCTACTATGAGAGGAAGCATATTCCACTTAAAAAATCTGTAGCATCAAACAAACAGCTCCCGTGTCTCATCCAAGATCCAAGAAACCATCCCTTCTCAACTTGGTTCACTGCGGCTTCACAAGAAACATGTATGCGGCCACATCGCCTTCTCATTCTCCAGCAGTGTGTCGTGTCATTGCCATAGTTTGACTCATTACTCTGGCCTCAGACATATTAGCTCATTCCTAAAAGAATCGTGAGGAGGGGAAGGTACTACCTATACTGTCCAAGTCTATGGTTCAACAGATACTGCGTATAATGCAGGAATGTCAGACATCCTATGGTCACTAAGGGCACTGAGGCATTGGCCTCAGTTCTTCTTACCCTGGTTGCCCACTTAATGAAATGGAGTGATGTTTGGCTTTTTAATTGCAAATTGTCTTTACTAGGGAAGGGCCCCGCAGTGGTACTACACTAAGGGCTGAAAGAACCACCCTGGAATACCTCCCTACGTCCCTATGTTCCATGTTTGCCTCTGTCAGCGTGATATCATTGCAACCGTGTGCAACCAAACTTTCCGATCATGTCCTTTGCTGTCCTGGTTTCAGTGAGGAGAACTTCCATATCACCATCCTGGTTGATCAATCAGTGTTGACACATGTCACGCTAGATCCTGACGCGGCCCTGAGCTCCGACACAGTGCCCCTACCCAGCCTGGACACAGAAGACAAGCGGAGGATGGTCGAGTCGGTAAGTTGTTAGCCGAATCACATCTGTACAGTTGATCCAAACTGCACTGAGTGGAAAAGAAGATACGAGATGGCATGCTTGACTGACTTCTGTGTGCTGCATGTGGCGAGGGAAGTATGCATTCTGCGAAAGCGATTCCAGAATACAGGTGCAAGAAGTTTACTGTCATAGTTAGTTGTGCATCGTTGCCTTCTGATGGGTGCCAAACTGTAAACCTGGAACCTGGACGCATGAGAAACATTCTCTACTTTTGCAGGGTGAGTGTTGAAGTTAAGTGGTGCTAAAAACTGGAATTTGATATCAATGTGTACTGTTTATACTGCCATAGTGGGGGCAATTTGAAAACGTCTCCAATCTGCTAGGGTTTTGCAAACCGTGAACTCACACTGGTGCAAAAATGTCCGCATCACATTCAATGTACATGGCACATAATCTATTGGTGGATAGGGTTAGGATTGTGCCCTGTATGCTCTCTGTTTTTAAAACAATTCAACAGACCATTCTTGCAGCAGGTGCTGGATTTCAAACTCAAGCGTGCCAGGCTGTATTCCTGACCTCCAAGGACAAGCCTGCAGAGATGGCACATCGGAAATCAGTCGACGACACTTGCTCTACGACAACCAGTCCTGGCAGCCGTCCCCCCGCTGCAGCACCAGAACCCAGGCGGAATAATTCCGCGTGTCGACCGTGCACGGTTGTGACGAACAGGTAACACATGCTGCACTGTGTTGGGCGAGACAAGGCAAATGTGCTACCGTCTGGTGTGCTACCCATGCGCTTGGGGTGTTGTTACCGAGACTCTCCGACCGAGACTCTCCGACTGAGACTCCCCGTGCATTAGCTTGCATCATGCGGCTGGTCATGGTTTGAATGGCAGCAAATCCACCCTCGTTCCACACGAACAATGCATTGTTCATGGAGGAACGGTAGTAAAAGCAACATTGACGCATACATGTGTCACAATGCTCTTTAATTCTTATGGATACATGAGCGCTAGACCTGTAGATTTTACTTAGGTGCTAATCTTGCTCTATTAAGTTAATTTCAAATTTCTTTCACTAGTTTTAATACGTCCTGGGGTCATTACATGATTGCCGGTGTATAGCACATGGAATATCATCTTAGGCATTCAACGTGACATGTAGCCTCGGCCATGACGCGAATCAGCAAGTCCTCCCAGCTGGGTACATGACCCAATGGGAGTGCATGACCATTGCATCTATCTAAAAAAAACCTGTAATGGCATGCTTCCCGGGATCAGAGTTTAAACTGGACCTTCTCTTGCTGGTGAAATGTTGCATTCCACTGTTGTTTTGTGAGAAAATGAAGGTTTGGGTATAAACCACCATATCAGTATGAAGTTGAAGACACCAACCCATCTTTACTTATGGTTGATTCAAGTGGTGGTAAACACCCACCCGGCAATATGGCAGTAAATACACGCCTGCCCACATACGCTCTCTAGGCTGAAAAGTTATTCTGGCACAGAGCTCTCCTTCTCACCATCACCACCACCACCACCACCATCATTTCGCGCCTGGCGCGTAGTCGATGCATGGCTGGTGGTATCTGACATTGCAGGCTGGTACATCCGGGGAGCGCATGGCACATAGCAGATGGCAGAGCGACGACATAGCTCTATTGCGAGCTACGTTAACTTAATATAACCATACATGCCACTGCATTGGTGTCTTCAACTTCATTCTCCCGAGTCAAGCTCCGTGTGATGACAGCCAAGAGGAAGATTGCCTGATGGGTCCAGCGGGGACGAAACGTACGTTGCAATCGAGCTATGTCGTTGCTGTGTCATCTGCTATGTGCCATGCGCTACCTGATGTACCAGCCTGCCATTTTGGATGCCACCAGCCATGCATCGACTAGGCGCGAACTGATGGTGGTGGTGGTGAGAAGGAGAGCTCTGTGCCAGAATAAATTTGCAGCCTAGAGAACGTGTGTGGGCAGGCGTGTATTTACCGCCATATTGCCGGGTGTGGATCTACCGCCATTTGAATCAATCTTAAAATATCAGTATGATTGTCATACTGATATGGGTCTGTACTAAGCCGCACTTCTGAGTGGGCATGAAAATGATACCGCAGAAAAGGTATTGAAGATTTCAGGAAAAGGAAATGAATGTACTGACATGGATTTGTACTAAGCAATGCTTTGAATACAGCAAAGCTGGGCATGAAGAGATACCGTGAAAACGGTCTCGAAAAGATATAAAAGACCTTTCAAAGCGGCCGGAGGGCGCGCAGCGAGCAGCACAGGTCCATGGATGAAATTGGGCATGAGTGCGAGTGCACATGTTAGTGTATGGAATCAACCATGAGTATGAAGCATTTGAGGACACAGATGTGGATTCAGAACCTGGTGCGTGAAGCACGTAGGGTGCATATTCCAGCACTCGAGTCCGAGTATGAATGTTTTCATTGGCTTTTAAGCCCTTGTATGGTACAGTTCAGCGATTCTTGCCTCTTCACCAGGGATCAAAATACAGTGTGCCTCATTATCTGACTCCGAGGTTGTCAACATGCCCATGCCCATAGTCATACCCCTATATATTCCCAACATCTGGGCAGGAATAGATCAAGGGTTGATGTTTGCATGGTGCTTAATAATTATTAGTTTACCCAGGAGAATAGTGTAAGTAGCAATTGGGCGCTGTCAGCGTATTCGCCAAGTCTCTCATGTGACTATTTGTTACCTATCCTTCACTGTTGTCACTGTTCTCTCTGGCAATACCTCTGCTTCCGCTCATACCTTCTGCTTTGCTTATACAATTACTTGAGATAAGCGAAGTCTCGGATCTAGAATAACACCGAAAGTAGTCTGTGTCAACACAATACGGTTGTGTTCACTCGATAATGATTGCGTGTTGTGGTGTGGTCGGTTTGCTTTTGATGGGGACTGCACTACATAGCCGCTGTGCTTGTGGTACATCTATAAGGCTCTCTTATTCAAAGAGTGGTGTGATGTTTACGGGCAAGCCCATTATTTATTTATTTCACCTTCCTGTGGCCAGGGAATAGGGGCCGCATAACTGGCACTAGAGTAGTGCTGCAAGGTGTGAGGACTTGAAATATGTGCTAAAAACTTTAAAATCTGAGCCTTTCTCGGGCTTCCACTGTCATCAGAAATCCAACAGTTCCTGGATGTTTTCTCTGTCCTGGCTGTGTGGATCACCTCTTTAATTGTCCTAGAGCCTAGACCTTGCACTGTAGAGCACTCTCTCACATGCACTTCAGTACTTCATGTGCATGTATGCCATATTTGGCACTCTTTACCATTGAGAGGGGGGAGGGGGGAGGGGGGGGGGGGGGTGCTTCACCAAAAAACCATTTCCTGGTTAACCTGATGAGTATTGCCCTGCAGGGTCCAATGACGAAGCTCCTAAGTTCAATGGAGCAGCTGCTCTTGACATGGGGGCCTGAAAGATGATAATTCTGGCAAACAATTCATGCTATGAATACTGCATACCACTGTCTTTGATTGTGAACACCTGTGCATGTCTAAATGACCTGGGTGTAACAGTGAGAAGGTGACGGATGACCTTAGTCAAAGAAAGTGCCGCATGCCCTGCCGCAGTGTCCCGTATCAAGGTTTGAGGGACTGGCAGCAAGGCTGGGCAGGAAACCAGTCACCCGAAAGTTGTCATTGCTGCTGCCAGCACATAGCAGGTCTACTGTAACGGCCATACATTGCCAGGGCCCGATCACTTCACACATTATGTCATCACATTGTTTTGGCAAGAAGATTATGTCATCCTCGAGAACCTTGGCTCCGACCTCGATCTCCGGACTTACACAATTGGACTCAGCACCAAAGCCTCCTTTGATAATTTTAGCCATGAGGATGGAGGAGTTCATATTTTTGGCGAAAAAATGTGAAAAATGAAGCTTCACAGCTCACCGCATGGACTGACCAGTTTAACCCTAGAAGTACCGGAGGCATCATATGATGCATTTGCGAATTTCAAAATGGGATTGCTGTTATATGGGGGCTTTGAATCTCCCCAAATTTTGTGACTTTTATTTATTTTGCAGTGGGTTGTGTTTTCAAAAATTTAGTACAGTTCCGAAATGCCAGGGGGTGCTACCTAGAACTACCGCGCGGCATCATATGACTTCACATACCATAGGCATCAATAAAAGGGCGAATTTGGCTTAGAACCACACGTGAATAACGTGAAGAGGAATACATTTGGGAGCAAGGAGATTGGGGACCATGAAGGTGGTGATTTGTACATATGGACATGCTAATATGCACATTTCACGTATCGTTATGGTCAATATCGTAATCTCGAATCCTGCGAAACAGAAAAATTTGTTTGTCCTAAGTTTGGAAAGTGATCCACATTGTTATGTCATCTGCAGCATAGAACGATATGAAGTGCCAGGGCAGTTATAACAATCTAGTAACGTCCTTTGAGTTTACGTTGGTCTGGCGGAAGCCATGTTCAGTAGGCGCAGTGTCGCTGCCGATATAATTTATCATTTCATTTGATTTTGAAATTTTTGGGCAGGAGTTTGGGGATAAATGCGAGGAGAGTGCCTGGAGCATTGTGCGCGAGCAATTAGAAGTGACCGAACACAGAGACACATAGTTATATGCTCCAGATGAAGATGAATGAATACTAATTGCTCCGGCTTCTCGATCAGTCTGATACGGAACCGGAGTCAAGGGAGCAAGAGGATAATGGTGGTGATAAAGCTATGGAGCCATACACATAACAGAACATCAATCTCCAAAACTCGGGCAGGATTTCCTTCATGTTCTCTGGCAAAATTGGTAGATAGTGGAAAATGTGTTGCACCAAGCAAGCGCGAACGCGCGCAACCGGTTGTTGCTACCGAAGTTTGCAGTCTTTTCCGAGATATTCACAATTTTGAAGATGGGGCAGATGCATTATTTGCAGTTAATGACCGGAATATGATCCATGTCATGATCAAGTGCACAAGGTAGGAGGGAAAACAGAAAATTGGAGAGGACTCTACTTTGAGTGAAGGCAATATCATGGCATTGGTTTCGCAAATTTACGCAAGAGGCGTCCTTTGTACCCGCAATAATGTGCCGACGGCCCTTCGGCTGGATAGGAATGGACGCCATATAATCAAGTAAAATCCCTAAAAATAGTTTCCAGGAACTACTCTGCTACTTGAGGGTTGATCACGAAGATGGTCTCCGGACACGACGTCGAACGGAAATTATTCGTTTGCTATGAGTCGCGACACCACGTTCTCCTTTCGCTCGTAAATGTATTTATCACAGTAGTCAAAGAATGACCAACCTGGCTGAGAAAAATCCAGCAGGTTGGCCCAGCAGCAGCCATTTCCGGGGTAATGGACTTAAATGTAGAGTTTGCAGGATGAGCATGGCAAGCAAATGCTCTTTTATTTTTCCGTAAACTGACGAGAGGTCGCCCTTTCGCTGCGCGCAATGCCAGCTGCTGGTCTCCAAGATAGTGCACCTGCCATTGGTTCTTCCTTTTAAAAGGTACCTTTTACCCCAAGGATTTCTGTTTCTGCACATATTGCCGAAAATAATTCCAAGCAGGTATGTTTAAGTCCAGTGGAGTCATAATTATGATGCCTCCGGTACTTCTAGGGTAGTTGAAATGTTGGTAGTTCTAGGGTTAAAACTATTTCTGATAGCTCCTTGTATGTATTTGGTGTTGGGTAAAGGATGGAGGTCTTAGCTATCTACAGAATGCACTAGTAGATGTCTACTGGTACAAGATAATTGCAATCCAAATAATGTTCAGACAACAACATACAACTTCTGAAATAGGGAATTTGACCCCATTCCCATAGCACTGCACATCCGAACCAGTTACTTTGTTTTACAATGTTTCAGCGCTTGGCCATCATCAGGTAATAGGAACAATGAGTACGAATTCCTTATTTCAGAGATGAAGTTGCAAGAAGCCTCGACTCTTCTTCAGAATATTGCGACATGTCACTTGAACTGTGGCACCTTTGTTTACATAATTACAAATGCACATGCAAAAAACGCACATTGAAGATATTAGCATGCTGGCAACAGAATCAGATATTCAACGACAGTCGTTTCCTGCGGGATTCCATGCTCGGTCCAAAAAAATTCCAAATAAAAAAACTGCACAGAAATCCATGATGCTAATTCCCATACCAGAGATGATGAAATATAAGAACAAAGACCAAGAAGTGTGCATGTGGCAGGCAGACAGGGTCACTTGAACAACAATTCAGACCTAATCACGTGACGAATGTAAGGGATTTTGCCATGAGAAAAGCTCGATCACTATTAGTATACAACCATTGTGCTAAGAACATCAATTTATTGAAGAAAGCATCCTTGGCTGAATCTCCGAATCTGGAAAGCCACAAGAAACTGGAATAGAGAATTATGTAACAAGATGCAGTTGTAACTCTGACGACAGTATCAGTTGCGACTCCGACAGCACTAGCAGCAACCCATGCGATTATTATGTGCTATGCATTTCACTATGATTGCCTGCGGCATCTGCAGGGTGGCATGCATTCCTCGTCAGTTACTCGTGCCGTTTCAGTCAGCCTGCAGGTGACACCTCAACACACACACACACACACACACACACACACACACACACACACACACACATACACACACACACACACACACACACACACACACACACACACAAACAAACAAACACAAACTGCCGACATAAGGATGGAACGGAGACATAAGGATCATTGCCAACCACAAGACTGAGAACCACAAGAGAATTGAGATGTATAATAGCAATAGAGAACCCAGCCATCAACAATCGGCACACATTGTGCCATCATCATCACCTATATGTACATGCACCCTGCTTCCTCGTTCACACCTCATCTTATAAATAAATACGTGTCTTCCATATATACCCAGGGAAACTGTTGTTAGAATCCTGCAATGACGTCAAAGTGCGTACAGGCTGCTTCAATACCCCACCGCTTGTCAACAGATACTTATCATGAGTATGGCAAGAACTTACCTATATATAGATCACCCAGGCTAATTTCGTCACTGCCACTCAAGTTAAGGTACAGCTCCATGCTGATCCCATCTTGTATATCTGATCCGGGGCAATGTACAGCAATTAAACACACAGATAGAGACACACACACATACACACACACACACACGTACACACACACGCACACACACACACGCACATACACACACACACACACACGCGCGCGCGCGCGCGCACAAGATGAAATTCATCGCGAGCGCTGACCTGAACATTACCGGAATCATGGCGGAATATGATTAGTACTTTGGAGCATGAGGGCAGGAATCACAGCAGTTACTAGTAGTCATAGCTGGGGGTGAACGTACGCCAAACGAGTTCATCCTCACATACTAGTAGTTTATAATGATACAGTTTGAGTACCATCAATCATCAATCATAATTATAGCATTAAAAGTGCTGGAAAGCCATACAATCAGGAATCAGGAGAGGCCAATATAATGGCAGAAATGTATTGGCAGCGGAAGGCGAACAAGGTATAAAATAGATTAATGCAGTCTGGAAACAGCCGTACAGCCGACACACCATGTCTAGTTAAACAGCACACGTTTAAAAATGAATAAGTGCATTGCAGTGCACTAACACATGTTGAACACTATCTGCATTGAGCAGCCACTACATAAAGTAACAGCAATGCACCAACCACATTTTTTTACTGGGAACACAGCCCTACCAAGAGACATGTGGAGACAAACACAAAACAAGACACAGGGGATGTAGGGGCGACGTGCCGATGTACAGGGAGCAGATTTTTTAAATTCCTACTCCGAAGCAGAATGCACGATCATCCAATAGTGCTGTCACTGGGAGGCATAACGTATTTTGTGACCTGGAATAAGGGATATGTGTGGGACACATGGCATGGCCTATGACTGTTGGCCACTTGAACCATGTGACGTGATTGTGGCATAGTACATCATGGTACGGGAAAGTTTTTTTTTCACGGCCGTCGGGTGATGGCGTTGAACTTAAGTCAAACATTTCTGTTCTGTGCCCCGTTGAGGGTAAAAAATTGAAAAAATTCACAGTGAAATCCTTGCCATTTGTAACATTTCTGAGGTGGATAATGCCTTCCTAAAGGAAGTAGGATGCAATGATACAAGTAATGCGGGGGGGGGGGGGGGGGGGGGAGTCTGCGTTCTTGCTTCATAATTAAAAGCAGTATTCTTTAGACATGAGGGAAATACCTTCAATTTGAACGCTTGCCGACTTGTGTTCTCCTACTGGAAAGGGTCCAGGCAGGATCCAATCAGCTTGGGTAGAGACTTTGTCGGCTTGAGGCAGCACACACATGTCCGTAGAAGACATTATTCCAGATGAGATCACTGACAAACGTACAACCTGTGCGTGTAAGCACGGGGAAAAACCCACATCACTAGTATCAAGAGTCCATGTAAGCACGGGGAAAAACCCACATCACTAGTATCAAGAGTCCATGTAAGCACGGGGAAAAACCCACATCACTAGTATCAAGAGTCCATGTAAGCACGGGGAAAACCCACATCACTAGTATCAAGAGTCCATAACCCCAAGAGTGTGCAGCTGGGGTCTGGCTACTGTAGGCCCACTGCGCGGCGGAATTCCAACATTACGTCATGTCGCTGAGGCACAGAGGCCAAAACTCCTCAGTCTGCGGTGCTTGGAACCAGGGCGTAGTACAAGCGCAACGAACGTGTACGTCATTTTGACATAATGTTGGAATTCCGCCGCGCGAATCCCCATGTACAGAGTTGCACACTCTTGGGGCTATGGACTCTCGCTAGTATCATACAATGCAACAGTTATGTTACCATGGTGACCACCACTTAGCACTGTCACTCTTTTTATGGATTTGACGACAAAATTGCAGCAGTTCTCACACGGTACACAGATACATGCACTAGAAATTCGTGAAGAGCCAGATAGGCCGAATTAGTTACATCACTACTATTCCCATTACTAGTGCTATGGATGCAGGGATGTAGCATCCGCAGGGTGCATGCATTTCTCGTCAGTTACTCATGACGTTTCAGTCACACGCAGCCCGCGGGTAACACGTCCACACACACACACACACACACACACACACACACACACACACACACACACACACACACACACACACACACACATACACACATTTATGTGTACGGTCTGCTTGGTATGATGAAGCAATACTTACACTGTTCGCCTTCAAATCAGTAGCATCAAAAAGCGCTTCTGTCCGTTCGTTGACTTGAATGTGAATTTTCTAACAGTTTGAACAAAAATGGAACAATGAAAAGATTACACTACACACCTTGTACAGACCATGCAAGACCCACCAAGCATTTTCGCTTGAAATCTTTTTTGTTGTCATTTTTCATCAGGTGAGAGGAGCAAAGGAAAGTTTGTTCCAAACCACCAGTTGAGCAGGGCACTTCGTTGCCCACTCTCGGCCCACTGTTGTGAAAGTAACAATAAAATTTCCTCCTCAAGAAGGCTCTCACCAATAAAAATAATAATAACATATATATATTTTATTTTTATTGTTATTAGATCAGTATAATAACAATAAAACCAGTACAATGTAGAGTACTCACTACTCAGCAGTAGAGTGGTGATGTCAGTGACACTTCATTTGCAAACGCACACCATTGCCAAACAGAAGAACCTGCTCTTGGTGACATGATGAGATTATCATTGTCAAACAGTGGAATTTGTTTTCTAAAAGTGGTTGAAGGTGGAGTGACGTAACATGACAATGCCACATTGTCTTTAATACTGATAATAGACATCGGCTCACTAATTGGTTGTTCGTCTGGAGCAAGTCAGCGCTGGTTTAAAAACAACATCTGAATACACGTTACTTGCCATTTTTCCATCCACCTGGAGGTTTACATTCAGCGAAGTCATCTTCAGTGTTGACTTCTCCAGGTGATGTCCTTGCAGACTGGTAGCAGATTCGTGTGATGCACCATCAGGTGCGCCACATACTCTTCTCTTCCCTTCAGCTGGTGGTTTGTTCTCCTTGTCTTGGCGCATGTTACTACAATGAAATAATGAAAGCACATCGAATCCACAATCAGAAAGCCATCACTAGTACTATAGATCAGTATAATATTCACATTAGCGTACATGTGAGGATGTTATGTCCATTATGTCCAATCCCATAATAATTATGGGGTTGGACATAACATCCACTATTTTACTTGAACTGACTATCACTTGCAAAGTTCTCCTTGCAAACGGAAGAAGTGAACAAAAAGCGTACTTGAAAGCGTGCCATGCACCTTTTTGAAAGGAGACTACGAACATCAGGAAAAGAGATTTCTTCGGCAACTACAAACAGTATTGGAGTCGTGCCTTTCTTTCCCAAGTCGCATGAAAGATACCGGTAGCTTGAAGGAACTTTGACGGCGAGATGGGCAGACGCGTTGGCGGTGCAGCTCCCAGAAAAGGCAAAAGTTGGAAGCCAGCAAGTAAAGTAAAATGCGCAAGTAAAATAGTCAGTTGACACAGTCGTCAAGGTATCTTCCATTTTCGGGGCACTTCAGCAGGCAAACGGTTAAGGTGGCTCCTACCCCTCGGGTCCAAATTTTTTTTGTTTGAAACGTGGCTACAAATGATTGTACTTTGTTCCGTAGGATATCTAGTGTACGGAGACAAAATTTTATCAAGTTCTACCGGCCGGTTTCACTCGGGGGAGGGGCCAAACATAGCATACTCACAATTGCCAATTTAGGCCAAAAAACACCGGAAAACCACTTTTTTGGCCGTAGCACTCGTAGTTACCCCATTTTTCTTGATGTCCAACATCAGGACAGTAGTATACTTGCTAAATACCAGCATAAGCTTAAGAAGTGGGTAGAATTCTGCTAGAAGGTGACCTTTTTCTCTTTTCGGAATCATCCCATTTCAGCGCACACGTCCCACATATTAGCCCCGCCCACAAGTATTTGACACTGGACTTGCCCTGTATTCGATGGTTATGCTATCATAACCTAATAATGGTACTGTGTAGCAAGTTTGAGCAGGTTCTACCGAAGGTAACTCTTGAAATAAAACTTTGAAGTGTCAAGTGATGCCATATTTTCAAGAATCAGCACATTGCACTGGGACATTGTCCAACGCCTTAGAACCCCTGACTCCACCATATGACAGATACATATCTTGCAATAATTGATTGCAACATCTTCAGAACATAGTAGTAGAGCTTTGGATCAAGTTTTAGCAGTTTCCACCGAAGCTAACTACCAAAATAAAACTTTGAAGTCGCCCACATACTAAATGCAATAGCTGAGCATGTGCATTGAGTGTATGGTCTAAAGGTTTTCACAACTAGCTCCAATGCGGCAGATACGTGTCTTACATTACTTGATTGCAACATCTTCAGAACATAGTATTAGAGCTTTGGATCAAGTTTTAGCAGTTTCCACCGAAGCTAACTACCGAAATAGAACTTTGAAGTCGCCCACATACTAAATGCCATAGCTGAGCATGTGCATTGAGTGTATGGTCTAAAGGTTTTCACAACTAGCTCCAATGCGGCAGATACGTGTCTTACATTACTTGATTGCAACATCTTCAGAACATAGTAGTAGAGCTTTGGATCAAGTTTAGACAGTTTCTACCGAAGCTAACTACCAAAATAGAACTTTGAAGTCGCCCACATACTAAATGCCATACATGTAGCTGAGCATGTGTATTGAGTGTACATGTATGCTCTAGTGTTTTTCACAACTTTCTCCAACATGAAGCCAATACTGATGTGGAATTTTTTGACTGCTTTGTCCAAAACACAGTGCTGAAGCAATGCACATTGGGCACTTTCTACTGGTAATGCAATTATTATTATACAGTGTTTGCTGCCAACATAGCAAGCAATACTGCTATACTAAATGCGTATTCCATTGGGTACGGTGCAATGGCTTTTCACTTCGCATCTAGCCACTGTTCTTCGTGCATTACTTGAATGCTTAGTCTCCATGGTAATGAAGCTAAGAGCCACACTGGAGAAGTTTCTACTGAAGCTAACTACCAAAAATATAAAATTTCCAAGATGCTACTATTACATAAAGTAGCTGTGTGCAATGCCACTCTGTTGAACACAGTAAGCAAAATTGAGTCACTAAAACCCTATTTGCCAGATATAAGCTGTTGAGACTGATAGCAGCTGAGCTGTATGATCTGATATGGATGGCGGTTCCACACTGACCAGCACATGTACACGTGCACAGGCAGAAGAACATACAAGTAATACACCTAACGTTACTTCGAAGTCCATCATGTAAATACAAGCGTATATACAAGCATCACTCCTGTTCTCCACAACCTGCAGTCCAGGGCCACTCCAGCTGGTCAGAGTGCAATAATTTCTGCAGCAGGCTTGACTTGGAAAGCTAATCACAACTGCCATGGCTGCAACATGAGTATTACCAGCGCTTTTAAAGCGCTACTTGTATTATATTATTGTCAATCCATTGTGGTGCATGGCACTCGTTTTCAACAACCGAGTTTATGTCATTAGTTGCATATCCAACGCCAATAGAAAAAAGAAGGGGTGGGGCAAATTACCACGGTTCAACACTAGTCATATTGAACGGCGTTATGCCATGCCAGGCGCGCACACAAAACGCCCGCGCGAGTGCGCATGCATATACACACCCGGGTAACACACATTCGTGCGACTCTACATAGCCTGCACTGTCGTTCTATGTCATAGGAGTGAGTGCACACACATTTATATATATATATGTACATGTAGATTGCCTAATTTTGCATACGTAATAAAATTGTGTAAGTATACACACATGTGCGTGCACATATAGATAGACTCAGCGGCATACGCATGAGTGTGTGCCGATAGGGCCACATGCCAATTATCGGATTAGTCTGTGAAAGTTGCACGGCACGACAAACTTTCGAACAGTCTAAAGATATGACACAATGAATGTGGAATACCCACCAGTGTGTAAGACCATTTCATACCTATTTCGCAGCGTTTGTGATTTTCGGAACGTCCCTGTTGATATTTGATGTCCTCACTTGGTTGATGACACAGTCACAAATTATCAAATTCACCTCCAATGCCATCCAATCTGCGTTCCGCGATACATGTACAGTGAACGGTGTTGAGGAAAGCCATGCAGCAATAGAACAGTCGAGACTCCCAAGCAGAGGATACAATTCAACAGCGTATTGAAGTACGAATTGTTGTAAACAATTTTCAAGACACAATTACAAAATTTGAAGTGCGTCTTGAAACGTGTTTGAAGTGCTTCGATGTATTTACCTTCGATCTCCCTGAATCGATCCATCCACAGCTACGCGACAAATTTACCAGTCAGTGCGGGAGATGATCAAGCAAGTTATATTTGAAGGTCGCGAGATGTCAGTGGCACTGGCAGGAAATCTACACAAGCGTATTCTGAAATAATTTTCTAAGACTCAGGCGTGATTCAAGAGCGGACTTTGATTTCTCCCTTCTTATAGTACGAGCACCAGTCGACATTGCATTCTTGGAAAATCTTCTGCGAGTGCTGCCTTCCCCTTTCATAGAAAGAACGAGTGAAGAGGGACACTAGCAGCAGGTTCTAACTAGGTCGCCAGAATTGCAGAAAAGCGAGAAGACGTTTCCTACAACGATTGATCGCACAAAAATCATCGCTACCGAAAAATTTACTGAAAATCTACACTTTTCAAACGATGCGCGCGCAGAGGGTGTGAGCCACCTTAACCATGCTAAACCCCGCTGCACCCGGCCCTACTCCGTACTCGGCTCCAATCTGCCATGGGCCTGTGCGTGCCAGTTTCCCATTCGGTTGCGGGGCAGGGGCGCTTTGCTTGCAAGGCCAAGTGTGCTGTATTATCATGATTATGGAATGCCCTCCCCAGCGACATCCGTGCCATCCATCATGCTCGGCAGTTTCGCACGCAGGTAATCCCCTATAGTAGTATACCTGTAACCTGTGGCTCTAGATCCCGAACACAAGCGAAATCTTCTGTTTTTTCTGTTCTCTTTCTGTTGTACCCGATCTCCCTCTGATGTGTAGTAAATAGTGGATATAACGTGCCCCTTTGATTTTCGATAATTTATCACTATATCCGGTGCATCACTATATCCGATTTGCATGTATGACTGACACATGGCAAATGACTGTGCATGAAATGATGCGTACACGCTGGAAAAAGCATGAAAAGCAGCCACGTGTACATGTGGCTGCTTACAGCATACAGGGAAGAATTTTCTCTCAATCACGTCTGCTGCCAGATGCATCCAGGCAACACTGGATCAGTTTTGGAAGAAATAAACTAAATTTGAAGAACAATTGTTTTGTGATCATCACTCTTGATCAGTATATACGATATTTTCCTGTGCATTTGATATGGTTTGCTTCCTGAAGCCCATCACAATAAGCGATATATCGGTATAGCCGATAATAGTGTGTATAGTGATATTTTAGCTGTATTTTTTGTGATTTGATTTTGATTTCGGCGAGTTCGATCATTATAGCCGGTATATCGTTACAACCGGTCACTTTATAAACGATACTCACTGTACTGGGTTCTATGCCCGTTTGAATTTGCGAACGGCAAAGTAAAATATGCGACCAAGGCGGGGTATACTAGTACACAAAACAGCCATTGGTTGCACCCACTTGAGCATAGGCAACACTGAGTTTCGCAACAGCATCACGTGACAAGGTTTAATAGGTGGACCTTTCCGTTTCAAAAGCTGAGTAGAACAGGAGCAGGCAAGCTAGAGTCAGTCTGCAACAAAACTCGAAAGATTCCTTGGAGGTCTCACTGGTAACCCAATCTCACGAGAAATATCAAAATCAGAGAGGAGTTTTGTCAACTTCAAACTGATTCAGTCATTGACTGCAATTGAAACCAGGGAATAGCAAAACACCGTATTATACTATCCATGCAGCCTCATGATTTAAACAGAGTGTAGGAAACGTGTATTGAATATCATAATCGAAGAACCCTGGCACTGAGGATCACCGTGACATGTAATACCACTATGATGGGTCCACCATTGTTGTTCTTATCAGTGTTGAATTTTATTAAAAGTCACAGCCCAAACAGGCGGTAGCACCTTCTTTAATGCGTGTGACTCAGCACATTGTGAAAAACAATGGGAATGGGGCGGGGAGACAAGGTAAGAAAACTAGGTCATAGCAAAGATTTCACTGCAAGTATAGAATGAATGAAGCCGCGGGTAAAGAAATCTGCTGGAAATGTTCATCGCCTAGCCGTACCTATGATTTGACCGATAATATCCATTGTTAGACCATTGAAGCGACCCACAGGAACAACTGAATACTATGGCAACAACGGTTACGTGGAGATTCGAGGCAGGCGGAGGCAGGTGAAGGAAGCTGATCACTACAACACATGCGTTCTGTGCTAGGATAGATTCCAGTCGTTAAAGACAGCTGATAGCACCAAGGGCAAGGGAAGCTGCAGCAAGCCGCTGATCGTCCTGCGCACCCATCCTGCCATCAGGACATCAGGCACCAGGCAGCCAAGGTATACAAACAAGGCATGGTCAATAGCCATCCCCTCAACAGGCAGCGGAAGCTGTTCCGTCACCAGGATTCCATAGGCTCAACATACAAGCTTGGTCTTGCTTCATGAAGTTCGCCGTTAAAACACAGCAGCAGCAGCAGGACGGATAGGAGCAATCAGAGCAGCGTCTTCAGCAAACTCCACATGGCTTAGGCTTGATGACTGCAGATATTGTGACCGTGGAGGGTTGAGCAGGTTTCCATTGATAAGAAATCTGAAATCCAGGCCCGCGCCAGGACAAGCACAAGCCATTTCACAACGCCATCGTTCAAACGCTAGAGAGAAATACATGTAGAGGTTGAAAGATACACACATACACACACACACACACACACACACACACACACACACGCGGACGCGCGCATATATGCATGCATAAACGCACAGACACACAGTTATTCTGATACAGTAAAAGCATCCGGGGCTTCAAACCAAGACAGGACTAAATGCTTCAGAATGACATATCTACTTCAAACAAACAAAGCAGATAGGAATATCACTGGTTTGACTCAGTGCTGAAAGCAATTTGATGTGTTTTTCGGCATTGTATGAAAAATGGGTTCACTGAATATAGTGTTAATGCAGATACAAAACTAAAAGAAGTCTGTGACTAGCGCTACTCCGAATAACATTGATGACAATGCAAACGAAGCGTATGTGAGCATGTGTGTGAGTGTGTGGGTGCATGCGTGTGTGTGTATGCGTGTGTGTGCGTGTGTGTGCGTGTGTGTGTGTTGTACATGTGTGTGTGTGTATGTGTGCGTGCACGCGTGTGTATGTGTGTGTGTGTGTGTGTGTGTGTGTGTGTGTGTGTGTGTGCACGCATGCGTGCGTGCAAGCCCAAGTGCTCGTGGGCAGGGGAGTGAGAACAGGAGCAAGGTGGTGAAGCACGGACAGACCCAATGACTAGGGGTCACGCGATTCTCAATGGACCAATGGAGGGTTCCACATTGCCTGGTACCTCTGATGATGATGATAATGATGATGGCAATGGTTCGGTACTTCTCACCTTCTCTTCATGGCCCAGTCTGGAGCAGTTCAAACGGGCATTACTCATCTCTGGAGACGCTGACCGTACGTGTTGAAGGATGAGTATCCTCGGTAAACTGCTTGCTACCAAGTAGGCAGGTGGAGTGTAAGATACAGCATCTATTGATGGAGTGCAGCACCTGCTCTATGACCGAGTCCCAAAATCTGTGCGGTCATCGCTGATCGCCATGGGCACTGTGGTAGATACCTTCTGCAATCACTATTGATCACCATGGAGATTGGGGTAGATATCTTCTGCAATCGTCGCTGATCACCATTTGCACCGGGGTAGATGCCTGTACAGTCGACTCACCTAATCTTGACCACTGTGTTATGTTTATTCAGCAAGACCTGACAGAGCTGGGTCAGAGGGCCAGAACACGAACAGTTCGCGGGCCAGTTTTGGCACCAGAGATCGCTACTCCGTTGTGTTATCATCTTCCAGTGTCAACTGAAGTACGTCAAATGACTGAATGATGGGAGCAAACCTCGATCGCTCAGGATCCAGACACGGGTTGCCAGGCCGATCGGCAATGAGTGTCTGTAGTCCTGCCGCATGCGCGGCCTCCACTTCTCCAATCATGTCAGCAATAAACACAACTGACCGCGGCTCGAAGCCCATTTCTTTACAGATGGCAGTGTAACTAGCTGGATCTGTCTTTCTCCCTGTTGTTGTATCAAAATAAGCATCGATGTACGGCACCAAGGAGCCAACATTGGAATGCTTGAATAGTAAGTTCTGTGCTTTCGTACTGCCAGACGAATATATAATCACGCCAATGCCCGACTCCTTCCACGACTTGAACGCAGGCAAAACATCATCATACACCAGGCCCTCCAAAAGGCCCTCCTCGTAGAAGGTTGCCAGAATGTGGCCTTGCAGGGTTTTCAGCGCTGCTGCTTCTCTGCCACTGGTCATCTGATCCTCAGCTATCTCAGTGATTCTAGCATGCAGACCACGATCCAGCACACCGGACACAGTAGCACAATCACGTGAGATCAGATCGCCGTCAGCTTCCTGAAGAAGTAACCTGAGGGAAAGCTGAACTTCTGCCACATCCCAACATTTCTCCAGCATGGACGAAAAATGCTGGCGCATCAAGCTTCGGATTGTCTCCGACAAGAAGTTGAACGGAGTGGTGGTGCCAATTATGTCCGATATAATGGCTTTTACAGTCAAACGCACGGGCTTGTCCATGCTCACAATTCTGCGAGGTCGGGCCTATCTCAATCTCATGCTCTATACTGTAAACTGAAAGTATGATTGTATCTTGTTGGGAATATTGGTCTGGGCACAATGCAGCATGGATTATGGTTTGGTAGCAAATATTCAAACCTGTGAAAATGATTTTGATTTTGTCATTGAGATTTTTTTTCTCCTTCGAGATTCCCTAATGACGTCACTTGGGTCAATGCTGTACAAGTCATGTACACATGCATGACTACTGACTACAAGTACAACTGTATCTGTGACTGTAAGACATAATTATAACGAGGAAGCAAATCTAACGTTTTAACGGATGACATTTCTTCGTTATAATAAGATCCGTTGAGGCCGTACTGCTTCATATTAGTCCGTGAGCCAAAACTCAAAATCACAAGTGCCGTTGCACTCTCGGAGGGACAAGTCGCCGCTTACAGTGTTGGTCAAGGACATCACAAAGGATACGTTTTCGCTTGTTGGACGTTCCAGAACCGATCCAGAGACCTTCGGGAGGGCTTCTTTTCTCGACCAAATTCCACCGTGAGAACAAATATTTTTACGCGAGTGGTGAGGTGTGCATCGGACGAGTAAGCACAAAAGTACGATTTCGGGTGGAATGAGGAAAAATAATTTATTTTTTAGAAGATAACGACGTTGACGACAATATTTGGGGTTTTGTGATCACTTTATTGAAGTTTATTCCTTTCGTGTACATTGATGTTGTTTGACAACAATGGAAGAGGAGGAAGACGTTTCTAGTGGCAGCGAGGTGCCAGATGGGGCAGCTGACGGCAACGAAGTGGCAAATGACAGCCCAGCGGAGTAATATTGCTGGAATTTATGTCTGTGTGACAGCACCCAATTTAGTAGAAACGAGAAGCCTGCAGCGAGTAATATCGAGACTACAAGTTGGCGTCGCATCGTCAGCGCTGTTCGAGAGAAGGACGACCATGTCTGGGATTTTCTTTGCCAGCACAAGGGCTCAGGGAAGAGCAAATGGTGTGGCTGGTATCATGGAAAGTGCTACACCAATTGCACGCATGTGATCCTGAGCATTTGCAACACTGGAGAAGACCAGTGCCTCTGATTTTGCTTTATCTATACTTACTGACAGTGATGTGCATGTAGTAGTGAACCCAGAGCCACATCCTAAGGCCAACAAGGGGCTACCTACCAGGAGCTTAGTGGCTGATACGAACAACGAATGCCATGAAAGCAGAGCACGGTGTCAACACAACACCGAGAACTGGTCCACCCAGAGTTTACGGAAGGGAATGTTTTGTTGCAGGCAGCACTGGAGAGGGCAAGACGACAAGTAGCGAGGGTGAAACCAGCGCTGCTGGAGGTCCAAGCCAGAGCACCTGGCTGCTTGACGAGGAACATACTATACCATTGTCTGTGTATGTGTGCCAGTGTGTGCATGCGTGTGTGCGTGCACGTTTCTGTGTATGCGCGTGCGTGTGCGCGCGCGCGTGCATGTGTGTGTGTGTGCTCGTGCGTACATGTGTGTGTGTGCGCGCGCGCGTGCATGTTTGTGTGTGCGTGCGCGGGTGCATGTGTGTGCGTGCTAGGCGCTTTCCTTTGTTGGTGACACCACCCCAGGCTACAACTGCGGGCCGGATGGTGGGTGTCGGGGCACGGTGTTGCCACAATCACTGTGGTCAGTGTGATCCGTGTTTCAGGTCAGTGGTGGGTTTTAGCTCACTGCAGCCAAAGCGATCATGTTGCAAGTCAACCCGAGGGTTCCAGCTGCACAACTGCAACAAATGGATTCAAGAAAAGTCTAGATCTCGCTAGGACGTTGATGCGAGCAGCGCCTCAGCCAAACTCTCCATGTCTGTCGGCCCCTCACACGAGGGGACATGTAACCGGAAACGGCAATGTTCAGGACAAGACAGGAAGTGTGTTCCGGCCGCGGGACATGCTGTTGCTGGTTTCGCAGCAGAGGAGCTTTGGCCGACCACACGTGCATCCCTAGATTGCCTTCACTCCCATCTGCTACTGGACTCTGCCTCGGTGATCAGGCAGGCACCAGGGACATCTGCTTTTCCTTCGTTCGGTCGCTGTCCGTCTTGTGAAGAGAGATCAATTTATAACTGACGGCAGCAGGACCCAACAGACAACGGGCATCGGTCATTTTGCACTCACTGAGGTGGGTCCTCCTCCTGATCCGGCGTCCTCCTGGAGTCTGTTCTTCTCCCATTGCCATTGGGGTTGCGTGCCTGGGAGACTGCATAGTCGGATTCGGCAGCTGGTCCATGTGTGTGTGTGTGCGCGTGCCTGGGAGACTGCATAAACGGATTCGGCAGCTGGTTCATGTGTATGTGCGCACGCGCGCGCGCGTGTGTGGATGTGCACGCATGCCTGAGAGTATGTATAGTTGGATTCGGCAGCTGGTTCGTGTGTGTGCCCGTGCACGCGTGTCTGGGAGACTGCATAGTCGGATTCGGCAGCTGCTTCATGTGTGTGTGTGTGTGTGTGTGTGTGTGTGTGTGTGTGTGTGTGTGCGCGCGCATGCGCACGCGTGTGGGTGCGCGCGTATGCGTGTATGTATGTATGTGGCATCATCTTATATCGGTAGTTATCTGTGTATTACTGTGTACTGCGGTGGACTGCGATAGCACACATTATGTGCCAAGATGTGCACCTAGCTGGCGATTTCCAACTGTGTTAATGTTATGTTGAGTGGAAAATGAGCAATGACAGATAGTTTTTGGTACTGTATGAGTGTGTTAGGCAATCAATAGCCAATTCCAACCTCTTGCATTGGCTGTCAGGTTGGATAGGATCAGCGCGTGCATTTACAACAGTGGTGACGTACTTCCTTTTGTACTACCGTAATGTCACATTAGCTTCAGTGTTCATATCATTCTATACTGGAGTATTCTACGTACATGTATTCAGTAATGGAGTGGTTATTATAAATATACTTCACTCACCAATTCATTGCTCGCTATTATCTACAAGTCCAATTCCAGTATGATGAAGTCAAGAGGCGATTTATCCAGCCAAGTAGAGGAACTTGGGATACGAAATCCAAGAGAAATCATTAGGGTATTCTCAGTTCAGCCATTCACGAATGTAATTGTTATTCTTCAACGCAAACTGAGTAATATTTGACCTTGAACAGGATGAAAAGAAGTTCATGGTCGGGGCAGAGTCCGCCATTCGCTCCAGAAGGTTACTCACTACAGTCTTCTACGCCTAGGAAGTGGTGAACAAATATCTCGAGAGGTATTTAGGACATTCTTTGAAGTCAGTTTAGTTCTGAACGAATGCATTGTAACTTTGCTGCAGTTTGCATGCATGATCCGGATTGATAATTCTCAGCGGTAAAAAAAATTCAAATCTAGTTTTGTGCACTGGTTTCCGCGTTATGTGCACTCGTGGAATCTGCTCATGGCTTCAAAAAATGAGAATCCGTGAACAAGCGCAAAAAAATCAAGTGAAGAAGGCGAAAATGGCCGCTGCTGTCAGAGAGCAAAGTTGGATGTTTGGCGTCTTCTGTGACCTCCCTGGATCAGTTTCGAATTGTCCAACAAGTGGAAATCACTTCAGGATACCATCCTGAAGCGGTGTGCTGAAGGATGATTTGTCCCTCTCTGGGTGCAACGGTCGATGCTAAAACAGCCGATTCTGAGATTTGGCTCACGGACTATATATGCTGTGTGTGCATATGGCAGAATACTGCAAGATCGTTAACATATGAAGAGCTTGAGAACAAAACGCTGTATGCGCCAAATCTTCAAAATCGAGATTTTTGACCCAACTGAAAGATCACATCGAGCTGAATTTGATGGCGAGGTCATTTTTGGCGAAAACGCAGTACATCCTACAGAAAACCCCATTCAAACAGTCGCTTTCAGAGCAAAACGCTGTATATCCGGCTAGGATTTTTTTTCAAAACGCAGTATACGCCAGTTGTCATAGTTATACAGTCGTGGGCAGCGCGCGTGGTGTTCAGAACGCGCAGAACACTGCTTTTTGTCATTTTTTCAAACTAGTTCGAATTATTTTTTTGAACGAGCGCTTGACTCGACTTATGGCTGTCAAATTAGCTTTCTCTTCTTCCTGACGCTGTCAAAGCTCTTGTCTTAGACATCAGCGTGGCGGAGGTGACATTAGATGGTATGAGTGAGCCAGTTGTTTTGTCTCCTGCTGGGAGAGGGCGTCTTGTGCCTATATTCTCACCCGGATATACTGCGTTTTGCCAAAAAGAAGGTGAAAAATTCAAAAAATATCAAAATCTGAGAGGTGTGGATTTTTGATGACATGGTGTTTGGGGTCCAGTATTCCTTCTGGTACTAAATCCAAATTTCCATTGGGATGGGATGTAAGACAATGTCAGAACAAAATTTTGACTTTACCCGAAAAGTGCCAAAATGGATATACCGTGTTTTGTTCTCAAGCTCTTCATATCTTCTTATGAATTTTGGACAATCGTTAAATGTGCGACTCGTTATAATAACATGTCTTACAGTACGTGACATGTACACTCGGACTGGATCTTGTGAACAATGAATGACCAGGGCTGGGCTAGGGAGTCTTATTTGCCACTCCCTGGCCTGGTGAATACAGGTACCGGTAGGCCCGGGCCCGGCGGGGGCTTGTGATGGACTTTGCTTTCCCGGCCATATGCTTGCACTGCAGCTCAGTCCAAAACTTAGCATTGTATAACATAATTATACCCCCCCCCCCCCCCCCCCAGGCCGTTTATACTCTTGATAGCACTGATAAAGTGCTTGAATTCAGCGGCTTCAGAAAAATGGAAATAGTGGCCCGGCATAGTATAGATTACTAATGTTGCAGATTCATTGATAACAGCATACAAGCAGCACAGAATTCAAGTTATTATTAGATTTATTACCCGAGTTCAAACTTTGCGGCATGTACTCTTGTTAGTACTCAGCAGGCAAAGGCTCGGTAGTACATGCAGTAGTCGCGAGGGCATTGTGAATCAGTCTCACGAAAATCCCATGATTTTGCTATCATATGATGCTAGTTTTCACAAGACGATATGCTAGTTTTCTCAAGAATATGCTTGTAGTTTTCTGCAAAACTTGCCGGATTATCACGGCTAGCCGCGGCAATGTTCAGTGCTAATTTCCAGAACTTGAAGCGCTAAACATGCTAGCCGATTACATGTACACTGAGTGTATCTGCCGGGGCCTAAATACAGCACTGATCAAGGCAATCCTGCGGCCGGACTCGGATGATGCACAATCGGATTGTGTACATGTACTCAGTACTGGGCTGTTCAGGCTATTTTGTATTTTGGTCCCTCCACAGTAGAGTCACCAAGGCAAGACAATCAATATTGGGCCGGTAAGCCCGGCCCGTGCGCCAGTAGATGATCCGCAATTGACTGGTCAGGCAGCAGAAACACTTGAAGAGTCGTCAACATCACGTCGGAGAGACTTCGCACGGTCAGGTGGAGGGAAGGCAGACGCCGGGCAGCCGGAGGCCTGGCCCAAGCGGTTGGTCTGATGGAATGGAGCCTGCAAACCATTTCAAGACACATCATCATGGGGGAAAGGTGCGGCATCAGCTCACCTGCCCTTCATGCACTCGAAGTGCAATGGATATGCTTCCACAAGGGCGTCTTTCGCCGGTCACGTGATCCTGCTGTCCTCGCCGCTATATGGGTGGGCTCTGCCACATCTCCCCGATGATAGCCTGAACAGCATGGGGAAGTCACATTCATGGCCGGAAGTTAATTGCTGCGAGTGGGGTGTGCGGGGGCAGCCGCCAGTCGGTAACTATGAGTAAGTTTTATTTGAAGTTCCGGGTCCATGGTCAGCCCTCATGCTTGGCTCACTCCAGGCCGCTATCATGACTCGGTTCATACACAACGTGACTGCACGAGTGAGAGACGTGCCGGTGACTACCACGGAGGAACGTGGCCCAACATCCGACCTGTTTGGTCCCCTTGGTCTCAGCATCACTGGAGGCCGGGCAGTCTCTGCTTTCCATGAGCGGATTGGGTTGTTGATAAATGCTGAGAAGTTTGGGTCGCATCACAGATTGGCATGGATCAGATGTAGGTTGAGTTTGCACTCATCCGCTTTCACCATGCTGTGGCCCCTTGACGGACATTTGTCTTGGAGCATATTTGAAGTTACAAAACACGCTGATACGGAAATCCTATTCAATGTTTATTCAATTGTTTATTTCCACTGCTTTATTATAGGAGTGTTTGACGGTATTCGATTAATTACCGTATTCTATCCATTGTTACGTACGTTCTGAACATATGCCGTTTACTTATTGCTAAACGAGTCTTTTCCTAGTCTTGTTCTCAAAACCAAAAAAGCAGGTGCTCAAATTGCATTGTATACCTGTGTGAAAAAGTGTTTTTCCTTTGCATCTGCAAATAATTATAATGTTACTGTATGTTTGTCACCAGGGAGTCTACCAGGTCTCCGTCGTCACACAGTGAAACCCCGCTGGCCCGGGCATGGAGAAAGCTGTGAAAATGTCTGTGGAGCGTGTTCGCAACACAATACTATTACTTTTACATGATTGTATACCATGGTATATTGTGACGACTCCTCCGCCCCCCCCCCCCCCCCCCTGGTTGCGAGTTGACCTCAGTCCTGCGTCCATCACCATGATCACATACTATTAGTAGCTAGCTGTACGAGAGCATGCATAGTGCACCCCCACCGCCATTCTCATGCCCAGGACGACAGGAGTGACTCATGGTCATGAAGACATAATCACACAGTCCCCGCATCACACCATCCGCGTTCACACGAAAATTTAGCACCACGGACTACCATGGACTTACTCACTACACTCTAGTCAAGTATCAGTGAAACCGCCAAACTGTCCAAACCAGGCCATGCAAAGCAAGAACAGCTTCTAGTACTAAAACATCACGATAGCGCGATATCGGAGCATTCCGGGCAACATGTTGCAACACAATAGCGGCTATCCGAGCAACAGCACCAAGCCGGCGCAACCATTCGGAAAACAACGCCAATGCAGCAAGATAGTTGCAGCAACCAGCAAAGCACTCAGTTGTCACGGTGCACTTCCGTAGGAGGCCATGCACAAAACTGGAAGGCCACTACTACTGCCATTGGCGTTGTTTCCCGAATGGCTGCGCCGGTTTGGTGCTGTTGCTCGGATAGCCGCTATTGTGTTGCAACATGTTGCCCGGATTGCTCCGATATCGCGCTATCGTGTTTCTCATTCTCCCCACTCGGTGAGTACAGTCTGAGTGTACGCTGTTACACTTGAAGTGTTGTAGAAGACACGTCGTTTCACTGGAAGTCAGAAGGAACTACTGTGACTGTGCCATAGTGTTCGTCACACCTGCCTGCCTATGTCCCTCACTTGTAACTCCGACGGATAGAAAACGATAATACTGTGTGTGTCTTTGCTTTCTGCTATTTGAACATTCCCATGCGCTCTCTCTCCTGTCTCTCCTCATTCTTGTTCAGGTTAGTAATAGTTGTTGCATGGTCCGCAAGAACTTGAGGATGGATGCCATTGCGTAATCATGATGATTCGCATGCATTGCACTGGTTTGAGAGGATGTACAATGTCGAGTCGACGGTAGAGGCGTCCGCATCAAGCACTGCCGCCATACTCCTGAGGTACGGGTTGTTTACGTAACGTGGAAGTACAGTCATGTACATCAGTTTCAAATTCTCTACCGTTTCAGGGACCATACTGAAGGTGTCAATACATGATTGCTGTTATAAACGGCTGAGGTAGAGTCTGTAGTGAGTCACTACTAGTGACCTTACCAAGAATCAGGCCTGGTCAGTGGCCTCGAGTCCAAAGGTACCAAAGGTACCAAATGTCATCCCGAACTGGGCAAGTTCTGAGGCTGCATGAAAGCAGGCGCGTGCGCCGTATGGGTTCCTGGGTGCCCGGAACCCCCCTTTTTTTCGCTCAAAATGCAGGATTTTGCTTCATTTTTGAAATTTTTCACGGGGGAGGCCCCCCCGGAACACCCCCTTGAAGGGCACCGGCGCACGCGCCTGTGAAAGTATGTGTATTGTACTATTACGGAGGATTAGCAAGACGAAATTCGCGTTCGCAAACATTTTTCAGTTCGCGAACTGGATTGCGAACTTTCGCATTTTTCGTTCGGAAAAGTAGTCGGAACACGAATCGCGGATTCGTGTCAGGGCAGTCATAAATTTACCACGCTCTACTGTCTGTACACAATGTACGTCGTGTCAACGTCATGCATGTGCGAATTCTGTTTGCTAATCCTTCTCATAACGCGAATTCCGTCACTGAGTTCGACTTTCCTTGGAGAGCGAACGCGAACGCGAATTTCGTCTTCCTAATCCTCCGTATTATGTAGCAGTGTAAGAAAGTAACGGTTTACGCCAGGTAATGTGCACTCACAGCCCTGTAAAAACACATGCATGGGCAAGCTATTGGCACTAGTTCTCCAAATGTTCCATGTGTCGAACGTCACTTGTATCGACTGCATCAATGGCAATATGAATATTATTCAGGGGCGTCGGACACGGTATGGTCACTACGGTATTGACCGTACCCCTTTTTGCCCCAGGTACCCTGTGACACAATACAATACACTGATCTGGGATCTAAATTTCCAAAATGTTCTGCTCAGCCACCACTCCCCCACGAGTAAATTGTACTTCAGATGGCTGGCCGTACCACACTAAAATACCTTCCAATGCCCCTGTTATTTTAATATCATTATTATTATCGAATTTTTGATAGGGCAGCAATCCCCACAGACCTGAGATGATTGTATTGAAACACTTTCGATTCAAATCTCGTGTCACATCAACTTCTCCTTCCTAGAATGCTCCTTGGCATCAGTGTGATATCAGCGTGAGACAGTTCTATCAAAACAAGAGCTGCATGGGTGTATGCCAAAGGTTACCAGCAGCAAAGACAAGCCAATGGAAGTTGTTGGACACATGTATTCCTCGACTGTTGTCACTGTTGAATACCCCGGCCGTCGTGCGCTAAATTTTTTAAAGGTGACCCACTCAGCCATTTGAGATAGCCACCTTGGCCCTCCCGTGAAAGGCAGGACGCCCGGCAACAAGTGGGCGTGATAGCTTGCAGAGGCGCCAGTCCTACTGATCTGACCATCATACACAAACATGCTGCGTGTCCTGTGTTCTAATATTCGCCAAAAACGTGACCTAAACTGTTGCCCGTGTGTGACACAAATCAGAGGCTATCCTACAACAGGCACACTATGAGACTCCATGGCAACAGTCCATGGCAACAGTCCATGGTAAGTGCGGACCCAGAGCGTGAGATTTTGCACTCCACTTTCATGACAATAGCCTCATTCCATTGGAAACTCTGGTCCTCGTCGTATCTACAATCTTTGCAAGCAACCTTTAGCTTGTATTGCCAAAAGTGTAGACCTCAGCTTTCTGAAAGAACGTCATGTTTAGGGCAACTAAAAACAAAATCTTATCAAAGTGTGCAACTGGTGATACCAATTATTATTGATTTTCGCATTCCACACAGTTAATTGGGAACTCGTGGCCTGGCACGAGGAAAACATGGATGCAGTGAATGGGATTTTCGGTCTTTGACCCTTGCTCAGTGGTGAGCTGATCTACTCACCTCCCACCGCTTAGGAGCTGCATCTGCGTCTTGCTCCTTGAAGGGTGGTGGCGTTCCTACGGATGCGGAAAACTCGGTTTCTAGCCGAGTCTCACGCGAACCGTGAAATTGTTGTTCTCATTCCGGACACTGCTTGCATGCCCCTCTGGCAGTGCAAAAACCGTTTCAAATGTATGAGTTTTTAGCAAATGTACTTTGAAGTATTTCGGCGTAATGACTGTGTCTCCACTCAACATACTACAGCTCGTCCCTCGTTAATACATAATCTCTTGGACTTGACAAATGTTAATCTCTGGGACTTGACAAATGTTATGTATTAAGACTATTAACAGGGTTTATGTACTAAACGAAAGTCTGCATAACTTGGTTGTATACCAACATTTTTCACGTTTTTCAACTTTCCTGAGTCACTTGCTACCGTGCCTAGGGAGCGAGATAATTATATCGAGGGAATCAAGAATATCTCGCTCCCTATATTGTAGTCACGGTAGCAAGAAACGCTCAGAAAAGTTGAAAAACGTGAACATTTTTGGTATACAACCAAGTTATGCAGACTTTCGTTTAGTACATAAACCCCATTAATTTAATACATAACACTTTTCGGGAATCAAGAATAACATAAAAATTATGTTACAACGGTCACAGTCAGCGCAGATTCTACAGTTTACATAATGCATGCCCAGCCGCACCCGCGCAATCACTCGGGAAAAAACAGAGCGTTGTCGGTTTGTGAGGTGCGCTCTGATTAATTCTGAGCTAATTGCGTCCACAAGAAGAAATTGAAACACGGTGTGCCTCCACTGGAAGTCCAAAAGACCAACAAATTATGTACTCTTGAGGTAGGTGACATGCGGGTCCGGAGGAAATGTTATGATTGTACTAACGGGGGGTTATGTACTAGCGAATTATGTACTAACCGACAACATTTGTATGGTTGTGACCACGTTTCGTCCGGGACTTGAGATTTCTTATGTACTAACGGGGTTTATGTATACTAACCGGACTCGTATTAACGGGGGACGACCTGTACCAGCACAGGTATTTTCTTCCATAACTGGCAGTCCTATGGGTTTCATCGCTCATAAAATGTAAGGTAGCTCATGATGCTATGCATATGGGTGTCCAGAATGAGTATCAATATAATATTTTATTTGGGCACTTTGGAGGGGTTATGGCCCCTCGAAGTAGCCCAAACAAGGCGTTCTCTAAGAAAGTGACATGTTTACATTGAGGACAATAAGATGCTTCCAACCGTCATCTGTTGCTTCTTGCAATCATGTCAGTAGTTCCCATGTCAGAACATAAGGGTAGTTTTATAAGCAAAAAACACACTGGTTGAAAGTACAGGAGACGAAGCAGGTATTCCGAACCCCGATTCGATATGGGTCCGAAATGCTTTGAAATTTAAACTTTGCAAATTCGCCCGAAAATGATTGAGTTTTCTTGCTATGCATGTATGCATCGCACTACATCAATATCATAAAGTTATGTCAAAATTATGTTAGGTAATTGGACTCGTTTATCCACTGTTTGAAGAAATATGCGAAAAAAAATGATCGCCACTCGTAATTGATTCCAGTGTATTTGCCTCAACAGTGTGTGATTATAGTGGTGCTGAATTCCAGAAAAAGATTTGAAATGCACTTATATCATAGTTTAGTACAATCCTGCCTCTTAGAAACAAACAAAAAGCGAACTCCTGTTTATAAAAGTAGGTTTTCTCCTATTTCGCGACATACATGTGAACGTATGGGTGTGTGCGTGTTTCACGAAAATGGCCGAAGCGGAAGCAATTTTATTGAAGATGCATTTCGATCTTTCCTACAATGCATCTCTTTCTTTAAAATGAATGAATAGAGGTTACCCAATGGCTAAGACCCCCAGGAAAGGTCTCTGTGTGCAATTATTGCTGATGAATTGCAATTGTAAATGGGAGAAATAGACTAGGAGTGGAATAGATGAATATTAGCACCATTCTAGCATTGACGTCGTGTTGTAAAGTGTTCGCAGATCAATATTACGAACTTAAGACACTACATGTATGGGGCATTTACTAAATCAGTTGTGTTCGAGTATCTACACAGCCGTATTAGTAGGGAATACTCTTGGGGTACTGGCAAGAGTGGATAAACAAGAGTATGCGACTGTGGTTATGGGTCAGTGCGCTGCCTTCATTACGTAACTTGCCTTCATCACGCTCTGAAAGCATGCATCCAAACTCTCAATTTCTCGCACGAGCCCATCTGTTTTTGCTCGATTCGTTCCAGTACCTACAAAATCTCTGAATTCTGGCGCGTGAACTCCAGTTCCGTACGAAAGTTCATTTCAAACTGGAGGGAAAGTGCGGTGTTTGATTTTCCGCAGTGCGCGGACTGCAGCTGAATGATGTAATGAAGGCAGCGCGCCGCGCATCTGGCCCATAGAAAAGAGATCACAGTTGCATGCTCTTGTTTATGGACTCTTGGTACTAGCTTAGGAGGTGCTTCTTCTATAGCCATAGATGCATAGAATTTGTTTGTTAGTTCCATATTGGCCATATCTAGGCTTGGACATTGCCAACTAGGGGTTTTATTGGCAGGGGAAACTGGGAAGTACAAAACCAATTTTTGAAGAGGCCAAATCCTATAATTATTATAATTATAGGATTTTGAAAATTCCAGACACCTTTGCACGAAAGGGCAGAAAAAGCAAAGCCCTCTTGCAGGTGAAACTAACTTGGCAGACACCATCTCTGATAAACACAGAATGCAGACTCCAACAGGTTTTTGAAGAAAATATTTTACTTTGTAAGGTGTGATCTACCATTTCCCAAAAATTGAGAAAAATCCTTATAGGATTTGACAGATAGGGAAGGATTCATTACACACTAGCCAAATTTTGGGATTAACAGCTTGCCCTCGTGATGCTTCAACCCTGAAAATTTGAACAAAATCGGACAGAACGCGTTTTTTGGCCTCCGATATTTTTCGCGATGGCATGAGCTATATTCATGTGAGCTTGACTTTCCAAACCTAGTGGCGTGCTGCTAGACATGCTGTATTTAAAGTGTATGCAAGGAGTGTTAGCTTGACACCAGATAAAGAATAAAATAATTATTGTGGAAAAGTAGCCAAGAATGCATCACCATTTTTCCTGCTCAAAATATGGACAAAGAACACAAGAACCTGCTTGTAATGTACGTTAAAACAACTCAAAACACATCGGTACAAACATATGACAAATGTATGCTGCTGGACTCTCCGAGCCTGCCTAGATCTCTATTGTGTTTCGTAAATGATTCATAGCGACTATTTTCTGTACTGGGTTGGCGGTGTGAAAAGGTTTACGATGGAACAAATAAATTATATGAGTGCTGCGGAGAGCTTGATTTCCATTCAAGTTTCTATATTCATGTTCAGTCAAGGGGGTTTTCCCGTCATGGATGGCAACGGGGATGGTACACCACAGGATGGCTACATGGCTGGTGATCTACCGTCCTCAGTGTCATGCACTACTACCGGATCGGCGGCGTGGTTGTCCAAGCGCTGGGTTGCGTGGAATGTTGCGACTGGTGGGCGCGGAGCAGCACCAGCGAGCCACAACAAAGATGAACAAGATGAACGCAATCAGGGCCAGCGAAACCGCGGCCAGTGGAGGCTGATGCACTGCAATCGGCTGAGACGCAAACTCGTCAATGGACTGCGGAGGAATGTGTGGTTCCGGAGGCTGAAAGATCTCCTCAGTGTGATGGCGATGTTTCTTCACATCATCTACATCCTGTCAAGCAGGAAAGCCAAACAGGGCAAACAGGCCATAATTATATTACAGGAAACCATGAGAAGGGTAAGAAACCAACCATAGCGTGTTGTGACACTGCGTTCTGCACTCGGGATGGGTTTTAAAGTAGATATTCAGAATGCAGTGCAGTAGCGCGCAGTGGCCCCTAGACAGGAGGAGCAGCAAATGAAGCAACACATTCACTTTAATGAGTCGATGATACACGCATGTGCGTACATGCGTGTACACCCGCACGCACACACACACACACGCACGCACGCACGCACGCACACACACACTATATTTACTAGTGGAATCTGGAACAACAAACTATGTCAGTGACAGAACTCACTGTGATTGGATTATCTTCAGGTAGTGGTGGCAGTCTGCAACAACCGGACAAGTGCAAACACCAAAACATGAACTTCCAATACTTTTGTCCTGCATACTAGTAATGCACAGATCCTTACTTGTTAGCAGCAGTCAGCAATTGAAGCTAACAATGCGGCAAAGAAAGAAACAATGACCTGGTCAGTCAACATGTAGATAATGACATTGGGAGTGACAAGAGCTGCAAGCACCACTGCCAACAACTGCCAACAGCAGCGAATTGCCTAAGTAGCTTAGCAAACCTGCCTGCTTTCACAGCACAACAATCAAAGAGGGAGGATGTTGAGATAATAGCTCTTGTTTAGAACTTACATCGGCAGGGTGTGGTTGACAGAATGTGCCGTTGCCCAGGTCAGATTACGACATGCTGGAATTGGTAGTGGCTGTTGGTCGACCTTGGAAAGCACTTTGGAAAACTGGGAGAAACGACCTGGCACAAGAGGAGAGTCACACAAACACGACATTATGATATGAAGAAATCAGTAAACAGGAGGAATACAGCCGCCACAATTCCTGCAACGTGAAAAAAGCACCTCGCGTGTCATTTGAATTGTGCCTGACGTGGCGCTGAAAGCTTACCTGATACACCCACACATGCACACAGGCACATGTATAGACACATGCACATGCACACACATACACATATGCGTGCAAAACACACACGTACACACACACACGTACACACACACGTACACACACACACACATACACACGCGTACACACACACACACACACGCGTACACACACACACACGTACACGCCACCTTAAGTCCACATGTTGAATGTACTATGACATACAAAGGAAGAGAAATGAAACCAGGCTTCCAACAAAACAAAAACATTGGTGTGTTATAATTATGCACGTGTGCCCCTTTTCAACATAAGGCAATTGAACATAGTACAGTGTTGCTCAATGAAGTCCAGTCACGTCACTCAAGCACACGCCCGGCGTTGCGCAGCCCTACACCTGAAATGGTGCAAGGCGCAAACTTGAGTGACGCGACTGGATTTCATTGAGCAGCACTGTAGAATGATGCTAGCACATTTTCTCCGAGTAAGTAGTTTAGAAAAGTCAGGACTGATGACGCTGCAAGGGAAACACACAGACCCTATAAAACTACGGTTGTGCATGCCCTACTGACCTGCTAGGGAATCGAGGGCGGGAGGTGTCGGTAATACCATCCCAAATGACGGCTTTGTCTGCATCTCTGGTGGCACGGTGCCGGAAATCAGGAAGCGAAGTAGATGATCAATAAGCCAGAAGCAATCTACAGCACATCACAGCACAGCATGGACAGAGGAAGGATATCACTAGACATGTAACGAATATCCAATTTACCAAGCACATTAAGTCACGGAAGGCCGAGGCTGAAACTACACTACATATAATTTTCATTGACAGAGACGTGAGGTTTTCCTTTAAGACAGTATTAGGGCGCGTTCAGACTACCGTGAATCCCATCAAACCGCGAATGGCGATAAACCGTGAAGGACATTCTTACCACCGATAAACTAACGTTACCGTTACGTACGTTTTGCAGCTCTCAACGCGGTACTGAGAAGGGGATTTTCCCTTTTTCCCCAGCCTGAGCACTTTTTTACTACCGGAATGCAGTTACTGCGCAGCAGCCGCGACAGTAAAACTTTTCCACCGGTAACGTGCCAGTAACGTCATGTGATCAAATCACCTTGGAAACTTTCCCAATCGGTCACTTTTTATCGGTAGTCCTAACGCGCCCTTAGGGCAGCAGCAAAAGGTGATGGTGGAGCAGGTGTGTGCACGCGTGCATGCCTGTGTGCAATGAGAGAGTACTACAGAATGAGACTGACTGTCACATCTCTATGCATTTAGCTGCTCGTTCCTTCACTTTACAATAGATACTATCATCAGAAGAGGGTTTGGGCCCACTTTGCTTGGCCCAAGATGCGATGCGTAAAATAGTTTGACATACAAGCGTATGAGCAGCATACAAAAAAGGGCAAAGCACCTACCTTTCTGCATGTGACTACCATCCACGCAGTTTGAGTCCGTATATGCAGCAATGCGGCCACTGGACGACACTGCATAGATAGTATGGAGAGACAGACGGGCAGCAAGACATGACGGCATCACAATGCGCATACGGCTACCGAGACGGGAAAACAAGCACATATACACACAGCTACACTTTGCCTAGAAATGAAATTGACTCTAGAGTTTGTGGTGTCTTCTCTAAAAATGCAGGCCAGTTGGCTATCAAAAAATTGCGCAATGACATCAGTACAGTATCCGGCAGTGGAATCAGTTGTCATCTCCATGGTAACTTATACAATGTACTTACAGCTATCAACCCTGGGCAGTAATGCCAGTATGGGAACATCATTATGTACAGCAGCTGTACCTGCCAACACTTCCTCGCCTGATGGAAGCAACAAACAACACCATACAAAGCATCCATACACACATACACACATACACACACACACACACACACAATGCTCAAGGGCGGCACCATACCGCGATGGGCTGGGTAGATACAGGAGAAACCAGTCGATGTCATAGCTTGTAGCGTGATATACATGTACAATGGTAAGTGTCCAATACTACACGTGTAGCACTGACAACTACCTCCATACACCCATTAATTACGACCAAAACATGGTGTACCGACGGCCTCCACAGCTATCAACATTAACACCTACGTTCCGCGTGCTGTACAGGCAGAACATTTCGTCGGTCAATAATTTCGTCCAACTCCAAAGAAAGGGAGTTCGTCCGGTTGTAAATTTCGTCTATGGATCATAAGAGTGTATTGAAAAGCTGGACAAATTGAAAATAGCCCGGCATTAAATTTAGTCCAAATGCTCCCTGGACGAAAAAGACGAAATTAAATTCCAGACGAATATTTCTGCTTATACATTAACTGTTATCATTACCTCTCAGGTTTCAATACTACAGTGGGCATGATAACGTCCGGACATCGGACATTTTCCGGACGTTTTCGGAGGAAATCCGACCAAAAACACTGGGTCCGGACACTGACCGGGCGCTTTTGAAAAAATCGAACTACTTCAAAAGTACAGTGATTTGTGTGCATGCTCGCGATGTGTGCATGTTTTCAAGTGTGCGGCGCGTACATGTACTACTACTAACTAGTACGCCCGTACCGTGAGTTCGTGACCAGGGTTACCAGGGTTAGGGCTGGCTTGGGCCGGCGTGGGTGTCAAGCGTCAAGCCGGATATCAGGCCATGCATGCAGGCTGGTTGAAGCGTGCTTGCACTTGTCGGACGGTGTCAAGTACACGTAGATCTGTAAGTGTACTGAGACTACAGTACTTGTTGGGAAGACCGTCGTGGCCATATGTTTTTTAACAATCGACGAGGAGACAATAGACAATAGACTTTCTTCATTTTTTGCTGTTGTTATGAGTGCACAATTTATCTTATTTTTATATTTTTTATACGTTCGGGCCTGATTGGAAATTTTTATTTCCATTGCTATCAGGTTCGGCCTCATTTCCTCTGTGCTGCGCTGATGAGTTCAAAAAGAACGAAACAGCATGCTGTCCGCAGATTGAGTATATTTTTTATTATGTATTTACTACTTATTCAATATTTCTCTCAGGATGCGAAATATGAAATGTCTCAGAAAGTTCAGTTTATTTTGGAACGCAATTTCGCGTACATGTAGTGATTTAGCCTACAGTTAGTTCACGAGTCATTTCGTGGGTTGTTTGTTTCTTGCGTTGCACAATGCAAGACAAGAATTTGCACAACTGCACAAGAGTATTGACGTTGACTCTCAAAATGATTCTTGGTCGTATTTTGTTTGTTTCTTCTAAGTTTTGACAAAGGGACATGTATTTTCGTTTTGTCTTTTCTCGCAGTGTTTCCTTTCATTTCTAAGCCGCGACGCCGTCGCTGCGGTACGACGGGTCACGTGCTGCCAAGCTACTGCATTCTTTGTTCACCAGTGTTCACGGCTACACTGCATTGTATCATGACTCATATGTTTGCTCTGTGCTGAATTCCGTACTAGCGTAGGTCTTTTCAGAGTTTGTCTTTCCATGGGGCTCGGCAAGTTCGGTTCTTCGAAAGGAAGAGAAAGGGTTGTCTTTTGTTGTTTGCGAAATCTCTAAAATCTATTTTACTACCACGAAGTCTTCCCGTTGCGTGTGTGAACCTGCATGACAGTACTTTTGCGAGTGGTGAACGAGAGTTGAGCCGTTGTCAAAATGTTTGGAAAGAGGAAGGGTGACGGTGAGAGCTCTGCTCCGGCGAAGAAAGTAGCACGCGGAGTGAAAACGTCTACTTGTGACAAGTGGGTTTCCGATAGTGACAAGGAACTGAGTACCTCCGTTTGGCTGAGGTACGAGCGACAGAAAGATGACCGGCGATTGGTGGAAATTCTGAAATGCGTGGTGTACGTCAAATTCGAGGAGCAAGTCAAAAGCAGCAAGAATTTCAGCGAGGCTTTCATCGTCGGCTCCAGAAATTTGAGGACGTTCGCATTCAAAGATCATGCTGAAACAGACATGCACAAGCAGGCGATGGGCCTCTTCCGGAGAGAGCAGTCACAGAGCAGCAATCCCATCGATTATGCTCCCATTGTGAAGTCGCTGTGCACGATGGATGCGTCTGCAGCAGCTATCGCTCGTCGAAAGTTCGACGTAGCTTACCTTCTCTGCAAGGAGCACGTCGCTTTTGCAAAGTTTGAGTCATTCTGTCGGCTAGAGGAGCGGCATGGCGTGAGCTTCGGCACAGGTGGCAAGAATGAGTTGGCCTGCGCAACGTACTGCGACTTCATCGGTCATTCTTCCCGAGAGCAGCTGAAGAATAACCTGGGGAAATCAAATTTCTTCAGTGTCCAGACCGACGGCAGTACTGATGTTGCCAATGTCGAGGAGGAGATGTATCTGGCCTTATTCTGCGATCCCCACTCAGCTGATGGCAAAATACATGTTCGTAGCCAATTCGTCGGAGTCCTCCAGCCATCTACTGTTGATGCTGCTGGTCTGATGGACTGCTTTGAAAGGGCCATGGACCACGCTGGCATTGCTGACTGGCGGACCAAGTTGATCGGCGTCGGCTGTGATGGTGTTGCTGTGAATGTTGCCAAGAATGGCTTGAAAGGCAAGCTGACGACGATTGTTCCCTGGGTGGCAGTTGTGTGGTGTGTTGCCCACATGCTAGAGGGTAGTAGAGCTAGCCCTCAAGGCGATATTTGTAAGGGTTTTGATACGTCCGGACATGTCCGGCCAAAAATGGAAATGAAAGGACATGCCGTCCGAGCACTTCGAATTTCTTATCATATGCCCTGTATTGGCATGTTAACACTACGGATGATAAGCACGTCGAATACTGTGTTCGAGTTCGCATACATTTCGCGATTCGCGAACTCGTTCGCACTTTCTGCACCAAAAACCAATCCTATCACAAATCGTGTTCTCGTTCAGCTAGTCGTATGTTAACCACCTTCGACTAATGAAATGCTGACGGCGGGAAAGCTGAAAACTGAAAGCATGTGGTATCATACTTGGAATGCTCAAGTCAACTCTCGGCCTAGCTTTCGCATAGAGCCATATCTCCAGCCAATCACTGGAGATCTGTTGAACCTTTCCGTGCTAATGACGTTGATAGACGTCATGCGCACTGTATGCCAAACGACTAATGACGTCTATAGACGTCATGAGATTTGCGCAGCATATTGCAGGGCATAAATCAGTGTACAAACTTTCATAACTCTGTCAAAAATAGGTCCATTGCGACAATCAATACTGTAATTCGACAAATTTTCAGCCCTTTCAAACTTCGGCCTGCCAGGGCTAAAACCCATTTCGGCCGCATCAAATTTTCGGCCTGTACTGCTGCCGCCTGTATACACTGTCACACTGAACACTGCAAAACAAAATTTCGGCCGCAACAAATTTTCGGCCACACATGTCCAGGCCGAAAATAGCCGAAAATAAAATAGCTCTGAATATTTGTTTACTTACAGTACACAGTTAGTCTGTTGGCAAATTCAAAAATCAATCGAGACAGTGGACTTTCATTATCCCACCCAGGGAGGTAGCGTGGCCCTTTTCACACTGTTTCGGAAGGTCATGACGCGACGAAATTCACCCTATTTTCCTCATTAAACGTCACCATGAGATGCCACTGTTTTGAAGTGATTCTTTTGATTTGATTTGTTTGGCAGAAAATCCACGTGGCGCTCAGGGAATAATTTACTTTCAATCTTTTGCATAGCAATTTTGATATGCAAAATCAAACTTGAATAGCAATTCCAAAATGTTGCGTCAATTTTCTTCAACACTTGACAACCGTCCTTCTGGAGAGATGATCAGAGTGCAAGCTCAGACTACAAGTACACTGTTACACCTTAGTTGCAAACCTAGCCTGGTGCCAGGATGCATAGCTCAGCACTTTCGAAGTTTCGTGCATCTATTTTATCCCTAGGAGACACACCCGGCATGTACATGTACACTGTGCATCATAGGGTACAGTGAACAATCAACATGCATCGCAGTTTTCTGCGACACATTTCTGAAGTTGCTTCGCACCTCAGAAGAATTGCGTAGCAAACTGCGATGCGATACCGGTTAAATTAGTCCCTGGCGCTAATTTTATTTTCTGCGCTTCAGTTTTTCATTTCACCTGCACAGCAATGCTGATTTTCACTCTCTTTTGTCAGCAAAGAGGACGATAAAATAACTATCCTTGTGTCCATGTATCGCTTGAAATGGCTGCACTGGACGTAGACTTTGACTTGCTCATAGTGCTGAGACGGTTATATCGATTACTCGCTACTTACTGGATAAGAAATAATCACATCGAACAATTATTCCGATGCTAGCAGTATTTATGCTGAGTTGGACATTTCCCATCGTTTGCCTCTTTGGAGGTGAGTCAAAGAATCACACTCACGTATCCTCCTAGAAACGCGAAATTCGCGTTTGAGTTCGACTAAACTTCACGACGAACTCGAACACACATTTTGGCATGCCGATTCTCCGTACTTTCAAGGGAGAGAGTACCAGTTCATGTAGTGGTACCGTATTTCCTCGATTAATGGACCATGCTCGAATAATAGACCATGCCCAAATAGTAGACCCTCCTAGAGGCCTCACGGAGAAATAGTAGACCATGCCCGAATAAGAGACCCGGTCTCTTATTTGAGTTCATCGCTTTGCGTATGCGCACTAAGAAAGCACGTGGTGGATCAAAAAAGGACGCGATTTTAGGTTGCGCAACTACAATTTTTGTAGTGGCTAGTGCTTTCTTTCATTATTTGAGCATGGTCCACTATATTTTCATCGGCACATCGCTGGAAATGGTGGATTTTTAACACGTCATAATATGGAACTTCTATAATATTATTATGAAGTGTTAAAAATCCACCATTTCCAGCGATGTGCCGATGAAAATATAGTGGACCATGCTCAAATAATGGACCATGCCCAAATAAGAGACCGGGGGTCCAACCCTCTTCAAAAAACAAAAGACCGGGTCTATTAATCGAGGAATACTGTGCTAGCAAATGCGGTGATGCATGCGTGAACCCTTTACATGCAGTGAACTGCGCCGACACCCACGGTCAACTGGGTACTCACTACTCGGAGTGAGGGTAACATGGATGCAGCTAACGAGGTTAGCCCCCTTGTCGGGCATTGGTTGTGAGACTTACCACCTCACCCTCGCCGTTAGGCGCTGCATCTGCCACCCTGGTAGCACAGGCATGGTGGTGGCCTGGCACATGCGAAACTTCCTAAGCTGGTTGTGTTTCTCAACGCAATTGTATAGCCGGTGGTAACGCGGACGTGCAAACTTTACTTTTTTTAAAATACGGTATGTTGTCTCCTTACCTTGGTTTTTCATACGTGCAGAGAGCACTAGTGCCTGATCAGGAACACTAACAAAGCTAGTACCTGAGGCAAGATAAGCTGAACAAAACAAAAACACACACACACATACATACATACACACAGGATTCACATGAAAGTTGAAACAGTTCCATCTGGAGAGGTGCAGCCATAAATTTAGCCTGCATATTTGCCCTGGAAAAAAAGCACTGGCTCTGTGCAGGCAGGTTGGGGTACTCTCTGCAGCCAAACAAAGATACATAGGGAGACCAAACCAATTATTTTTTTTAAGTTCTAAATTGTCGCACTGGACAAAAAGGTGTCCCGGGAAACTTACTGCTATGATGTCCGACAGTGAAATCACCTTCCCATACCGTGTCACTGCAAGAGGAAAACAAATACAACAAAAGAATGATGAAGACTGAATAGAGTCATGCAGAGCAAGCACTAGTACATCATCAATCAAAAATACATGTATCTACGTCGCTCACCTAGCAGCTGGGTAAAAGCGCACCACCTTGATTCACAGCCAAGGAAAGGAAAACCGTACGACTGAGTACAAATAAGGCCGTGTAATTACAGTCAAGCACAAGCAGTGACCAATTGAGGAGCGGAACATAGCCAATATCCTTAGCTGAGAGATAGGCTAGAAGAGAGCAATGCTTCTCGTTTTCCGTGCAAAAAATTACACAGTATTACTATTAGGCAACACATTGGTCTTCAGAATACATGTGCATGTAGAGGAGCAGTAATTCACCTACCCAAATGCCAGGGACCACGGTTGTAGGAGACGGTTTAGAGCAGGTATGTTACTACCACCAGTATCAGGGATCCACCATTGCCTGCAGTGTAGATTGGCACACCAAGGAAAGTACACATACGCTGTCTATACAAACACTCTACTTCACATCTTGCACTCAGTTTTTTTTCAAACTTTGGAGCAGGGTGCAGGCTTTCGCACTCTGAGGCTTCCACAGTTTCTCGCCAGGAAACTGGCATCAGGCCGGCCTGGTTTCAAACATCAGGTATTGTATTGGCAGTAGGAAACTAGGTAGACATCCGATAATGTTTGCTCACCTCCGCCATGCCTCCAACTAAATCTGTCTTCGTGGGCTGACGGATTCTGAGGTAAAACTGTTGTGCTCCCTCCTCGGGATCGAGTCAGATTGTAGATGAAGTAAAGACGTTAGCAACATTTGTAACGGAGTCCGCGTGTGGATACGTCTCATCAGAGTACCGCTGTAGATATCTATCCTCAAAAGACGTTGCAGTCTCCTCTCTTCAAACACTCACTGAATAACAAAGATTAGTACGATCATGACTGTCAGAATCTGCATACCGCGAGGCACGACTGAAGAATCGAATCAATGAATTATCGAGGCAAATTACAGGTCTACACGAGGAGGCTGTCGCCCTCAGGGAGTCCGCCATTGCTTCTCTCCGGCCTGCCGTGGCTGAAGGAACTCCAGAGTACTAGCACTTGCACTCAGCGGAGTCAACGGCGTACCCGTACCCGGACGCGCAGGAACCAGGCCCAGGATGCCACGCGGGTCACGACTGATGAAGCATGTTGGCCAGTGCAACTAACTTGGAGCTGGAGGACGACAACGACGAGCCCCAAACTCTAGACATCATTACTGATGGCAGCTGGAAATTAGTTGCACAGGAACCCCCCAGGGCCAAGAAAGCAGTAATCTTTGTGGGCAACCTAGGTACAAACTGCACTGAAGAGAGCATCAAAACCTTCGTGAAGCGGCGCGCTGCGGCAGTGGGATCTACGGCCAGTGTTCATAACGGCAGCATCCATACAACGCAGACAGGAAGGGTGTCAGCTAGGATTTGTATAGATGCCACAGACCCGAGCCTCGTGACAACTCCAGACTTCTGGCCAAACACCCTGTCAGCGCTGCAAGACACGGCTAAGCACAATCGTTAATGGACAGAAATCTACTCAATTCCAGATCAAAGCTGGGGTACCCCAAGGCAGCATCCTGGGACCCACGTTGTTCCTAATGTATGTCAATTATGTTGAGACCTGTCTCTCCCCATCGCTTTGAGCCAACAAAGTCGCAGCTACTACATATTGGCCACCACTGCAACCCCTGGCCACTCCCAGACCTAACATTCGGAGCCCATGATATTCCCTGTGAGGACGAGCTGAAGCTCCTGTGAGTGACCTTCGACAGCAAACTCACCGTCAGCCGCCATCTCCCCAAAGTTACTACTCTTCGTGCTATAGCCCGGCTAGGATTTCTACGTCGTGCACCAAATTATCTTGGTCATGAAGGACGCTTGACGATGTACAGAGGCTTTGTACGCCCTGTACTCGAATACGCACCACTGGTATGGATGGGCGCAGCCAACTCCCACTTGCAAAGTCTCGACCGAGTACAGTGGAAGGCCCTTGCTAACATTGGTCCTGACGCCTTGCTGCAGAGCCTAGCTGCCCGCCGTCGAGTGTATGCTCTAACGTACATGTACACGCTGATATGCCTGCAGGACCATCCAGACCTCTGTGCGCTTGTGCTGCCTCGCCAGGAAGCTAGCCTCGTACCACGGACAAGATCGCAGCTCCGTGTCCCCAATCAGCATCAGCTACAAACAGTGCCCTACGGCCCCCAACTTTCTCCAGTGTTCGTTCCCATATGGAGTGTGAATGAAGGGAACAGGCTGCCGCAAGACATGTTCCCGGAACCGATGCCCAAGCCGAAGTCTCTCCAATCCTTCAAGACGAAGGTCCACCGTCACTTGCGTCAAACTAATTAGCTCTGGGCAGCGGACTCCCTGTGAGGCCAAGCCACCCGTCAATGAGCAACTACCCTCGTCCAACATCTCTTTCTTGTGCCCCCCCCCCCCCCTCTCTCTCTCTCTCTCACTTTCCTCACTTGATCTCCCTCCCTCCCTAGCTGCATTCTTATCGATGCCTGGTCGTAGGCTATGATTCGGAGACCTCCGGTCGGATGAGCCTCGCCAACCACACCAGCACATCGTCCCTAATCCCCTTTGTCATGTTGTTCAGTGTCACTTCAGTTGTCCTCTTTCCCTGATTATTAGTAGGGCTGTGTTTGCTAGTAAAATTTAAATGAAAAATAAAAACTGATGTAGCACCATTGGTCTAAACAGTCAGTGAGGGGCCATCCGTAAATATCGATATATATTTAGAAACGAAAACTAGTCATTTCTCTTCACCCCCCCCCCCCCCCTCCTTGAGAAACGAACACATACAAACGGTTATATTATCGATATCGATATTTTTTCTTTTTTCTGGGCGTGCTCATACATGTACATACAAAATGTGCATCGATATTTTTGAGAAACGAACATGCGCTCACCCCCCCCCCCCCTTCCCCCTAAACGACTAGTTTTCGTTTCTAAATAAATATCTATATGATACGGATGGCCCCTAAGATGCGATTTACACGTCGGCAGGATTCATCCCGTGTGTGATGCTGCCAAGGAGATTCAGTCACATGTACTCATATTTTGGTGCGAACGTAACCCGGTATGGTCCCGGTGCTGTGAGGGGGCTGGGGTGTGGAAATGCATACCGTGGCATTCCAAGGACTGTTTCGTACTACAGGTACTGTACGTCGTGCATCCTGCCGTGTGAATCGATTTTCGTTTTTCCTGTGTCACGGCAAGCTGCCGGGATCACATGCTTCAGTTCCCGGCGGGATGCACTGCCGTCGTGTAAATCGCCTCTTAGTTGTCTGCAGCATTTTGCATGCACATGCATAAGGCCACACGTTTTTATTTCTATGTTTCTCGTCACCCGCGCGCATACGATTCAGGACTCTGGAAGAAAAAAAGAAAAAACTGTGCTGCACTGACTGTGCATGTGGGAATAGCACACTCATGCACATGTACATAACGTGGCCTGGCCTGCGCAACACTTGATGCTAGGGCGGCATTTTTGTGCGCAATCTAGCTGCACAGGCACAGATTGTGACAGAAGCTCCTACCACATACTAGTTGCTAACTATGGATGCTATTTTGCATGGTGTATTGGTGGATTTTAGTGTGAACAAAGGTCTAATAAACTTTTTTATTTTTCGGTCATTTTTTATTTTTTATCACCTCTCGCATACGTTTTTAGATTTTCAGGTGACGAGAAACATAGAAATAAAAACGTGTGGCCTAACCTGAAATTTGATGCAAATATATTTAATCCACACACGGTATTGCAGAGACAAAACTGTGCACCCAGCACAGTCCTGGGTTTCTCTACCAACGGTGCTGCACAGCAGCCTACCTATCAACCCAGGAGCAATGGGACTTACTTTGTGTTTTCGTCAAAGAACTGAATACGCCTCATGACCGATGTGTTGTACCTGAGTAAAATGAACACACAATGCACGCCCATCAGATAGCAAAGAGTAAAACAGAGAGGTTCCAGGCTGTCCAAAGAAAGCAAAGAGTAAATAAATACATCTTACAACTTGCACATAAACACATGGTTAGGCAATCAACCCATCAGAAAACCCAATAGAAAAGAAGAGCAATGCATTTGTGCTCAAACTGAACAACATACCAGTCAGCCAGGACCATAAGGGACAAGCCGTTGTGCTGTACGTCATTCCGCAGCTTGGCAATCTCTTCCTGGAAGAACTCCTCCTCCGGGTCTACGATCATGAGCGCACCTGTCACAGGATGAGAGAGGTCATTCCAAAGGAGAACAATCAACGTGAGCGGTTGCTTCTGCAGCTGCTATGCGTACAGAGTAGAAACAGCCACACAGTCTAAGGTACTGCACGAAGCCCAACATACCACCATCAGCATCCTTACTGTTGGGCTTGGGATAGTCCATACATGTATAAAAGCATGGCTGAAAACGCAAAGTGCACCACAATACGGTAAATCATCAGTGCCTTCAAGGGGCCAGGTCACTCACCATACTGGGAGGCATCGAAGCAAGTAAACGGTGCACCTATCCAGAGTGAATAGAAGAAGAAAGACACATCCAGAATGGGCTTAGTTATCGCATCACTGCTACTTCAAAACAAATGTTATTTTATCCAGCAAAAGATCTCCAGAGAGCAATGAAGGTACATGAAGGTACATATCACAGCAGTACACTCATACACAAAGCCTGTGCAACCAGTATGTGCACCACTAGCATTTGTGTCAGCGATAGGCCCTCCAGCAAATGTAAGGTAATCTGCCCGCACGACCTCGAGAAAAATTGACAGTGAAGATAGTATTGAGCATACCCGCCGGAAGGGATCTCGGAGTAACATACGGACAAGTGTCAAGTGTCACCAAAACCATCAACCCAGATCGCAGAATGCAACTAAGTTACTTGCAACCTACCGAGAACTTCAATGTAATAACCATTTGTGCGCAGATGTTCATAGAGAGGCCTGAAGTTTGTGTGTATATGATCACCATTCCTTCAACAAAAGAAAGCAACACGATTATAGTGTTAGAAACAAGCATTGGAAATTCACCACCCAGACAACATAGGAAAACAGCAAAAATAATCAATGAAAGAGAGAATTTAACCAATTTATCGCAGCTACAAAAGACAGTGAATTGGTTTTATTCAGACAGGTGGGCAGAGTGTTTTCGATGCACGCATCTACTAGTAAAAGGCAATGCTGCCATGCAGTCACAGCACAGCAAGCAATGTACATTTCTTGCAATCATGATTTTCTCACCAGTCCAAAGGGTCCGTCTTCATGCGTAGATTATCTCGTGGAAAGTAGCCAGGTGGATATCCCAGGTTGTGGTATTGGTCCCAAAGCAGACGTTTGCTGTATTGACACAGGTGAAGACAGACACGAAGCAACACAATGAACAGGGCTGCTCAGCATACTCACAATCACTCATTGTACAAAACATCAACAACCGCATGGCACAGCTCACTATCGATGTATATGTAGGACCTACTGGCATGGAATGGAATTGCTCTGTAGGCACTTACTGCCTTGGAGGCGTAGGTATAAGGCGCACTTTGATGGGTAGTGTAGCATTGGATATCATGCTACCACCAGTAGATTCCTAAATGCGACAAGCAAGAGAGAGAGAGAGAGAGAGAGAGAGAGAGAGAGAGAGAGAGAGAGAGAGAGAGAGAGAGAGAGAGAGAGAGAGAGAGAGAGAGAGAGAGAGAGAGAGAGAGAGAGAGAGAGAGAGAGAGAGAGAGAGAGAGAGAGAGAGAAAGAGAGAGAGGTCACGGCCAGCGGAGTTATGACACGTCCACCTCTGATTTGAAGCACAAAATAAAATAAAATAAAATGAATGATTGAGTAGCACAACATGGAATCAACATCATTCGATCTACCACACATGCCGAAACGTCTTGGTTTCATAATGGAGTTCTTTCAAGCTGGAAGCTCTACTCACCACTGTGTCCGATATGACAGTAACAACTACATATCCCTCTGCAGTGCCTTCAAAGTTAGCTGCTTCCGGACGTGCAGCAATGGATACAGCCAAATAGCCAGCCCACGGCCACAACACAGGAGCCCAATCCAGAGAGACCTGCACAAATAAAGCAGCATCCATACCAAATAGGCAAAACAGTAATACATGACATCAACGTATAATGTGTACTGTGCACATGCAGCAATAGAGAAAACAAGGGGCTTTCACAGATAGCAATATGTTTTCAAAATGAAACTTTGTACAGTGGGGGTGGTGGTAGTGGGTGTTGAAGCGCTCTTCACTGCTGAGTTGGATATTACTGATGTCCTCTAGAAAAAATTGACACAAGGGTCAGCATACGACTGTGTTCGTTAGTGAGGGGGGGGGGGGGGGGGTATGAGAAGTTACTTCTAGTCGCAAATAGGCCCATGCAAGCCAGAGTCACTGAGTCTTTGTTGAACCTCTGCTCAAACATGCATCATTAAGCGTTCTAAGTTAAAAATAAGCAATAACATTGCTACTTGCCTTGATCAGGTCGCCATTAGCCAATGATAGCGGATGCCATCTCGGCTAAACACAAGTGACAACAGTCCAAAAATAACCTCAATCAATAGAACATCATCAGAGATTACCAACAACATACATGGAACACCAGTATTGCTCTTGGTATCACAAGAAATAAAGCTCGCCGCTTTCATAGGAGGTGCCACGACTCTGCGTCAACGTGACCATAAGTGTGACGGATAGATTGTGTACAACCTAGCCTCAACATGGCCTCAAGTTGTCAACCTAGCTTACCTAGCCTGAATGAAGTGGGCTAAATTTCATGTATAACCTGGCCTGAAGTTGGCTAAATTTCATGTATAACCTGGCCTGAAGTTGGCTAAATCTCATGTATAACCTGGCCTGAAGTTGGCTAAATTTCATGTATAACCTGGTCTGAAGTTGGCTAAATTTCATGTATAACCCTGCCAGAAATTGGCTAAATTTCATGTATAATCTGGCCAGAAGTTGGCTAAATTTCAGGTATAACCTGGCCAGAAGTTGGCTAAAATTTCATGTATAACCTGGCCAGTAGGCTAAATTTCATGTATAACCTGGCCAGTAGGCTAAATTTCATGTATAACCTGGCCAGAAGTTGGCTAAATACATGTATAACCTGGCCTGAAGTTTGCTAAATTCGTTCTGCCAGGACAGACCCGACAAACTGGAGTTGCACACTCTTGGGCGGCAGTTGGGGTCATGCACTCTTGCTATCAGCCACTACAATTGTCAAGGACAGGAGTCGTTGGGTGTGAAGTGATACAGCCTACTACAGGCAAGGCAGACCGAACAAACCTGGCCAAGAAACCTTCCTGAAACAGCCATGCCGTTCAACACCGTGACCTGAAAATAACACAAACACACAGCAAGCAAGCAATTAGTACAGCAAAGAGGGGACTGTATAAAACAGTAATTAATTATATCTGTGATGGTGGACTAAAAATGCCCCCCCCCCCCCACACACACACGCACACACACAAACAAGTAAACACTCATTTTTTGATTGAAAACAACAGCAGACATGGAACAGCAACTCACATTGACTGTCATTGGCTGTGCTCCCACATACAGAGGCTGAGAACAGAATGGCCACATGTACGGGCATTCAGTCTGGTCGACGTAGCTGGGACTAAGCCTGTAATCACACAGTAGAACACAGTCATCATGTCACTATACCACAAGACGTTAACACACAATGTACATACATGGGTCACGACTCACAAGTAATACGCGCGTTGTAACGAGTAGATAACCAACTAACCGGGTGTGTAGAACTCTGTGACTCGTGTCATATAGCTCTGCTACCGTGAGCATGCTCAGCTTAGCACACTCTATCATACCAGAGGACTCCGCTCTCTCGATGTACACACACGTATAACACGGTTTCAGAACAAGAAGTAGAGGACTCCTACAATGATTTCACCGGCACCTCAGAGCTAAGCCAGGTTGGCGTCCACAAGGGCTCGTTATAAGATGAGTACAGTGCGTGAGTGCTTCAGTATTCTGCACCTGGATCTACGAGAGATTGCAGCGTGCACGCGCAACTCATGAGGCAGGTCAATGTAAATGGGCCTGGCATTGTGAGAGATCTACACCAACATAACAGATATCTGCTGTTAAACACAAATGAGGGAGGGGGGGGGGGGGGGGGTGAAATGGTTTGAAATCTACAAAAGTGCATTGGAGGGGACCTTCACAAAAATAATTATTTATTCATTTACCTAGACCTCACCTAATCGCATGAACATTGTCCAGCCAATAATGAATAGGAGGGTGATAAGGCAACCAAGGTAAGAAAAAATGAACACAAGGACAATGAGATGTTTGGGTACTCTCTGCTGGGATTTACGTACGATATGTGCGGCTTGTACTTGATCAAGAATTGATATGCCTTCCACAGGTCTAGCTTTCCAGCACCTGTTAGACACAGAGAAGAAGCGAATGAGAGAGACAAACACGTTTCAATATGGTACATTTTGAAACAAAGATCAATCTCCGTTCTGAAATCACTTCCTGGTCATGGTTGCACTGAATGGATCATGGATTAAAGCAAGTACTATTTCAGCATCTCCAAACACAATGCACACAAGATGCTGGAGCTTAATTTCATCAGCCCAGGTCCATCAAAAGCTGAAATAACTACGCCTTACCCTGCTCGAAGAGATTAGCATCAGCTACACGACTGGCAGTGGACATGATAGCTTGTTTCATGCTGGCTGGGTTGAGAATACCAGGTTGATCCACTACGGCACTGCACCATAGGAAGATACACACACACACATGCACGCACGCACGTGCACACACACACACACACACACACACACACACACACACACACACACACGTGTGCATGCGCACTGATTCTCTGTTGTTGTTCATCTCTTCCTCAGTTGTCGTTTTGTTCTCCTTGTGTTTACATCTACATTGTATGTTGATAAAGATACTGAAACCCAACAGTGTTATTAGGCGATTGCTAAGTACAGCAGATGGTGTACCGTACACCATACTCACCATCCAAAATGGTGATGTACCACAGTTCTGGCTTGCTCTGCACTTTTGAACAGCTATAGGTCTGACCTAATGGCTAGGGTTGCTTCAATGTTCGCCACGAATCCCATTTTTGTTCTCTTTGGGAAAAAGAGTACTAAGCAAGGAAAATACAAAAAATGCAATAATAGAAAAAAGACTTTTAAAAATGATGTCTGGAACTCCCAAGTAAAACAAAATCATGTCAAGCACATGATTATACACAGCACATTGTGCTATCCCTTACCTTGCTAGAAGTGTGACAGCTCCTGCCACCACCGGAGAAGCAACACTAGTCCCTGACAAAGACCGGCAGCCGCCCCTAACAGCAAAGATAACACACGAAATACCGCTTTCTTACATGACACGTGATCGTTGCCGGGGCCATGGCCAATAGGCGATCTTCCCGCCGCGGGCATAATCAGGCCATCAGGACCGTTTGACGTCATTTCGGGAGTTTCAGGACCATTTGATGTCATTTCGGGAATGTTAGGACCGTTTGACGTCATCTCGGGAATAATTTTTTGACCTTTCGACCTTTGACCTTCCCTAATATGTTGCTTCGCGCTGTAAGAAATCAAATCAAGCACGCTCTGTCTGTCATGATGGCTGAATGAATCTTGCCCTTGCCTGCAGCCCTCGGGCCTACGGCCCTTGGGCTGCAGGCTCGGGCAAGATTCAGCCATCATGACCTCCTGAGCGTGCTTGATTACATACGTTTTAAAAAATGAAGTACATTGCGCATTCTATACAGTTGTTGGCCCGTGTGAACATATTCATATGCCACTACTAACATGAGGATGGCCTCACATAGGCAAACACATGCATACATGCACATACGTGCACACACGTGCACACACGTGCACATACTTGTACACATACACACACACACGCACGCACGCACGCACACACACACCACACACACACACACACAGATCATACTACGCTGCAACTAACTTGAGATTGGAACCTCGAACTTCTGTTCCGTACGTGACGATATCTGGCTTAACGCGACCATAGCCAGCAGGTAATTCCTGAGCAGGACAAGGAGAAATGCATTGTAGGCAGGACAAGGAGAAATGCATTGTAGACAGGACAAAGGCAGCTCCATGAGAAGTACATTCACTCCAAAAAGTAGTACCATCACCTGAACTCAGCTCAGCAACACACAACACCCACCAACGTCACCATACACATTCTCATATCACACACATTCGGACATCATACACATCCACATATCGCACACATAATCATTCGCATATCACCCACATTCCCATATCATACACATTCGCTTATCACACACATTCGGACATCACACACATCCGTATATCATACCACATCACACACATTTGAACATCACGAGAATGTAGCATTACTGAGCCATACCCATGTGGTCATTCCACGTGATGAGAACTTGGCAATGCTGCCATCCTGGGTTAGGCCACCCACACCTATCACATCCATCTGATCTGCTGGATTGTTTAGAGTGCTGGAGAGGAGGCACAGGTGACATACAATCACTTTACTTCAACACATGTACATGTACGTGTATAACGGCATATGCTACATGGACATAGTATGCAAGGATAAAGATGAACGAATGGTGGACAGGCTATACAGGGCTGCTTGGAAAGTGGTACAGTGGAAGCACAGCGTAATAGCTATTACTGTACAGGGGCGTCGGACACGCTCCGGTCACTACGGTATTGACCGTACCACTATTTTCCCCAGTTACCCGCGAATCAATAAAATGCCTTGATTTGGGCTCTAATTTTTCAGAATTTTCAGCAAAATTCACAGCAGAGCCTGTGCCCCTCCCTCCACCTCAGATGGCTGACCGTACCATCCTAAAATACCTTCCCAAGCCCCTGCTGTACAGCCATTTGAAATGGAACACACACAACCAGTACATGTACTGTACACTAGCACTCACCCATACAGTGGGCCGTCATTGCCAATGGCTGACACGAGTATGACGTTATTGGCTGTAAGCTCCCAGACCTACACACGGCACAACACGGCACAACACAGCATGACACACATGATAATACGCATACCTACTTTCTCCGGTTCAACAAAATTGTCGCAGCTCTATGAGCAAATATTATACGAACTGCGAGTCACAATTTTAATGAACCAGAGTAAGCACACAAGATGGAGGTACACCATTGACTACTTCAAAGTAACATTACCATTTGCATGACCTGCCAGGTGCTCTAGAAGCTAAACCACCATACATGCAAAGCAAACACTTTTTCAAGCACTACCTGTAGTATCTCTGGCTACTATATCTGAAGTATGCATATCTGATAACAGTGTAGCTGTTCGTATACTATAGTAAACAACATTAACTATATAAATTTAACTTCATTGGCAATGAAAACACTGTCTCTACCAGAGTAATGCATGAAATGAAATGAGTGCAAACATCGATAAGTACCTTGTCAACAAACGGCTGGTCCATAAAGTCTGGACCACCAATGCTGAGGTTCAGCACATGTATCTTCTTCAGGATGGCGTAGTTGAAAGCGTCCAAAAACCAGGAAGTGTAAGAAACCTGCCAAGCAGCACAACATCATGACATGCACATTGAGTGCCTTAGTACAAGTCTTGGGAAACCGTGTTATCTAGTTTGCAGGTACGGAGGGCGAGTGCCTGTGGGGTACCATCAAAATAGATCCTTGACAAACAATGTACATGTCCACTCCAGCAGATCGTGAAGCGACTGGAGGCATGCTTGTTTCTTCGTTTTTATTTAACTTCACCAGATACACAGCCATTTCTGCCTTCTCTTCTTCTTTAACTTCACCAGATACACAGGCATTCCTGCCTTCTCATCTAACCATGCGACTAGGCTCTCAATAAAAGATAAAGAATACTGACGTAGCAGACACAGGCAACAATACACGGTCGTCTTTGTCGCACACCTCATTGTCTTTCAACGCACACACTTACTTGATTGTTTGTGAAGACACGGAATATGTACAGGTCAGCGTTCTGAGCAAATCCAAAGCATTCCCGTGAACTGCTGATGACTCCGGCCACAAACGTACCATGTCCAACACCTGCGCATGGGAAAAAATCACATGGCTCACAAGCTACCTATAACCAACTACATAAGACTTATATGTCGTGTATCAGTCATATCAAGTCGTCCCCTCATTACCCGCAGTCGAACGGACATGCGGAAGCAGCCGCGAAGGTAATGAAGTACCTGCTAGAAAAAAACTACCAATGGTGGTAATCTCGACACCGATGCTTTTCAGCGCGGCCTCCTTGAGTGGCGAAAACACTCCTGGTGCTTCTGGGAAGAGTCCCGCTCAGTTGCTATATGGCCACCCGCTTGCATTCTTTGTTCTAGCCAAATGGAGCCAGTTTGACTCTCACTGGAAAGACATGGATGATGTCAATCCAGTTGCAGACCCGGCACCCAGTCAGCCTCACCGGGAACTTTCCCGTTTGTCCATCGGCATGCACGTCGACATCCAGCATCCGAAGACCAAACATTGGTCATCCCATGGTCTAGTGATAGCTATCAGTGAACATCGTGACTACTACGTGAAGCTCCCTAATGGACGTGTATATTGGCGCAACCGTCGCTACCTCCGCCCATACCATCCTCCTACTCAGCCATGCTTACGTCTACTCCAGTACCTGATGCTGCACCATAAGCAGTCACTGTGACTCTGCCGTCGCCACAGTCACAGCCAGCTAATCAGATGCCAAACAGAATCGAGTAACTTTGGCGTGTAGGAGGTTCTGCCTCTCAAAGAACCTATTTGTATTCAAATTAGACCTCCCACATCTCCATTATGAATACTGTGAATGTAGACGTGGCAGCTCAAGCAAAGGTCGGGTATACCACGTCGTCTTATTGTGTCTTGTATTAAGCAAAAAGGAACATTTCGCAGTGCAAAAGTTGTTGAAACAGCCGTATATCTGGCTGTTATTATGTTCAATGACTTGATTTTATGAACGATTAGTAGGACTTGCTAAGCGGTGTATACGGAAATCACTAGGAAGAACTATGTTAACATTAGTGCAGCTCCAAACTGTCGTGAAGGAGATTGAAGCTATCCTGAATACTCGCCCACTTCTATACGTCGATGATGATGTAAACAACCATGTCTTAACGCCAGCAAACATTCTTCGCCAGTCTACATTACTTGGACTACCAGAGCTAACAGAAGCAGTACAGGATAACTACGGTAAAGTGTCGTCCAGAGAAGAGCTACTTGTAAAGTGGAAAACTGGACAGAGACAAGTGGAAAACTGGACAGAGACACTTAGAGCTATTCTGGAAAGTCTGGGAAGAAGAATATCTCACTAACGTCAAAGAACACTCGCAGCAACACATCAGTCAGCCGAAGATCGTCAGCCATTTCGAGCCCAGAGTCAATGCAGTAGTAATAGTGAAAGAAGAGAACTTGGGAAGAGGCGAATGGCGAATGGGCAAGATGTAGGTAATCAAGCACGCTCAGGAGGTCATGATGGCTGAATCTTGCCCGAGCCTGCAGCCCAAGGGCCGTAGGCCCGAGGGCTGCAGGCAAGGGCAAGATTCAGCCATTATGACAGACAGAGCGTGCTTCATTTGATTTCTTACATCGCGAAGCAACATATTAGGGAAGGTCAAAGGTCGAAAAATTATTCCCCGAAATGACGTCAAACGGTCCTAACATTCCCGAAATGACGTCAAACGGTCCTGAAACTCCCGAAATGACGTCAAACGGTCCTGATGGCCTGATTATGCCCGCGGCGGGAAGATCGCCTATTGGCCATGGCCCCGGCAACGATCACGTGTCATGTAAGAAAGTCAAATTAGTCAAGAGCAATGATGGCCAGCAGCGCACAGCTAGCGTAAGACTTGCAAGTGGAAAGCAAATCACTCGTCCGTTAGCACTTCCATACCCTACGAGTGTGGGTCAAAACGTTCATTCAACGGGTCTGTAGGCCCCTGTGGCTTGAGTGTGTACTGGAGAAGATGGGTTGCGGAACCGGAACATTCATTGCTTCAGCTTTGGCTCAACTTGACAGGCAGAAGACCTATCACAGGTCCAGGAAGTCCTCGTGATGAGCAAAAATCCAGGAAGGTCAGGCGAGCAGAGAAGGGGTTACGGTTCCTAAATTATGAGCATAGAAGTTTACGTGTATGGCCTCTAGACTGATATTGGTGAGCTGCACTTTTCGAAAAAAAATTATCTCGCCAGCGACCAGCTGAAAGCTGACGCGATGAAGACGATCACCACGTAGCTGTGCGCATTGGGTGCAATGTTGGTGGAGAAATATGCATGTTCGGCCAACTTGCCAGGATTTCCCCAAATCCCTAACAGTTTACAATTGTCTTGGTAAACTTTCCAAGTACAGATCATAATACACGTGCATGCCATTTTCAGCTCCCTACTAACTCACCTGGACGCAATGACACATTTCTCAGACGCAATTCAATTACCCCTACCCCTACACCTATTTGGGTTCCCAGCGGCTTTAGTGGGTCCACTTGTGTTATAGATACTTCAGTACCTCCTGCCAAGCGAGTTGGCCCTGCTATGAATTGAATTATTTGTTACTCTTTTCCTCACTCCGAGGATTCTTGTAAAAGATGAAACCGGTCAGTCAAACAAAACTGAGCAACGTTGGTGTGTAGGAGGTTCTGCCTGTCAAAGAACCGGTGTGTAACCATGCCTAGAACATGATAACATGAATTCTTGACTGTATGAGACAAGGACCGGTACGTTATCAGCACTGATCTCCTTACCATCATCCAGGGTCTGTTCGGATGTCCAGTTGGTTCGGTCTCGAATGTGTTGGAAATGTGGATGACTCTCTGCCAGGCCAGTATCAAACACGGCCACACGAACTCCTGCACCTACAACATACACACACACATACAATAAGCAGAAACAGAGATAGCAGCCAGACTTTCAAGCTTCGTGTCCTGATTTTTACTGGATACGGAAAGGACTTGTGGAATTAAATTTGTATCATTTTGTATACCACAAAGTCCCCCAATAGATATACTTCATACACAAGCCTCCCCACTAAGAGCACAGTCATGCTCAAACCCAAATCCCCACTGCGCGATTTCCAAACCTCCACATTAGATACATTTCTTACACAAACCCAAACCTCCCCACATACTCATAGCCACATCATTAATGCATGGCTTTCTGTGTACACAAGATTGTATTTGGCAGCGCGATTAGTGTCTCTGGTGCACTATTTCATGGGTACTATTTTCTCACGAAGTCCATCACAGATGGGGCAATATTCATGAGAGAGCACTATTCAACTCAACAGAAACGGCAACAAGGTCTGCAATTTCGATCCTGAAACCACCAGTGCAATGGCATGGACAAGAGGAATAGCAAAACAACACCAAGCTTGCATATGTGCATTGTTACAAGCCCAGGTTTGACATTGGAACAAGATTAGATGATGGCCAAAGGGAGAGTACCTGACAAGCCTTTAGCCCAGAGCTCTTCAGCATGTAATGCATTGGTGATCTGTTGTCTTGGAGGCAGGGCAACATTCAACCGGCGATTGGGACCAGAGTTTCTAGGACGGGGCTCCTGCAGGAAGAACAACACAAGCAAGGATGGGACAAAGAGTTAACACATCATACAAGAGTACAAGTAGTAGCTGCGGCTCAATTTGTGAATGAGAACTGGTTGTGACAGAGCTAAATACACACCTGCCTAAACTAGTGGCAGTGAGAGAGCTAAATACACACCTGCCTAAACTAAAGTAGTAATGGCAGTGAATGAGCTAAATACACACCTGCCTAAACTAATGCCAGTGAGGGAGCTAAATACACACATGCCTAAACACACTCTGTGGGATGTCAGATGCCATTATGGCACAAAGTAGCAGTTCCTTTTTTCTTCACCAGTACCTCCAATAATGTAGATACTAGTACCTAGTTGATGTGTAGGTGATGATCAAATTGATACCAGGTGAGTTTGCGCCAGGGCATATTCACGGAAACAGTTATGTCTTGGCTAGATTGCAAACTACGAGTACACAGCCACACAATATCAGCATTGACACCAACATAGGGCACAAGGATATGTGTCGGTACGTAGGCGTGATTACGCCACTTTCCTTCTGGCAACTCGGCGACCGAAGGATGAGATGGCTCGTTGTCGGAAAGTTTAACACCATTGTACGTGAGAATCTGACAAGAGAGCATTTGTGCGAGATCCGATGACAGCAACATTTCCACTGACTTGGAACCCAGCAGAAATGAACTGCAACTGACCTAAAAAAAGATCACGGTTCACGTAAGACTGGGCTGGAGGCAAGGCAACCAAATGGCAATAATAGGGGAAAGATTTCTTCAAAAACACACACACAACTTACATTGGGTTTGTTTACATGACGCGGCTGTCTCGACATCCATCTAGTTCTCCATGGATCGGCATCACCTGCAGCAGCTGGCTCACCACACACGCACACGCACACACACACACACACACACATGCACACATCCCGGTCAGTGTCTTGTGAGCGGATCAACAGGGTGTAGCAAGTATTTTGGGAGTTTTCTCCCGGGACACAAATGCAACAAAAAAAAAAAAATTCACGGTTCGTATGAGACTCGGCTGGAAACCGAGTTTTCCGCATCCGTAGGAACGCCACCACCCTTCAAGGATCAAGGCGCAGATGCAGCTCCTAAATCGCAACAAGCGCTATTCTATTCACTGATTACTTGTTGCAGAAAGAAGAAGAAAACACACGATCGCTCAAATGAAAAAGAAAACCTTATGCACAATGGGTGTTCCACTGCTGTGGAAGAATCATGTGACGCATAGGAGATGGCATCAGCACACCTGAGCCTCAAGCTTATGCTGCACGTGTAGAGTCTAGGACACCGGGTGGTCTCAATCACATCACCGCCAAACATGAGCACTGCCCCATGTGACAGTGACCTCCAGAGAGTCACCCATGTTGCTTTACTTGTGCATTAGATGGATATACCGTATTTTCCAATTATAAATCGACCTTTTTTACGACATAAAGGCCGAATTAAACAAGAGGCAATCGATTTGTACACGGAGTTGAACCGCTATTGATATCAAACTGGGAAATCGAGGCCCCAAGTACCGGGGGTTGACTTTCAACCGGGGGGGGGGGGGGATTTAAAATACTCTGTTGTTTACTAGATTTCATTGCGACCAGCAGTCCAGCCAGTCACTCTGAGCCCCGCTGACGACGACACCCAAGAAAGCCGCAACAGCTAGCCGTCCAGAAATTGAGTAGACAGACACATTATGGGAAAGTGTGCGAGCTGACAACCTCATTCTCGTCACTCTGAAAATATCGAACGCCGGTTTCATGTCGATTTGAACAACGTTTTGGCAGCTTTTGCCACCATCAGTCGACCTCGTGAGCGAGCCAGGCGACATGTACCTGAATACATGCATGTGCACTCAACAACAACAACAACAACAACAACAACAACAACAACAACAACAACAACAACAACAACAACAACAACAACAACAACAACAACAACAACAACAACAACAACAACAACAACAACAACAACAACAACAACAACAACAACAACAACAACAACAACAACAACAACAACAACAACAACAACAACAACAACAACAACAACAACAACAACAACAACAACAACAACAACAACAACAACAACAACAACAACAACAACAACAACAACAACAACAACAACAACAACAACAACAACAACAAAAACAACAAAAACAACAACAACAACAACAACAACAACAACAACAACAACAACAACAACAACAACAACAACAACAACAACAACAACAACAACAACAACAACAACAACAACTACAACAACAACAACAACACAAACATGACCAACCTGGTGATACAGATGAGAGTGTTCGGGTGATTTTCTTTTCAGAAACGGCACTCTTCACTAGTCTATGACCTTGCACGGCAGCTATGGCAGGTTCACAGCTGCCATTGATCTACAAAACAGAGGCGAAAGAGAAAGTACAAAGAAACAAATGCACACATTGAGCACAGCAAGAAAAACAAAACATGAGCATTAGAGAGGTTCTGCACAACGAAAATGCGAACGAAGTTTCGCGACAGGCCTTGCGAAAATGTGTACGAATTTTCACACGAACTTTGTGTTCTGCACATTTTCGTAGTTTGCATGCGCCAAGTGCACGTACGCCATGATCCGATCTCACGAAACTTCCTACGAAAGTTCATTTCGCGTTCCCTGAAAGTTTCGCGTCCAACGTTGCGAAAGTTCGTGCGAAGTTTCTCACTTTGTGACGTAGAGCGAAAGTTCGTACACATTTTCGTTTTGCAGAACCTCTCTATTATGATCATTAGAACCTACATATAAATTATTACCGCATGCGCAAAACCATTTACGGAACTGTTAACGAAATTTGGCTCTTTCACTAACCACGGCAGCCAAGGTCCGGGTATTCCTCGACCCTGGATCACAAAGATCATCCGACTTGGTCCAGGCCTTTCAACCAGAGCGAGTCGGTTCGTAGTGAATCCAAGTCAAGGCATTTAGAGGTCAGCCATCACGCAAGGATATGGCCGGCTATTCTGTTAGCCTTATATGTCCTAACAAGACGGAGGAAATTGCCGTTTAGGAGAAGCCGTCCCTACAACTAGAGGTCGAACGAGCGAGCATTACATCGTACTTGCAAGACGATTGATACATGGAGGAGTCATGGTTACAATCTAAGCGACCAACCAATGGAAGGTACTGCTGCTGAAGTCCATTTATTGATCGGAGATGATCACAGAAATGAGCTCCAGCGAGCATTACATCGTACTTGCAAGACGATCGATACATGGAGGAGTCGTGATTACAATCTAAGCGACCAACCAATGGAAGGTACTGCTGCTGAAGTCCATTTATTGATCGGAGATGATCACAGACAGGAGCTCCTATGTGTAGGTCAGAACCCAGTGGTTGATGGTGAGACGTGAAATAGAATTGATGACATCAATACGTTCGATTTGCTTGCACTTGAGAATGGACTGTAATTCTTACCTTCGTCATATAAGTCCATTTTGCTCTATCGTTTATTCTTAGTAACTTCTACTTGCCGTGCATTTCGCATTTTCATGCCTGCGTGGATCTGCTATCTGCGCTCCTGTTTTTAGGGCTGCGTGCAGCCGCGTTTGTGTTCTAGTGTGTTGACACGTGGGGGAACTTGGGCCAGTGGAGATTCGTCAACAGACGGCATGGGATGCAGAAATCGGCAAGTCTGACCGGCGTCCAGCAGAGATTACGCACAGGCTACGGCAACAGCCACCAAGCTGTAGGAGCAACTGAGTGGCAACGGCAAGAGGCAGCTGTATGATGATGTGCTCACAAGGGAGTACAGGGATCTGGGAGCTTTCGAAAGAGAGCCGACCCCCCCCCCCCCCCCCCCACACACACACAAACACATACCCCGTTCCCATTCTGTAACGATGTGCTACAATACAGAGCATAGAGAGGACCCTACTACAGTGCTGCTCAGTGAAATCCAATCGTGCGAGTCAAGTTTACGCCCTGCGCCAGTACACATCCCAGTGTTCACAGGTCTAGGGCTAGTACTTGAGTAACGACGTGTTTGGATTTCATTGAGCAGCACAGTACTTGCACAGTACTTGTACTTGTAGTAGAAAGGGGTAGAGTAACACCTGTGTTTGCCAGACCCTGCACCAAACGGAATCCAGTATTGATCGGACAATTTGTTTCGTGCACCAAAATACTGTGGATCGAACGCGCATCCCTGGATCAAGCAGAATTCTGTCATATCAGGACACTTTCCGCTGCAAATAAATAAATACAGTGCTGGCCAAAAGAAATCCAACCTCATGAATAAAATAGCGCCGGGCGCTGCGCAGCCCTAGCACTACACCCACTGGTTCGTGCACTCTAACGTGCCGCCACTTTATTCATGAGGTTGGATTTCTTTGGCCAGCACTGTACATGTACTTGCAGTATCAACCAGTAGCAAGGGAACAGAGATGAGAACTGGGACCGCGGTACCCTACCTTTACGACAGCAAAGTCAGTCGGGTGTTGTGCGACTAACGCGCTGCGCTCGCCAAACTCCCAATCCGAAATGCCAGCCGAAATCAAGCGATGTTGAACGTATTGATGAAGCACACGGAGTCGATAGTACCCCTTGAACGATACTATGAATTCTAAAAACAAGAAAAACATACCACGGAAGAACACAAGTTGCTACAAAGAAGACATCAACTGGAAGCTTGTGAGGTTGTCAATGTGGTGTGCTATTCAATTTATCCATGCAGTAACCGAACAGCTCAACTCAGCTACACAATAATACTGATGGTTAACGGACAACCATGCGTAGGATTGATGGATACAGGTGTGACCAGGACTATCCTAACGAATAACGTCGTACAGCAATCTCGTCCGCATAACCGTATGTTGAAGGCATGTAATTTATAACTTATTACGGCGAGGAGATCGATACAGTGGGTAAGGTGGATGTCAACATTGCAGTCGGGGATCAGACGATGTTGTGCTCCTGATTTATTGTCCCCAGCAGCACACGGCAAGTGTTGTGTGGCCAGGATGTAATTTCCTAACTTTAACTCTTGATGGCTACGTACTTGGTTGACACTCAAACCCGGGACCTTGCTTGTCATGAGCAATGCTCTAACCATCTGAGCTATGAGACCAGACCAAACCTAGAAGACGCTCACAAGTTTTTCACATCAAAGGCAGCCCACAACATGTTCATAGAAAAGAAAAAGGACCAAGGAACTGCAAGTTACGCTATCCTTTTTTCTTTTCTATAAATTTATCCTTGGCCCTCCATCCGAGTCCATTCTTGCACAACACGTTTCTTTGACAACGTTTACCTATGATGATCCACAATGCACATGTTAACATCTACGGTCGTGGACATGGAAATCCGGTCGGAGGTCAAGCGGCCCCAGGGCGCTGGCCAGACAGCCGGGAGTACGCATAGTTATAGTACACAATCATATTCATTTATGTGCTGTAGCGCCGGTCGCATCGGATCAACATGCACACTGCATGCAATGTTCTGTATGCACTGAGGGCGCCGGCCTTCAGAAGCTATCATGAACGAAATTCTGTACTACTGAAAACCAACGGATATTCAGCACATAATACACTGCCACGTATGTTTTCGGCTCGGCCTGCGACTTCGCGGCCTAAAACTCGTTGCGGCTGAAATATATATTTGCAAGGACGTACAGTGTGACAGGGTATGCAGACACCAGCGGTATAGGCTGAAATTGTAATGCGGCCGAAACGTATTTCAACCCGTGGAGGCTGAAAATAACACCTGCTGTAAATTTGTAGACTTACATCTAGTCTAGTCATTTTCAGAATCATGACAAAATTCAAAATGCTTTATATATCACATACTGGCATTAGCACCAGAGCAGATGCATTACATTACAAACACATCGCTCATTATGAATATGAGTTTTTCCAACCCATCACAATACCCATAGTCATACTTTACCTCCTGGAATAGTATCAGTACTGAATTCAACGAACAGATCCGACGTCGTCACGTTGTGGCAATGGCCACATCCACCGAGGCACCACTCTTCTCCATGAGCACGGTGGCCAATAAAGGCGCAAAGGGAGACAAGGACATAAAAACGCAGCATGACTACTCATTCACATGACGGCGTAGTCGCTGCAGAACTGATTTGAAGAGAATACTCTGGCCCAGTGGTGGCAATGCTCATAATTCAAAATCCATTTTCAAGATGAGTGGCCACGCAACGTGTAGACTAGTGGAGACACAGAAGTTTGGCATTGTTCTGAGCCAATGTCTATCAAGCAAAGCTAACAAGACTTGTACGTGTAGCGTTCTGCTTCAGCAAGTGACAATAAGTGACAGGATAGCAGGACTGATCTCTCAAAAGCACTTGAGTAAAAAAATATTCCTTGTCAGATATGTCGAACGTGCATTTCGCTTTTTCCCGTACAAATAATGCAAAGCGACTCTTTCATGACGCGCTCGCGCTGTCATGGCAATGATTATAATAATAATAATTATTATTAATTTTAGAATTGGCCAAACGGACCATAACTTCCGAGGCGCCTGTACTTAGCTGTCTATGCAAGTACAGTATACCTGGTATACTGTAGTAATAGTTAGTTTTATGACTTAGGAAGAAACTAATACTTAGTTAGGTGCAGAGAAGAAGTGTTCCCGGATGATAAGTGTCAGTGTTTGTGCAGGTATGGAAATTGCTTATTTGTCTAACATACTGAGGTAGAATATGCTTCAATCCAATGTTATCGGAATAGCCACTTCGTACTTCACTGCATTGTAGTGCAAACCTACTACTGACGCATGGTACAGAATACATGTACTAAATTTTGAAGTTCTGCCGAAAGCGAAGAGTGGCCTGATTCAGGACAGTGAATGTGAACAGTGTTGCCTGTTGGGCCGGGCCTCTCGGACTCAGCCCGATGATACAGATCATGCAAAATCACTAGATTTGCAAACAACCCGGTACACATTCCCAGGTTACTTAGGCAGTGAATCAAAAAATAAATGTGTAATTATCCTGGGCTGACTCAGCTAGATCAGGCTCATGATCTCTTCCGTAGGTGCTTACACCAACCGTATAAGTATAAGAGTTCACTAACTCAGACCTCAGCGGTGACTCAGTTTTCGACTCAGTGATTAACTCCGTGTATCACATGATCATTACTATATAATTATATACAACTTGAACCCCACCGTGAGGCTGCCTACAAAAGCCAACGCGGCACCGTTCCGGGCCAGCAAATAGCATGACTGTAGTGTGACACCATCCCAGCCCAACATCTAGCCAGCACACAGTGTCACGATATGACGATGGTCTTGTACCGATGTGCTACTGATGAATCATAATAATGTGATCACGCGGCAGCACGATAATTCAGTAACATTATGAAATGCAGGAAGTGCCGCAGTGTAGTGTAAGCAACCAAACCGTTGAACTCTGGGCCGCATGATGCCCAGAACGTCACAAAAATCAAACTAGTATAGTAGTAAAGAGAATAGGCTGTGCCCGGCAACACTATGATGACAACCTTGTATCCGCATAGAATAACTATTGTTGATGCAGTCGGCCCGGTACTGCCGCGGCTCGTAAGTGACTAGTTCAAGTCTCCATAGTGGCATTCATTCAATGTGCAGGTGCCATGGTGGATTAGTGGCGTCAAGTGCAAATATTCAGCAAGGCTGCCCAGCGGGTGCCAGCTAAGCGGCAATGGTAGAAGGGATTTAGGTGGGCACATAAGTATGGGTGCTCAATTTAAAACAATAAAAGCAGATATTGGTCAAAAGATAGTCTCTAAACTCTGTAAGGCTCAGTTCAAACATGACAAGACAGTCCAGACGAAACATTCCAATTCTACATCTGAAACAAAAAATACACAGTGCCACATGTGTGCCTAGGGTCGGTCTAGTCAGCCCAGGACCTGAACCCGGCTGAGATGGGGCACCGGGGGTGAGACGGTCTTCCCATGCCGCTCATGCTGGAAATACAGTCACATGGATGTACAAGTGCAACAGCTACAATTACTGGCCATTGTTAAATCAGTCTCGTCTACACGGAACCCGGTGACAGAACCCGGTTTCAAGGCGCATTGAGTGGACAGTACATAGATGCATCGTAAGGTGACACTCCAAGCTACGGTTACCTTTGCTGCAAAGGCGCTCACCAGATTGATAACCCAGGCATGGTAAGGCCACCAAGCATGAACACAGCTGTGACTACGATGACTGCAGGTCGCACAGCGGCAGAGCCACTGCCGGTAGGCCGAGCACTGAGTTGCGGACAGTCGACAGTGCTGGCACTGGAGCATGTATCACACGTTGGGCACTGACAGCAAAGCGGGATCACCTCTGCACTCACGTTGTACAGCCTGGCATTGCTAACGGCCGGAGAGTAGTAGTTGATGGTACGAATGGCGCTCGGCTGCAGATGGCCCACAATCAGGCTTTGCAATATATCAAACGTCAGACATGTGTCCGATGTTCCGATCTCATCCAAGTAGAAGATGACTCTACGATCCGGCGTTTCCACCCGACCGACCATGGGTTCCCTGGACAGTGCTTGGCTGACCGTATCCATGTCAGCATTGAAACCGGACGGCAGGGAAATCTCCAGCAGTGACATACCCGTGTCTGCGTAGGTGGTGGCAGCAGCACGTGTGCAGTACTTGCAAGTAGCGCCGAGTCTCTCGCCTTGCTTCCACAGCGAGCAGTCCGTATCCATAGTGTAGGCATTGACGTCATCGGTGTACAGGTTGTAGAACACCGCAATAGAGAGAACGACCGTGCCGGACCCGGTAGCACTGAGGGCAAGAGTGGACGGTACTGGGAAGTCTTCCGTCTGCTGCAGTACCAATGAATTGACACTGTTCACACTGAACGACTGTGAGAATGCCGATGCACCGCCCTCTGAGGCTATATTGATGTTCATGGTTGGTGGTGTGGCAGAGACCAGCATGGCGAAATCAGCCAGTGCTTGCAAACCAACAACAGTATCCTGTGTGGAGTCGAATCCACCGTATGAGTTGCGTTGGGACGAAAGCCAGCGAGCAACCGCAGAGGCATCGGCAATGCGCTTGTGAAGCACTAGTGCCAGTAGACCGTAGGCCGTCAGTTCCACATCGGCCGACGGGGCGCGGTAGTACGGAGAACGCCATCTCGAAGTCACTGTTTTCTTACGGCTATCTTGCCAACTCAGTGTTCCTCCCGTACGGTCCGCACGTGCCAACAGAAGAGTAAGGGCTTGCGATGCTAGGCTGCTGTCCGACAACTTCAGGGCATAGGCACTCAACGCAAGTGTGTAATTGTCAGTCACAAGACTCAGCTGGCTTCCTAGATACGACTGTGCTGAAGAAATAGCGCTGGTGAGAGAAGCTGAAGGCCGAACCTGAGCATTGCGAGCTTCGATCAAGGCAGTGAGGATGTAGGCCGTGCGGGCAACATCACCTTGTAGGCCACCTTTCAAACCGGAGTGATGCACCATGCCGACTTGCTGGAAAGAGCCAGCGCTGGCCTGCTGTCTTAGGATGAACTGTAGTGACTTGGAGATGACAGTGGGATCCACGTAGATGTATGGCGAGGCCTGTGAGAAGGATTTCACGACGAACGCAGTCAGCCACAGACTGCCGACCTTGTCCCGCTTTCCAAAGGCGCTGAACGAGTAGTCATTGCGCCAATAGCGCAGCTCACGCTGATAGCCGGACATCATGAAGCGCTTGGCCTTGGCAAGTATGCTGCCCGTGGTCATTCTGCTGGCGGTGAGGTAGCGTGTGATGAAGACGTCAGGTGCAAAGGCAATCATGTTCTGCTCACCACAGCCATACGGCATGGTTAAGAGCTTGTCCAGATTGGAAAGTGCTGGCCCCATGATGTCGCCAACGACTGAAATGACCGCCCGCGCTGAGCCAGGAACTAAGCCCTCGGTAGGAAGTGATACGAGCAGTTTCTCTGTCATCGAGCCAGTGTTGGTCAGGTCAATGAATACACCATGCGAGTAGGACTTTGTAACACCTTCTGGCTCAACGAGCAGCTGGCGAATGACACGGTCGGCAGCTAAACCAGCACGGGCTGTGACGGTGATCGGAAGACGACCAGATATGGTCGGTTTGACAATGAACAAGGCTGATTGTGCTTTCCCTGCCAGGACTGTAATAGTCTTGCTAGCTGCTTGTCCAGCGTTGGCACCGGTTACCTTCAGGCTGGGCGTGGAGTCTAATGTGACCAGTGTTTCTTGGCTGGTGTCCAGGTAGTTGAACACATTGACCTGGAGGACAAGCTCCTCGCCTTGTATCACAGAGTACGGCAGGTTGAGCGAGATGAAGAACTCCTGGAAAGCCCGCAGTTTGACAGTTGACGGTGCTACACCCATGCCCTTGCTCGGTGACACAGCGAAGGCGCTTGCCACCCACGATGTGATAGAGTCGGGAACGACTGTCTCAAACTCTGCTGTGCCGCTGGCCGATGCATTCGCAGTGGCCCACAGCCAGGTCTCGGGGAAGAAGTCACGGGTGTGGTCTGGTACGGCAAGTGATTCACCCACTTCCGTCCGAGTGTTTGATGAGCCAGATCCACTGAACGCAGTCTCTTGCACATCCAAACCGAACTGGATATCGCCACCACCTGGGAGATAGTTGGGCACGCTGCTGTACCTGCTTTTTGGCACATTCAGGTCACTGATGATACACATGCCGGCATTGTGAAGTACAGAGCTAGCGGTAGCACCACCATAGTACCATGGGCCTGGTAGTACAGTGCGGCGACGACGGCGGCGATTCCAGATGGCTGGCTCGGCAAGCGCCCAGACAGGGCCGTCGTAGTAGACAGGTCGGCCACTCTTGTCGTACTGGGCAAGCTCCTCACTGACACCACTCGCTGTTATGGTGTTTGCTTGCCGGACAAGAAGTGCACTCTGATCAACAATGGACACTGCAACAGTTGAACCAGCCTCTGCAGACACAGTCAGTGTGACGTTGTCATTGGGGCGAGCTTCTGCCTGGCCAAACGACACTTGGACATTGTTCTCAAACACGCCACTCACCCCCACCGACAGTGAGTCAACCACAAATTCTCCCTGAGCAACATAGTACGCAAGAACCTTGGCATATGGACCCATTGCTGGCGTGATGGCAAAGCTGAACGACGCTACCATCGACCCAGCAGTTGGAATCACGGTGCCGCGATGAACCAATGTGCCTCTTGAGTGTACTGTATACACTAACTTGCTGAAGATAGTCTTGCTCGAGTCAACAATGGCCGTGGCAGTAAAGCTAGCGGTCTCGCCTGTAGCATAGTTTGCTTTGGAAGCAGACAGCTGCAGATAGGAACCACTGGTAGTGAAAGCTCGACTTGGGTTGAAACGTATAGTTTGGTAGTAGTCGGTATTCCCAGTTGGGGAGATTCGGATGTTCATGCTCGATTGTGCGCTGCTTTTCGGAACATCGATGAGGTGATTGATTACACCGTTTGTCGATAGCAATGTGGTGGTGGAGATTGAGTCCGCACTTCTCCACACTCGAATATCGACACTGGCACCGCTGATGGGCTTCTTGTCCGGTGTGCTAACTAAGATACGCAATGGGTATTTAGTACCGGGCTTGAAGCTGGCCGGCGACACACTGCTATCCACTTCCATCTGCCTGGAGATATAGTAGAGACCGGCAGAGCTACTAGAGTGGCGCGTCTCACCGGTGACAAGGTCGGTGACGCTAGCATTAACCACCAGCTGTTGGTAGCCTCGGTAGTACTGGCCGAAGCCATACGACGAGCAGAAGAGACTGTTGAACTGCGCCCTGGTCAGCGTGACTGAAGCGTTCTTGCCAGCAGTGAGTGTCACTTGACGGCTGATTCTCGGATTGCTCCTTCCACTGCAATACTGGTAGACATTGTTGAGAAACAGCTCCACCTTGGCAGTTCCCTCGACAGCTTTACCGTACGTGTACTGAGCACTGATGAAGGCAACGATGTCCGAGCTCTCATCATTGGCAACGTAGGGCACTGTCGATACAGAGACGGTGAACTTCGGCAGGACGTACTCGCGCACTTCAAACTGGGTGCTTGTCTGAGCTGTGGAAGCGTTCACCTCTATGGTGTAGTTACCCAGTGGTGGATATTCGGAGATGGGGAAGTCTTCACTCCATATCCCATTCACAGGCTGTACATTCAGCCACTGAGCCAGGCGATTCTTACTGTTATCAGCAATGTGCACATTGAACGTTTTGCTGTACGGTTTTAGATCGGGCTGCACAGTGACTACACGCATACGCACGGTCTGGCCAGGACGATAGGCGCCCTTGTCGGTCTGTACGAAGATAGAGAAGCTACTGCCGGCCATGACCGTAGTCTTGTTGGTGAATGTCAGCCCACCGGTACCTGTCACTACAAGCATCAAGGATGACCCGGTCTTAATACTCTCGGGCGTAGGCACAGATATTTGCGCTTCGGAGCGTGCAGCGATCGTCACATCTGCTGCTCCCAGAGGGTTTCCACCGACTGCCTGCAGTTCGGCATGCACGCTAACGTCACCGCTTCCGCCGAACAGGGCGATGTTCACCACCGTGGCTTGGCCCGGGTGCACGGTGCAGGGAAACGTCACGGCGTACGTGTGCTGACCACTGCACAGAGTGGCACTGTGACTAGCTACTATCACCATCACCACCATGATCAGTAGCGACCGCTGCAGTGTATACATACATGTACTACTAGTACTGGTAGAAACACCCGCCATCTCACTCCCCCTTTCTCGGGCCGCACTCACTAACGACGGCTAGCAATCTAGGGGTACTGGTAATGGCTTCAAACACCGTAAAATAAGAGCAATACTCCGGCGATTTCAACAAAACAGGACACCGCAAAATCAAAGCCAACTGCTTCCGAGATGAATAGAACTGAACTGCTCAAGTGATATTCGTACCAATATAGTCGTTCGTATGTTTCGATCAGCACAGCAGCCCGTTCAAAGACACCTGCTCGGATGTTTTGATAACGGTAACCTCCTCGCTAACGGTTCCATTCTGCCTTCTGAGGAATGTGGCAGGTACCTCTGAGTCTGACTCGTCTGAGTGACAGCACAACAAAGTACAAACAAGCAAACAACTAGCTACATCGTAAACGTACTTGGAAGTTGGAGTATGGAACCACCGTCTTTGATGTTTGTGTGCCCGCTAGAGATCTCTCCACGTAGATCTACTACTACTACTAAGTACTAGTACTCCAGCATGATAATGATTAGGGCTCAAACGGTTAGTCCGATTAACCGGTTGCAGACCGGTTACGAAGAATTAACGGTTAAAGGGGAAGTATACCCTAAAATCAAATTTTCACCAGTTGTAGTCTTCGGGGTGCTGAGTCGAATGGTCTTGGTCCGAGGAAGCTGAGACGCTCCCTTCCTACTTGAATCCCAATCGAACTCGCGCACTTCCACCGAAACTGGGTGACTGCGCCCTACTAGATGGGGATTTGTATGCAAAATGTCACTAAAAGCGCCATTTCGTTCTTATAAAAGCACGGATGACCGCGATTGGCCCATATGTTGTAGTCTTTTGGACGCTGAGTCGACTGGTTTTGGTCCGAAAAGGCTGCGATGCAGCGTTCCTCCTTTATTCCCAATCGAACATGGTTGAAGAAGCGGTCACGTGCTCCTGCGTACACCAGTCACCTGGTCACCGTGCCTGCAGGGTACAACTTACTAGCGTGTTTGACCTTTTTTGGGTGCAGTCCTGTCACTCGAGTTGAACTCGAGTTGAACCTTGGTGTGAAAGTTGTCGCCTGCTGGCGCGGTGACCAGGTGATTTGGGCACCCAGGAGCACGTGACCACTTGTTCAACCATGTTCGATTGGGAATAAAGGAGGAACGCCGCATCGCAGCCTTTTCGGACCAAAACCAGTCGACTCAGCATCCAAAAGACTACAACATATGGGCCAATCGCGGTCATCCGTGCTTTTATAAGAACGAAATGGCGCTTTTAGTGACATTTTGCATACAAATCCCCATCTAGTAGGGCGCAGTCACCCAGTTTCGGTGGAAGTGCGCGAGTTCGATTGGGATTCAAGTAGGAAGGGAGCGTCGCAGCTTCCTCGGACCAAGACCATTCGACTCAGCACCCAGAAGACTACAACTGGTGAAAATTTGATTTTAGGGTATACTTCCCCTTTAACCGATAAAGATAACGGTTACGCAGTAACTTTTCAGTCAATTTGTCAAGTATCAGGTCGTTTCAAAGTACTAGTATGCACTTTCGCAGGCTGTCGCACGCGTAGGCAATTTCTGGGCTGTCAACTCGGTCATATTTTTATTTTTTTTATTTCACCGTCCAATGGCAGCAGCCAATGCAAAGGAGGGGGCGTTAGCCAGCCATGGCAATCTGGTCTCTAGGTGTGAGAGTATGTGTGAATGAGCATGCAAGTAACTTTTCAGTCAATTTGTCAAGTATCAGGTCGTTGCAAAGTATGCACTTTCGCAGGCTGTCGCACGCGTAGGCAATTTCTGGGCTGTCAACTCGGTCATATCTGGCCTCTTGGTGTGAGAGTATGTATGAATGAGCATGCAAGAGAATGTACATGTGTGCGTTGTACTGAATAGGGTACCGATTTTTTGAATGAGTATAGTCAAATGTACGGTTAAAAAAGAGTCCGCAGGATTGCCGTGGCTTATAGGTTATAACCGTTAAACCGACCGTTAGCTTAGCAGTTAACCGTTAGGGGTAAAACCGTGACCGTTTGAGCCCTAATAATGATGATGTGTATGCAAAACTAAAGCCGAAAACGGAAAAATAAAGACCTGTTATGTCCTGCACGTGAACGTCCAACTGTCAACCCACTATTACACTAATAAAACCAGGGCAGCACGTGAGCGCTTGAGGGGTGTAGAAATACTAGAATCTGATCTACGTAGACCCTACCTAGCAGTAGTACATAGGCTATACCATGTATACAGTCAGTTCATGTGCGTGGCAGGATCACTCACATTCACAACCTAGGCTAGGACTAGGCCAAAGGTAGATCTACTACTGTACTAGGTCTGCTGGATCCGGTGAAAGGCACACGTGCCATGATCTACCGCAGGGATCTTGGAGACGGCACAGGCTAGCACGGATGTACCGGACAACGCTATCTCTGTAATCAGTTATCATCAGGAGGTGACAGAGTGATATCCCATGCTGCTACCGGAAATATTATGATCAGATGATACCCCACACCTATGATGCAGGTCTATCTTCCCTCTGGTCATATCATGCAAGATAGTTTGATATCCATTACTGGCATTAGCGGCAATAACACACATGCATGCATACTTTGACATAGACACGTCACTGAGGTGAATTACTGCTTATAAAGTTAGAGTCACTTATAGCCTAGTATAGGTGCTATCTAAGCCTTCTAATATCAATTATACTCTATAGCCTCCTCCTATTCCAACCTGTACATGCACTGAGGTAGATCTACTACTAATACAGTACTTGCATTGCCCTAACTCACTGCCTGGTGGAAGAGCTGAGGCGCAGGACTGCATGGAGTTGAACTGCCGCTCAGTAAGGAACTGGCAATCCTGCATCTCGAATGCCTCGGTTCTGTGTTATTGTAGCTGTAACACGGTGAGTATCATGCATAGGAGGCCCTCTGAGTAGCTAGGCTCTATGAGAGTTAATGTGTGCCCAAATCAAGAAATGGACAACAATGTAAGCATGTAAGCATACGAGTCGTAAACCAAGAGAGAGAGAGAGAGAGAGAGAGAGAGAGAGAGAGAGAGAGAGAGAGAGAGAGAGAGAGAGAGAGAGAGAGAGAGAGAGAGAGAGAGAGAGAGAGAGAGAGAGAGAGAGATTGCTCAATTATAAATAGAATGATACACATTGCTGCATGAGATCACATGTACATGATGTAGGTAGCACGTCCTACAATATTCGTCCATGAACTGGATGAAACTTAATACTTGGTGAAAGAAAGGAAAATGGTTTTGCAATGGTAATTCTGCTCATGTTGTATATTTCGCTTAGCCAGGTATCGAATCATGCTATTAGTTACTAGTTGTGTTTCGGACTTTCGGTGTGTGTTTGTGTGTGTGTGTGTGTGTGTGTGTGTGTGTGTGTGTGTGTGTGTGTGTGTGTGTGTGTGTGTAATATGTACTGCAGCACTGCTCGATGAAATCCGATCAAGCAAGTGAACGCCACACCGGTCGCTGTGCAGCCCTAGACCTGCGAACACTGGAATGGTGTACTGGTACATGGTGCAGGGTGGCGTGACAAACTTGAGTGACGCTATCGGATTTCATTGCGCAGCACTGTATGCATATGTGTATGTGTGTGCATGGGTAAGCCCAGGTGCGTTTCTAAAAAAGAACACGCCAATGACTGCACAATCAGTGGCAATACCCGGCCAACAATATGTACTAGTATTACTTCAAATAAAATAATTACCTGAGTCAGTGACTTCATGTTCTTCATGGGTAAGAGTGCCAGTACGGTACAGCCTACTGCGGGCATGTCAGCATGACTGACTACAGCCAGTACAGGACTGGTATGTGCATGACTGACTGCAGTACTACTGTCTCATGAATGACTGACTGCAGTACTGCCTCGTGAATGAATGACTGCAGTACTACTGTCTCATGAATGAATGACTGCAGTACTGCCTCGTGAATGACTGACTGCAGTACTGCCTCGTGAATGACTGCACTGAGTAGTGTCTCATGAATGACTGGCTGCAATGCAAGACGAAGGCCAATCTCAGGTGAAGCCAAATCACGCAAAGCAGTCGGCGCGTGGCAATGAAAATCACAGTATAATGCATGTTCACAGTGTGTACACAGTCTGGGATTATTAGCATCAAAACTCAGTAAAATCACTCCTGATTAGCACAACAGCTGTTACATAATACTTGTGATGGCTTTCTTCTTCTCTTTTAGTAATCGCCTGTTCATCTATTGTCACACATGGTTATCGCAGTAGCTCACTGAGTAAGCAATCAAATCTCTCCGTTACCAGCAGTGCCTCTTACCAGCAGTTCCGGTGTGCGGATAGCTCAAGAATCGTCAACCTGGGCACAGCCACCATGAGCACAACGGTGTAACAGAAGAGATGTATGTCCACCTGATTCAGGCATAGGTGTGAAGCTTCGGGGTACTGCTGCTGAACAGGTCTAGGGGTGGAGGGCAGTTTCGAAGTAGCCCGGCAGCCAACAGTGCAGAACTTGATAGCTGCACATGTGGACACCGTTCCAGCACCAATACCAGTTGAGGGTGGCAGTCTATCTTATATCTTGTGTGCTGCACCTTCCTAAAAAAAACTGACCTAGTCACTGACCCGATAACCAGCAGCCTGCGGCAATGCTTAGAACTGTAGTGCGAGGATGAGTATGAAGTACCACCAGGCCTACCCAATGATCATGCCTTCAGCAGCTCGGAGAGTTGCAATCCCTTGCCAGTTATTGTCCGGACGATTTTCTTCCGATGCAGTGCACTCTTCATACCCAGATCATTCTCCAGTGATTCCTCGTCCAGTTCCAGAAGAAGACCGCCGTCCACCTGCTGACTGGAGAATTTCTCCTTGTACTGGTTCATGTTCAGGGAGGCCAGCAACTGCTGAATGTGTGCTTGGTCTAGCGTGGCCCACGTCAGCTCTGCAAAGGGAACTTGTGCTGGTGCTTGTACCGTCGCTTCCGTTGCTGGTGGCGGAGGAATATCATCAGACGCAGTCGCTTGGCTGAATGGAATATCATCAGACGCAGAGAGGCTGGACACTGTCAAGCTGTTTACAGCATCGCTGGAAATCTTGAAGTCATCACAGAGCTTCTGAGTCTCCGCATCGACTTCCGCACCACCGGTGACCTTGAACTTCCAGAACTCCTCTGCTCGCTCGAGCTGCTCCAGTTGTTTCTGAATCGACTGGTAGTGGTTGTTGAGGCGACTGCAGCGCGACTGCCACTTGTTGGACTCTTCCTGGAGTTGATTGGTCTTAGCAGTGTGTTCGTTCAGACTCCTGAAGATATCACGCACTTGTTCCGGACTGGGGTTGGACTTCGTCAGAACGTCACCATCTGTGGAGGATATGCGACGAGATGTGCCAAACGTACGCACACTGCCCATACGTAAGCGGACGGCCTCGATGTCTGTAAGGAGAGACTTGTGGTGCTCGCTGTGTCTGCGGGCAGCAGGTTTCGGTCGCGTGGCAACCGGAGGTGGCTTGGGCTTTTTGGCAACAGGTGGTGGCTGGACCTTGGTAGGTTCTACGTCCTCATCTGGCACATCACCAGCAATCAACATCTCAGCATCAGGCGGTGGCGGAGGTAGATTGTCGTCATCGTCGACGTCGAGATATTCATCATCTGCTGCGTCTTCGGATATCATCGTGTAGAGCTGATGTGACCCATCGTCTTCTTTGAACATGACCTCGATCTGAGTTTCGACCGGCATCACCAGCAGTTCCTTGTTGACCGTGACCAAGACATTGCGACTCAGACTAGTACAGGTGATGGTAAACCTATCCAGTCCTTGGCTTTGATACGCCGGGTGAGAGCGTACGAGGCTGACGCGTACTGGGAACTCTCCCTTGGTGATGATCTCGGCCATGCTGTACCACTTTATGTCAAGCTGGGCCGAGAACTTGCCCGGTGTATCTGTAGGGAGACGTAGTGTTTCGCCCAAACTGTTCGTAGCAACCAGCATGGGCTGCACATACCCTGTGCGCGGGCTCTGCTTCGCTTCAACCTTGACGATAGTCAAGATGTCGTCCATGTACACCGTGCTCTCTTCATCGCCACTGTCGACAGATGCTGTCACACGCACCTGCATAGACAAGCACAGGTAAAGTGGCCGTACGTTCCGTATCACTGGAAAGAAAGCTTGGCGAGTATCATTGGCATAATAACCAAAATGAGGGTCACACTATACAGTCGTCCCTCTCTAATCCGGCACCTTTTGCTACGGCATTTTCTGCTGGATTAACGAGGGTGCTGGATTAAGAAATCCTGCCCTCTGACCCGGCCCTACCCAATTGCATGCATGTATCATACGTCAAAACGCAGGGTTTTTCCGTGTTGACCCCAGTATTTGGTGCACGGCTTTATATTCTCAACTTTTCTCCAGGAATATACACAGTGATAAAGTAAAACAGAGAACATGTTCACATGTATACGTACTCTTGCACACACACGCACAGACGATTTACGACTGCCGGATTATGAAATCAAACTACGTGCAGTTTGAGCGATTCGTTTCAAAAAGTCACTGCCGGAGGCGGAATTCAAGTGCCGGATTAAGATGTAGGAATTGAACGAAAAAAATCGGTTCCGTCAGAAAGTGCGCCGGTTGGCAAGGGTTCCGGATAAACAAGTGCCGGATTAGAGAGGGACGACTGTACTTTGCAATTTCAAATTTGGACTTCACGGAGAATTTTCAAAGTGTTAGGAAATTAAAACTATGTAATTTCCTAACACTATACTTTGTTCAAATTATCAGGCATGTAGTCACATGACACTCTGAGTCACCAGCTACACTAAAAGCATTGGCAAAATAACACTGTGTAGCAATGACCTACTTTTTCTGGCCTCTGAACATCGTTGATCAGATCCTGAACAGTTTCGTAGAGAACACTGTCATGCTCTGGGTTCTCTGGCAGGAGCTGGTACTTGCGACTACCAATGGCTGGCAAGATCTGTTGGCGGCCTACATGGTCTGTGGCATGTACCACCTGTTGGTTGACAAACGAGCATACACCGTGCAGATGCAGCCATACGTACATGGACATAAAACACCCGGTACACACATACACATACACACAGACTCAGACTCAGACATGCCCATCGTGGAAGCGATGATAGCGAACAGCTACACGTATGTTAGACATAGCAACTTGTGCTGGGATTACACCATTCAACAGCTTGCAAGGCTGATGAATAGACCGCCACTAATTTTAGCCTGGTATCAACCGCACAGCTGATTGAAGTGGCTTTTTCTGGCCAGTGAATCCCCTATTCTTCATTTTTCATATTTTTTCATTCTTTTTTGACACACACACGCCACACCACATACTCCGGCATACACTGATCGTTGGTAACCACCCAGGAGAATTAAAGAAGAGCATACACACACACACACACACACACACACACACACGCACACACACACTACTACTACTACTACTACTACTACTACTACTACTACTACTATGTACAGCTACCCTATCGGGCCACGCCGCTCCCAGAAACGGGACACACACACACACACATTATACACACACACACACTGCACACTCGGCGCGCGCGCGTGCACACGCACACACACATGTACACACACTGCGATGACGGCTAATGGTGAACTTTATCTGGCAAACACTACTGCCATCTTGTTCCCTCACTAAAAACGATGATGTCGATGATGAAATGCGGGTGATAGCGAGTGAACGGGACTCATCTCAAAACTCGGTATTCAATGCAGGTGCAAAGAACCTGTTTCAAAGCCCCCGTTCAACTCTACTTGCAACACCAAAGTAGAGTGAAATCTACTGCAACATACCTCCAAGTATCCATACATCCACATAACACTCTCAGTGCACGGTCTCTAGACTACCTCTGTGTGTTTTAAGATGAGGCACTGCATGTCCAAGATCAAAGGGCTGGTTTCATAACGTTACTGACTGTGATTATGATGGAGGGTTCTGAGAACTTCTCAATACTGAAACAATGTGAATAGATTTGCTTCCTAGCTCATAGAATGGTGTCACGGTATCCAGGGCACTTTTTATACTGAAGTTTCACTGCCAGTGCCGAACGTGCATGAGGTAACAATCGGGGGCCCATTCATGTATGAGCGCACACGTGACTACATAGTACAAAAATCAGGGCATGCACTAGGTGTGCATTTCGCTTGTACCTCGTCCTGCTGCACGGAGTGCAAGGTGATGACCTCTCCCTGACTGAGCGAGTCGTCCTCATCACCCGTACCACAACTGTATCCAGTCATTACCGTCACCGTGCATGGTAGATCGTGCGTCTCCACAAACTTTGCCAGCAATACACTCTCGCTGCCGCCAGATGTTGCCATCGTGATCTTGAAACAAAGTTAGACATGTACAGAGCAAGAGCAAATGCCATCAACATGTTTTATGTCTCATGCTGTCCACATGATCACCGATAAGAGCCATACCGGTCATATAGATGGAAAAGGAAAGTTTGCTAGAGTACAGGTGGGGAGACTGAAGTCCAGACCGACGTGCATTTGCAGCACCAAAGCACATTCGGCCTTGATGAACCAAGCGCTCTTGAACAAGGACGCATGGGGTCAAGAATATCAGCTCACGGCTCTGAAAGTGCACCGTGGATACAGTCCATCATATACTAGCGACTGTGCAACAATATGATTCACTGTGTCATGTTGCCATGGGTACATGTCCATCATCAGTATTAGGCAAAGTATGTACATGCATGTGTATAGTGTGCACATTGGATGCACGATTGCACGTATATTATACAGCTATGGCCAAAGAAACACAACCTGAGGGCCAAAAGCAGTGCCAAGGCTCATGCTGACCCTGTGGCCCACGCATGGGGTTTGGAGTGTGCATGATGTAATTGAAATGGAAAGGCGGCGCTGCTCTCGACTCGCGGGTCTGATTTCTTTGGCCACGACTGCACAATGTATGTGAGCTTGTACCAGTCGTAGAAACTGATAAACATCAGTCTACATGGAGTTGGCAGAATGATGCATTGATGTGTTGGGGGAGCTTGGGCCTGGTGGGGTGACGTGGTACCAGTTCAGTTGATTTACTACACTACTGCTCAGTGAAATCCAGTCGCGGTGTCACTCAAGTTTGCGCCTTGCACCATTTCGCAGCCCAGTGTCCGCAGGTCTATGGCTGCACAGTGCCCGGCGTGTACTTGGGAGACGCGACTGGATTTCATTGAACAACACTGTACAATTGCATATGTACCGAGTTCAATTCACTTGACTTCTGCTGGTTGCTATATAAATATGGATGTGATGGCTGGCACAAGTCCTTTTGTTCTGTTTGTTCTAGCTGGTTTAACCGTTAGGTGTTCGTCCTTGGTAGGTAATACTAGGCACATGGTTCAGTATGTGCACTTGCACACTCTTTTGACTTCCTGAGATTCAAATATGGAGAAAGTTTCCAAGTGAGTCACAGTCACAGACTTCCATGGTGTGGTATGATGTCCCACTGCACATTGATAAGTGCACGAAGTGCTAACGAGATCTAAGCCGTAAGCGCCTAGTTCTGCGCTAAACCTTACCAAATAATGGAGCACTTAGCGACTGCTTTCGTCACCTCTCGAGACCTTCAAGTCACTGCTAGTGCAAGTCTCCCCACCGCTGGGCAGTTGGTACTGGTGCTGTGCACGGTACGAGCGTACTGGTGTCACGCAGATCATGAGCACAAACCATCCAAGAACACAGCAGCAATGCTTTCGATATCTAACCTTCTGAGCATGCAACTAACTTTATACTTGAAATTGTTTGAGTGGCTCCTTGAAAAATCCGTCAAAAAGTGCATCGCAAGGATGTTTTATCATGAACAATAATAATCCGAACAAGCCGGAATGCAGGACACGCCGCGCCAGCAGGCCAGGGAGCCCTGGCCTGGACATGCACCATGCCTGCACATATGCAGGTTCATGTCACATGTCACATGTGCACTGTCGCGAGCGATGTGAAAAATGCAGGCAGCTGCATAGCACCAATCCATGCCATGCCGCGCCTGTTAGTTTTGGCAATGCCCCCCTCCCCAGACATAGACACCCACTCAGACCCAGACCTGCCCATCGCGGAAGCGATGATAGCGAACAGCTATGTAATTGTTAGACATAGCAACTACTGAACTAATTAATTTATTTACTTGTGCTGGGATTACACCACCGCCACTATTTTAGCCTGGTACTAGTACATAGTATCCACCACACAGCTGACATGATTGAAGTGGCTTTTTCTGTACACACCATTGGACCATTGGACGCCCATCGCCGGAAGCGATGATAGCGATGCTACAGCAGAAGCCATAGCAGCTTGTGCTGGGATTGCACCATTCAACAGCTTGCAAGGCTGAAGAATTGACCGCCACTATTCAGCCTGGTCTACACCACACAGCTATGAAGTGGCTTTTTCTGGCCAGTGAATCCCTACTTTTTGGTCTTTTTTCATTTTTCATTTCTTTTTCTTCTTTTTTTTTTCACGCACACACATCACACCACATACTCGGCATGCACTGGCTGTTGCTAACCACCCAGGAGAATGAAAGAAAAGTCAGGAGGAGTCTGAGAAAGAGAAGAAAGACGTACACACACACACACGCATACACATACACAAGCACGCATGCACACGCACAGAGCACTCCTACCTGGCTAGACCCGCAGGCTACAATACGCATCGTCCCTGGTCCTAAACATGCCATTCTTATTTTCATGATAACACTGAGGACCTAGGTTGTTGGAACTGGTGTGGCAGACACATGCCACACTCATAATAATAATTTTATCTTGTGATTTTTTAAACAATGAGATAAGGGCTATTTGGGCCCAATTTTCCAAAACCTTTCTGGGGGAGGTACGCGGACGCCCGCCTTTTCATAACCGCACCGGCAATAAAGAATACCTTTCCACGCCCCTGGATAGGTACTACATGACTAAATCATAGAAGATTAGCACAATCAAGCAAGGCACGCAACATGACATACTAGCAACCAGCAGTACAGTCCTCATTTTAACGATGTAAAGGTAAGGTGCAAGTTAGTTTGCACAGTTGTGGAGTAGCCACTAGCTACCAGCATAACCAGCAAGGAACGGGTCAACCAAATCAACTACAAGGCGTGCACGCAGGACATTGTGGAGCACTGGAGTAACAAGTTACTAGTGCTAGTGGTTACATGCATGTCCATCAAAATGTAGTTGTTCGCGGTTATCTCGGTTTCACTGATCCAAGCCTATCCCACTACAACCCATCTCCCAGCTCTAAGATGAATTATGACGTCATAATGAGATTATTCGTGATGAGAGCAGCAAATAAAATAGTCGCCCCAGGGGGATTGACCTATCTGAACATGAGATTAGGCGCCGGGGCGATGGTACAAACCACAATTTAATGGGCGGCGACGTCAGCAGGAATGCGGCCTGTACATCTTTGTACGTGCAGCATTCCGATTTCTATTGACCGTAAACAAACGGTAGAACTAGATCCGCATTCGCCAGCGTTCACACAAACAGCGAATAGCATACGCTAAGAGCACACACAAAAAAACCCCACAGGTGTACTGATCGTGTTACTTCATCACTTCTACTACAGGCACATACATGTAGGTACTAGGCTTGAAACAACTTGGAGAATGTGAAGTATCTAGCACCCTGGACATGACTTGAAGAATGTGAAGTATCTATCACCCTGGACATGTGTACCTAACAGTTACTCTTCCCGAAATAATAATAAAACAGCAAGCGCACCCTTTGCTATTGGCATTTTTAAAGGCAAAGGTAGAAAATGTATAAAGCAGTTAGGGTTTAATACTGCAGTCAGTTGGTCGTGTTTGTTGTTAGTACTGCGTGTTCAAATGTTATACTTCAATCTCGAAGTAATGAGCATGGGTTGGCAAGTTGGAATCGGATAAAACAGTATGACAGACCGGGATATGACTGCCTCAGTTTGGGATCTATTAAAAAAATCTCTCTAAGGACAATGGGGTAAGGATACTAGTAGTTGCACAAATAACGTACACACACACACATACACACACACACACGGGCGCGTGCGCGCGCGTGCACGGACACACACATGCACACACACGGAATGAAAACAGGCAATACCATTGATAAATAGTGATTGCTCAGAAGCCAGAATTCCATGCCTACCGCCAGTCGTGTTCCTATCGGCATAATTTGCTCAACTTGTTGGGTAGAGTTCACTCCAGGCCCGAAGTACAGAGTAAAAGGGCATGACAATATTCCGAAACAGCAAAAGTCGCTTAGCGGTGGCTTGTCCTCAGCCGTCCAGGACCGCACGCACATGTGCAGACATCCATACTCACACATACACACACACACACACGCACGACATGATACGGGCTCACGGTCACGTATGCTGTACATCTGACGCACGTGTGCCAGTGCCAGTGATTCACTCAAAGAAGCCGGACGCCACACGCTGCTTACTGGCTTGTCCGATGACCTCAACCTGGAATCCAATTGTTCGCAATTGCTCATGATTCAAAATGATACGGCCGTCAAAGGCAAACGATGGCTTGAGCATACTGTCATAAATTCGCTGAAAGTCAAGTGTCTGTACATTGATCACATAAACAAGCATGATTTCCATCAGCTGCTCATCGTAATACAGTAACACGTACAGGTATTTACGGGAACAGACCAGCTACCTGACACGGGAACAGACCAGCTACCTGACACGGGAACAGACCAGCTGCCTGACACGGGAACAGACCAGCTACCTGACACGGGAACAGACCAGCTACCTGACACGGGAACAGACCAGCTACCTGACACGGGAACAGACCAGCTACCTGACAGAATATCGCTGCAACCTATAGAAGCATACACGCAGCCACTTCAGCTCCAAGAAAAGCTGCTTGAATGGGATAAATGCACAGTATAGATCTGTATGGTCACTCACGCAGTTAATAATTTACTAGTTTACATTGATATGAACTTCCACCGCACACAGCCGCATCAAGACCTTGGCTACACAAAAGAAAAAGAAAAACCTCTCCAACCACTTCAAATACTTTCCAAATCCCTGAAGATGCACTCTCAGGCGAAAATTCAGAAAGTACTTGAAGTGGTTGGAGAGATTTGGAGAGGTTTATTTTCTTTCTTTCGTGTAGCTGTGTGCGGCGGAAGTTATGAAGTTCATATCATGATGAGGCTACAGAGGAGTCACGCCATTCTCATTAGTTTACATTGAACAACAGGAATGCCACAACATCTTTTAATAACCAGTCTGGCGCAAATACTGGCTGGTAACTTTTGAAAATGTTAGCAGCCAGGGTTTGCGCCAGACTGGTTGTCAACCCGGCGTGGAACGTGTTGTTATGCACACTCATACATCGGTTATCCGGACCCCGAAGGTACGGGCACTTCGCTCTACCGGACACCCTTTGGGGAAGTTTCAGAAATATTACTACTTCCTCCGCCCAAGCAAAATTTTCGCTTATCTTTACACTTTTTACTGATACATTCCAGGTTCTCAGAACGGCTTATAACGACTCAGAATGAGTTGAGGAGTCGTTGAACATCAAGAGAAACTCTCAAAGTCGAAAAATGTAGAAGTCATCCTTTGCCATCAGCCGGCGCAGTACTTGTTGTCGGGTAGCACTTCGCACTTTCCAGAAGCGCAAATATTTCGTATCGACACTTTTCCAAGCGCTTCACCTCCTTCATGAGTACGATCCGCTGTGTTTCCGACCAGCTGAAGCTGACGAGCTCAGCGTCGCTTTGCAGGGTCGTTCACGTTGACATCAGGCGAATGACCTGGGTGAGTGACAAACCTGTCATCGAAGCCTTCCTTTTCCCCACTGTTTTGCCCAGTGCCGATTCTGGTTCATTTTGTAGTATGTGGGCGGGCGTCGCTGTCGCTGAGTGGCTTTCTCAGCTTCAAGCTCACGTGCATTTTTACCGTACACACATTTTGTGCCGGATGCAATCAAACACGCTGGCTTTTCGCAACATGACACCTCTGCTCTGTACTCCAGTGGTACTCTAGCAGCACCCACCTTGACGAGTGACTGACTTTGTGTCTTTTTTACCAGTTCACTCGCGTTCAAGGCGCTCTACTCTAGGTGTTTCTTTACTCTTTGCCGACTTCGCCGACTTGTTTGGAACTGGTACGCCTGAACCAGCAGATGGTGAAGTGCACAAGATGCAAAAATTTCTGTCAGACACCTGTCATTGGGCTGAAGGAGATAAGCGAAAATTTTGCCTGGGCGGAGGAAGTACTCTTTTGTCCCTTTTGGTGGAAATAGTGACGTCACATGCCATATGATATCTATGGCCTTTCCCCATCAAAATGTATGTGATTCGGAGTTTATTTTTATTAATTTTTTTATATAGAGACTTAGTCGGAGGGAAACATATTAGCACACGAAGAGACGAAGCTAGTTGAAAACCTGATAAGGCCTTTCGTACCATTACTCTTCAGATGTTTGGCGCAACTCACACTATCATTCCGCCTGTGTACGTTTCATCACAATTTTTTCCGCCAATATGCTGTATAAATTGACATTGTTGTGCTTCGTCACATTATCACCATGTACTGATCTGAAGAGTAATGGTACGAAAGGCCTTATCAGATTTTCAACTAACGTTAGCTTCGTCTCGTGTGCTATTATTTTATTTATGTATCTATTATTGCACGATTAAAGAGGTCAATATATGAAATATAGAACGAGTAAAAGACCGAGGTCCCCCGAGGTCTTTTACGAGGTCTATATTTCATATATTGACCGATTATGACTGCCCGGGTAAACGAGGTATGAGTGCGGTATGCATTGGTGCAAAACAAACTGATGACAACCCAATCCAACGGACAGTTTATTGGTTGCTCTACTACATGCTATCTGCCGACGACATAGCCCATGGGTGACCCAGCCACACAGACGTACCTTGAACTCATCCCATTCGGTACACACAACAAACGCATGTGCGTCCTGGACAGCGGAGTACGCATCCTCGGAGACAGTCAGCAGGCGCTCAACACGCTCGGGGTCACTGCAGACCATGTTGACATCGCGTCGCACGGACGCCTCTCGCACCTTTGGGTCATACACGACCACTTGTGCACCCTCATCTATCAAGTGTTGGCAGACAAAGATCGAGCTGCTCTCCCGCGTATCAGCGGTGTCCTGAAGAAATAAAAACACACGAATACATCGGGTTGTCAGAGAATAAAATGAATAAATAAATAAAAATACACTGGTTCGCGTACAGGGCGGATCAAGAACCGCCTTTCCACTTCCGTGGCACGCCAGAAAGAGAATAAGCAATATATAATGTATGTAGACCACCAGCAGCAGAACACACTTTGACCAAGCAACAACTATAGCACGTACAACCGTCCGTAAACCTAGGGCTGTTGCTAGTAGTCAGACAAACACCATGCACGAAGTGGACATACATGCACACAATGGGTGGATAATGCCTGCTGGTAGGTACATGAAGTAATCTGCTACAAGTACTCAACTCTACAGCTCAAATCATGGCCAATGAAGTAACATTTAGTTCCAACGCCGGCAGTCATTCCTAACACATAGCTGTTGAAACAGCACAGTCACTACGGAACATGTTCAGAAGCGGAAAACACACACAGCGAGGCATGAGAGCTGTACCTTCTTGAAGGCAAAGCCAAGAATGGCTATCTTCTTGTCTGTAACGGTGTTGAAAAGAGACGCAATGATCCGGTTGGAAAATCTCCGCCGTTGATAGTCATTCATGTCAACAACCTATTGGGGTGGGGCACCAGAGCACAGCAAAATAGTAGATGTAAAAGAAACTGCATGCAGTAAAAAGGGAGAAGACCAGTAGGTGGTTTATTGCCAGCATGTACATGTATATCTGAATGCTGCTGTATACGAAATACTGAGAGAAGTGTCAAATAAGCTAGGCAGGATATGATTGTAATCGACTTGGATTGAAGATGGTGTGTGTGTGTGTGTGTGTGTGTGTGTGTGTGTGTGTGTGTGTGTGTGTGTGTGTGTGTGTGTGTGTGTGTAAGGTTTTCCATTTAATAAAGTGGCTGCAGTGGAGCTTGCGCACACTAAGAAAAGTTAAAACTAGGCTGCAAATCTTGCTTTCTGACCACCAAACGTAGCACAGCTAAAAGACTTTCCCTGACCTGCATTACAGTACAAGAATAAGCATACTTGACGTCACAGAGTCAGTCAGGCTGACCGTTGCACATCCATAGCACTGCACAGGTAACACAACAGTGGACACTCACCTGTTGCCAGTATGCTGCTACTTCAGGCAAGTGTAGCACCTCACACAGGTACACGAGATTGAGAACATCCTTCTGAAAGCAACTGCCACCAAACCCTACAAGCCAGAAGAAAGGGTACAGCGTGTGTCACCAAATGTGCAATCACAAATGAAGCTGCGACTGTACTAAGTAAAAGCAGGAAGTTTGGCACATGGATAAGCAATCAGAATCGGTAGATACTTTTGGAATGTACCATGGAAAGTTTGGAAACGAACTTTCGACAACCATATTACAAAAAAAAAGGTGGATTGATCATCCAAGGATCAACTTGGACGTATTGGAAACCCAATCCACTGTGACACAACTATGGTTCTACTGCACTACCGCGAGAGGGATAAAACAATACTGGTACTTGCAGTGATGCAGGAGACTAGCAGATATCTTGTCTGAGCAGGTTGGCCACCCCACATGTCGCAAAGAATACAACCTTTGAAGATGGTTTCAGGGATCAACCGGGAAGATAGATTTCAGCGTTTTCAAGAGTAGTGCGCATCCTGAATTACTGACTTTTACTTCCAAGCTGTCGTGTACAGTCAACCTGGTGAATAACAAGCCTCGATAGGCCATGAGAAAACTGTTGTTAATCGCGAGTTGTCGTTATTCCCGAGGTTAAACGCATGCGGTCAAGTGGTTACTAAGTCTAAAGATAGTGATAATATTCTCGAGTTGTTGTTATATCTGAAGTTGTTATTCGGAAGGCTGACTGTAACAATAGAAAATTGGCACTGGGTAGTGAAGTACACTGTACATGAAGACAGCATGCCACTACAAGTACTTATGGACTGTGGGATACAGTGGTGAAAATCAATCTACGTACCGACACTGGCCTGTAGAAACTTGGGACCAATGCGCGAGTCTGTCCCGATGGCGTGTGCCACCTCACCCACGTCTGCACCGGTAGCTTCACAGATGGCACTCATAGCGTTGATGCTGCTGATGCGCTGTGCCAGGAAAGCATTGGCTGCCTGTGTCGAACACACGCACACGCACACACACATACACACACATGCGCGCACACACACACACACACACACACACACACACACACACACACAAACACACAAATACACGCACACACACACACACACATGCGATGAAATGTAAGGCTATGAATTCAGGTACGGATTCTGCTTCTCTCAAGTTTCCTTTCAATATACCATCTAGAACAGATTGTGGAATGACCAAACATCTTTCAAGCATTCCCCTTCAGCAAGGCTTCTACACCAGTAATAACAGAACAGTGAAAAAATCGGTACTATACTATTGTAAGAGCGCAGACAAAGGCAATGGCATTTTTTTTAAACGGCAGAAGTGAAGGAACTTACAAGCTTGGACAGTTCCGATGACCATGTATTGGTGGTGATGATGTTGGATTTCGACACCCAGTGCTCATAAATCCAGCACAGGCACCGCACGGCATGTTGGCCATCTTCAGTCTGAGGGCCACCTAAGGAAACACAAGGCAGAAGCGACGGAAAGAACGCGTACGCTCAGACACTATACCCAATCCAACAACAAGCGTTGCTGTTCGAAGTAAAAGCTTGAATATGGAAAGCGCACCTGAGTAACTAGTTCACTGAACAAGTATTGGCTAATTTAGCCTAATTCTCATATTTATATCCCAGTCTATGCCCCGGGCTACTTAGAATATGATTAAACACAACCGTGGAGATAGTAAGATGCGTAATCTGGTACAGCATGGGAAACCAAGTCACATGATAGCTGACATGCGATGACAGTGGATTGTTTCTGCAGGTACACATACTGCTCAGACAAGCCAAAACGACTCTGCTTCTCCCCTCACAGATGAATAGACAGATAAACTGGTTATGTGGAAACAGCACTGCATGACACTGACTACGGCAATGATCGCGGCAATCATTACCTATTAGGACTCGATCAGGATTCAGTAGGTCCTTGATAGCAGTACCCTCCGCAAGAAATTCAGGATTGGACAAGACCTGTGCGGGCAAAGGATTCCAAAACATGGGTTCTGTTCAAATTCAGGCAGTGGGCCAGTATGCTGTATAGACAGGAGACTCTTGAGAGGAGTGCAGTGCAATGGGTTTACACATTAGCCAAAGAAGAAAACTTGTCTGAGTTGTCTCTGCTGCTGGAGCATCATACATGTATCAAGTTCTTGCCAAACACAATCATACCAGCTAGCAAGAACATTGCCTCCCCCCCCCCCCCCCCCCCTACCACCACCACCACCACCACCGTCCCTGCCCACGCACCCATTGCTCAACCAGCTAGCATTTCACAAAATAGCAAGTATTTGAAGTACGGAAAGAAAACTTGACGCACCTGGAAGCAATTTCCGTTTCTTGAGTTCGCCTTCAGAATTCTGCTAATGCTGCACACAAGATAGGTGAAAGCACACGGCCACATGCACACACACACGCGCGCGCACACACACGCACGCACACACACGCACGCACACACACACGCACACACACACGCAAGAAAGTGACTATGTAGACCAAAGAAATGGCTGTATGACAGAGTAAAGTCAATCAGTATTGTCTATTACAAACTGTAACACTGGTGCCGACACCAGCACACCAAAAACTGTTCAACTCTACCTGCTGTAATCCCAATGGCATGCAACAAGCCCACATAACACACGAGTCGTACCTTTCAGCTGCCTTGACGGGCACCGTACTTTTCTCAACGACTACTTTCGGACCATGTGCATAGTCGGCAATACAGCGAGCAGCCGACTCTATATACTTGAGATCAGCAGCACGGCCCTGTAGAAACAAACGCGACAGAAACGAACGACATCAAAGGAAGCAACTGTCGTGACGACTACACTAGGAAATGAGGAACAGAGAACAGCGAGGTCAGACACGTAACCAGTTCAAGGACTCACCGCGTGTCGCGCTTGGCCCATTGAAAACCAATGAAGTAGTGGCACAGAGGCCAAGCTCAGATTTTCGACTTTACTGGAGACATACGGCACTGCACTGGATTTGACCGTTTGTGCAGTCTCCTTGCTGTTTGTCGACAATGTTTGTCGACTCTTTTAGTCCACTGGTAATGATATGGAGCAATGCCGAGGCCCGTCGCCTTGACCAGAACAGTATGCAAATCATTCCAGAAGCATGGGTCGGAGCAAGCTGGGAAGATAGTGGAGTTTGCTGAATTTGCGAGCACCAAGGGTATTTAAAGCATTGCCACTAGCCAGGTTCCGAGGTAATCACATTAATGTATTGTTCTACGACGCAACCGGAGCGTTCTTTTTTGCACCCATAATCCAAGAATACTGTGGGTTCAGTAACAGAAAACAGGCTGATTGACTCAGTTGCAAGTGACTTCACAACACCAGTGTTCTTTACAGGGTGAAGAGATCCAAGCATCCTTGGGAAAGTTTGAACAGCACCTAGTGGTGGCGGGCTCTCGCATCTGACAGTAAGCGATGCTCAGCTGCTATCAAGATAACAACAAGAAGTCACCACAAGTGTGGCTGCTTGGGTAGAAGATGGTGCCGACTTGCTGGATGTAAGTGCTGTATCGTTCCCGGATGCGCAGGTCAACAGGGGCTGTGAAGTCTTCACCTCACAAGTGACGCCCTCCGCTAGAGACCAAGAACTCAAGGACCGTCTCCAGCTGCTGTGCACGGCCTTCCATACCTATATGACTCGTGTCTGGGCATAGTATCTCACTGGTGGGCGATGTCAAACAGTTGATGCTGTTGAGATCGCCTTGGAGCAAGCCGGGAAGATGGTGGAGTTTGCTGAGTTTGCAAGCACGAAGGGGGTCAAAACATTGCCATTAGCCAGGTTCAGAGGCAATCGGTTTAATATTTTACTTTATGATGCAGCTGGAGTATTCTTTCTTGAACCCATGATCAAAGAGTACTGTGTGCTCAGCGATCGAAACTGGCTGATCGACGCAGTGGCAAGTGACGTGGCAACACCAGTGTTGTTACCGGGTGTAGAGCTCTGGGCATCCTCGGTAAGATTCTAACGGCACCTCTGTGGCGGGCTCGGGCAAATGACAGCACGCCATTTTCAGCTGCCATTAAAATTTATCAAGACGTCACAACACGTTTGGCTGCTTGGGCAGAGCATGGTGCCGACCTGCTGGATGGAAGTGCTGTGCCGTTCCCGGATGCGCAGATCAACAGGGGCTGTGAGGTCTTCACGTCTGTCGTGACACCCTCCGCCAAAGACCAATGACCTGCTCCAACTGCTGTGCACAGCCTTCCACACATAAATGACTCGTGCCTGGGCGCAGTACCTCACTGGTGCCTCCCAAACAGTCGATGCTGCTGAGGCTGCCTCACTTCCGAAAACGAATGTGATTTCAGAGCGTGACTTCGCAAAAATGGACAGATTTCTGCGGGAAAAACCTAATGCAACCACATTAACCTTAATCGTACAATCAAGTGGCTGGGCACGAAGTCAGCCGAAGAGATGGGCGACATCCTTCAGGTGGCCCGAAACTTGGTCGGTGAACACAAGGACCTAGCATGCCAGAGGCGTCAAGCAATTTCCGAGTACCGGAAGAAGAAACTAGTGGAAAAGAAGCAGCCAAGAAGAGGCAAGCTGAGCGCCGGGCACAGCAAGTGCAGCGGGCAACATTGGCGCTGTCGTTTTGTGGTGGCCTCTGGGTTCAGGACAATGACTTGGCCCAGCATTATTCTACCGTGCCCATCATCACCAAGAAGCGGGAGGCACTCGGCGCCCAGTTGCGGTTCCGTAAGCTCGTGATGAAGAAATCTGCGGACCGGTGCTTGTTCGCTCTTTCTAAAGATGGTAAGTTCCTGCCCCTTGACACCCTGCAAAGCAACAGGATCCCAGCCAGAGTCAGCGACTGCTTCTTCTGCCTCCTCGTCGTCTTACGATTCATACGACGATGAAGTTTGACATCTCCCAACCTTTGATAAATGTCACTGGTATTTCTAAATGATCAGCTTTCAAGTAAAAAAAGCACACGTGCTGATACTTTCGCGACAGAAATCTGCCGTTGTCGGTGTTACTCAATCAAGGCATCATTGCAAATAATGAGAGAGGGTCCGCACAACGTAACTACGCTTAGTAAAAAAACATATAGTCGATCTACGGAAGTCTTACATACACTGCATGCGGATCTGTGTTACGCCATACGGAGTTTTCGAACTACGTAGCTACCCTTGGCAACTCTGAATGCGACAGTGTACGACCTAGGGAGACAGTCATAAATGTATACACCAATCCACTTACGGAAGCATCTCCGTTAGTAGAGCCCTACGTACACACTCTATGTAGACAACTTTCCGTAAGTTAAGGGCAAACTCGCAGAATCACGGGCTTTTCCTGCCCACTTAGGTAAAGTTGCTCTCAACTTTACGTAGTGTGGAACCTCTCCATTGTGAGCCAAACATGGCCTGTGAGAGAGTGAAGCACATTCACCATCACACAGACCCTGTCTCTAGGGAAGAGTTTTCAGAATGTTGTTGAAGAGCATTAAAATCTTCTCCTCGATCTTGTACTAGACTAGGCTGCATGCATGCAATGGGTGTGAGTGTCATGCATGCACACACCGCAGCTGGCGATAGCAAAGTACACGCATGTGCCACGCGGATGACATCATACACGCTGCCTCACGACTTGCACCCTGAGTGTAGGGTGCCACTTTTTGAGTTCTCACGCACACTTGCTTCACGACATAAAATCACCCTACCAGTCGTGCTCTTTACAATAGCTATAACTCTCTTGTACCTGCTCAAACTTAGCCCAAAATTTAGATTTCAACTCCTGAAATCCTATGTTTTCCGTAGATCCCTATTAAACTTGATAGGGTTTACCAACGCTTATCTTCGGCCTGACCTCGCTAATGAGGCAAGAAAAAAATCGAGACTAAGAGACCAGTTCATTGATTTCTCACATTACCTACACGGATAGAAAGCAAATACACATTCTTCAGCATCCACAACAGTAATCTGTTGTGCAAAGATAACTCGGATGGAGAGCCACGGCAGGATTTAAAGGAAAGAAAAAGGACCAAGGAAGCTACGCTATACTGTCCACCAACATCAGGAGTTGCTTGACAATCAGCTCATGCGATAACATTGCACGGCACTGACCAATGGTACAGGTGTTCTACAGCTAACTGCCAACCAGCTCTAGCACGTCTTGGATGTGCACTCCAACTGCCTTCCAACTTGGAAGGTTCTAACTTCTAAGTTATAGTACTAACATAGGAGGGGAAGGTGTGCGCAACCAAGCCAAGCAAAAGCTGAAAGCTTGAGCTAGAGCTTGCTAGAGTTGGTTGGCAGTTAGTTGTAGAACGTCAGTACCGTTGGCCAGGGCTGTGCAATGCTATCGCATGAGCTGATTGTCAAGCAACTGCTGGTGTTGGTGGACAGTATAGCGTTATCTATTGTGCTAATTATTGGTATGAACACATGTAGTCATGTACACAGTGCTAACAACAGAACACACAGGACACACAGAACACACAGGACACACAGAACACACAGAACACACAGAACACACAGGACACACAGAACACACAGGACACACAGGACACACAGAACACACAGAACACACAGAACACACAGGACACACAGGACACACAGAACACACAGGACACTACATAGTATGTACATGCCGGTATGACTGCAGACTTGCAGCACGCAAGTACATGTACACACTGCTAGAGCGGCTCCCAAACTCACCTTTCCTAATCCAAAGGTTTTCGTGGGTGTATTGACCTGTGAAACGACCACATGACCGACCACATGACCACACCAAAAGCAAACAATGAAAAGTTGAAAACCCACACAAAAAAATTAAGAGCACTGAGCGTTAATAACCAAAGTAGATCTGCAAAATTTCCACAACATGCCAAAATTATTCCTGCAATAACCATTGAGAATGCTCTAGGTACAAGTTGAAGTGCTAGCAGTAAAAGGATATGAGATGCAGTCGCCAAGCACTAACCAAACCTATTTCTCTGCAGCGCCGCACACATAGACACCCCCCCCCCCCCCCCCACACACACACACATGTTTGGATGTACACACACATGTACACACATGTTGTTGGTTGACAGCATGTAACACACATGTACACACATGTACACACACACACACATGCACACACACACACACACACACACACACACACACACACACACACACACACACACACACACACACACACACACACATGCACACACACACACACACACACACACACACACACACACAAGCGCGCACATGACCAGAAAGACGACCCAGTCCCAGCAACCAAAACAAGAACAATGACGACGCCAGAAGCAACACCAGCAGTACATGGATAGCAATCACTCACAGAAATGAAGATCAGATCGGCTTCTTCTATAGATTTTGCTACTTCTGTCGAAAAGAAGAGGTTACGACCGCGGCATTCCCGCACCACATCCACCAAACTTGGCTGAAAGAGAAATAGAAAGACAAAATTTAATAGAACACCAGGAATAAACAAGATCAGCTGCACAGTCATTCTAAGTAATCATGCATATTGCAAGAAAGTTTGTTTTGAATTAGGATCATCCTGCTTCGTAGTTTTCGAGGTCTAACTAATATACCGTATTTTCTCTAATAATAGCGCAGGTCTCTAATAATAGCGCAGGGCGCGGGTTGATTGAAAAATAAAGGCTCAGTTTCTAATAGTAGCGCGGGTCACTATTAGCGACTGCAGTCTTGTAGTAATTTTATCAATGCTGTGCTACTGCTACAGCGTATAGCTATTGAGAAAACACACATTTTTTGGCTGAATAAAAATGCGGTGTAATATGGCACTGTGACATTGTATCGATATATCCAGGATATCAGCATTTAAAAAATAATAGCCCGGTCTCCAATAGTAGCACGGGTAATGGGGTCAACAAAAAAATAAGAACTCCCCGCTCTTACTAGAGAAAATACGGTATCCATAATACCGTAAAGTCGCGGATAAAAGCCGGGCTTATAAGCACATAAGCCGATTTCTGCATCAGGCTTTAATGCAAACCAGGCTTGTATGCAAACCATGCTTATATGCACCACTGATATTTTTGCCTGGCTTGTATGCCAGGCTTCTACGCGCGACACGCGTAGATCTACCACTGACTACCGGTATAGCGGCAGTTTTACTATGCACCGTACATAGCGCATGCACTCTTGACCCACCCGATCCGCGCTTCCATAGAAGCCAGGCTTCTACGCGCGACAGGCTTATTTGACCCGTTTGATTTTCAGGCTTCTATCCGCGATGTGCTTGTATGCAAACCCGGCTTTTATCCGCGACTTTACGGTATCCATGATGTTACGTACAATGACGGCACTTGCTGTCGCATCATACTCCTGCGAAGGTGCTCTGCTTGGTAGTTTTCGAGGTCCAACTCACATACCCATAATATCCATGATGCTACGTACAATGCAGACACTTGCTATAACACTTAGTAGGAGCACAACCTTTAGGTTCTTCAACAACATTCTGAGAGTTTCTTCACAAGTAAACTCTCGTGCCCTCTCTTCAGGTGATATACAGGCAAGGGCAAACCAGAGCAAGAACAATGAATTAAGTACAGCACAGAGGTGATAAAACAGGGCAAAGAAGAATAGCTAAAACCAACAACGATAAGTGTGTGGCTCATACACATAGAAAGAATGACAACAAGGCGCAAGTGTCTATTCAGATGATTGCTTCTCTACTTTGTCATGTGTACACAGTACTAAGTTGTTGAATGTTTTGGAAGCTGTGTATATTCACACTAAGAAACCTCAACTATGCAAACAGAAGCAGATCAATTCACACTTCCGGCTGTTAGGTAGGTCGTCAACAACTCGTTAGTTATGTCAATTGGTCGTCTATTGTCATTGCACAACACTTCACACTTGTTGGGCTTCTTCACACCAGCACCTTTTTTGTCATTCTTTCTATATGTATGGGTCATGCATTTTATCACCTGTTTGCTGTACTTAGATTAATTCATTGTTCTTGCTCCTTTTTACCTCTTGCCTGTATATCACCTGAAGAGAAGCCATGGAAGTTTACTTGTGAAAAAAACATTTCAGAAAGTTATTGAAGGCTGAAGATTGTGCTCCTCCTAAGTGCTAAAGCTTTTTTTGCCTCTGAGGAAACGTTTTACATGTACTGTAAAGTCAACAAATACTTGGCGCATATTTATTTTCGGCCCGGGCATTTTTGGCCGAAATTTGTTGCGGCCGCAAATTTTATTTTACAAGGTTCAGTGTGACAGTGTATACAGGCAGCAGTAGTTCAGGCTGAAATTTCAATGCGGCCGAAATGTGTTTTAGCCCTGGGAAGCTGAAATTTAAACGCACCGAATATTTGAAGACTTACAGTACTTGTTCATTGGGTTAAACTTTACCGCAACAGAAAAAGTACAAAAATAAAGGGGCACTTTTTGGGCACATTCTTCTTAGACTTTTACGGTACCTCAATTATCTGAACTCTGGACAGAGCTTGCGCGTTCAAGAACGTCGTTTCCAAGAGGTCAGGCTGGAACGCTCTTATCTTTCAGCAGTCTGGCTGCGGTCTTATAGCACGTTCTAGGAACAATGAATACTGGATGGTACGTACGCATTACTATTACATACATAAGTATCGCAAAAGCTGCCAGTGAACCAACACCGACGTTCTTAACCCCAGGCCGCGGCGTGCCCAGCATGCATCCCAGGCCTGGCGTTCTTAGGCGTGCGATCTACTGTATGCAAAATACCTCGATTATCCGAACACCGTTTATCCAAATACCTCGATCGTCTGAACAAACAAATCCTCCCCACGGTACACTGCACTGCGCATTTTGTGTCTCGTCAACATGATCATAGTCTTGTGAGGGCTGGGCATATTATTATTATTATTATTATTATTACATGGTGTCGTACATACAGTGAAGGCATCAGGCGCGTGCGCCGGTGCCCTTCAAGGGAGGTTCCGCCCCCCCCCCCCCGGAATATTTTCAAAAATGAAGCAAAATCATGCATTTTGAGCGAAAAAAGGGGGGTTCCGGGCACCCAGGAACCCATACGGGGCACGTGCCTGGGCATGCTGGCCCCGCTCTGCAGCATTACTGTAAAGTGAGAAACTTTCGCTAGAGATTAAATTTCGCTATTTTCGCGACCATCCCACATTCGCGAATATAAATTGCCACAAACTGCTCGGTGCATTGATTGTAGACTATACAAGATCTAATTGAAGAGATAAAATCTCAAACATTTCTCATCGTGAAACTAGTGTTATTCTTGAAAACGCGACATTTGCATGCCGCGAAAGTTTATCGTTTTACAACATACGCATTGAATATTTGGGCATTATGACTATGCGGATGTATTACTATTAGTACCCAATTAGTGTGATCAGAATGTGCATGCTTTTCGAAATCATGACATGAGAACTTTGTAGTCGTCGCGCACGGCGTTGTTGAAGCTTCCTTTCACACCGGAAGTGTGATCCAAGATAGGCAAATAAGTTTTAATTCATGTACATCTACATGACTGTAAAATAATTGTAATCCAAAGCCTGCTGTATGTGAGCTTTTCAAAATAGCGTACGCACACGTGATGAATGAAAAACCAATAGACAATTAGTAAGTTGCCACTGGCCGACTCATGTCCTGATGCGATATGCATTACGCATGACATGTCCGCCATATCTTCAATCGAGCATGGTACGAGACAATAAAACAGGTGCAAGGAGCATTCACACAAAAAGAAGCGACAGTTACTTGCTCAATACTGGACGACTTCAAATACCGGTAATAGAATTGAAATTCTTGTTCAAAGATTCGATTTAGCACCGTACCTCGTAAATAGGCAGGTCATAATCCGCCGAATTCCAAGCCTCGATTCTCTCTTTGTTGTAATCCACCACCGTGACCGTGACAGAAGGGCATTTCAATGCTATTACACTACTCGTGGGACCTCCAACGTAGCCAGCTCCGATGCAACACACTTTAGTAATCATGACTCTCTCCTTCGCCTCAAGCAGGATTGTGCATTCGCAGCCTCACGGTTCAGAATCTAATGACACTGAGCAAATCAAGCACGAGCAGCTATAAAGCTAGCTAGCTGTGGACCAATTCCCGTGACATGAAGTTACAAAATACAACCTACTCGTACACCCATTGATTGGCGTTGAGTGGGAAAATGCTACAAGTAGTGCTTGTATCGCTCTAGTTTTGTTAGCGTAGCACAGTCAGACTGCCCTCAACCTAACACCTCCGCGCGCAGCTCAAGATAGGAAATCAAAAAGCAAAACGTGAAAGTTCTTGCGCGTGACTTGTAAAACGACTCAAGAGACTACACAGCTACAATGTATTTTGCCATTTTGACTTGTAGAGCTGAAGTAAATAGTTAGCTGCGTATGCCGTGTTCGTCATGCAGAGCCCAGACAAAGGAGAGGAGAAGAACGAGAGAGCTAAACCCGGGTTTTTGTGATGGCCAGCAAAGAACATTATCATTCAAAAGTTCCTGATAGGGACCATAGCTCACTGCAAATCTGATGGATTGATCTTATCCACAGTACATCTGTCAGGCTGGAACAAGTAGCTGGTGATGGCAAGGCACTTTGAAGGCAGTATGCTACCAACAGAGTCACTGAGCAGAAAGATAAGAACAGTAAAACACTGTACTATCTCATTCTCACTGAATCTCAGCAGCTAAACTCAGCTGATGCGATGCATGGCAAGCCGCATGCCAGCCGCCAAAGGACAGTGCTAGTGAGTGGATTGGAATGTTCATGCCAATCATGGTGACAAAGAGACTTGAGAAGCTAGTTGAGAACCAATCAATTTATGAGTGTATGGTCTTCTGTTTACATGACTGTACAATAGGTCTACTCAGTATTTCAAAAACGTTCTACAGCACTGTCAACAATTACATGTCACCAGGGGATGGGATTTGTCAAATAATTCCAGGTATTTGCGGACTCCCTGATTATTGCACATCCCAAGTCAAGTGCGTACAGAAGGCAATAATATGCAAGTAGTTCACTGTCAATTATGCATGAGATAGGCAGTGCATGTCTTTATGGATTTTCTAGAAGTGACTATTGTAAAAAAAACCCAAAAAAACACACACACACACACACACACACAGGACAATTAATAGGGGGCGCCACTTTTTCCAGTCACAGGAGGGTGCTCAATCTGAGAGGTCGAGTGGGAGGGCTAGGTACTGTAAAAGCAGAAATTTTCGGTGGTGTTTTATTTTCGGTAACTTAGGTGCCGACAATTTTTACCGAAAATAAAATGCACCGAAAATTTCGGTACAACCAATTCTGTATACATGTAGTACTAGTACACTTCCCTGGAGAACGGGTTTTACCGAAAATTTCCCTCTACCGAACCGCTGATTTTGGCGAATACCGAAAATATTACACCACCGAAAATTTCTGCTTTTACAGTATGCGCCCCCTACCGTCCTTTGGCTAGCACTCCAGAGGACACCCTAGTCAAGTGTAGCAACAGATGCCCGGATGATCTTGAAGGCCTGGGACAACAAGTGGACCACTGTGCCAATTGGTCCAGGACCTATTAATTTTGATCTCAGCTTGGGCAATGCCTCCCTTCCTTGGTTCTGCAGCTACATGTACATGTAGCTACGCGTTCGAACCCGCCTACAGTGTTGCTGCTAAGACTAGTAAGAGCCAAAGTGCTCGTCTGGTGTACCTCAGGGCTCTCAGTCCTTGGCCCTGGGTGACTGATCCTGTTTAATATTTGGGGGGGGGGGGGGAGGAGGGGGTGACACGGTCATATGTAGATGTACATGTACATGCATGCGATAGTCACACTGCAATTTCACACACTGTCAATCGAAAGTTGTCCTGAAGGTGGTCACATAGTGACAGAAACGCTGAACCACAAATAACTCAGTCTGTGGATCGTAGTGACAGTGTGTCAGTGTGACTGAGTGTTGCCCAGTGTTGTCTTCTACCCGAATATTTTGCTTAGTACTAGTGACAATCATGGCCTTTGTTCTTGATACAGTACAATGACATATACTTGGAACCGAGAGAGAGTCTTGGTTGAGGGCTTTATTATTTATTTATTTATTCACAATCACGTGGCACTAGCCAGTGAAAAGGTGATGTGGGCGATAGCCAGCCATGGTGGACAGCTTTTTTCTCTATCCTCCATTGCATCTGTTCAAGATTTCTGCCCAGGTGGAAGCCGCCAGATGCCAAGTGGATGCATATGTCCCTCCCTCCCTCCCCCCCCCCCCCCCCCCCCCAGGCTGACCAATACACTCCGACATCAAAAAAAGAAAAAAACCCGAGATTCGTATAGTGTTTACTGAAAGTTTCCCTCAGCAGATAACTTACTTCCGAGTCGCAATTTTACAGACGAGAGCGCAACGCTCCTCGCAATACATGTATGTCTCGGACTGCCCATCGACTGCAGATCTCATCCCTAAGTACATCCACGGCAAGACCGGCATCACCAAGTTTATTCCAGTTTGTCTGGAAGCTTCCCCAAGGCAACAGCAAGATGACTGTACCTCAGCTCTCAGTCGCTGGAACTCTACATGTATATTCCGCCCCTGTGGATGTGGCAGATGCTTTCAACGAACATGCAGTTTATTGGTTTTGGAACACAAGATGATCCTTCATGGAATGTGCCAGACTTCAAGCCACCCGACGTTCCATCAGGTGGAAGAAGCACACCTGAGTTGCAAGATGTCACGCCACGCCTTTTGCTCTGGCAGCGCGAATCCGAAGTATGCCCTAAAATCAAATTTTCGCCAGTCGTAGTCTTCGGGGTGCGGAGGCGAATGGTCTTGTACCGAGGAGGCTGAGATGCTCCCTTCCTCCTTTATTCCCAATCGAACTCGCGCACTTCCACCAAAACTGGGTGACAGCGCCCTACTAGATGGCGATTCGTACCGTATTTCCGCGCATATAAAGCCATGGCGTTAGATCCGAATATATGGCCACCCTCACTTATAAAGCCATGGCGTTATAAGTGAACAAAATTCAATGTGGAGGAAGTTGCATCCGGCGTTAAAGGTGAGTTCAATTCTTTCAGTGAACCTACAGTAGCGGTGATTCTCTCTACATGTACCCATCCCCACTGTCACATGCCATACCGCCACCGCACCTTCACACAAGTTTGTATGCCACCATGTACACAATAGGTTCACAATTTGAAATTTTCAGGGAAAATTGAAAGTATATGGATGCTTGACATGAACGTGCAACGGCACCATACGAGTACTCGAAGTTCATACTCTGCCGATTTTTTCATGTAAGCGTCTCTCACTTTTAGCGCCATGGCGTTAAAACCGAGGCTATTTTCTCCAAACATTTGGTCCAAAACAGCGATGTTACACCTATAACGCCATGGCTTTATATGCGCGGAAATACGGTATGCAAAATGTCACTAAAGGCGCCATTTCATTCTTCTAAACGCATGGATGACCGCGATTGGCCCATATGTTGTAGTCTTTTGGATGTGGAGTCGACTGCTTCTGGTCCGAAAAGGCTGCGATGCAGCGTTCGGCCCTTATTCCCGATCGAACACGGTTGAGTAAGCGGTCACGTGCTCGTGCGCACACCAGTTGCCTGCTGACGCCTGGTCGCCGTCCGTGCCTGCAGGCTACAACTTTAACACCAAGGTTCAACTTAAAGGTTCAAAGGTTCAACTCGAGTGACAGGAATGCGCCCAAACAGGCTGTAAGTTGTAACCTGTGCGCACATTGACCAGGTGACTGATGTACGCATGAACACGTGACAGCTTACTCAACTTTGTTCGATTGGGAATAAGAGCCGAACGCTGCATTGCAGCTTTTTCGGACCAAAACCAGTAGACTCGGCGTCCAAAAGACTACAACATATGGACCAATCACGGTCACCCGTGCTTTTATAAGAACGAAACCGGCGCTTTTGGTGACTTTTGCACAACAACAAATCACCATCTATAGTAGGGGTAGTCACCCAGTTTCGGTGGAAGTCACGAGTTTGATTGGGAATAAAGGAGGAAGGGAGCGCCTCCGTGACAGCTTCCTCGGACCAAGACCATTCGACTCGTACGCCGAAGACTACAACTGGTGAAAATTTTGATTTTAGGGTATACTTCCCCTTCAAGCCCCGAATGGCTGCGGGAGCGGACGGTATTTCTCACGAATTCTTGAAGCTATTGTGTTCCAGTATTGCATGTCCTCTCAGCCTCATCTTTAACCTCACGTTTGCAACTGGTGCTTTCCTTGCCATTTGGAAACACGCCATTCAACTCCGGTCTTTAAGAACAAGGGAAGTAAGCTTGATGCATCGAATTACTGCCCGATTTCGTTATTGTCAACAATTCTTGTCAACAATTTCCAAGCTGTATTATGTATTATGTACAACACTTACCTGTCTCCTGTTCTACATCCGACCCAGTCTGGCTTCCGAAAAGGCGACTCTACGTCCTAGCAGCTTCTCAGACGATGTGTTCTGTTCGTGAGAACGGCCTTTACAGCATGCTTAGCTGCAGCTATGTTTCTTTGACCCGTTGGCTCTGTTACTTCATAAGCAGCGCTGTCGAGCCATGTATGCCAGACAATGGCTCATGCTCACTGAGTATGACGTTGGCTTGAACTGCTAGATATTATCAGGAACACTGACTGTGGGTATGTTAGTACTGTATGTACATCAGGAACTAACATTACTCTTTGCAAATACTTGAAACAGACACTGACTGCGACTGAGACAGTGGATCATGGATGCTATCATTGCCATTGCCCATTGGCATGGAATTGTCCGTACCTGGTACATACAGAGTCAGAGTTCAGTACTACAGTACAGACTAGTACTAGTAGAGTAGTAGTGGAGTAGATCTAGACTACAGTCAGTCAGTAGTGCACGGAAGTAACTACCATCATGTAGACGGTCCCTGTCGACTTCATGTAAGAAGGTATTCCGTAATGTTTACTTTTCCTGTTTGAAGCGACACTGAACTGAATATACATGTCATTGTACGTACAGCAACAAAGTCAATGGTATGTACTGCAACAATGGTCACGTACATAATCATTGTGAAGAAGAGGTTGTTGCGACTTCGGTGATGCTGTAACTGGGTGGGCCCTACGTAGAATCTACGTGGGAGCTCGCCCCTTTCCTGCCGACTTGCTTGGTCAAGTGCAAGTCGGCAGGAAAAGCGCGACCTCCCACGTACCGGTAGATCTACTACGTAGCCTCGTACTACTGTCGTAGGGCCACTAGGGGCTAGTCGACGGGAGCTACAGTCGCGCATCCCACCGGCTAAACCCGCGGCCCGACTCCCTGATGCCGTAATCATGGTGATGGGCATGGTGCACGACTGCACTGACGCCGTGAGTCGTGACGGACCGTCCGTGGAAGGCTGCACGATCCTCTCTGAGTCTCAGTTTCTCTGGTAACCGACTGCCAGTTGCCATCGCGATTTGCATGGCGTCGACACACCGCAGACCTTCATGATGAAGGCAGATCTACACCTCCGCCTCCGTGGCGATAAGTATGATAATGAGTAGCATAGCCGCCTACTTCGAGTGACGGTGGGCGACGCGTGGAGTCTACCCGGCGTAGATCTACTCGCCACTGCTAGTACTAGAAAATAATTTGCGTGGTGATCATGGTGATCATGCCTCATGGTGATAGCTTTGCGGCTGAAGTGAAGTTGAAGCTTAGTATCACCGACGCCATGATCACTGTCTGACTGACTGACTGTCAGTGCAAGTACAAATCAATGACGGTCAGTACTACAGTAGTCAGTAGACAGTACTGATATGAACAATAATGAAGACGTGGTGTTCATGCGACGAGGTGCCATGTACTTGAGTCTTGACAGTACAGAGTTCCCGCGTCGATCTACCAGTACCACCTGTCCTTGCTCAACGCGCAGTTTGAAACAGAACCTAAAAATACAATTTTGTTTGCTATATAAATGCAACTGAAGTCAGGCCTAGCGCCTCGCAAGCTTTCTCGTACCGTGACTTTCTCCTCGGGGTGAGGTTCTAGCGTTCGCCAACTCGCACGCCTGTTATTGCTACACTACAGTGTGTTTCCCGAGCCTTTTCGAAAAAGACAGTCCTATTATAGGACGAACACAATTTCCTCACGCCTGTCATTCTCTCTCTGGTAGGTTAGTAAAAAAATAAGCTTAGAGAACACATACGTGTCATTGTATTTTGTTCAATTTCTAATTTTTCGAGGGCAGCAACAACCTTGCCTAGCCTGAGCAACCGAGTTCCTCTTTGCTGCAAACAAAAGCTAGCAAAGGGCTTTAGCAACATCCAGTAGCATGCGGGTACGATTGTTATTATGTAGACATCATTCTTCGTAACTCTCCCACTGAGGTTGTTGTGTAAATAGGAATGGCCCTTGGCCTTCACTCCCCTTTCTGTAGGTCACCGAGGAGCCGTGTTCCGCGCGTTGGCCAACATTTTTCAAGTGGAGACGTGACCATAGCGTGCTTGTCGTTGTGAGCAAGAGGAGGAAGGCGACATGTCTAAAGCGAAAAAGAAGGGAGCCACGCCGGCCGTTCCCAAGGAACCAGAAGAACAGGTAAGTTGAAGCTAAGCAGTAACTGTCATGTAATTGAATTCCCTCAGGATATTGTTGGGACTGGGAGAGAGGAAAGGCGGAAGTGCACGCAAGACAAGTTCATTCAATAATCCTACCGAAATAATATTATAATTACCGGTATGTAACAAACACCTTTTACTCTCATTCATTGCAAGAACAGGAGAAGTAGCTGATTGACAATGTGCGCATTAGAGCGCCGTTGTCACTAGCAGGAGTATAATAGCTGACTCCAGTCTACAGTTTTAATTCAACTGTGTTCTTCACTACTCCCATCCATGAGAGATGCATTGTGCTGATTCTCGATTCTCCCATCACTCCCATTCATTTCTGTTTCCCCGCGAAAGTCCAACTTCGCGCACTTCAAATCACTATAACTCAAGAATGGCTGGGCCGATTTGAATCATGAGTACTTGCTCGACGTTGTCAAGAAAGACTTACAATGCATTAATCTCTCGCTTCTGGATGCTGTGCAATCTGCTTCTGATAGAGATGCTTGGCTCGAAATTGTCAACAGATGCGTTGACCTCATGCAATGAGTGATATGCGAACTGTCGTTATTATTATTAATATTATTATTACTTGCAGATTGCCTATGTACTGCGCCTGGGCGAATTGAATGAGACCAAAGTCGAAGCGATAGGAGCAAGTTTTGGAAATTGGGTGTAGTCACTAGTAGTAGTACTGCAATGTCATGTGTAGTTGCGAGGGCATTGTGAATTCTCACGAAAATCCCGTATTTTGCAATGATTATGCTAGTTGTCGCTAGAATATGCTAGTTTCGCAAGAATATGCTAGTTTTCGGCAACTTGCCGGATTATGCTAGCGCAGTGCTAGTCTCCAGAAAGTTCTAATTATGCTCGATATAATGCTAGCATTATCCGCCGGGACCTACCCATGTGCCATGTTTGTCCCCCCACCCCCTAAGTTTGTCTACTTCTTCTGTATGTAGGCAATTCAGGCGATTTTTCAAAACCAGAAATGTTCGTATTTCTTTCTTGTATCCGATTCAGATAGGGTTAGGAAAACCCCACAGAAAATATGAAGGGAAAAGAACAACCTGGCACAGAGATATAGCCACCCGAAGTTGGAGAAATATCTAACGGCAATTTCAATTTCTGTACTTCGATGGCACCAGCAGCATGACATTGTCAGCACTTGTATCAGTGTCCATAGTTACAAAACAACAAACATGTGAATCAGGTGAAAATAATCCAATCAATGCAGAAACAAACATGGTTAGGCACTCTTCATTAGTCTGGCAACTCAGCCGACGACAACGGGTGTCGGCACCATGGCAATTCCATAGCAACAGCATAACAACAGCATAGCAACAGCATAGCAATCATACAGAAAAGGCTCCAGCTAGGCGCAAGATGACGCTTTGAGGTAAAATGAAGGTAACTACAGTAAATTAAGTGCCAGATCACATTGTTGCTATGGCAATAGCATACAGCACACAGCAATTAGTTCGTGGCACCTTGTCCGGACTCAGCAACGGCTGGCTGAGTACACGTTGATAGCAGCGAGATTAAATTTGTGGTGAGTTGTTCTACAGACAACTGCTTCCCACCACTAGATAAAGCGAAAGATGATGAAGGTGCTTTCTCAGTTGCTGAACAAACTTGCGAAAAAACCCCAGCTGAGAACGAAGAGCAGCTCGCTGATCAGGAACCCTGATGATCTTCGACATCTCCTCGGACACCTTGTCTTTGGAGGTCCACAGTCCACCCAACACCGTCACCTCTGCGGTAAGCGTCTCCTTCTTCTCCTGCTGTTGCTGGTGCCGCGGCTTTAGAGCATGGCTTTACGACGAGCCTTGAAAGCCTGCCGAAACTCAGGCGCAGCACGCATCCCGGAGCTTAGCAGTGCCTCCGTCTCTTCATCAGATTTGTGCCTCAGCCACTGGGAGGTCTGATTGTTGGAAAACATCAGCAAGCCCTCTAGTGCAACCGTCTGGATATTGGACTTCTCGCAAAGGTAGCGATCCAGCTTCCCAAAATCACTCCCACAAATTGCATTCGTCTTCCTCACAGATGCCGTCTCAGTGGTACTCTGTAAGCCGGATGGCTGGTGAAATGTACCACCAGGAAGGTGATCGCACAGCAGCCGGGTGGAATACAATGCAAAGCCAGCAAACAGTACTTGTGGGATCTCGCACGTCAAGGCATCACTCTCCTGTGGCTCAATCATCTTGTTCTGAACAACATCGGTGAGATCTGTTGCGGCACTAGTAAAGGGTCGGGCACTTCCTTCTAAAACATCTGTCGAGTCTTGTGCCCGCACTCTTCCATTTTCTTGACGATTTCAGTGTAGATCAGACTCATATCATATATGGCCTTGTCCTTGTCCTCCATGACAGCCCACAGTGATGCGACTAAAATCTTGCAAATGAGCCCAAGAGCCCGGCACCCAGCAACCAGCTCGGGAACACACAGGTCAGCTTTCACAGCCTTCAATAGCCGGTTTGCCTCGCCATGGACGTCCTCAAGGAAGGACACCATCACTTCGTGCACTGATATGCAATACTAGCTCCTTTGAAGAAAATCACATAATTTCTGTTGCCACGGTATTCACACAGCGGAGACTTGATGTCAGAATCCTGAAGAAAAGATTTAAACTCTGCCATGCAACCAGCTGACTCATCGCCATGTTCCTCGAAAGCTTTAGTGGCTGAATAAATGAGGCGGTTGATGCAGCTATGACTGGGCTCAAACGCTCCAGGAAGATTGCTGGCACCAATCTTAGCACCTTCGAAATGAGCTTCTTCCCATTTTTTCAGGATTGCATCGGATTGGTCAGCCAGGCCAACGATATAATGGAGACCCCAGAAAATAAATGAGTGCTGACACTTGCTTCTGTTGATCTTCCGAGAGGTCAACCCAGTCACTTTGCACATCGGGGGGGAGTATCTCTGCTCGATAATCCTGCAAAAGATGATTAAAAGGTTTTTTGGGCAATACATTGGTCAGTCACCAGCACTACACAAAGGTCATTGATGCTGCAAACTCCATTCAAAACTCTGCAGTCTGCACTCACATCAACATTTTTGGCTGCAGTGGAGCCTCCGTGTTCTAGAAAACAATACATTGGTCGCTCATAGTATTAACATTTGCGAGGATACGATCACCTGCACTGGTGGCAACTTCAGTAGCATCGGCCATCTTGGACACATCAGCCAGAACAGCCTTGAGCATTTCGAGAGTGTGGACTGCAGTGCCTTGCTCCATGTCCACCATCCCAAGACTGCACACACGCTGCTGGCTTGTACAAATCTGGTAAGCGCCGTACTTGCTGGCGTGCTTGCTGGTACCGCTGCTGTGGAGTGTCGTAAACTGCTCCTATGCTAACTCGCATCTGGGAAAGAAGGCCTGAGACGGCAGCCTTTTCGCAGGCATGCCAACCATTGTCAGTACACTGTTGATCACCATTTTAATATTAGCTCGAGACAGCACTGACGCACTGCGGGCAAGTACTTTCCATCAGCCATCGTCTCAAACTGGATGGTACCGCTGCTTTTGATGGCGTCTGCCTGAAGAGAGGTAAGTTCTTTCCAGAGGGCAACATCTTCTTTGCGTGAAGCTGTCAAGCGAGTATGTTGCCGCGTCATGGCGTGTGTGGGCTCAACCGAAAGCTGATCGTCCATGCTACATCCCGCACCACACGAGGAGTCCTCGTGCAGCGTCTGTGCAGCTACAGATCGACGTTTGCATGCATCTCTCCGCGGTGCTACGCATGTACGCGATTTAGCGTGCCCGCTTTTCGATAGGTTACGTCACGTGACTGAAGTGCCTATCCTATGACTGCCTTCATTTGCCTTTGTGTAGCCACTGGCAAGTGTCACAGTGACACTAACGGACTGCGATGGACTCAAGCTAATACTGCAATCTCCCGAAGCTGCTGCCACTGCTTCTGCCTGCAAGCATCTATTTGAACATGCCGAGAAAGGTCAGTGCCAATATGCCGGCGGAACTTCTTCTTTTCATTAATTTGGTTGAGGTGTAAAGGAAAGCTCAAAACATTGAAGTTAGTTCCTGAGTGATTGGAATTGTTTGTTGACTGCTGAACTGTGTGAATAAGGAGGTCAGGGCCACAAGTCACGGCACTTGAGTGGTGAAAAGAATAGTAAGCATGAACCGTAATGCACCATTGACCCTCCCAGTCGATTTCCTGCCATCAAGCGATCTCAGCACGTGCGTTGAATCCGGATGCATGTTGTATGCTACAAATGCCAGTGCAGGCATTCTGGTGGATGGTGCTCTTCACAATCCAGTATGACAAGTCCGGCCGGGTCACACTTGATTGCAATTCCGTACAGTATAATTATTGCGCTTGATAGCGTCGATGTGATTCCTTCCCCAGCTGTATAGCCAGCTGGGAAGTGACCCAAGGGATGGGATAATGGTACTTTACGGTCACTTATTGCATTTTTCAACACCAATCTATGGCATTACTCTATGGCACCAATCTATGGCATTACTCTATGGCATCAATCTATGGCATTACTCTATGGCACCAATCTATGGCATTACTCTATGGCACCAATCTATGGCATTGCTCTATGGCACCAATCTATGGCATTACTCTATGGCACCAATCTATGGCATTGCTCTATGGCACCAATCTATGGCATTGCTCTATGGCACCAATCTATGGCATTGCTCTATGGCACCAATCTATGGCATTGCTCTATGGCACCAATCTATGGCATTGCTCTATGGCACCAATCTATGGCATTGCTCTATGGCACCAATCTATGGCATTACTCTATGGCATCAATCTATGGCATTGCTCTATGGCACCAATCTATGGCATTGCTCTATGGCACCAATCTATGGCATTACTCTATGGCATCAATCTATGGCATTGCTCTATGGCACCAATCTATGGCATTGCTCTATGGCACCAATCTATGGCATTGCTCTATGGCACCAATCTATGGCATTGCTCTATGGCACCAATCTATGGCATTGCTCTATGGCACCAATCTATGGCATTGCTCTATGGCACCAATCTATGGCATTACTCTATGGCACCAATCTATGGCATTGCTCTATGGCACCAATCTATGGCATTACTCTATGGCACCAATCTATGGCATTGCTCTATGGCACCAATCTATGGCATTGCTCTATGGCACCAATCTATGGCATTACTCTATGGCACCAATCTATGGCATTGCTCTATGGCACCAATCTATGGCATTACTCTATGGCACCAATCTATGGCATTACTCTATGGCACCAATCTATGGCATTACTCTATGGCACCAATCTATGGCATTACTCTGTTCCTTTCACATGTTACTTTAAACAAAGTAGGAGCTGCAAATGTAGTTTGTTGCAAATGTAGTTTGTTGCAAATGTAGTTTGCCGGTTCCGCTACACGTTGCCTGTGCTCACTCTCTTTAGCCGTTATCGTCAGCGTTTTTAGGCTAGGGTGTTCTGATGTTGTCTTCGTTTGTCATGAAACTCATCTTTTGTGTTTCAGGTAACAAGGAGAAGCTGTTTCTGCTGAATAATGATATGCACATTGAGCTGATCAAGCACTCGTTGACACACTCTGATAAGGCTACTCGTTACTACGCTGTCATGTGCCTCGGTAGCATGGCGCAGTGTCGTAAGTCTACCACCGCTCCACGTGTATGTACTAGTGCACCACACACACACACACACACACCACACACACACACACACACACACACACGCACGCACGCACGCACGCACGCGCACACACACACACACACACACACACCTCAGACCTTATTAGACACCCATCACCAGAGGCAATGATGGCGCTGCTACAACAGACGGCATAGCAACTTGTGATATCACTGCAAACTGACCATCCACTAGCTTACAATGCTGAGCAATTGATGGGCATTGTTTGGCCTGGTCAGGTTATATACCAGGGCTTTTCGAAGTTGGTATTCTGGCCGGTGAATCCCTACTTTTTGGTTTTCGATTCCTTTCCTCCTTTGCATGCCGGTCAGACGCCCGAATTGCCATTTGCCTTCGATTATTTATACCGATCTCTGTTACATAAATAGATTGTTGCTTTCGGTGCCTTGTTTTTGGTTTGGGTGCAGCGGAGGTGTTGGAGAAGCTAGCGCGCAATGAAGATTTCCATGCCGTGCTGGTTCCCATGTGCAACACAACAGGTTAGCTTGCAGACTATTTGTGTTCATTACAGTTGTTAACTGCACTGACTTGCTGCTCCGGATTTGGTTTTTTTTGAGGCATGCATGTCACAAGCATGCACCTCCAGGCAAAGCTGGTTCAGTGAAATGATAAGTGAAGCAAACTGGTGTAAGTAAAGGACTTTGTGCGACCCAGAGACTCTCAAAACGATGCGCTGGGATTTTAATGACAAAGACCGGTATACATTATTCCTCGAGGCTGGTTGGAATACAATGTCAGGGCTCACAGCACAGTTCAAAAGTGTGGACGCCATTTTGGACAGGCCACTGTCATGCAAGCCAACCATCAGTGCAGAATCGTGTCCAATCAGGCAGATATCTCTGAAAGCCTTGAAAGTGGGCTGAATTCAAATGGTTCCCTTGCAAGTCTCTGCTGCTCTTGTTCTGCCCCCCGCTAACACCCAATATGGCTTCAGTGCGATTTCTTATTTAGGCGCTGCCAGGTTGAACGCACTTCCACCGGCTTGCTGCATGTCTAGTTCACCAGCTGAATTTCGCTCGTCCATCAAACCATTCCCAGGGTTCCCTGTAAAAAGCCGTCGACGCCCGTTGGGAATTCCCTATTAAAAAAAAAAGAAAATGCCTAGGCCTTTGAAACTCTAGGAACGTACTCTCGGTACCCATTGTAAGGATTTGTCCGAAAGGTTTCTTTAAATTCCACCGGCAATCTTACGGGAGAGTGAAAGCTCTGTCCGTTTCTGCTGCACTTGGTGAGAGAGGGGCCAAAACGGAAAATATGGCTCGGACAATTTCTCGGCAAGATCTACTGTAAGAGTTGAAAGTGTGACGAGTCTAAAGTTTAACGACCCGCAAAAAATTCCCACGTAGCGTGCACAAAGTTTAACGACCCTACCAGCACACACCTGTCTTCTATTTCTCTAGTACAGAGGAGAGCAGGAAAAGCATACTATGTGTAACGTTTCGTGAGCTCACGATGGATTCTTTCTAGTTAAAACGTTAGACGTTGGGCCCCGTTAGACATTCAACTCTCACAGTAAACAAAACAAAATACGCCATCAAATGTCGAAATCGACGAAAACGGGTGAAAACGAACAAAATGAACGGCAAAGAGCGTCCGAACATTTTGAACGGCAAAGAGCGTCTTGTTTGCGCGCGACAAGCGTGAGTGCTTGACAACTATTTTTGTTCTGCACAGGAAAGAAAAACTTTGCGCGGCTCTTACTTGAAGCTAGCTCTGCTCTTCAGCTTCACTAACTCTGCTGTTTGCCGTAGTCGCTGGGAAACGTTGTGCCTCTGCTGCCCTCTCCTGAATTGCCGCGGATGTCCCTGAGCCTGGATCGTGGACCACACCATGCCTCGTGCCTTCTTCTTCTAAGGCAGCCATTTTCTGCTCGTGCGCATCAGCTGGCCGTGCGCGATGCCTGGACGAAACATTGCTGTTTGTTTCAGCAGCGGTGAGGGTACGGGCAGGAGACTGTTTGGCTTGGAGTAGCTTCACATGTGCTCCGGCTTTCTTGAGACTGTTTGGCTTGGAGTAGCTTCACATGCGCTCTGGCTTTCTTGAGACTGTTTGGCTTGGAGTAGCTTCACATGTGCTCTGGCTTTCTTGAGACTGTTTGGCTTGGAGTAGCTTCACATGTGCTCTGGCTTTCTTGGCTCGCACAGTCCTTACAGTCGCAGCATATTCTTTCATTTGCCTGGCAACATGCTCCAGAACATTTTTAGTGACACGAACGGACTTTCAGCTACAAGCGGACATGGACTCGTACACGTGGAGGCGAGCAGGCGTGGAATACAGCACTTTCTCCAAAGAACAAATTCAATGGATTGCCTGCTTGGACAGCTCACTCTCGTTTGGATGGATAGCGATTTTAACTGCCGTTCAGCAATGACATTGTTGACGGGCATTGCGTACATGTACATGTAGGTGGCAAACCAGTGCCACGAGTGACGCTCACTGTCTCTTCAAGGACAGGATGCAAGACAAACTGCCTGTGGCAATGCGTCAGCATCCAGTGGCCATTTGGCGAGCCAGGTGTCAAGGTACTTGACCTGCCCAGCGACCAGTGCAAGAATGGAAAACTCCTCAAACCAAGACGTGGTCACCTGCCGAAGAAGATGTGCCTGTTGGTCGAGCATTTCCTGGTCGTAGCAGCTTTCAGCCAGCTTCTTGGGACACTTAAAAGTGATGGCAAGCTGCAATAACTAATCATACTTGACTGGCCCTTGCTCATCTGATGTAGATAATTGTGCGCCTGCAGTGAAGGTGGAAACCTGAACAGGTATAGCGCGAACCCGGCAAGCCAGACTAGATGCATACCTATGGGCTGTATCAGTAGCTGGCATACGAGAAGAGGAAAGTGAAGCCACCTAGTGTAGTGCTTCTCTAATGCAGCAAGAACAGCATCTAGCTTTGGTTCTTGGACATGTGTCGTGGAGTGTTTAGCTGTGTCTGGCTCCAGCCTTATCTTGGCTTCAGCTCTCAGAGGCATGAGGCGTAATCACTGTGACGATGCATCAGCTTAGCCACCCGCATGTCTCTGATGACATACGATCGTCACATTCTTGCTAAGTATCCAGAGCTGAATTTCAGCTCACCATCGCCGCTCTGGCACTTGATCAGCCTGTTGAGTAGCTCCAGCAAGACCGTCCGCTCGGCAACAATAACCTCATTAGAGGCCATGCGCATGATGTCCTCTCAGATAGAAAAGTGGGAATCCTTCTTTGGAAGGAACCTCGGGATGCGCTTGCCAAGCTCCAGACATGCCTTGCCGTACTTCTGCCACCACTCCAAGTTTGCACGATATACTTCCAGCGAGTGTCCACAAACTTCTGCAGAAATGGAGATGGTCTTGATAGAACTCCCTCGCTGACGTACAGTGCTTTGTAGTAGCTTGGCTTCTCGTGGTGTACGTACACAACCTTGTACTGAAGCTGAAACAGATTGAAGCATAATTATTATGCTGCTACGCTGTCCAAAGCTATCAGCCACGGCATTGCGGAGGGCTATGTTCAGGATGTGGGGATAGCAGCCGATAAGCACGGTGTTGCTTTTGAAAAGCACGCCAAGCTCAGCTGCATAGCCTTTCCTGCTGCCCGACTGGGTAGACGTGTTATCTCCCACCACTCCGCATACTTCTGACACACCATATACACGATACTAGTCTGTAGAGTCTAGGCTAGGCTAGAGGCATAGAATGGAATAAAAAGCTACAACAGATCCCAGCCTTTGTTGTTGTTCATTTCGGGAGATAGGTCCCTGATGGAGATGGCCTCTCAGATTCTCTTCCGGAGTCGATCGCTCTCATAACCAAGAACTTGGACGTTAATGAACGCTGTTTCTCCCAAGAGCAATGACACTGATTGATATTTTGCTGCATAATGCTCGCCAGTTGCTCTTACCCTTCACCGTGTTCCGAGTATCGTCATTGTGCTCGCTGGTCCTGGTGGCAACGCTACGGTAGGTCTTACCGACGTATCTCTCGCCACATTTGCAGTGGAGTTGGTAGACTGCGTTTCGCTTTGCGCCTTCTTTATATCCCGACATGAAGGTAATACAAGCAGCTTTAGGCCATCCTGCTTGCGGGGCTGGGTAAAGTCTACACACTTACGCCATTGCAGATGACATTTTGGTTACAGAAAATTGTGTTGGTTTATAGCTAGAGGGTGCTTGTTTATAAACTGCTGGATTGGTGCATATATACCGCGATGTCAATGTCAATACAAGTCAGCAACAGAGCCATGCAATCGGACTGATGTACCTCTCTGGCACTGCCAACCTCGGGGGCTTCGGCAACTGCTGCCTTTGTCTTGCCCTTCCAGCCGAAGCGGCTTGGATCCGGCTCCCTCTTTCTGGACCTTTCATAGTCCAAAGTCTCTGATCCACTTGGTATACTTGGTTTGATTTGGGTTTTAATATTTCAGTTCGTTGCTGTGTTGTTCTGTTGTTGTGTTGTTGTGTTGTTGTTGTGAATAGTAAAAAGTACAAATAGTAAGAGGGACGCGAGTAAGAAAAACAAAACGGCAGGAAGAAAGCAAGGACTAAGAAAAGACTCTTCGACCGTAGCGGTAGATGTACCGATGAAAGTGAAACATCTTTCTTGGTTTGATTTGATAATGCGCGGAGGTAGTGATATCACACGGAGGTAGTGATATCACACGGAGGTAGTGATATCACACGGAGGTAGTGATATCACACGGAGGTAGTGATATCACACGGAGGTAGTGATATCACACGGAGGTAGTGATATCACACGGAGGTAGTGATATCACACGGAGGTAGTGATATCACACGGAGGTAGTGATATCACACGGAGGTAGTGATATCACACGGAGGTAGTGATATCACACGGAGGTAGTGATAATGTGCCTAGGTAGTGATAATGCGCGGAGGTAGACGAGGTCTACTAGTGACTAGGTCGCCTGAAAAAAACAGCGCGAAAAGGACTGCATCAGAAGGCGGTCTGTCACGCCCGCGCTCTGAAAACGGGTGTGACAAGCAAGACGTATCTCGGGCTCAATAGAACTGAAAAGACCATTCACCGTAGCGTCGATGTACCGATGAAAGTCACCCTCCCCACCCATCCTGGTTACATGCAATTGGTCTGTTTCCAAACCTAATGATACGGGAATTGGCATGCTTTTGTCTCGCATTCAGGCTCTTGACCTTGTCATAGGTAGTCCGGTTACATTCCTGATGTTTGCCTCTTTTCTCTTCTCGACCTACGGCAGAGGGCTTGGCTTGCCAGCAGCACTCCAGCTACCTCATATCTCGCATTGCTAGTAAGTACATGGTACAATCATTTAAATTCTCAATTGTCCGGAATATCGTCTATCCAGTTCTTTGAATTTCGGTCGTAGCACGTTTACAGAAAACAATGCGAGTGCACCCCAGCCCCATTTTCGATTATCTAAATCCGTCACCTACTTTAAGTGGGTATATTTTTCCACACACATCTGTATGTAATGGAGCAAGGTCCGAGTATGTGCTGCATTGAATATGTGTAAGCATGCCAGGGGAAATTATAAGCAGGGTTGGCGTCACTGGTATGGCTGGTGCGGCCATGGCCGTACCAGTTTTGACCAATCCCAGCGTTCCGAGGTGGGCTGCTCAGTGTGGGATTGATTGTTTGGACGTACTAGTAATAGTCTATCCTCATACACTCCTTGCTAGAGTCTCCCTCCCAAACTGTTCTTCTTGTCCAGTGAGGCCCAGTCTACTGCGTTAGCTCTCATATCTGTTGTTAGAGGACTCATGAGTGTGTAGCTGAAACAAACAGATTATGATGATGCATCAAGCTAGAGATGTTTCCCCCCAGGATGTTGAAATAAGGCATGGGGAAATACTCAGTCCTGTTGCCAACCCGAGGCCGTACCACCCCTCAGTAGCTGTCTCCGGGCCTGATTTAAAGGGATGCCACAGTCAAGTATGTAGACCACGTGTCGGCAACCACCCAATGGGACCACCTTGGGGATCATGATTGCTTATCCGAGCAACGGCCTGGTGTGGTACTGTACATGGCACACAGTCTGGTAATGTGCTCGTCATTATTGCTATAATCCGTGACTTGATGCCACCAACACCTATGAACTGGCGAGCGAGGCTTCATTCGCAATGTGGGGATGGGTGCAACAGGCAAACCCAGCGTTTTCTGACGCCGTGAAACTGATGGGCGATACTTGCTTTAATTAACTTTTAAAATGCATGTCTATTGTGTCATTTCTCCAAGGTATCCATCCCTACTTTGCTGGAATGATGTGGAAACATGGAGCTGTGCCAGCAATAGTTCCTCTACTGGCATCAACTGACAATGACATCAAAGTAAGTTTACTACGCCTGTAGTAGGGAGGTCACTCGGAAAATCAAATTTGCGAGTTTTGCATAAAACGCTAGTTTTTCTACACCGGGAAGATGTGAGAAACAACCTGTGAAAATTTGAACCCTAAATTCCAAGGCAATCTAGAGGTAGTCGATTGAAGATTGGAAAATGGGGGCCGAAACAGCCACAGAAGCAAATGCAAGTACAGTCGACTCCTGATATAACGAACACCATTGTGCAGGACAATTTGTTCTTTATAGCCGAAATTCGTTATAACGGAAATGCAATCACACTGTACAAGCAGCAAGTCATGACTGGCAAGTGGCCCATGACAGTATGAGTGCACTTGGTTTACATACGGTTTACACAAGATTTGGTTTGTTATAAACAAAAACTGTTCGCTATAAAGGGTCAGTTTTGTATTGGTCCAAGCAGGGACATGGACAAGGGTTTGCTACATCACTAAACTGATTCGCTGTACGCGACTTCATTATAAGCGTCAGGCGAAATTACTGGTCAGTCGGCGACACGCATTTTTCACAAAAAAATTGCGTTTCACCTGCTGGGAGAGTATGCATGTACTCGAGTCTCATCCTGAGCACGTTTTTCTTCTTCTTTTTTTTTCAGCTCCAGTATAGCTGTATCATAGCCAGCAATCGCATGTCATCACGTACATTGAAAATCAACATAATTTTGCGAATCGATCTTTTTTCCAGGATCACTTTTCAACGAGGACGAAGCAAAGTCGGCCGAACGAAGCCAAGAGGAAGAAAATCACCCTCTCCACTTCACCAACACGATACTGACATAGATACGAGATGAAACAACTAAAAAATCCACAAGAAAACTGTACGGCCATCATCGCGCTGACTTTGGTCTGAGAATTTCTATCATGATCAAAAATGTACGAGGAGCACTCAAAAATAAGCCACAGGCGTACCTTTATCGCTCTCTACTCCTTTTTCAAGGCACAAAAGTCGACTCTCCACTTTCAAACCAGGAGCCAGACATACCAGTGGTCCTTTTCAGCTGCTCCACGAGCGCAGGAAATGTTCACCAAGGGGCGCAGAGCAGCATCCATTCCAGAAAAAGAGCTAAAATACGAGTGAGACTGCGTGACTGAGTACATGAGTACATGAATGAGTACATGCAGAAAATAGTCAATTTCAGCGTTTCTGCTCCAAACAGTTTCGACTAGAAAAAAAGATTACACCAAAGGATCAAACAACAACCATTTTCTGCAGTTTTTTGCAGATAGCTTCCTTGTACTTGACCCAGCACGCCAAAAATCACACCTCGGAGGAGTACAAAAATTACAACTCTCAGATGTCCTCGATTGCTGGCCATGTTTTCATTGCAAAGCCGTCCTCGATTGTTGTGTTTGTTGTTCAAACGAAGTGGACATTCAATCATGAAGGCAGAGGACATAGGAGCCTGATTGGAGTTTCTCGTGGCATAGGACGGCCACACAGAGACACTTTGGGATTTTCTGAATATAAAATACCGTACGCACGATGCTGAGATCAATTTGTGCGATATCAAATTGTTTGTGATCTACCACATCGAGCAGAACAGGATCCAAACACAAGCTTACCGACGGCTAGGCTGCCGACCTGACTGGACAAATGATCCCTGGCTTCACCAGACGCCAGAAGTCGGACACCATGTCCTTTGCCGCGACGTCCATCTCCAAAAAGAACTCCATCTTCGTCGGGAAAAGGCTTGAAGTGCTCAATATTCAACCGAGATTCGCGGACTCGCGCTTTCTCGGATCGATTAATTTCCTGTTGGAACAGTTGCAGGGCAGCTTCCTGCCACTGTTTCAACAGGCGATGGGACCAAAGCAAGCCTGGAACAAGCCATATCGAGGTTGCAAGCCACCCCTCTCAGCAAAAAATTCGAAGAAATTCGAAATTTCAGTGGTGGAAGATATACTATGAAGAGAATTTCAAAAAGTATGTTTCGCGGAGCGATCGCTCAACCTACGTCATTCAAACTTTGCAGGATGGTTCAGACGTACATGCTAGGCATGGAACCACAGGCGATGATGCCATAGCGGACACACAGAGTAACACACACAGCAGATTTGTGTGCACAGATACTAAATTAGTGGACGTCGTCATCTTCTTCCCGCTGATCTCGAATGTACTATGACGTGCTATTTCGCCTGACGGTGGAGTCAACTGTATGTCTCAGTAGCCTGTCATTTTTGTGCCCTGCTATCGCACTTTCTGACTCCTTATTATCTTGTTATAGTCGTGGATAGTTGCTTCATAACTCGTTTCCATCCATGTGATTTCTTCTATTTTCATCAGCAAAATGTGAGAACAACAATGGGCAAAGAACCCAACGCATTCAAATGTATTCAGGGCTTGTTGTTATGACAGTGACTACTGCTGCCAATCATGCAAACGTATGATACCAGAAGCAGAGAGTTACTGCTGACCAGCCCTTAGCCTACATTCGACTGCGAAGGGCATTCGCCTGCGGCGGTAAGATTCTTAAGTGTTGCTGAAGCAAGTGATAGCCATCGCATTAAGGAGAACGAAATCTTGCAGCGCAGGTAATGCATCACAATATAAGAATGCAAATCAGCATCAGCATTCCTTTCAGCATTCCTTTCCGCAACTAGACTCGCCAGGGTCTTCAGGAACACTGAACATTCCCTGCCAACCAGCCCGGAGGTGAACTGGTGATATTGCTGCTATCACTGGTGATCTTGCTGCTATCACTGGTGATCTTGCTGCTATCACTGGTGATCTTGCTGCTATCACTGGTGATCTTGCTGCTATCACTGGTGATCTTGCTGCTATCACTGGTGATCTTGCTGCTATCACTGGTGATCTTGCTGCTATCACTGGTGATCTTGCTGCTATCACTGGTGATCTTGCTGCTATCACTGGTGATCTTGCTGCTATCACTGGTGATCTTGCTGCTATCACTGGTGATCTTGCTGCTATCACTGGTGATCTTGCTGCTATCACTGGTGATCTTGCTGCAATCACTGGTGATCTTGCTGCTATCACTGGTGATCTTGCTACTCTCACTGTTGATCTTGCGATTGGTGATACCACTGGTGTTCCTGCTATCACTGGTGATCTTGCTGTACTCAAAGCTTTATTAGGGAAAATCACCAATTTTGATACAGAATGCCAAAACCGAGCGGAATAAAATAATTACCAAAATCCAGTACAAGAATAGATAAAAATTGTACCATGCCAATCAGCTATCGCTGGTGTTGCTGCTATCACTGGTGGTGCTGTTACAGATGCTGCTGATGCGGACCCTGATGCACTTGACCCCGTGGCAGCTGCAGATCCAAGCAATACTTCCTTCGAATTGCTGGCAATGTCCAGCACAGGGAGAAACCTTCCATGTTTGGACATGGCAAATAATGAAGTATTCTTCACTGTTTGGTGGAGCACATACCTTCTAAACTGCAGCTGTACCCCGAGTGCTTTTCGTTGCTGCTTCACTGTAAGCAAAGCCTCCACCTGCTCGTGGACTTCATCATGCAGCCACTAGCCAAATTCCGCAATCCCCTTCGTCAGGCCTTTGTGTCTCTGGCATGCTTTCGTATCAACTCTTCTTCCTTCTTTTTCAACTCGACAGCACGCTGATTTCGTATCTCACTCTGACGCTGCCTGTAGATGCTAACGAGTTCCTTCTCAGACTTGCGTCCTGCATGGGTTATTTCGGCTCGTTCCTCGGCAGTCTTGGATTCCAGCCATGCGCTAGTCCTGTTATTGGCAAAGAGCACGAGACCTTCCATAGCAATGGTCCTAGCACATGGCTTCTCTCTCATGATGTGGTCTAACTGTGCGAAATCTCACTGCATTTGTCTTCGCTACTGATCTTGTCTCTGCTACCAACCTTTCACTTGCTGAGTGGAATTTACCCTGTGTAAGTGCTCTGGAAGCAGTCGTTTCATGTCAGCTGCAAGGGACGAGCAGAGAACCTGCAGAAGGAAACGAAACGCAGTGTGTTGACAGTGTCCATTATGCGTGAGCACATGGATTTCACAGCTGTGTGGTGCACTCGAACATGAACAGCAATGTATCCAATGTGGCTCACCTGAAGAGCTTCCAAAGCTAGATTGTCACTATCACTGGGTTCAAGAAGGGTTGTCAAGACTGTATCAATGATCTGGACCATGGCTCCAGAAAAGGAGCGAGCTGGTCCATCCAGGAGAGGACTAGTAGCATCGCCAGCCCATTTCAGGAAACACTTCTGAAACTCTGATTACACAGCCGACATTTAAGATATCGACAGAGACTTGTCTTCCAGAGCACGCCACAGCGGTGCAATAACCAATTTGCAGATGATCCCGAGGGCTGGGGCACCCGAGCAATGAGGACTGGCACTCCCAGGGCAGCTTTAACCCTTTATGTACCAGCCATCCAATGTATGTAGAGGGTACCCCTGCACAAACATCAGTTCACAGCTCAGGACAAATGAACATTTTATATAATTATACATATATTGAGTAATTATACAAGTTATGTTTCTCCAGGCTACCATGGATAGAGGAATCCGTTCCAGCAAAAATGGAAGTCAAAGTTTGATGATAAGTGCGGGGCCATTGACCAAATATGGCATACATTCCCAAACACCTAAAAATCAGCTTCAATACACAGCTATGATGGCATAAGACCTACTCAGCACACCAAAATCTTGCAAAACACTCGTAGTCCTCTACAATGATTATCTAGATGTTCCCATGATGCTCAGCAAAGCAGTTGCGTGTAGAGGTGAGACAGAAATGAGACGCATTTCCTTTGCGGTTGTTGCATACAGAACATGCTATTCTAGACTTCAATGCAGGAGTTTCTTTGCACACAACGCAGTCTCTCTTGTCGTCTGTAGCGATTGGCAGGTGTTGTTGTGGTTCCTCTGGAGCAGCAGCAGCAGCGCGAAGTCCTTCCATAGGCTTGTACAGCGGAACAGCAGCGTCGTCCTCAATTTCAGAGAGCTGCCGCACAACGTTGAGCCGGTATTCCATCTGGTTCATTGGACGATCACCACCGATGAGTCCAGGATTGTCAACACGCCGTTGCTCAAACAATATAAATGAATTGACTATGGCTACTTCTATAAAATCAAAAAAAAGAGTCTTCCAATATTTCTTGGTCTTCCTAAGTATGCGATACGATGCCACCAGCTGATCGAACTTGTCGACGCCTCCCATAGCCATATTGTAGACTTGAATTGTCTCTGGCTTTACAACAATGTTGTGGAGTTGCCCATGCTGTTTGATAGTTCTGTTTTCATTGACGAATTCTGTGGCGCTGTGGATGTTTGAGATCATTGTTACGCAGCGCTTGTCCATCCACTGTAATTGGATCAGGCTTCCTTCCCTAACATAACGCATATCCGATCTGTTGGCACGGCGTTGAAACTCCTTTGAATTCTTCAAGGATCTGCTGATGCCACGGCGGTTGACCTGGCAGGTACCACATGCCCTTGTATTATAGTTATCCGACAGGTTATTGTAAAGTTCAGGAGAAGAATAAAAGTTATCTGTAAATACGTGGTAGCCTTGGTGCTTGACGGGTGCCAATATACGCATCAGCGTAGCTATTGGTAAAGCCAACAATAGACCCGACAACTGCATGGGTAAAGAAAAGACGAAAGAAATCAACTTCATTCTCGGGGTGGAAACCATCGGGGAAATGACAGCTAGGCTCACGGATAGGGTTGAACACGGGTAGTTGGGGTCTTGCGTCGTCATCCTCCCAGCTCTTCAGATCGGCAGGAGCAGCTACTGGCGCAGGAGGCACTCCACCGCCACCACGACTTCGACCTCCACCGTGGCCACCACGACCACCACGACGTCCTTCCATAGGAGCCGCCATTGCCACATGGGCGTCAATTGTGACCTGGGCGCTAATGTGCACAGGGCTGAATAGTTCAAAGTTATACACCTCTCTGTGTAGGCGTGGGTTCGAATCCCACTTCTGACACCATGTAACAACTTCTTGAGCCGAGGACTAGCTACTCAATGGGAGTAGCTAGCAGGGTATATATGGGGGGGGGGAGAGCATAGGTGATAACTAACACAATGCAAGTGTAGATGATGTAAGTGCGGGAATATGGTGTGAATGGACGTGTGAGTGTAAGCGCTATCTCAATGCTGGTGGAATATCTCACACACACCACTTGGTTAAGAAAAGTAAGTACCAAGCCCCGTCATCATTCCATGTACAGTGTACCGGTGTGTATACCCTCCTGTGTTGTGTTGTGTTGTGTCTTTAGAAAAATGCCATCATTGGCCTAGCAGCTCTGGCATCTGATGCTGAAGCACGTACCAGTCTGCTGGAGGAGAGCAGTAAGTCGATGTCACTGTGTGTGTCTAGCTGTCTACCTGCAGCCGCTGTAACACGTTACATTAGTCAAAATGTTCAAAATCAGAGTACTAGCACAGTAAAACCTGTCTACGAAGACCGCTCTCAAGGGACCTTCAAAACGTGGTCTCCGTTACCAGGTAGCCTCCTTATCCAGGGTCATTTGACTGGAAATAGCGTCCCTTGATCCTGGTTTCAGTGGTCTTCTAGGACAGGTGGTCATCTTATCCGAGTGGTCATCTTATCCGAGTGGTCATCTTATCCGAGTGGTCGTCTTGACACTTTTACTGTACTTCCTTTGATGAAGCAACATTTTTGCTCCCTTCACGTTTTCATTGATACCTACCAGTGTCTCAGAACGGGTCAGTGTTGCTGCTGAGAACGAGGCGAGGAGTCATTGGCAGTTAAAACTCCATCAATCAAAAAGAACAACGTAGCTTGATGAAGCGCTTGTTGTCGTGTCCTCCTTCGTGCCTACCAGAAACGCAATTATTTCATCTCGACATTTTTTCTGCTCGCTTCACCTCCTTCACGAGGTACAACCGGTCTTGGTTCTCGAAGCTGAATTGCTGTGGGTTGCTCTACTATCAGTGAGCTGAATTGATGTGGGTTGCTCTACTATCAGTGTGGTGACTTTAATTATTGCAAAGCCACTTGTCTCCAGCTTGTCCCCAGGTTGCCTTTGAACGAGCCATAAAGGCAGTGCTGCTTCGCTTCCGCTGGGTGCTGTTCTGCTCGTTGTTTGTACAATGTGGACCAACAGGAGTGCTTTAATGGCGTGTGCAAGCTGGAGAATTAGTGTGATGCAATGTTGCAGGTGACCGTGGCTTGAGTCGATACCTGGCTTTCTGCTTTCCCATGCGAACAGCTGAGTTTACTATGCCAACAAGCAATCATTTTGCGAGAACTGTGGCAGTGCCCAGTGAGAAGGCAGATTTTGCTTGTGCTTCTGGTGAAGTAAAATAGAGCTAAACAAACAAACAAACATGCAGTACAGGATGAGCGTTTTCCAAGATATTAGTATCCTTGTTTGTGGAGTACACGAGTAGAGATAAGCTGATCGAAAAGATTCACTCCCCCCATGGCGTGATTGTAATTGTCTACAAATTGCAGCTTTCTGAACTCTATCTATGCTGCCCATAGACTTGTCAACACCTGGGGAGGGAAGATGTATAGTAAAAGATGCCCAAGGATGTGGGTGATCCTTATAGCTTTATCGACCGGGCATCCTTGGAAAGACAAGGATACTAGGTTACACTTAAATGTTTTTGTGAAGTTATACATTGCTGCTTTTAGTCCATCGGCCAAATCTCAGAAAGGGCCTCTTTCGGCGGAGGTGATGCACTGAAGCTCCAACTAAACGCCCTTTGGCACACTAGCTCATGAGACCCCATAGAATACGAATCCGTTTGTTGGACGTTGCCAATCCAGTCCAGGATAGTCGAACTGGGTCGAATACCTTCGGCCGATTTTGGAATTTCGTCCACCATCTTTCTCATCAGTGTTTATTTTGTGTGGCAAATGTTCTCGAGCCGCTGAGCAGAATCTGCGCACGCTTGAGCGCGTGAAAGGCATGCATGTTGACTCGTACCGTCCGAAACATTTTGGCGAGCTTGCTGAATATGATCAGTAGTAAGTTCAGAATTTGAGGCTCAATACATTCGGAGAAGACTGAGTAGTGTGGCGTATTGTCACTAAAATATTTGCTTGAACGTGCTATTGAGAATGGGTAGAAGATGGAGTGTTTTCTTGAGCTAGTTTTCTATGTAGATCATCTCATCTGGCGTCTATAAAGAACGCGTATTATTATTATTATTATTATTATTATTATTATTATTATTTTAATAACGAAGGTACGTGTTAGGTCGTAAGTATCCACGCAAACACACATCCAGTCAAAATGTGTGTTTGCGTGGATACTTACGACCTAACACGTACCTTCGTTATTAAAGTATTATCCGCCTCCGACTTCTTGTAAAATTATTATTATTATTATTATTATTCATTGTCGTCGCCAGCTGAACTAGAACATGCTGGACACCACCACTGCACTCGTCTGCTGAGGATCTGCATCAAAGCTCTTGATAACCACGAGAAGCACATGCAGAGGTAGGCATATAATATATCACAAGCATGTTTGACTCCATACGAGTGGACTTGATACCACTAGATGGTCCATAAATTGATACCATAGTGAATTAATGTGAATAATACAATCATGTGAAATCTTAAGATTGTAAGAATCGTAGGAACACTTGGTCACACTCCTCATACTGTACAGTCACCTACCAGTACAACTATTTACAATTTCAGAATACATGTTACGGTAAGTTACCGTAACAATATAGGAACAGAGGTGATTCTGGATATAATCACTTGTCACGGGTGTATACACTACTACGAATTTCACCTTGCATGCCCGACTGCGTAAGTAATACAGACGCATGCAGTATCACACAAATAATGGCATAACAGATACGACAGAACAGTTTGCAACAAGAAATAGCGCGTGATGTTTGGCGTGTGTTGACCGCCATGTTATAGATAAAGTAGTGTCACACCATTTCATCATCGTCACTGGCTTCTGAATCACTGCCTGATGGTTGATGGTCCGACTCTGACTCATCAGCAGAAGAAGGGCATGCCGTGTCTTCCAGCGCTGGGGTGGCGTTGGCAGCAGTTTCAGGTTGCATTTCACCTGCTTCGCTGGGTTCATCCGTGCTGTTAAATGGATTACTGCAACGTTGGCACTTACACAAGTCGGTGCAAGCAAGCAATTCCCTCTTGCAGGAACACTGGCGACTTGTGCAGCCAGTTTTGCACCCACAGCTTGCTAGCTTCAAGATGTCACGTGGAGCATGATGCTGTGTCATCCACTGAATCCGAAGGGTGCCTACATGAGGGCAGAGTAAAGGAACAAACTTTTCACAGTGTTACACTAGATTTATGCCGGGATGCCCTAATATACTACTCGCGGTACCAGTGGTGCATTGTGCTCTAGGCTTGATATTGCCACGAACTGGATACATTGTCAAAGATAATGAAATCATACCGAGTCTTTTTAGTTTCACTTGCCTCGGGAGTCCAGTGTCCATCCATGTCCAACAGGCGACGGAAGATCATGGCAGGGCACAAGGGCAGCTTTCCAGATATACACTTGATAATTGGCCCGCAAGGTATGCTGTATAAGGGCGTCCTTGGTTGGTGGCATCTTCTGGGGATTGTCCGCAGCAAGGGACATGTAGCGGGCAACGTTGATTTCCTTCGTATCACTACGATACAGCTGACAGACGAATGCTTCGCAATTTATCTTTTGTTGTTGACTGATAATCAAACTGGAACCGAGCTCTGCCATTGCAGATGCCATGGACGCATCTTTCTTCACTAATTCGAGTGGCACTTTCTTGCCTTTCCCATAGAAGGAACTGTTGCTGTCACAGCCAGTAAATGCGTGCATGCCAATCAATGCCTTGCACACTTGCTGACCGAGCTTCTCGGTAATGCCATTAATATTTATTAGTCGTACCTGTCTTTTGTTCCCGTCTTAAAGATCAGTGTTCCACTCATGGAACTGACATGGCTCACTGCGAGGATGACAACATCGGTGTCTGGTGATGAAATAACGGATGATTTATATCCTTGCTGGAACGCATGGTTACAGTGGAGGAGAAGGCGAGTGTCAGCTTCCTCGTGATTGGACTTCAACTCCGGTACATGGTCAACCTGGAGGTGCGTACTGTTGTCTGTCTTCGACAGCTTCACGCACTGCGTGCCAACTGTCACGTAGACTTGATGCTGATCGTTCAGCTGATCATGTATGGCAGCGATGTTCTGTATGTGGAATCAATGCCGAGGTCCTTCAGCTTGTCTGTGTACATTTCTGTCAGTTTGTCCGTCCTCAGAGCGACAATTGCATCTTGATGGAACAACTTCCCCTCCATGAAACTCGTAAGCCAGCTTGCTGCATCCTGGTATGGTGTCTCTGAGACTGATGCTTCCTTTTCAAGCCTGGGCTTTCTCGCCTCCTTCAGTGATGACGGGTGAGTAAAGTTAGCATAGCAACTCCTGTGATACGTGAGGTCAGCAGCAACACAATCCGGCCCACCTTGCACGTGTAAGAGTACTTTCCTTGCCAGTTCATCATGTTCCGCTTTAGCCCTGGCAAATTCCAAAAGTTTTTCTCCAGCCCAGAACTCGGCGCAGAGAATTAAACTTTCAGTAGAACCACTCTTCCTTCTTTTCTGCTTTCGGGAAAGGCAAACGTCTTTCTCCATCTTGTTCTGGCCACTTCTTGTCAGACGTCTTTTCGCTTGCGGTTCGTCACTTTCATCGGGAGACAGGTCTGAGTCGGGTACACTGGCCGGAAGTGACGTACTGCTGGCTACTCCCGAAGCGGTTCTGTGTTTCGCTACACTTTTCTTGTGTGTATATTTCTGGTAGCATTTTCTATGGTACCAGCCCTTCCAAGGACCATTCTCGTCTGTTTGGCCCTGTGCGCAAAGAAACTTCCAACTTTCATCCTGGTATAGTCTGGTGCAGGACACAAGACGACGCCAGCTAGTTTCACTGAATTCTGTGATGCCCGCCTCCTCCTTCTTCCCCAGCGTGCAACAATGGCAAAGGCAAGATTCCCAAGCCAGCTTGGTTCCGCTGCTGGATTTTCCGGCAAGAACTGCCACTCCGCCTGTAGCCTCACGGGGACTAGGTGAGTCGTCATCTTCCTCCATTAATCCTGATCTTCACGCAACCCACAGACACAGCACCAAGAACAACACTGTAACCTCAAAACTACAACACTGCAACTGAACAGCTTCAAGCTTGATCACCAGAATATAAAATTAATGAACAAGACGAGCGCGAAGAGAGAAACAGCTACAGGCACGCTGTAGGGTCCTTACCTGAGGTGGTGGGAGGTGGTGTGGGCGAAGTAGCGAAGGAAGATAGCACACATGCAGAGCCACCAACACCAATCGCCCGTCACATACTAGTACTACATGACACGTAGCGTCAGTCTCAAACTTACTTGCTGCAGCAAAAGAACGAACAAGACAAGCGCGAAGAGAGAAACAGCTACAGGCACGCCGTAGGCACCTTGCCTGAGGTGGTGGGAGTTGGTGGTGGGCGAAGTAGCGAAGGAATATAGCAAACATGCCGAGCCACCAACACCAATCGCCCGTCACATACGACGTGACACGTAGCGTGAGAGTCTCAAACTTGCGGCAGCCGAAGAACGAGCAAGACGAGCGCGGAGAGAGAAATCGAAACGGCTGCAGGTACGCTGAAGACTCCTGAGCTGGTGAGCGAAGAACCGAAGTGAAACGAAGGAAGATACAAGCATACGGGGCACCAAAACCAATTGCCCGTCACATACTAAGTGCCATTTGAGCGTGACAGCTGTCAGCTGACAGCTTCAAAAATTTGCCAAACGGCTCAAAAAACTCTCGATCAAAACTCTGCGCACTCTCAAATGGAGCGCACAGTAAAAAACTCGGCGACGAAGAACGCTTTGTATTGACGCCCTGGACTGAATTCGGCATGTCCAACAAACGGAATAGTGTTCTCTGATATATTCTCTACATGCTGGGTATGGTCGCGTTTACTTAAAAGCTCAGTGCATCACCACTTTCGATTTTGAGACTTGGCCGATGGACTATTTGTGTCTGCTCTTCCTCTTTGCTATGCCCTGCTCCCAATTAGCAACCGTACCGACTGTACTGGAGTATCTTTACTCTGAGTATCGTGACTTTCAGATCAACGCCCTTGACGCAGTACGCAATCTCACTGGCTCAGGTAAGCCATTATGATGTTTGTACTGTTATAGTGACGTGAGGTGGACCTATTAGTACGGGGGCCAGGTGCCCAAAATGTTCACTTTCGCTGAAGTTGAGAGCGCACAACTTTTTGGGTGTTTCACCGTGTAGAGGGGACCACAAGGGGGAGCTCCACGATGTATTTTTTTTTACCCGAGAAGCGTAATAGAAGGTACTGAAATTAGTCGTTGAAGTTGCATGGTAACCATGGCAACTGCATAGCAACAACATCAGGGCTCACCACGACCACACCGATGGCTTCAGGTGCCAATAGTCCTGTCCATGGGTAGGGATTTCAGGCGTTTTTTTATTATCAGCGTTGTGCTCCAGTTCACGCGTTTTTCTGAAGCATCTTTGTCCACAGAATGTCTACAGAAAATTTGAACGGAATCAAAGCAGTATTTCCAAAATTATGAGCATTCAAACATAGCGCACCAACCTTGATGAACATGTATACAAATTGGATCGGCAGGATGGCACAAAGTGGATTTCTGAAACTCCCTAGCAACATCATAGCAACCATAAACTTCATCCGATCGTGACCAAACTTGGCTCAAGGATAGCCCTGGCTATGATGGCACCAAAAAAACATATTTTTCAAAATTCAAAAATACTGTAAAACATGTAATTTTAGGTGTATTAAAATTTCGGTGTCAGGTACCTGCCAGGTTTCAGGTGTAATTTAGAATTAGGTGACCAGCATTCCCTGCACATACAGTGCATACTCTGGTGCCTTTAGGTGTAATCTACATTTAGGTGCTGGTTTTCTCTACCGAAATCACCGAAATTAAAGTTACACCGACAATATCGTGTTTTACAGTACACTCGGACGTCTCTTATCCGGGCACCTTGGGACCGGGCACTGCCCGTATCTCAGATTTGCCCGTATCTCAGGATAACTCACCTACCATGGACCATATCATTTTTTGAAGAAGATTATTTGGAACGTATTGCACATGTTCAGGATACAAAAGGAACCCATTGGTAAAAATGTGTGGATTACATAGGTTGGCAGTGAAAAATAAGCACTTCCACACACGGAAAAAAGTTCAAAAACCTCAAATTCGAAGCATTTGTGCTATAGGAACTCAAGCTGAAGGTGCCCGGTAGAGAGACGTGCCCGTATCTGAGGCATCCGGATAAGAGGCGTTTGAGTGTACCGCCAAAAAACCCAACAATGGCGTCCTTAGCAACGGCCCTAGCAACAGCATGTCTCACGCTTAATCCGACATGGTAATGGGTCGAATATGACTGAAATAAGGAAAAAACGCAACATGGAAGTTATACAGCATGTATCTAGAGAATACATCTAGTAGTTGACAACAAGCTGTGGTGTCAAACCGGATCCGTTTTCAGCTGCAATGAGACGCACGATAGCCGCAGCAACGGACATACATGACATTGTACTAGAGACTACCAGTATTGTACACAGAAACCATCCAGCTGTGAGTATTTGTCAGAGATACATTGAGTAAAGAGGCTACCTGGAACAAACATACATATACACCTGTACACACAACACATTGATAATTGAGTCTGGTCACTCTGTGGACACATAGGACGCAAGACCTGATTGGCCGTGCACACTGTCCAAACTCTCTGTTGCGGTAGCAAGAAAACAATCACCCGGATCAGTACACGGCACAAGGCTGTTGGTATGTGCGAAGACAAGACCGCTCTGCTTGGAGCCAGGTTGCTCACTGTCGTCCTCCTGGCGCCTGTGCTCCTCTTGATCCTGATTCAGAAACTGTTCAAGCCGGCCGGCGCTTGGGTGCTGGCTCCAAAACGGCATCATCCGTTGTGCCAGCATCAACATCAGGAGTTGCTTCAGCATCAACATCAGCAGCTGCTTCAGCATCAACATCAGTAGCTGCTTCAGCATCAATATCAACAGTTGCTTCAGCATCAGCAGTTGCTTCAGCATCAACATCAGCAGTTGCTTCAGCACTGGCAGCAGGTTCCCCACTCACAGAAGCAGTTAATGTCGGAGTGCCCGTGGATGACAAAAGGTGAATGAGGTTCGCTGAAAGCTGGTCAAGCGACAGGTCCTTCCGGTTTTTGCTTCCGGTTTTTGCTGAGCTGGAAATATTCAACAGGAGCTGATTGCAGTAGCAATACCGACAAAAATGCAGTTGTGACTTCAAAGCAGACTTCTTGCGTGCAACCGTGGGTATCTCTGCCAACTTTGCCGTGACTTCAGAACTTGAGACCCAGAGCCCGTACTGTTCAATCTCCTTCGTGGGACGCTCCTTCCTCTTCAGCTGAGTATCTCTTTTTCTCGCAATGGTTTTTTCCCTTTCTCAGGCTGCAGCACTTTGACTTTACAATCAGCGATTTCCTTCTGTCGTTCTTTGAATAACGCCCACATTGCTGGTGCAGACCTCCGGGCATTTTCCAAAATTGATGCCTGCTCCTCCTCGTCCTTTGCATTCAGCCACTGGGCAGTACGGTTGTTTGCATACGCAATCATGCCACCTAATGCTAGGGTCGATGCAGCTGGCTTCTGGCGGAGAAGCCGATCCAGCTGAGCGAATTCTCGCTCTGATATTGCATTCGTGTTCGGTACTGACACGCACTCCTCCACTACTTCTGGCTTCGGCTTGTGGAAACGACCACCCGGCAAATGATCCGCCAAAAGCCTAGCAGTGAAAATAGCAAAGCTCGTACAGAGCACCTGCAGTATCTCTAGCGTACACTCGTCTGAATGCTTCTCGAGCAGGCGACTCAACACAGGATCGCCATGGCTACAACAGCAGTGGGGAAGGGCCGAGCTGTTCCATCGAGGATATCTGAGGAATCCGTTGACCACTCCACCAGCTTAGTATGCAGGTGTGTATAGATGGTGGACATCTCAAAAATCGAAACAGCCCTATCCTCCAAGACGCGCCAGAGTGGAGAAATCAGTAACTTGCTTACCAGACCACATGCTCTCGCACCTGCAACTAGTTCAGGAGCGGCTAGGTCAGCCTTAACTGCCCTCAGTAACAGGTTTGTCTCTCCTTGAATGTCCTCAAGAAAATGGATCATGCATTCGTGCAGAAAGAAAATGCCAGCACCATTGTAAAACACAATTTTATTTCGGTTTCCTCGGAACTCAGAGAGTGGGAGCTGCGTGTTAGATTGGGAAAGAAATGCATGGAAATCACCCACAACTCCAGCCTGCTCGTTTCCATGCTTCTCGAATGCACTGGTTGCGGTACGAAGAAGCCGAACAACTCTGGACTCTTTCGTGTCATACACCCCATGGACTTCATTAGCACCAATCTTTTCTGATCCAAATCTTATATCTTCCCATTCCCGCAATGACTTTGATGCTTGATCCGTAAGGCCAACAATGTAATGGAGGCCGCAGAAAAAATATTCATCTTTATCATGGCACTGCGCTCATCATCCTGCAGTTGGGTCCAACCTTCAACTACGCGTGGCAATATTTCAGCCCTGTAATCTGTCAACAAGTCGTTAAAGCTTTTCTGCACACTACGGCGATCGCTCATTGTATTTTTGATTTTGGCAACTATCTGGTTGGCAACATTAGTATCTTCTGTCTTACAACAAGCTGACTCCACATCGTTCAAAACTTCTTTCAATTTCTCTAATCCATGAGCAGCAGTACCGCACTTCATATCACAGATACCCAGCGTGTACAACTGCTCAGTTGTGGAAATTTGATAAGACTGGTACAATTTTCCAAACTTGGATGTGCCATCACTGTGCAGCGTAACATCTTTAGCTTCGAGGATTTTTTCGGCAACATACCCGGTACTGACTTGCTTGAGTTCAACAAGCATCTGACTTAATAAGCCAACACTCGGAAGCCTATCAATGTTTTTGTTCACCATTGACAGTAGAATGCGAATGACCGATGGTACATTCAACATACCGGCTACATTCAGCGACAATAGACAATAGTGCAAGGCAACACTTCCTAACTGCATCCTTGTACTGGCCATTCTCCATTGCACAGAACAGTGCACTTTCTTCAAGTTGCGCAAGAGTATCGTCCAATCTCTCGTGCAACTCTTTCTCGCGATTATGATACCCAGATAATTCAGCATGCAACTCATCAGTCACTTCAGCAAGACTCTCAATGCTACTTGTTGACGATTGATGTTTTCTCTGATGGTAATACACGCGTTCATGTTCATTTAACAACTTTTTCTTTGCATCTTCCAAGTCGTCCGTCACAGCTTCTAACGACAATAACAATTCTTCAATTTTTCCTTCTTGCTCCCTCTCAGTGCTGGACAAATCATGCAATTTGCAATCTCTGCGGCCCACTATTTTCCTTGCATTTCTAATTTTTCTTTGATAAGATGCAATCTTTTCGTTCAGTGTTTTGTTATCTGCTTTACAAACAGATAGTTGCTCTTTCAACTGAACTACCTCTTTTGCAAGCACTGAAGCAGTGTCCTTTTCAAAGGTGCTGGCATGTTTCTCAACGTGCACTGCGTGAGTTTTTTCTACAGGAGAAGCGACTTCATCAACTGTCTTGTTGAGGGGCAGTTCAAACGGCTTACTTAGCAATTCACTGAGGTCGTCGCTCGCCTTGTTCTTCAGCAACGTCTTTCTCCGATCTCTGAGGCGCTTGATCTTGGTGCTGGCCACTTTCTCATTCACCGTCTCGAAATCCTTTCCATCCACCGCTGATACTATCAAAATCAAACTATGCAAACTATAATTTTTGCTTGTCGCCCACATCAAGAGTTCAACAACTAGGCCATTCGTCAACTGCCCAGGACGACGCAGAGAAAGCTGGCTCTCTTCAGAATAAGAGTCCAATGCCGCCTGCAAACTTTAACGCCTGAACAACAATTCTTCGCACTGAGGCCCAAGCCAATCTTCTTTCTTCTCCACCTCCATACTGCGCGCAATGGCGTTCAACTACAAAACAATTTCCGCTATCGACCGCGACCCTTCATGCCGTCTGAAGGAACCTACCTAGACTAAATCGATGCCGTAGAATCTGATTCTGACTGCCGCTTGAGCGTGGAACTAAGGCAAACACCTCAAAAGCGACTTTGAAATCTACAAGAATCTATCGAGATGCGTAATATCGGCACGATTCGCCGTGTGAGGCACCAAACGAAAGCTTGAAACCTACTCTTCAACGGTGCGCCAAGAATGGCGATAAACTCACTCTCCCTACCTAAAATCTACGCCGAAGACCCTGCGCTAAGCTGTGCCATGCCTGGCATTCAAAAAGCATGCATGCGTGTCAAGGCACTTTTGCCTCCGCAGATCACGTGACTGAAATCCCTACTTCAGGCGCCAATAGTCCTGTCCATGGGTGCAAGCACTCAACACCGTTCCGCTTTCTGGCGGTCGTGGCTTTCATTAATGGGTGAGAAGGACCGTCTCGAGCCCATTAATCGTGAAATATCCGAGGAACAAGCCACACTGCTGTTTGATGCTGCCGATGAAGATGGTGATCTGGATGATGTTGTTGCTGCAGCTGTCGACATGGACCTGACCACCACCATTCAGGTACTGACTGGAGCTGACAGGTCAGCATGGCTTGATGAATTTCTCATATACGGAATGGTTCGGTCGTGCTTACAAGACCTGAAGAGTTGGAGAGTCCGATGGAATATGGCCAGCGAAGAAATTTCTGCAAGCCATAGCGGAGGTCGCGAACTCCTCCGGGTGCGCAGAGGAAGAGATCTTGTGGGGTTGGCTGTGCCAGCACATTTTCTCCCTGCCTGTCCTTATTGCACTTGCTGAAAGACAATGTAATATTACATCAATTTATCTTTCAGCAACGGAATCGGAGGACAGCAAGCAGGCATTGCATGTATTCGTAGAGAACGTTCTCCACGCTGGAGAGGCCCGCATAAGTGGAGGAAGCCGTCCTCCTCAACCCGGCTTACAGAAGAAACGAAGGGGCAAATAGCTGAGCAGATGCAAGCATACTGCAACACTATCACCGCCGACAACATTCGCGAGGTTCAGAAACAAATTTGCTTCAGGCGTGAAGCTGCAACAACAGCTGGCAGACCACCGACCCTGCTTGAGGTCCACCACGACACGCTGAAAAAGCATAAGTCCAGACCAGGACATGATGAAGACACGGACCAGCTATAGTGGCAGTTAGTTGCCCAGATGACTGGCCCTGTTCTGGTAGCTATCTGCAGCGCTGCATCCACAAACATCAGTGCAATGCAAAGACTGTGCTTTGCAGGAGCAGTGGCCTCCGTCACAGCCTGTTTTGCAGCCTCATTTAACAAACTTCGTCAGGGATTTGGGAGCAGGCTCCAGGGACAACCAGTCAACCTGCAATGGGTCGTCTCCAGGCCACTCAGTGTCTCCTTGCAGAGATCGTTATTGTCCCACACAAAATGATATACACCGTCCGTGTTTGTCGCATTGACAACTGCTGGCAGAAATGCATGGTCTTGCTAGTGTTGGGTGAAGACTTCTGCCAGTCTCGTCTCCATCTCCAATACTTGGCTGTAGCTGCAGCAATATCCAAAGCGGTTCAGTACTGAAACCAGCAGCTTGCTGCGGCAGATGTGGGGGATTGCCATGCCAAGCACGATATGTTTTGATGTGCGGCAGCCAGTTGCAGCAAACGTAACATCCTGGCTCAAAGCTAGTACTGTACGATGCGGGCAATAGCGGTCCAGAGCGGCTGATTACATACTAATATGTACTTGAGTAGCTCGTGTGAGGCACCATCTCAGTTGCTCTTCTTCAGTATGTCTGAGTTGGGATTGTTTGGATGTCCGCATCACTTGTCCAATGTTGCGTCGCCTGGTACCTTGGCTTTAATCCACAGCTGATCCAGATGTTGTTGCTGCAGTTACAGAAGATGGCAGATGAGACATGCAGGCATACTGTTTGGACGTGTCAATCTTGATGATAGATAATTTTATTATAATTCTGCCACCCTGACTTATAGACTAGGTGTTAGACGTTGCATAATAGCAAGAGTACATAACCAAGAGTGTGCAACTCCTATCTTGAGCTGCGATGGGTTCACCCACGGCGGAATTTTTTTATTGCGTCATTCTTTGGCAGAAGTATGATGAAGTGGGTATGCTTTCCCGCGCTTGTTTTCTAGATACGATGAGAGTTCGTCAGGTTCAAGACACATTGATCTATCGTCGTTCTGCTTCGACTACCGTAGCTGTAATGTACAAATCATTTTTACTTTGATCTCTGGCTACGCATGATGGCGTCAGTGAGCCAAATCGCCGCCAAAGACTGATGTCATAAAAAAATTCCGCCGTGGGCTGGGGGATCGTTGAGTTGCACACTCTTGGTTATGTACTCTTGATAATAGTGATCTTGAACCACATGTAGCAGCTTCTGGTACTATTCACAAAGCCTTACTAAGAGAGGACATCTTTCCCGTTATGATTCTTTCCAAGGATAGCTTCTTCAATGCCTCAGCAAGTTTACTCGACGCACGCCGCGATCTAGGCACACACTTCAGCCGGATACTCGAGTAGCAAAATTCCCAAAGCATCGACATGCTGTGCCGTGGACACTGACCAGGAAGAGGCTGAGAACCAGCTCTAGCTCTCCGAAAAACTAAAGATGCCATGTCTACGTCTGTCCTCAAACATCACACCAAATCTGGCCAGCTATCCTGTGACGACAACAAACTCTACCTGCATCGCCGCCTTCAACGGCAACCGAAAACTGAAAAGTTCAAGACAGGGATGTGTTTACTAGGCGATCTCTCCCTGCTTCAGAAGTGAAACACAGCATCGGCAAATGGGCTACTGACCTGCCCATCGTAGGATGGGTATCAGCAGCCCTGCCCATCTTAGGATGGGCAAAATCGTTGGACGGGACGAAACCATTTCTCCAGTCACACATTGCTTTAAAGTTAATCAGACCAAGGATGTGGGCTGATGGGCTTAGTTTGGAGAAATTGAACGTGGCATTTGAATCGTGAGGTGGTGAATCTTGTTGGAAAGCTTATCCTATTCTCCATCCCAGTCGTGTTGATCTCAGTAGCTGCCGGAAAATGACATTGAGAGTTCTGTGGTATGGAATAGAGCTAGCTGTCCTGGGCAACTTGGACATTGGCTAAACACGTCACATTCGATGGCTCCTGCCCTGCAATAATAGGCAAGTTATTAACTCTGAGCGTTGTCGCTGCTGCCGATGCTGTTGGTTTCAAATTATACAGCTGAGTTCCGAGAACAATTGCGGCAGAACAATGCATTCGACAAGCTTCTTGGAATCTTCCGTGAGAAGGTAGGCCATTGGAGCAGTCTAACAAATGCTGTTGATGTCCAATCCGACATGAAACACATTCACTTACACCTTTTTTTCAATTTGTTCAGAGGTCCAAGTTGGCCATTGCTTGCGATGCCCGTCTCGGACTTTATAGCTGTAAAGCTCCGAACCACATTGGAACTGACTTAGTACATACTCTGACAGGACATACTCTTGCTTAGCACAAGTACGACATTGTTTGGGGCACGGGAGTATTGCTATACAGTGAAGCTTGGTTATAACGACACCCGAGATGGAACGCCAAAAAAGTCCTTATTTGCGATCTGTCACTATATCCGATCTTGGGATTTCCAACACAATGTGCATACCAAAACGCGGCAAAATTAATTTTCTGCACAATGGTGCTTTTTTCAACTGAACACAAGGAGCGCTTCGTCCAACCCAGGAAAACTCCTCGACTGCCTAGAGCTCTTGGCATCCATTGACGTCGCTTTCTTCACTTTGGCCACAATCTCCTCTCGGTTCTTGATGAAGCCAGCGAGAGTACCGTGCGCGACTCCATACTTTTCTTGAACGAATGTCCGCTTTGCACCTTTGTCCAGCTCCTGCAGAATGGCGTACTTTTCCGCGTAGGAGAAGCGCTTTCGCTTTCCAACAGAGACAGGGCGAGACATCTCGAACTTCCAAGTCTTTGGTCCAACGACAACTGAGAAAGTGATTTCTCGGAGAAAGAAGCATGGCGAATATTGCGAAAATCCGTCGCAGAAGATACGGAAGGCACGGAGGGTAAGTGCGCACTACACCAGTATACAGTATACGTATTTTACCGTCAGTGCGACATATCGACACTCCTTCAAATTCCGGGCGTGTACGAGTGTGCAGTGCAGTGCAGTGTACAGTCGATGTACACTAGACTGCACTGTACGATCTTGTGCACCCGGCCCGCGGCAGCTGTGAAAGCCAGAATCGATCGTACATCGTACGTCGCAGTCGTGAGAATGTCGTTATTTTGACCCATTTTCACACTACGATGCATGACAATTTGGTCGTCATTCTCGATTTGTCGTTATTCGAGTTGTCGTTGCAACCGATCTTTTTTGTACACAAATCAATACAAAATTGCTGCTGCCATGGATTTTTTGTCGTTGTAACCAAGCTTCACTATAGCTTGTTAGAGGATAAGAAGTACCTCTCTCAGATCCTAAGTACACTTTCCTGTTCCCCGTGGCGATACGTCTTAGCAGCAGAGTTGCACTGTACATGTACTTTCTGTTGTGTGTTGATTTCACATTACTTCCATGTATATAATTATAGTCCTTCGAGGATCTTCACACCCGAGTGTTAGACACTATGGCTGGTATGATGAAAGACCGGGAATCTTTTGAGGTAAGTTGCAGCTCAGCGCTAGTGTTAGTAGTGTTATGATTGACTCTACATGTACATGTAGGTGGACATTGCAATGGAGATGCACACAAGGTTAGATTGGTGACTTTGGAATGTGAGATTGCTGGTGAAAGTAGTTGGGTAGCATTCAGCAAGAACTTTTAATAAAGATTTGGAAACAGGGAGACAAATTGTCAACACCGCAAGCAGCCATGCAGGAATCTGTGGCGCTCTCCGAACAAACCGTACACCATGTTTCTTTAGGTTGTATCAAGAGTACATAACCCCAAGAGTGTGCAACTGCCTGCACAACCTCTATGCTGTGCTGCGACGGCAGAACTTCACATCACGTGACATGGTTCAAAAGGTTATGCTGGCAAACAGTGCAAAGTGACCACAAGAGAGTTGTACCCAAAGCTGGGCTGCGTACAACCCAGTATCTATCATGCACAGAGTGCACGGGTTCATCACGTGATGTGAAGTTCTGCCGTCGCAGACCCCATAGCTGGAGTTGCACACTCTTGGGGTTATGTACTCTTGGTTGTATGAACAGAATGTACAGTATTGTACAGTATTGTGCAGTGTGCGGTGGATGGTGGCCTTAGTATCGCGCTGGACACTGGCCTTAGTATCGCGGTGGATGGTGGCCTTAGTGTCGCGCTGGACACTGGCCTTAGTATCGCGGTGGATGGTGGCCTTAGTGTCGCGCTGGACACTGGAGACTGGCATGATGTTGGCTGCACTATTGCTTGGGTTTACCACCCACCCACGAGATTGAGCTGGTGGTGTTGCCCTTGCATTGGGGAGCTGGGTGGCGGCCCTGGCAGCCTTGGCAGATGTAGGACCTAGAGCAAGGGCCGATGCACCGGCCCCCATTGAAATTGCGGCATACTGATTGTCCTGGGAAGGCTGTGCTCTTTGGAGTTACCAGCAAAGCCGGAGGCTGAACACTGTTGGTAGAGACAAAAAGGGCAGCGTCCGCTGATAGAAGGCGGATGTGCAGCGCCGCATGCCGGGCAGGCTGAACAAGCGTGTCCTGTTGTCGCCAGCTGCCACAGATTTGGGTTGATGACGTCCCACTTCAGCGACTGGTCGGCAGCAGCCTTGATGCAGAACTTCCTATCATATTCCAACCACCCTTCCGGCGTGAACCGGAGATTGACCTCGGCGATGAGGCCCTGATAAGACAACAACTCTGCCGTCCTGTGTGGGGCCATGTCGGCCATGACCTGGCTCAAGATCGTGAAGGCCTCAACCCATATCGACCATGACCTGGCTCAAGACCGTGAAGGCTTCAACCCACGTCGCAAGGTCATGAACATGCCTGCTCTCGCCGTGGGCAGCGCCATCTTTGACCACCCGCAATGGGCCCCCATCCAACATTTCAAATCTTAGCACGTTCTGTGTGCGGGCGTGCGGCACAGAGCAAGACACAGAGGGTAAGAGCTCACCCAACTCGACGTACTCACCCGTCAAAATCCGCTCACGAAATTTAGCTGTCAGGTGTGTGGCGGAAGACTTGCTGCTCCCTGAGCTGGCTGGGAGTGGAGTCGGGTGCAGATGAGGTTGTGAATCAGGAACCATGGCTGCCAGAAGTGTAGGTAAAGTCTCCGACACCACCGATACGCTCGTGGAGCGCAAGGTCTCAGGAGTTATCACCGACGTTGGTGGCGCAGACGGCACCAATGGTAGCGATGTCAGGGTAAATTTCTGTTTTGAGAATCGGGCAAATATTGTAATACCATCCGATTCCTGAAGACAAGTAGAGTATACTGGCAAAGTTTGAAGCAAATCGGAGCAAATATAGGGGACTTATAACAGTTTAGAGTGCGCGGAGTAGGCGCCGCCATTGTCAGAAAGCACCATGCATCACTGTACACAAACCAGAACCACGCCACGGCACAAAAATCCGGTCTTGACAACAGGATCGCGGGTCATGAATAATTTTGCGCACTGTACAAAATCATTATGAAAATTTAAGACCGCGTACCTGTTGTATACATGTACTGTTTTTTTTTGCTGTTGTTGCTGCTGCTGCAAATTGCATAGCCAGCAATCGCATGTCATCACGTACATTGAAAATCAACATAATTTTGCGAATCGACCATTTTTCAGGATCACTTTTCAACGAGGACGAAGCAAAGTTGGCCGAACGAAGCCTAGAGGAAGAAAATCACCCTCTCCACTTCACCATCACGATACTGACATAGATACGAGATGAAACAACTAAAAAATCCACAAGAAAACTGTACGGCCATCATCGCGCTGACTTTGGTCTGACTTTGGTCTGAGAATTTCTATCACGATCAAAAATGTACGAGGAACACTCAAAAATAAGCCACAGACGTACCTTTATCGCTCTCTACTCCTTGTTCACTCAAGGCACACAAGTCGACTCTCCACTTTCAAACCAGGAACCAGACATACCAGTGGTCCTTTTCAGCTGCTCCACGAGCGCAGGAAATGTTCACCAAGGGGCGCAGAGCAGCATCCATTCCCAGAAAAAGAGCTAAAATACGAGTGAGACTGCATGACTGAGTACAGGTCCTCCCTCGTTAGTAGATAATCTCTGGGCCATCGAAAAAGTTATCTTATAACGAGACTATCTTGTAGCAGGACTTGCAGCTAAAGGTGAAATAGGCACTACTTCGTACTTACCGGGGCTACCCTCGATACAACATAAATTATCGATGCTTCAACTCGTTATAAGATAATTGAAAATCTCCAACATAACTCTTCCTTGGATGCAAAGGATCGGCCATATTCACGAATACATAAACATCATACGTTTCCTTGTTCCGCTTTATCCTACATGTTTTGGCCTTGGTCCTGCATGGTCAATATTATCTTATACTGAGGGTTTGGCACTCCAGGGACCTGGTCAAAGGGTCGTTATAACGGATTTTATGTACTAACGGATTATGTTGTAACCGGACCTGTAAACAGTTGTATAGACCACTTTTCGCCAGGGGATTTCAGATTTCTATTTACTAACGGGGTTTATGTACAGTCAACTTCGCCAATAACGACATTCGGCGGGGCATCAGAAAAGTGTCCTTATTCGCGAAGTGTCCTTATAACCGAAGTCCCATTTGAACGTATGTGAACCCATATTTTGTATAGTATGATATGCATATCAAAATCAAGCTCTTTTTTTGCTCTATGTCAATGTGTACTTTATTTTCATATTGCAGTTGAAAGGAACTAAAAATTCAATATGCAAGGGAAATCAATTGAAAAATATGCCTTTTTGAGCAATCTACAGGGCCAGAGATATGTACATGTATGATGATTACTGTACAATCATGTACAACTACATGTACATTGTATACATATAGGTGTGCTGGTAAATCCAACCATTTTGAAGCCAACATTAAAAAGGAAGAAAAAGCCCCCCCCCCCCCCCCTGGCTGCATTTTCTTGCATGTGTGCAATAATATCCATCACCAGTGCACCATATGCATAGGTTCTGGTACTTCTGCATGACACTACATGTACTTGACTGACAGGTACTTGAAATAGCTGTCAAAAGCCCAGAAAGTCGTTATTCAAGCAGTGAATATGACCACGGGGCACTAAAAGCATGTCGCTATATGCGAATTGTCGTTATTCAGATAGTCGTTATATCCGAAGTTAAATATATACAGTTAGATGGGACTTTGCTCTGGGCATGGAAATTCGGTCGTTATTCGCGAATTGTCGTTATATCCGCAGTCGTTATTAGCGAAGTTGACTGTACTAACCGGACTCGTTAGAATGAGGGAGGACCTGTACATGAGTACATGTATGAGTACATGCAGAAAATTGTGAATTTCAGCGTTTCTGCTCCAAACAGCAACTAGCTTCGACTAGAAACAAAGATTACACCAAAGGATCAAACAACAACCATTTTCTGCAGTTTTTTTGCAGATGGCTTCCTTGTGCTTGGCCCAGCACGCCAAAAATCGCGCCTCGGAGGAGTACAAAAATTACAACTCTCAGATGTCCTCGATTGCTGGCCATGGTTGAAGAACTACAAGAACACGAAGAAGACGTTTGAAGAGTAGCCGAAGTTACAGTTGTGATTTGGTGATTCTGCGAGACGAGTAGATAATGCAAAAGGGAGAGTTGTCGCACTCTCACTCACAGTTCACAGAGGTGCCGGTAACTCCGCTGGCTCCTCAGGCTCCAGCTCGAACTCCTCCAGCTCGTCCTCCGCTGCCGCTGATCCTGTCGGCGTGGTCTCAGCTGTTGCACTACTACTAGCAGCGATAAGGGCGAGCAAGTTGGAGCTCATCTCCTCAATTGCCAGCTGTTATCCGTCCTTGGAGAAGGCGAAGCGGGCTTGGTTTTCTTTGTTGTACTGGGCCATTACGTATTTTCGGAAACGGAGCTGGCACTTCAGAGCGTCTCTCTTGCCTTGCTGGGTGTTCAGCTTGGAAACGTTGGTGGCAAGGTCCAGCTCCGTAGTCCACAGCCCACCGTACTTGGCAAGCGCAAGCGTGGACCACTGCACCAGCTGTGTTTGTCTCTCCTGCTGGCGTTTCTTCTTCTCCTGTTGCTGCTGTAGATGTTTCTGCCGGTGTGCCTGTATGGCCAGTTTGCGTTGCTTGGCCAGCTGTTTCTGGTAGGGCACTGATGCCCGTGCAGCTTTCAGAATGGCTGCTTTGTCCGCCTCTGATTTTGCAGCTAGCCAACTCATTGTCTTGTTGTTGGCGAGCATGATCATGGACTCAATAGCTAGCGTAGTGGCATTGGGCTTCTCCCGTAAGAATCGGTCCAGTTGCCCAAAATCATGCTCGGAAAGAACATTTGTTTTTGGCAAATGGCGCATGCTGGCGGTGTCGGCGGTTGTTAAATCACCACCAGGGAGGTAGGCAGACCAGGCACGCGCCATATACGAATGGAATGTTGCTGCAAGCAACTGCAACAGCTCTTTGACTTCTGCATCACTGCTGGCTGGTTCAACAAGGGCGTCAAACACTGGCGTTGCAGTGTGAACGTCTGCTTCTGGAAATGGCCTGCCACTACCATCCAACAGATCTGAGGCATCCTCTGCCCAAACTGCTAACTGCTGCGTTAGCTGATGGTAGATGGTGAAGACGTCAGTGAACGGGCGAGCGGATACAAGAAATCGCCACAGCGGACCGGTGACAATCTTACCAATAATGCCGAGTTCACGACATCCGGCCAGATAACGTTGATCGTCCAGATCTTCCCCACTGCCTCTATCAGCCTGTTCTTTTCCGCGAAAGAACAGTACTCCGTCATGAGTGCCTTGAGGAAATGCACACCTGCAGCATCAAAGAATAAAATATTGAATCTGTTGCCTCTGAACGCGGCTAACGGCAGAGCGGTGATACCACGACTGGCGCAGAAGGTAGCGAAGTCAACCATCCATCCTGCCTTCTCACTGCCATGGCGTTCAAAGGCTTTGCATGCAGTCCTGATCAGACGGATGGCTCCAGCCTCTTCACTACTCTTTGCAGCTTCTCCCTCCACCTGGCTGCTCTCGTACTCACGCAAGACAGCGTTGCACTGCTCAGCAAGATTCACCAACATGTGGAGGCCACAAAAGTGATTATTCATCTTGGAGAGCGATGCCTTCTCCTGATCAGATAACTCGTCCCAGTCAGGAACAGTTGCCGATAGCACGTCTTGCCGGTACTTGCCAAGGAGTTCGTTGAACTTAAGCGTTGACTGCAGCACGGTCTGTCATAGAATTCTGCAGGGAACAGAGCAGCTTCTCGCCTGCGTTTGTTCTGCCGGTGTGTTCACCAACAGCAGAGAGCTCGCCGATCACTTCTTTAAACAATGTCAGCGTGTGCTCTGCCGAGCCAGAAGCGACGTCACTGACTGACATGGTGAGTTGCCCTTCGCTGCTGCTGAGTTGAAAACCCATGTATTTGTGTCCAAACTTGCTTGTTCCGTCATAATGTAATGTTGTACCCTCAGCTGTTGCAGCTACTTCACCGATTTGGGCAATGCTAACACTTCTGCCCTCTGCATACATCTGCTGAAGTGTTCCGTAGCTAGGAAGCTTGGCGGGACGCTTGTTAGCCAGCTTGAGCACTTCGGTGATGACGGGATTTACATTATTAATTCCGACATTCAATGCTAGTAGTGACATACAACATTGCCTCATGTCATCTGTATATTTACCATCATAAAATGTCTCTATTTCGACACAGCTGGCAGCTTGCAAGACTTCGAGCTGCTCCTCTAGCTCGCTGATAACCTCATCCGTTGCTATCAGCTGCTGTTTCAATTCATCCTGCTCCTCGGCCATTGCCTGCTTCGGCTCGTCTTCACTGGCTTTGGCTGACGCACGTAACCTTTCAGCACTCTCCTTGTAGTATTTCAGCATTCGCTGAGCTTTTGCATGACGTGCCGTTAGCTCAGTGTGCTTGTCTGTTATCCGCTCAATCTCTGATTCCGCTTCTTTGTATTTGTGCTCATATTCCGTCACGGACTCTTGTAGCTGTTGGCTGGCGTCAGTGACAGCTTGTAGCTCATCACTCTTGTCAGACAGTAATTTTTCCCTTCTGTGTTATTTCTTTTTCACATTGCGCAGCTTGGTGTGAGCTTTGCTGATCCGGTCGCCGATTGCAGCAAGTTGTGCGTCTTCGGTGTGTACATCCTCTGTTTCTTCCTCTGTGTGTTCGGGAGGGCTGAAGATTGCTTGTTCGTCACTTTTCTCAGCATCTGGGTTAGCTGTATCATCATCTAATGTCGGCAGAGTGTATGGCTCGTCCAGAAACTGTTGAAGTGTTGCCTCACCATCCACTCTTGACTTGCTCTTTCCCAGTGCAGCTGCCTTGTTTTTCAACCTGTCGGTAACACGGGAAACAGTCAACAAAACTTTTTTGTTAGTTTTGATTTCTTGTGAGATATTATTGCATTTCTGGCGAGCCGGTACTTTACCTGTGCATAGTGGTATTAATTGCCCGACATGATTGAGGGGACAATGATGATGATTGGTGGCCACTTAGTTGGGCTATCCATCTACACAACTTTTTAAGATCCTGGTGGTGGTCCGCTTTGAACTTCATCAGTTCTAACACTAATCCATTACTGACTTTTCCGATCCTGCTAGGCAGGGGTTCATCCTGCAATAGCTGCTCCTCCTGGAGTCCAAGACTCGACAGCACATCTTCACCGCCGGTCCCTTTGCTGGATGAAGCGCTCATGAATGCGTTGTGTCCAGCAACGGAGTACCTGTGGCGAAAAATACTGAAAGTCTGGTGCGCGGCGTGATACGCCAGTGAAACTTGGCAGCAAACTAAATTGGACGGCGGGGAACACGATGGAACTAAAATCAAACCTGTATCAGGCAGCGCAGGAGATTAAAAAGGCCGCTGAACATACGCTAACTTGTCGGCGGCCATACTCCTAGCTCCGTAGGCGCAGCGCGCCCGCACAAACGCGGATACGAAAGTTCATCTTCTATTTTCGTGGCAATATTTACGACCAAGCTTGTCACTGACGTCTTCAGGACACATATGAACATCCCGCGTGCCAAGTACTGCACGCACTAGCCGCGACTGGCATTCTGCCGCACTGGGCTTTTGTGCCATCATTTCAGCTGGTTGCTAGGGAATCCAGCGACAAGCGTGGAGGTCACGTGGCACGGCACTCTGACATCGCTACCAATGGCTCGCGTTCTCTGCTGCCTGCACTGCTCACCATGCTCGGGGGTAGACTCGCAGGATTCAGCGTGATGAATTTGGGCCTGAATCTGGCGATCAACGAGGGCAGCTTTCCTGCCCGAAGCATCCAAACTCAACAGCGAGAGTTCGCTGCGGAGATGCGGATCCGTCATGGCGCGGATTTCATTGACAGTAAAGGCAGCCATGGCTTCGCGAGAACAAGGATGAGTGAGTAAAAGCACAAGGATGGTGACGAGCAAATAAAACTCACGAACTGTGAAACACTACGAGCAAACAGGAATGATCCACACACAGAACGGATCGAAAAATATAACGAGGCAAACTCTACGTCCCGTCCATGTCGCCCACGTTGAGCACCACATACAAATGTCATGGTGACGCCACGTGGCATGCCGCTCACATCGGAGGTGAGTGCCTCACATGAATGCCACATAGAGAGTCACGTTCAATGTAACGTAGAGAGTCGCTTTCAATGTCACGTTGAGAGTCACGTTCAATGTCACGTAGAGCGCCAAGTCGCACAGAGAACCACACCGTGATATGCAGAGCACGCGACCGTAGCCAGCAGCAAAGCATGAGCATGCAGTAACAGCACTATCAAACATAGCAGCATAGATTTAACGGTAGCACAAAGCTGCGTGCACCCATTAATCTGCATTATCACCATAATGCTACATACAACCGCACACACACGCGCACACGCACACGCACACGCACACACACACACACACACACACACACACACACACACACACACACACACACAGTCATTCCGTAGGAGTTTGTCTTTGTGCAATCATGGACTGTAGACTTTATTTGACCATAGAAAACGCTGGAGACTTGAACATTGTTATATGCCGTCATTCTGCACAGTGTACGTGCAGTGCCAGGTTTCTTGCCGCTATAGTGTCTTTTCTTCGTGTCCATCTTCCGTTTGCCATAGCTTCTTTAGTGCACAAAGCAACCCGTAAACTTCTGCTCAATACAGACTCACAGAAGCTGCTTATGTGGTCCACTACTGATTTGAATGTGAAAGCCTCGGCATGTACATGTCGTGAACTTTCACATGAGCTGAATGGAATGTGACACTTTGAAACATTATTGGTTGTGACTTTCATGCTTAGGCAGTTGTTGTCTGGCCACACTCTAGGCCAAATCTCACTACAACACAATAAGGACATCACGAAAACTAGCTCTGCTCTTTCCTTTACACGTGAACAGCTCCACACTCTGTGAGCAAGGCGCAGTTTGTGTATATACTGATGTACTACATTTCCTGGCTGTTCTGGTTTGCAAAGATGATGTTTGACAATGGCGACACCAAGAAAGTTCTGAGCGTCCTGGAAGAAGCCATCACCAAGGCTGAAGTTCCTGTTTGCAGTGTAGTGGTAAGTGACGATGACTGCATGCACCACCGGCGTAGACCATGGCCACTGAATACCTTTCACAGTGAATGCATGCGCCACCGGCGTAGACCATGGCCACTGAATACCTTTCACAGTGAATGCATGCGCCACCGGCGTAGACCATGGCCACTGAATACCTTTCTTGTTGCTGTGTTTCACCGTTCATTCTGTATTCTATGCTAGTCTGGTGTGTTAAGACAGGCAGGGGTGGATGAGCAGTTTCTTTGCAAGGATGAACTGGAAACGTCTTTCACGTATGTAGGGCACTTTCCATCCGACTTCACTAGCTTTTTCCTCACAACTAAGCCCGCATACTCTTGCCGACTCGGTTTTCCTGTTTTTCTTGTGTTGCACAGCTCAAGTTCCTTAGCGCACTTGTACACCAAGGTAAGTGCATGCTATATGTACATCTCAATGTGTTCTTTTACAATTGTTGTAGTAAGTTAGGATGACACATCTATCAATTTCATTTCACTTAGACCTCTGCTGTGACATTGGTTCTCCCTAGTGCTGATGCAAAGAGCCCGGACTTCTATAGCAGCAAACATGGAGCTAGCTACGCCAATGCCTTACCAAGTTTGGAGCAGATCCATCTGCAACAAGCTTTAGCTAGTGCGGCAGAATATTCAAGTGGCTCAATGCTGGAATGAGTGTGCGGGCCACGCTAGTGGACGTTATAATGTCACAATGACGAAATGAAATCCGACAACAAATAAGTATTGTAACCGAGAGTTTTCTTAGCGGCTTGTAAGGAGGAGAAAGGAGCACCACTCGTCCTCTGGCTGATGAGTTTCTTGTCTTGTGTGAATTCTCATCGTGTTCCAATGCGTCAGATCCGACTTTCTCATCCAAGCTCTATGACATGAACATTGTTGCAGTTTGTTACGGTCTTCTGATCAATGAGGTAATGATGATTGCATGTCTGTAGAGGCTTGCATGCACCATGCACTGCATGATCTCACTCAGAAATTAGTATCATGTTCAAATATGAGTACTCTATGTTCACTCTATGTACACTCTATGTACACTCTATGTACACTCTATGTACACTCTATGTACACTCTATGTACACTCTATGTACACTCTATGTACACTCTATGTACTATAATTATGCATATATGTGACACATGTGCTGGATCAGCATCCCCAATTAACTAGTTGTGAAGTTGTTGAATATGCTACCTACACTACTGGTTTCGCAGGTCTGGCTAGTGAACTTAGCATCGCTGAGCTGATCTTGAATATTATGGTAGCTTACGTGAGAAGACTAATTGTGGCCAAATACCCTGTCTTAATCTCTAACTCTTCATGTGCCATTTTTTTGTAGAGCGAGGATGTGGTTGCAAAGGCTTGCTCTCTCATCGGAGCTCTGTCCAGATACTCACTACTGTGCAGTGAGAAGTTCGTGGACCAAGGTACTGAGATTAGAGAGTCGCTTTCTTGTTATACTTTTCTCTTTCAAAGGCTGTCAGGGTAGAAGTTAAAATGAAATGCTGAGCAGCCTAATCTATCCTTGTTTATGCCTGTTCCGGATCAGCCTTTGTATCTTTGTGCCTGCACTCTTGTAGAGGCTAGCATCCGGGTAGGTTTGATGGCTGACTACATTTCTATTGGGGTTTCTATACCAGAGTATTCCATTCTATGAACCTCCATGGTATGGTGAATGGATGACCTCACTAGAGCAACACCAGTGCAGAAATGGTGAGAGTAGGGTTACCTTTTGTGATATTGGGTGGTGTGTGTGCATGTGTGCGTACGTATGTGTGTGTGTGTGTGTGTGTGTGTGTGTGTGTGTGTGTGTGTGTGTGTGTGTGTGTGTGTGTGTGTGTGTGTGTGTGTGTGTGCACATGTTCAATCTGCAATATTCATTTGTGTGTGTCTTTGACTCTTTGCCAATGTTTCTCATTTCCAGATGACTTTTATCAGCACATTCTCACTCACATGGAATGCGAGACCACTGCTATGCGAGAAGCCGCTTCTTATGCCTTTGTCTATGTCCTCAAGTCGAAGGCCAACTGCAAGTGAGTTCGATCCTTACACTCACTTTACCTGCCATTGTTGCCTGGAACGTGCATTCAAAATGTAGTTTTAATGCTATGTTCTGAGAATCACTGACATACTTCCTGTTGCCTATGAGGCTGGTACGTTCTGGCTGATCTTTGCTGTTCTATCATTTTGCAGGGACATTGGTAACAGATTGAGGGACAGAGTAAGTGGCTTGGGAATGGTAGAACTGTACCCTAGGTAAATGTTGTGTTTTGGTGAGTTGTTATTTTCTTGGTGGAACGATCAGCAGAGTTTGCCGGTATGTGCCCAATGTGATTTGTGTTACGTTGCTGATCAGGGTCTTCATGGAGAAGACTGGCAACAGTACTGGTATCGAAGTCCTTTGTCGATGCATCCAGCAAACCAGCCTTCTGGCGCAGAAGAACTCTCTCAACGCTGTGCTACAAATCCTTTCCCACCACGAGCGTAAGTCAGTGTCACCGGGGCCGAGTACATAACCTCCAATACAGTTGAACATCGATTATCCGACCACCTCTGGGCAGCTGGCCCTGGGAAGGTGTTCGGATAAGGAAAATGTTCCGGATAAGGAAAATCTCACCACAGGCCGATACCTGTGTTCAGTATATCACAGTGCCCGCAACAACAGTCATTTTCATGTTAGTTTTTGTAAGTTGTGTAATTTTTGACCATACAGCCTATACACAGTGGTACTAGTCCACAGGCCAAGGTGCAAAAAAGTGATATACAGCGAGTGCGCGCTGCAGCAACTGACTTTTCGTGCAAGCTCCCGTACAGCCTGAGCCACGTGCGGTTCGAAAACCCACTCCGGATAATCAAATGTTCGGATAATCGATGTTCGGCTAATGGAATGGTCGGATAATCGATGTTCAACTGTAGTGTTCAACTGCAGAGTTCAGTTGCGTAGAAAAAGCGTCGATTCAATGGGGGGTGGCGCACGTGCTCCAAAGTGCCAGTTTGACCAATCAGCAGTCAGCATTTCGTCGCATTCTCGCTCGAAGTAGGGGGTGTTTGAAGGAGTACACAGCATTTCAGCTAGGTTCTACGAGGCTGGGACTTGGCCCAGGCTCAGACGACAGGTGTTCCAATAGATTTACTGATGAACTTTTTCATTACCCACACGGGTATGCCAGAGCGTATGCGTAAACTTCGTGAGATATAGTACAGTATTGGAAAGGAGTATGCCAAAACCTGTCGGTAAATTTCTTCACCAGGGTCTCCTGAACATTTTAAGCCATAGATTGTCCAAATCTGTCCGAATCGACCAAGGAGGAGATCCTCTGCACTGATTTTGAACTGGTGAAAAAGGAGGTGGAAGATCAAACAACAAGAAAATAGCATGCATGCAGCGGAACAAGAAAAAAACAGCAACTAGAGTAGTTTTTTTAAGTTTTGACAGTAGTACAGTCTACTCCGAGAATACCATTGTTCAGTGCTCTCTGCTGCTGAGGCTGAGTAGGCCACTTACCTAGAAATTTCATTGTTCAATACTCTCTCCTGAGGCTGGGTCGGCGGCTCTTGCTGGATAGCTCCTCTCTGCCTTCTTGGTCTGCTTCGCTGGCGTTTTTCTTCCTCCAGCCACGAGTTTCACCTGGTGTTGTGTTGACCGGCACGCTCTAGCTTCTTCATTCGCTTGGAATGACCTGCTCGCTGCTTGTGGCGTTGGAGAGCCACCATGTATGTCTCCCTCACTGTCAAAGACCGGCCTGTCTTATCGCCTCGCCTCAACTCTCGCAATCTTTTCCGGGTAGCTTTCGGTCACTCCCGAATTTCTTTGAAGAGATAGGCTGCTTGGTCATGGGACATGCCAGCTGGCTGGATGACAGGTGGTAACTGCAATGAATCAAAGCCAGTGTCACCGGATTTCCTGATCCTAAAAGAAACGTCTGGATGCCTGTCCAAGCCTCACGTGGACACTTCTCCAGGCTAAGTAGCAGAAAACCTGAATTTTTGGTAAAACGTTATGTTTTCACAGGCTTAAAGTGATCCTTTAAGAATGAATCCCAGGCTCGCCAATCCCAGTTGAAGCAGATGGCTTCATTGATGCTGGCAGAATTGTTGATTTTCACCCTAAGCCTGATTTTCGCAGATTCTGGGCCATTTGGTCTTTGGTGACCCTGGATTTCTGCCTAGCTGATATGCTGGTCCGGTACAGCTGCATCCGATCCGCAGCGCTGTGGAGGACGTTCTTGGCAAACAAATGGGTTGTCTGCTTGGAGAGCTCTGACTTGAAGATGGATGTCGGCAATGTTGAACTGCCTTTCAGCGATCACGTTTTTTACTGGAATCGCAAAGATAAGTGTTGTACCAATTCCACAGCAGTGGCTGGGACAGCTCAGAGCACAGTGTCCGCTCCTACCAAGAACAGCAAAGGAAAAACCGCCCATCGCGAACCATGGTTCCGATCATTGCTACTCATTTTCACCACATCTTCCCAGATGGAAAAATGAGAACCGGCCCGCTTTGGCAGTCGCTCCAGGATCTTCTACGCCAGCAAGGTACATCCAGCCCCATACTTCTTACTCTATGTGCATGACTGGCATGGATGTAGTATCTCCAACGCGTTTCGCCACACTCGTGTGGCAGTGGCGGTGGCGTGGAGAAAATCTGCCTTCACTGACATACAGACGACAGTAGTAGGTCGGCTTTTGATGGCGCGTATAGCCGACCTTGTAGTGGGAGTTGGACCAGGTTGAAATCCACCATTGTTCCGCGCATGCCCAGACACTCGCCCATTGCATTGCGCAGTGCCCAGACACTCGCCCATTGCATTGCGCAGTGCCCAGACCGTCGCTCATTGCATTGCGTAGTGCGATATTGACAATGTGCGCATAGCACCTAACAAAACTGTATCACGCTTGAATTGCTTGCCAAGCTCCACGGCATGCCCTTTAACTGCTGCTGTGCTGAAGTTATTGAATAGTCAAGTATGATCGGTCTGGTTACGTAAAACCTTCTAGTTTTGCGTACTCTTCTCCTGATTCTTCCATCGCTGTACCATTCAGCTTTAGTTTTCTTGATCTTGACCATTCTGAGCTCAACAACTTCGGGTGTTTGTACGTTGTTGGAGTATCTGTATGCTCAACTCGTATAGTCGCCAACCACAGTAGATACTGCCTTCACACCATACACATTGTACGGGATATGGTAGTCTGTCTCCGCCTGGTGTTTGCCGCTTCCTGATACGACGATTGTGTTGGTCAGCACATATGCAATAGGCGCACTCTCGTTGTCTGACCATGTGTGGATACCCACCATATGGCGCTCTTCTCCACGCTTGTTGGAGTCATCCGCCCAGACATGGATGTCATAATCCGATGTGGCCAATTTCTCCTGCAGCACTCTCTTGTCCACCTCCGCCAGCAGCACGTTCCATTCTGCTATTGTCGAGGGCGAGACACTTGTTGCAAGATTTGCTGTTGGCTCGTGCCCCTTGAGCAGTTTATGCGAAAGTGTGAGTGCAAGACTTAGTGCTGCTTTATGGTTGCTCAGAAGACATGCCATTTTGAAGAAACGGACTTCAGCCATGAATTATGGGGCATGGCCTTTGTCCCAGGTTCAAGGCATTGTAGTATGTGTAGCTCATTGGGTTTGCTCTTATCTCGCTGCTTTCTTTCTTCCTTTTTGCGTTTGGTGTAGGAACTCTTCAAACCACGCAGAGTGTTAGTTTGCTTCTTGATCTTTTCTTGTTGGCGAGATGTTTCTTCTTCTTGCATCTTTGCCAGTTGCTGCGCTATCTGGAACGACTCCTGCACTTTGGCAGAATGCACGCGCATCTTATCGAGCTCTGCTTGCATCTGTGTATCACTGACTTCGGGACTGTGCCGTTGCTGGGCAAGCATTTGAGTATCAATACCTTGGTCACTCACACCATTTGAGTATCAACACCTTGGTCACTCACACCATTTGAGTATCAACACCTTGGTCACTCACACCATTTGAGTATCAACACCTTGGTCACTCACACCATTTGAGTATCAACACCTTGGTCACTCACACCATTTGAGTATCAACACCTTGGTCACTCACACCATTTGAGTATCAACACCTTGGTCACTCACACCATTTGAGTATCAACACCTTGGTCACTCACACCATTTGAGTATCAACACCTTGGTCACTCACACCATTTGAGTATCAACACCTTGGTCACTCACACCATTTGAGTATCAACACCTTGGTCACTCACACCATTTGAGTATCAACACCTTGGTCACTCACACCATTTGAGTATCAACACCTTGGTCACTCACACCATTTGAGTATCAACACCTTGGTCACTCACACCATTTGAGTATCAACACCTTGGTCACTCACACCATTTGAGTATCAACACCTTGGTCACTCACACCATTTGAGTATCAACACCTTGGTCACTCACACCATTTGAGTATCAACACCTTGGTCACTCACACCATTTGAGTATCAACACCTTGGTCACTCACACCATTTGAGTATCAACACCTTGGTCACTCACACCATTTGAGTATCAACACCTTGGTCACTCACACCATTTGAGTATCAACACCTTGGTCACTCACACCATTTGAGTATCAACACCTTGGTCACTCACACCATTTGAGTATCAACACCTTGGTCACTCACACCATTTGAGTATCAACACCTTGGTCACTCACACCATTTGAGTATCAACACCTTGGTCACTCACACCATTTGAGTATCAACACCTTGGTCACTCACACCATTTGAGTATCAACACCTTGGTCACTCACACCATTTGAGTATCAACACCTTGGTCACTCACACCATCGTCAAGTATGGGTTACTACTCTAGTCTCTAGTCACAGCCCTCGCGGCGGCATCACGTCGTGCACTGAGCCCGCGTGGCACGTGCCAGAACGACGCTTTTGTCGATCCTGCATGCCTACTTTGAGCTCTGAACTGCAGTCTATTGCAGTATTGGATCTACAACTGCGTAGCTTCGCATCTTGTTACAAACCGAACTCACTAACTACGGTGAAACTCCTCCCCAGCCTCGTTAAGGAGAACACTGATAAGACGGAGTTTGGCTTTAGAAGACCTAATATTCATAACACTATTGGATAAATCACTATCGGTATTGACAGTGTATAAACCGGGTATGAATTATGTGTAGTCGGTCACTACTGTAAGCATAACATAAATGATGTATTCATGTAATGAATTCAGTTTAGCGTAGGCGCACATCTCGCAACTACGTATCTGCTGCGCTACAGCGCCCTCTACGGTTCTGGCCGCGGCACTTGTTTAGCGCGCCTTGCCGCGACCGGCAAGACCGCCTGCTGTGCATCACATTAATTTATGCGTACGCCATCACAATAATTAATTCAGTTTTGATCGGGTCCGAGTCCGCAACGTGGCACATCTCCTTGCCATTCTCAGTTTTGAGTCTTCTCTGCTTTGGCTCATGCCCGACTTGCATCCTGCTGCCTTTGTCTTTTGCTGACCCACCATCCCACCACTAACCATTAATACTACATTGCATCATTCCTACTTCAAGTACAATAAACCTGGTGGCGAGTCACTCATAACTGGTCTGCCTTTCTATTGCGGCATTATGGCCTTATGGTCCTGCCTTTCCATTGCGGCAATCACAGCCTCCGGGCTTCTGCCTTCCTGCGGCAATCACAGCCTCCGGGCTTCTGCCTTTCTGCGGCACTCGCAGCCTCACGGGCTCGTGCCTACCTTGCGGCAAAGACCAACCAGTTCCTCGTCACCAGTACTTACCCAACACAACCTAGCCTTATTCGTGTGGTGTATGCCTGTCTGCATGCCGTCTGTGTGCGCGGAATGCTAATGATGTATGGCTGCCTGCATGCCGTCTGCGTGCGCGGAATGCTAAACAAACAATAAGAGGACGGAAAAGTGTTTTAACTCTGAGTTTCACGCACTAAGCGATCATCAGAAAACAGACGGAAAACGTGTTCGTCCTCTTATTGTTTGAACTAGCTCTGCCTCTCGGTATTGAGCACTCTCTTGGACAGCCTGGAACCTCTCCGTTTTATAAGCATAACATTGCCAAGTTTCAACAACTTGGTCCGGTGGCCACACATTAACAAAGCAATCCATAAGAAGGACAGCCATTATTGCGAACAAATACCATTGGTCCCTCGGTGTTCGCCCTTAAGAGGTTTGGCTCTACCATGATCATCTGGTTACCAGGTACACAATGGTTACAGAGTTTTTTAAATCTTTTATTCTCACGATGGCCTGTGAATACAAGATTTTAAAAAAAGAGTTGTATGCACTGCACCAGGGAAACATGTATTCAGTGAATAGGATTCCAGTCTTTGTCCACTTAGTGGTGGGTCTGGTCTACTTGCTTCAATGCAGACTTATAGGAGAAAAGTAGTCCGGAGGAGGTATGGACTGTTGATGATGTAATATCTCTCACACATCCTCTACTCTCCCCCCCCCCCCCCCTCATCCACACACACACACACACACACACACACACACACACACACACACACACACACACACACACACACACATACACACACACACACACACACACACACACACACACACACACACACACACCATTCAGGATCTGTATGTGCATGCCTGCCTATCTGTCCCTATGTGTAATATCTCTGTGTCTGTGTGTCGTCCCATGCCTGTACCGATCACAGCATCCTGGGATGCTGAGTTGCTGGAGAACAGCTTTGTCGAGGCATTGCTCACTGTTCTAGGTAGTGGTGATAGGTAAGTTAGACAGTCACTGCGTGAACTGTGTGTTGACTGTACCATGTAGCACTGGTACATCATGCACTGGATTTAAAATGCTACAACGTTACTTCTTTAGCGCTACAGTCGTCCCTCTCTAATCCGGCACTTGTTTACCCAGCACCCTTGCAAACCAGCACACTTTCTGCCAAAACGGATTTTTTCAGTTCATTTTCTACGCTTTAATCCGGCACTTGAATTCCGCCTCCAGCAGCGATTTTCTGCAACAAATCACTCAAACTGTGCATAATTCGATTTTCTAATCCAGCGTTGTACATCACATACCGTCAAGGAGCATTATAACATACACAACACATGTAACAGACACTTGGGAATATCCTATGCCAGTGCATAGGATATTCCCAAGTGTATGCTATAGAAGGCATGCATTCCACAAAGTACTTGGATTGACACAGAAAATTGCTACGTTTTGACGTACAACAAAAACATGTATGTTAATAGGTGGGCCGGGTTGGAGGGCAGGATTTGATAATCCAGCACCCTTGTTTATCCAGCAGAATATGCCGTTGCAAAGGTGCAGGATTAGAGAGGGACAACTGTACTTGTGCCTTCAGCGAGACCAATAAGTGGATGATGGGGGTCACCTGCTGCCGGGGCGTGTAGTGTTTTCTTACTGTGTGGTGTGTGCGTGTATAAGAAGTATTATCATCGTGCAGCCTTATACTGTTACTTGTATGATTCGTGCTGCCGCTTTGAACCTCGAATGTATTCTGATGACTCTGAGTACCTACAGTGTAAATACTGCTGCTGCATACATGTATCTGTGGAGTCTGATTATAATTCATATTCCGTGCCACAATGTCTGACTATGCATTCTGAAACTGTGCTATGATGCATGCTGCTGCTGCTGCTGCTGCTGCTGCTGCTGCTGCTGCTGCTGCTGCTAGGCTCTGTGCTGTGCGAAAGCATATTGGCAAGCACTATCACTCACCGCATACTACGTATCTGACGGCACACAGGCTTCACAAGGACTTGTACTTTGAGTACAGCCTACTGGCGCGAAAGTCTCGCTTGGGATTGGCCAGTCTGAATCAGTAAATTGTCATCTTGGGTTGCGTTGAGTTAGCTGCGTCTTGTCTGGTACCTCACTTGACTGGGCTGTGGGCACGCACGCACGGGTTGTGTTGTGGATGGTGTGCCGCAGCCGGGTGCGTGTGTGTGTGTGTGTACACGCATGTGCATGAGCGCACACGTGTCTATGTGTGCATCTGTTATGTTATGTTGTGTCCACGCATACTTGCAGGAGGGCAATCAGAACCATGTACACCCCCTTCGGCGTGTTTTTGGTTTTACAATAGTGTCGTTACGGAAGCAGATTTGAACGATTTCAGATGATTTGAAGTTGGTTTATGCTGCCAACTGCTGAGCAGGACTGGACCACAAGCAGTTAGGCTGCAAATGAAAATAGTCACATTGGCATGCAGCCAGAAATGTGCGAAAAGTTCGGCCACTTTGAACTTCAATCAGATGGTGTGTTGATGTATATGTACATTGTGCTGATGATGTCTTGCACTGTCCTGCACTGTCCTGCACTGTCCTGCACTGTCCTGCACTGTCCTGCACTGTCCTGCACTGTCCTGCACTGTCCTGCACTGTCCTGCACTGTCCTGCACTGTCCTGCACTGTCCTGCACTGTCCTGCACTGTCCTGCACTGTCCTGCACTGTCCTGCACTGTCCTGCACTGTCCTGCACTGTCTTGCACTGTCCTGCACTGTCCTGCACTGTCCTGCACTGTCTTGCACTGTCCTGCACTGTCTTGCACTGTCCTGCACTGTCCTGCACTGTCCTGCACTGCCCTGCACTGTCCTGCACTGTCCTGCACTGTCCTGCACTGTCCTGCACTGTCCTGCACTGTCCTGCACTGTCCTGCACTGTCCTGCACTGTCCTGCACTGTCCTGCACTGCCCTATCTCTTCTTGAATAGTCTAACATCAAGAATTGGCATGACTAAGCCTCCGCCTCCTGCTGAAGAAGTGCCAGTCGAGAATCCGTATAAGAAGAGACTGGAGACTCTGCCGCATGACTGTGACCCGAAGGTAAGTACTTAAGGTAATGTTTGACCCTGCTGCTGCTGCTGCTGCTGATACTGCACTGCTGGCAGCGGCGGCGGTGGCGACGGCGGTGGTGGTGGTGATGATGGTGGTGGTACTACTGCTGCTACCTGAGATGTGTTGGAATTTGAGTTTCGTTCGTGGTGCCTATCCTCCCTGGTTTTGTTAGTATTGCATTGTTGAAGGCTGATGAACTGGATGACCAGTGGATAGCTGCATCATCATGTGTAGCATATTCAGCTGCCTTTTTGTCTGGTTCTGTTCACCGTGGCTGGCAGTACTTAGCCTTTAGCTGCACTCATGAAGCAACAGTACCTACAACAGTTATCTATCTGCAGTCGCGCTTTGAGGAGATTGAGTGATATGCAAGTTGTGCACTGCATACCCCATCTGGCCTGTGAACACTGCGTCAATATGTAGCATCCTCTTATGCTGTGCTAAACGTTGTTGACATGTGTACCCTGTACCTGAATTACACTGTTATACAGGTGAGAAAGATGTTGGAAATCCGCGCTCAGTCCATGATGCTTGTACCGAGAGAGCTGATGGTGGCTTCTGCTGCGTGTCTGGGACATTTTATGACATATCCAGCTGGAAGACAACGGGTAAGGAGACTGTTTTGATCGGTGGGCATACTTCATATCCGAAACAACGCTCCCTGAAGAAGCCATATCAGTTGTGATATGTAATTAAAATCCATGGCACTGTTTGTGCGTGTCTTTCTATATGCAGCTGATGGACCACGAAAAGTCTGTGGAGATCTTGACAAGGAACCTTTGCCAGTGCCACGGTGAAGAGCGTCGACAGGAGAGGTTTGTCTTGTGCCAGGCAATACGCCATGCCTGCCTGGACTGTGATGTTGCTCAGGCATTCACTGAAGCTGGGTGAGTACCGGAGTGACCAGGGTACCGGGTCTGGCGCACAGTATAATCTAAACAACAGATGATGTGTCGCAATTCCAAGCAGTGCAATAGCAGCGCTGCGACGCTGGGCTAACCAGGGAGTACTGAAGGTGAGCGCTGATGGCTCTCATTGCAGTACTTCCCCATTAGCGGTAGGTTTGAATATCGCTTCTTGCGGTCGGTTTGTGTAAATGATCGTTCTGTTCGCTAACACTACTTACGTTCCACACATGCGTCAAATTGTCCCAGGAGTAAAGCAAAGTGATGATTTTAATGAACTGAAAGCATCAGCATGCCGTTTTCAACGCTATTTAAAAATAATTGTAACTTTCTTTGCGTAAAATGGCAATGAATAAAACGAAATGTGCAGTCATAACAACGCAAAAGATAAATGTACTAATTTCCAAAACGTTTTCGCGTGACACTCATCAGTGGAAAGTCGTCACTAAATTAGCAATAACCAAAACAATCTCTCTATATATAGCCCAAATGTTTAGGGAGTTTTTACACTTAGAGGGACTATTATAGCAAAAAAATTAACGTAAAAAAAACAGCAACAAGTCACAGCCAACCAATAGCATGATGTAGCTTGTGAAAGTTAGTGATAAATGGATATGTAAGTGTGGGAAATGTGTGGATGTGTTGATGGATGCGGTGCGGTGAGTGCGTCCTATTTCAAGAGCGTGAGAGCTATTACGTTTCCCTTCTGCTTAAAGGGGAAGTATACCCTAAAATCAAATTTTCACCAGTTGTAGTCTTCGGGGTGCTGAGTCGAATGGTCTTGGTCCGAGGAAGCTGAGACGCTCCCTTCCTACTTGAATCCCAATCGAACTCGCGCACTTCCACCGAAACTGGGTGACTGCGCCCTACTAGATGGGGATTTGTACGCAAAATGTCACTAAAAGCGCCATTTCGTTCTTATAAAAGCACGGATGACCGCGATTGGCCCATATGTTGTAGTCTTTAGGACGCTGAGTCGACTGGTTTTGGTCCGAAAAGGCTGCGATGCAGCGTTCCTCCTTTATTCCCAATCGAACATGGTTGAACAAGCGGTCACGTGCTCCTGCGTACACCAGTCAGCTGGTCACCGTGCCTGCAGGGTACAACTTACTAGCCTGTTTGACCTTTTTTGGGTGCAGTCCTGTCACTCGAGTTGAACTCGAGTTGAACCTTGGTGTGAAAGTTGTCGCCTGCTGACGCGGTGACCAGGTGATTTGGGCACCCAGGAGCACGTGACCGCTTGTTCAACCATGTTCGATTGGGAATAAAGGAGGAACGCTGCATCGCAGCCTTTTCGGACCAAAACCAGTCGACTCAGCGTCCAAAAGACTACAACATATGGGTCAATCGCGGTCATCCGTGCTTTTATAAGAACGAAATGTGCTTTTAGTGACATTTTGCATACAAATCCCCATCTCGTGGGGCGCAGTCACCCAGTTTCGGTGGAAGTGCGCGAGTTCGATTGGGATTCAAGTAGGAAGGGAGCGTCGCAGCTTCCTCGGACCAAGACCATTCGACTCAGCACCCAGAAGACTACAACTGGTGAAAATTTGATTTTAGGGTATACTTCCCCTTTAAACAGAATAGGATCACGTAGACGTATGTAGACAGCGTCCAACACCTGCAACTGCCTGAACCTATTTGCACACCGAATAACACTGAACCAGGAATCGTCAAATTACTACGACACTCCGGACTCGATGCCGAATGATTGTACACAGCGGACTTCTTCTTATCGACACTGAACTTCTCTTCCTCAGCACTCCCATCCTCCTCGTCACTTTCCTCCTCTTCATCGCTGTCCCCCTCGTCCTCATTATCCGTCTCCATCTCAGCACGTCCACGCTTTCTGTTCCTTGACCCGTCATCACCAATCCCCGACTTGCTGTTACAAACACTTCCTCACACTTCCTCCTCCTCGTTCGATGTCTCCCGATTGCCTCAACCGTGCCTCCTCCGGCCTCTCGCTTCGTCTTAGTCACAGTGTGTATTGTTTCCGTTTGTTTCTTTTGTTTGGGTAGTTAAATCTGGTGGACCGTGTACCTCAGACGCTGGCCTCACCACAGGCTGCTGTGTCGGTACAGGCACAGGTGTATCTGTATGCACAGGTGTATCTGTAGGCACAGGTGTATCTGTAGACACAGGTGTATCTGTAGACAGAGGGTGTTTACGAGGTCTTCCTCGCTTTGCCCTATTTTCTCTGGCTGCTTGCGACGAGAGTGACAGCGGAACATGCTGTTTAATACTTTCGGACAGGTGTTGAAGCGTCCTACCAACATACCGACTACCACATTGTCAGCATTCAAAATGATAGATGAGATGACTCAATTGATGGGTTGGCAGGATGTCCTTCAACACCGTGAACGAACGTATCGTTGTGTAGACAGTGATCACATTCCGTGACGGCATAGTACGTTTTGTGAACAGTTGACTTCACAACCGCTATGGTATAGTGTATAGTGTTTGTGTGCAGATGTCAATGGTCTCATTCAATGGAACATTTGTGAACAAGCTGACAACATCAAACGAGCACATGTGGGCTGTAGGTGGAATAGCCTGGATTCATAAGATTTCTACAAATTCAAAGCTATCTTTGATATTGTGCTTAGGATATTGTATCATCCCACACAGCCACTTGGATATGGTGTACTGTGGTGAACCGATCATGGAAAGTATTGGACGCATTGGGCATGACTGTTTGTGGAGCTTGGGTAGTCCATACATTCGGGGACGTACAGAGCTGATGGGCTTAATCCGGGGAAATTCGGCTTCTGATATGTGTTTAGCATCGCGGAGCTTTTTAAGATATTTCACTAGTTCCTTTTCTCGAGCCACTGTTAGGTTGGCCATGTCCTCCGGCGGCGAACGCTTGTGCTGGTGGTAGCGCTGGGGTCTCGTCTAAAATTCTCCTGCGCATCGATCGCAAGCGTGATGGGCAGGGTTACGAGCGGAGCGACGTCTGTCAGTTCGTCATCACTCTGGTCATCAGAATCTTCACCTGAGCACCCGTAGAACAATCCATCTTTGTCTAGCAGTGCTGACGACTCGGCTGCGGAGAATCCGACTACAATTTGTGCCAACGAGCACCTTCGTCCTCCTTCCACCATAACTGTCACTCGTGATGATGACAAAATCAAGACGTGCTGATGTTTTCACCACTATCTCCGAAACCTCGCACAGCACCGAAGGGTAGTTTCGCAGATCGCGGCCCATATCATCACACGAAGATACGAAGCCAGTTGTGAAACTGATGAGACCTTTTGTCCCATTACTTCTCAAATCAGTACAATGGTGATAATGTGACGAAGCACAACGACTGTTACCGTTTTCTACTCTTTGGCGCAATTAGCACCAGCATCCAACCTGTATACGTTTCATCACGGTATCATTTCACCGCCAATGTGCTGTGTAAATTGAGATCTGTTGTGCTTTGTCACAATATCACCAAGTACTGCAAGTCAATAAATATTCGGCGCATATTTTTTTTCGGCTATTTTAGGCCTGGGCATATTTGGCCTAAAATTTGTTTGTTTATTTGTTGGTTGTGTTTAGCAAGGTTCCGTGTGACAGTGTATACACTCACAGGCAGCAGCATTACAGGCTGAACTTTTAATGCGGCCAAAATGTGTTTTAGCCCTGGGAGTCCGAAATTTAAACGCGCCGAATATTTGTAGATTTACAGTACTGGTTTGAGAAGTAATGGTATGAAAGGCCTCATCAGTTTCATAACTGACTTCCTCTCTTCGTGTGATAAAAGTGTGTCCATGGTGTGCAGTTTCATGGGTCTGTTTCTTCGTGCAGACATTCTACGTGTTTTGTGTGTGTGTCTGTGTCTGTGTCTGTGTGTGCGTGTGTGTGTGTGTGTCTGTGTCTGTGTGTGCGTGTGTGTGTGTGTGTGTGTGTGTGTGTGTGTGTGTGTGTGCATGTGTGCATGCGTGTGTGCGTGTATGCGCGCGCGTGTGTGTGTGTGTGTGTGTGTGTGTGTGTGTGTGTGTGTGTGTGTGTGTGTGTGTGCGCGTTCACCTTGCAGTGGCTTGACAGAGCTGCACAATGTCTTGGCGTCGTTGCCAGCTGCAGTGCGTGAGTTCAGCTTGGCAACATCCTGCATCACTACTGTTCTTGATCACAATCCGACCATGCTCTACTGGATGACAGGCAGCCTGAAGTGCTCGCACGTCACCCAGACTGGATTCTATGTATTGGCTCAGGTATGTAACAAGATCATAAGTTGCTGCCATGTGCTTACAACACATGCATGCATTACACTTGGTAACTTTCAGCGGCTCTAGTCAGTGCAGGCTTATCCTGGGCTTTACAATTCACACCCATGAGATGAAAGAAGGACACGTAAGATCACATACTCCTGAATTATTCTAGTAATCTGGAATGTATTGTGTCACACGCATCAATGGCACTTTCTTCCTTCGATCGTTTACGACCTAGACCTAGACCTAGACCTAGATGGATTCACGAATCTATTCCAGATACTACCATGTACCTATGTAGTGAAGACTGTGAAGTGTATGAATTCAAATGAGCACCACCCTATGATTAACTTATCCGAAGTGAGTTTTAGGAGCTACATGTAAAGGTATATGCATTCACAACGAGATCTCATGCTACTGTTGCTAACCTATATCAACAGTACAAGCCAGTCAAGGCATCCGTGAAGCAAGCTCTGCCATCACTGCAAGAACTCGGCGTTGCTAAGCGTAGCAATGCCTTCACAGCCTACTACTTCTACCCAGTGCAGCCTGAGCCAGTGTAAGTACTTGACGCCATATCTTCATTACTAACTACGAATTACTGCTGTTAGCCATGTAGATTACTCGTGGCTGCATGGATTTGAGGGGAGTGCCATGCTTGTCACTTGATCGCATTCTACGGATTGATTGAGTTCGCTTTTGTTTGTTTTGTAGAGTGTAATTATGGAAATAGTGCATTATAACCCTCAACCGATGACTGGCATGCAATATGTAGACCGTTGTTGAGAAACGAAATAGTGGTTGCGAGGTCCAGTGTGGGGAGCAAACCTTTTCCGTTATTGAGAAGTTATTCGTGAATGCACCCGCTAACTACCATTTCTTCTCGTCTGTTACAGAAAACCTCCCACGCCCGCCCCAGAAGCAGGACAAGACACCCCCAAGGAGCGCTCTAATAGTAAACTGGGGAAGCCAATCAAGTAAGCGCATGGTGTCCGTTGTGTGCAATTGTAGGGGAGTCAGTGATGTTTCACTTAATTTAAAATATAGGGGGAATGACCCTTCGCGCACGCCATACTGGACCGTACATGTCCGAACGACCACAACTTCCGTTTCCTTCAATATGTCTTGAAGAATTTTTCACCGCGTCTTGATGGAATAACATACAACAGATCAATAGCACTCTGAATGACACTCTAAACAAAAGAAAGTTGGAAGATTTGACAACAAAAGGATAATTATCGCACAACGGACAAAAGCTAAATGGTGCGCAATTGTATCAGAATGTAGTTCATCAGAATCATCTCTTTCAGCTAGGGGTGAAACGATTAAAAGGGATATTCCTTAACGGTTAATCCAAAACTTATCGATTACTTATCGATTATTATCGATTAAGCACCACTGAGGAAAAAACTCACCATTTTGCATCAACTACAGTCAATTTTGGAACTTCGAAGAGAACAAAAATAAAGGAAACATCGACCGTCGCACAGGCACAAACTGATTCTGAAGGCTACTTGTCCAGAATAGTGAGTTCCGTGAAGCAACCGGAACGAAAGTTCACGGGTACGAATCAGTGCACGGTGCAGGGAAAAGAGCCGCGTGTCATACAATAGATCTAGAGAGTACATCAGGTAGATCTACCGGGTAGAGTCTACGCATGTAGTGTGTATCCAAAGCATGAGCAACTCGCTGTGAGCGCTGCACGCGCGCATCCACTCGTACTCTGGTACATGTGCTGCATGCAGTAAAGTCACGTAGACACACATGCCGGATACTTCGTCGTACCGTATAGTATGTCGTACAAAAATGCTGTAGCGATTAGAAAAATCGTAATTGACTAGATTGTTTCGACTAATTTATCGACTAAACTACATAATCCTTTCACCCCTACTTTCAGCCCTAGATATTTAGATTACAGGTACACGCAGTGCGTTTGCCTAATATCACACAGTCCTAAACATCAGTGCAGTGGTACAGCTCTCACATGCTGCACTACCGCACATGTGCATTTCCCTCACGAATGGAATGGGCAGATTATGCACACAGGATTGAAGAAATCTCCTGCCCATAGGCAAACACACAAACTGACATCACACAGATTTCAAAATTTTATACTTTCGCATGTCCATTCTGTACAAGTGAGCCAGGAAACTGCGCGGAGTGGCAACAAACCACTAAAAATGGCGAAAATTCAGGGTATATTTAGGGTATGTTCAGGGTATGTTCAGCACTTTTCATACAGCACCATCACGATGCAGGCAGATAGCTGCACTAAAACTTGCCCGGTCCATAAGTATCTCCTTCCTCTTCCATAGTGGTCTCCTCCCAGCCCTTCTTTCGCCTTCTCTTCTTTCTCTTCTCCTTCTCTTCTGCTGAACCTTTGCGATCGGCTTTGCTGATCCGGGTGAAATCCTCATCTTGGCATGCTTTGTGGGTCAGCACGCCAGGTACACAGTCTGCTTTCAGAAGCACACTCTCCACAGCCAGTGCACCATCATTGAAGTGGGCAAGTGCAAGGCTGGCAGCGAACCGGACAACATCAGCGCCACAGAAGCTTTCCTTCTGGAACATACCCCAGATGACGCCAGTGAAGCTTTCATTCGCATTTTGTGTGGCTCCGAGGAGGCATCTCTCGAGAAGCTTGCGCTCTGTCAAGCGGAGATACAGTGGCTTGACGACGTCAAACACGGCCTTGGGGAGAATGTGGTGATGGGTGTACTCATCTCTGACTCCAGCCTACACCAACTGCCACTTGCACCAACTGTCAGGACCGGTCGGGCAAAACTGGTGCTGGGGATTGTCGTCCGACGAACACCGGTGCATAAGGCCACTCCAGATAGCCCGGGCCATGCCTTGGATGTCTTGGCTGTGCTCCCTCACTGCCCATCCATAGTACGTCTAGAGAGTGTCAATGGCTTTGACGGTGTGCCGGCCTTTCCCAGACAACGCCTTGCCGTCTGACAATTTTTTACCCTTCATCGTCTTCTTCAGCTCCCGCAAGCCCGTGCAGATGCGTTTCTGTACATGTCCAATGCATTCCTCCTTTTCAATGGCTACACCATCGCACGGGTTAGCTTCAACAACAGAATTGAATGCCTTACTGTCGCCATCTCCGATGTACGTTGTATACCGAAGACCACAATCAGCAACAGAGCGACTCCATATGATGGCAGCTGCCTCGCTCTCCATGGCTGGTGCGGATCGCGCAGTATTCACTCCACCGATGTGGGTACCTTTCCAGGCAGTGAAATCAGCTGCACTAATTCTCCCGGACTCCTTCCGGTCGTTTCACACGACGCATTCCTGGCAGTACTTGCTGCTCACATGTATGTCCAGTACACGGCCGGCCTGTTCTCCACGATATACAGGCAACGACACTGTAGAGAGACGTATAGCCGCGCCTCATCCAGGTGCCATCGCAAGTTACCGCCACGGTGTCGCAACCATTCAGCACCTTCACCTTGTCAGCAGCATTGGTCATGCTCTTATGAGCCACAGTGGCTGCAGCGATCACGAGCGCTTCCTGGTGACGGGTGTAGGCATGTGTGTTCACAGGGCTGGGCATGTCCATGGTTCCGCAGAACTTATTCAGAGCGGCACGGCGCGTCCCTTGCCAATTCTCCACATGGCTAACACTGATCGCCGGTTGATGTCAAAGAACCGCTTCTCTTTCGGGCATAGGTTAAATCTCCAACTGTGACTGCATAACACATTGTCGCACTGCACGTGCACCACCGATGCGAGGCCAACGGCGCAGCAGTCAACAATATTTATTTTTCCAGATTTTCACTCGCTACATACAGTGGCCACGTCCAGAAGCTCCTGAAGACATTTCAGGTACACAATTCTGTTTCTCCGCAAGCAATCCTCTTCTATCTCTTCTCCAGATCCCTCAGATGCCTCAGTATCGTCGTCCTCAGAACTGTCTGGGTTCGAGTTCACATCTGAGCCGCCGCTGCTGTCAAAGCTTTCATCAGCTAAATAGGCCGGCGTCCTGCTCAACTTTCGCGTGGACGCGCTCTTCTCAGTCGCTTCAACATCACTGGCGACCTCAGGAACCTCAACGACATCGTCGACTTCAGCAGCAGCTGGCTTTGGACCAATATATTTCCTTTTCTGTCGTCTAGAATGTCCACTCGAGCTCGTTCTTCGGTTCCCCATTGTTCAAATTTCAAATTATTAATTTTGTTCTCAAGGCAGGAAGCTTTTCAGCGCTTCTTTGTACGCCATGGTATCCAGTAGCAACAATTTCAAATCAAAAACTCGCTCGTAGTACGCGGTTTCAGTGAAAATCACCGACTGCATGGAGTGCAAAATTGTACTTCCTCCGCGTCATCGAAATTGTCGCAGTTTGACTTTTGATATAAAACGGGGTATTTACACACCAGCACTCGTACCAGAGGCAAGGAATCGGACATAGGCGATATTCATCAGTATAGGGTGATGGCAAAGTTCTATTTTCTGTTATTGGAAGCTGAAATTTTGGAACAAGATGCAATTTCTTCGCTGATGTCGCTGCGATGGTAATTTCGACTCGCTGAGATCAGTCAGGCGTTGCAGCCTGCATATTTCTCGTGCTTATGGCCATTCACTCAAGCCTCATCACTGTTTTACCTTAGCTGGGGTGAGAAGGACTTCGTGGAACAAGTAGCAGCGCTTGGAGAAACATTGAGGGATCAGCAAACTAAATGCATGCAACAGCGATAAAATTTGTCGCTCTCGCTGAGACACTCAGTACATGATTGTACCTGCAAGAGCCGTGTAGACTCTAAACGTAGTGCTGGTGATGCACGCGCAGGTGCCGTACCAGTGATGCTGAAAAAGAGGGCGTGCTAGACGTGATAGTACACTGACCTGCATGAGCTGTGACCACACAGCTAAAATAAATGGGCATGCTACGGCTAAAAAAAGTTCATTTCAAGATCGAGGTGATTCCGCCGACGGTAATCAACCGACCTCGCAACGATCGTGTATTCTTACTAGGCTTCGTTGGTGGTGAAGTAGAAATCACCCAGAGCTAGCAGACGATAAGCATAGCAGCTCTTGTCCTGTGGAGAAAGCCAAAGCGTTTGAGATGAAGCGCGACCAACTTTCAACCTTCCTTGAAATATTTCGGAACGATATTTTTTGCGTTCATTGACATCAGCGATGACGAGGACTTCATCTCTGCATGAAAACTCTCAGTCCATCTGTCCTGGAACGTTACTCTTGTTTTCAGACTATCATAATGTGTAATAAGTTTTGAATGGTTTCGCTTATGGAGTTGTCCGTAACAAGTGACAAGTCACTAGTCAAACTGCGACAATTTCGATGACGCGGAGGAAGTACAAATTTTCGATCCGTGCGTACTCATTTTCATTTGAATTGTTGAACTTAAAACCGTCGTAACTTTGGAACCAGTAGTCCGTTTCACCAAAAAAATTGTTTCTACGCCCTATAGGGTCCGCTGGCCTAGTTGGATACCAAAAACCTAAGTACAGCTATCCAGTGCAACACAGTCTCCTTGTTTACACGCTGTGTTCATTGCTGTTAGGCAAAGCCCACATGTTGATCGTATGTGAACATGTGCAACGTGTGCAATCCACTTTTTCATTCTTCTTTCCGGGTGCAGGAAGACGAAGAAGGCCGAGAAGGAGCAGGCGGCGAAAGACGAACTTGGCGACCTGAAGGAATCTACTCCATCTCCTGGTTTGGTGTGGACACCTAACCCTGACTATGATCTCTGGACAATGATTGAGGATGTTAGCCAGACTATCATGAGATCAACCAAGCTACCCAGCGCCAATCTCAAAGTGCGAGAGCTGGCAGTGTAAGTGCATCATTCATATGGTAACCAAGACGAGTCAATGTCTTCTATGAGTATGAGGTGTCTTCCACCATAATAATTATATTACGATTGTTTCCCTCAACTGCTGATTTCTGTGCTAACGTTACCACATGTGAACTATAATCAGCGGGACAACGATCAGCATGGGCCTCTGCTGACATTCATGTTGCTATTTCTGAAAAAAATCATCGATGAAAATGATTTGAGGTGTTACTGTGTTGACGTCTTGTTCAGCTATGTCAGCGAGCGTATGGGTGGCGCTTTCTCCGAGCTGGACATCCGCCAAGGCAAGATCTTGCACCTGGATCACATTGCTGAGTTGAAGATGAAGCTAAACAGCAACATCATACCACTGGGTATGATACGCTGTGGGACTTTCCTCCATCGCGCACTGCTCTTCAAGGTGAGCAAGGAGAATAATATAAGACCTCTACATTGAACCAGTCCAGGCACTGTCATGGCTGCTTGATAAAAACTATTGCAAGCCATTTGGCACTGCTTACCAGAATAACACACTGTGCCCTAATGACCTCAGTATGGTGACCATACCATTCACACAACAAATGTGTGCATTGCTGTTGAAGAAAACGGGTACTTCAGCACAGTCGTGTAGAATACTAAGAAGTTACAGTAACAACATCCTCGTTTTGCACCAAACCTAAAATATGATCAGGTTTAACAACAAAAAACTGTTAACCCTTTGGAACTGCACTGAAATCCGGGTAGTTTTGACAATTTTACTATTTTGCGGAAAACAAGCAATATCTCATGAACTATTCAGTATGTCAGATACAAACCCATCAAGAGTCTTGCTCGCATGAATTCGATGGACACAGGTAAAAAAAAATACGCTGGGTGAATAAAGAATTAAAACAATTCAGTATACACAGAACAATATTCATCCAAAGCAAAAACAGACTTAAGGGGTCAAATTTTGGAGAATAGCTTTTTGATTGGAATTTGTTCATATGGACATAGTGAACCTCTGTCCAAAATTTGAGACTGATACGACACAAAACGTGTTAGAGCACGCTTAAACTCGTGTGCATGGCCGCCGCAGCCCTCTACTTGCCGAGCTTTTTGTACTTAGATCAAATAGCAACCATACCAATGCCTTGACCAGGGGACAGTCCGCCCTGGCTTTAGCCCTGCCTAATGCTTCGTCACGGTACGGTTTCTATGCTTTGCCTCACCTGGCTGCTGACAGGTGGAATTCGCTTCCAGCAGCATGCCGCCAGGCAGCCTCCTTTGCAATGTTCAACAGTACTCTTCGCAGCCTCTTTTGCAACACATAATGGCACAGTGTGCAGCCACCGTTTTCTTTTTCTTTACTCTATTTCACGCACTTACGGCTTTCTTCATTTAGCTCTATTTCACGCACTTACCTAGGGTACCCTGTAAAAAGACTCACAGTCTGTGGGGATTGCCCTAGTAAAATAATAAATACTACTACTACTACTACTACTACTTTATTAGGTCGCGTGGTCCACTTTTTTTTGCTATCGCAAACAGTATTTTCATCTTTCACTGCCGTTTGTTGCATATACACGATATTTATTTTACTTCAAGCACTTGTACTATCAAGCACAACCCTACCAATGAGGGGAAAGAAGCAGCAGAGCCTACTGAGTCGAATGACTGTCACTATCAGTTCTCAAACAAAAACATTTTTGTCAAATTGCAAAATCTCACCTGTTAGTGTTGCTCACTAGCCACTAGTGACGAGTTGTTCGTCCACGGAATTTGCAATATACCACTACGGTACCAGCAAGAGTAGGTAAGTTGGCGTAGAACAACAGCTATGCAAAGCAATGTTCATCTCCTCTTCACTTTGGAAGGGCAGTATAAGCACCCTTCATACCTCGACATTGCCTTGGAGTGGAAGCAAATTCACTATGAGTTTTCCAATTCTCTGCAATCGATCTAGGGTGACGATCGGGTCTTCTTCATCACCCCTGCAGCCTGGACAGTCTTCGGGAAGACATGATTGTGTCACTCTCCTGCTCAACAGTTTCCTACACCTAGATTTGGTTACCGTCAGGGAACGAAATAGAGCTGCAAAACACCAAAGTTTCCAAAGTTTTCTTCCATTCAATTACACTGCTGAGCATGCACAGCATGGTGACAGCTAAGCAGTATGCACGTCATCAAGCCCAATGCCCAAATATGGAAAGTGTTATTTATGAAATTTGACACGGTTCCTCCTCTCTGATCGGCTCGAGACACAGCTCACCTCCACAGTATTTACACGAGCAAGCAGAGAAAATCAAATTTCGTAAACAATTCAAGTTCACTAAGCGATTTCCAGTGGCGTCTGAACCACGACCTTCAGCTATTAGGCCATGAAAGTCCTCAGAGCACGAGGATTCACTCGAGGAGCCACTGTCTGAGTTCGAGGTCAGCGCACATCCATCAAAGCTCTCCTCCGAATCCGACTCACTGTCGCTCAGTTGAATCCACTTTGGAACGCCATCGTACAATTTGCGCTGCGAGGCGGACTCTGGCAATGCTTCAGCTTCATAAACTTCCTCAGCAGCTTACTGGACAGGTGCAGTCCTCCTAGCAAAATTTAATATATAAGTTCCCTGAGAATCGTCTCTTTGCAGGACGCTTGCACGACCTGCTCTTCTTGTTCCCATCGCACGAAAGCAAAGAAGTCCTTCGGGAAAGAAAAACAATTGTTCTGGTACATGGCACGGATCATTGCTGCCATGGCAACACAATTTTGAAGTAAAAGCGCTTCAAAACTCCAAAACTCCATAATCTTGAGAGCTGTGTACAATTTTTTTCAAATTGTTGGTGTACGAACATCGATGTGTACAAATTTTTCAAATATTTTCAAACTTCAAACAGTCATAATACTACAACGGTGGGTCCGAATCGCTTCAAATTTGGAATACTGACACCTCAGGGCATATGCTTTGATTTCTATATGTGGATGTGCCCTTGTATTCGAATATAAGTGCGTGCCTTTTATGCGCGTGTATACAGTAACGTACTTTCCTCAATTTGTCATTGCCACCCTCAGTTGTGCGATCTACAACTTTGAGCCGGGAAGTAGAGCAGTCCCTGGAACCTCTGGTATGATGAGATCATGGGTCGTGCATAGTTCACTGAACATAGTGAAGTTCATCTCTGGAAGGGGATGCTAGCCCATGAAATAATCAGCCAGGAACTTGTACATCTCTGGCCTTGCTGTAGGGGTCCACTGTCCATCCTTGTTAACATAGGTCGGCTGTGTGGTGATATGAGCCACAGCATAAAGCGGGATTCACAGAAGCTTTTTTTGCGATGCGATGGGCGATGCGATTTGCGACGGAGGTGTGCGATGCGAACTCGCGAAATTCACAGAAGAAGTCAGCGATGCGACGACGCCTTGTGGATTTGGCGCGAAGTTCAATACAGTTGGGTACGTCACCATGGTATTCGTGTGGCTTGGTACAACTTGTACAAATTTACAGGCAACTCTTGAACATTTGCACAACTTTGCTGTAAGGCTGTGTTTACATGAGAAATTTCAACCCGGGTCGAGTTCAGCCCGGGTTGCAAGTCTGTACGATAGACAAAATAGGTGAGCGTTTACATGAAGACAGTTGACCCGGGTCAAATACTTTTGTTTGCCGCCAAAATTCCACAGTCCTGTATGGTCACGTGAATCCTTTCGCGCGAAATTTGCATGTGCAGTGCTGTTCAAACCTGTTGCGAGATACGCACAGAAGTACGTAGTACGACATCTTTGACCCGGGTTGATTTCAACCCTCCCCCCAAGGGGAGGGTTGAAATCAACCCGGGTCAAGCGCAATTCATCATGTAAACGCGCCATTCATTTTGTGCACATGGCGGGTTGAAATCTGACCCGGGTCGAACTCAACCCGGGTTGAAACCTCTCATGTAAACACAGCCTAAAAAAGGTCAAAATCATACACAAAATCGCCTGTCGCATCGGGAAAGTTGAGCCAAGCTCAACTACTTCTGCAATTGCCCAGTTGCGGCGGTTGCGTGGGCTGCGAGAATGCTGCGATTTGGGGATTTCCCGGTTTCGTGGCTGTCGCATCGCGTGTCACATCGCAAAAATGCTTCTGTGAATCTCGCTTTTAAAGCATTCGTGAAGAGAACAATGTTGTCCACGACGTATTCTGTGAAGTAGTGTTCAAGAAACTCACACTCTTTGTCCTTAGCAAATGAGGATTAATAGAGTAGTGAGATGGTTTCTTCGAATATCAGTATTTCAGAATTACTAGTACCCAAAAATTGCAAATAGAGAGTGGAATGAGAGAACTGTATGCACTGTGTCCCCAATATGAAAAGGAAGACATCTTATCTCGATGTCACGGGCTGGTGGTGCCACAGGCGTTACCACCTGCAGTGGAGGTGCCACGTCCTGTAGCACCGCAGGCGATACTTTTGCCGTTTCTTTGCCCGGACGACTGTCCTTTTTATAGCCAGTCTTCCGTGCAACGGAACGAGGCTTCATCGCCACTAAACTGTGCCGTCGTGTGTGTGTGTGCACGTGTGTTTGTTTTTTTGTTTGTTTGTTTGTTTATTTAGAGTCGAAGAACAAACAGGCATGTGTGTGTGTGTGTGTGTGTGTGTGTGTGTGCGCGCATGCGTCTGTGCGCGTCTGTGCACGCGTGTCTTTATGCCAATCATAGGTGTTGGCGGATCGTCTGTACCTGCCATGCACATTGCACCGTGGTGCTGGGCTCACGGCATGGAACACATTCCAGTGCATCGATGTACATCACAGGGTATGTATGGTCAATGTAACATTCCAGCGCTGCTGCAATGCATTTGCTTGTAACTAAGTTACAGTTGTGCACAATACAACACAGCAGGGAAAGAGGAGGGGTTTTACCTTCACGTTTTTACAATCAGTTTGGGCTGCTGCTGCTGATAATATAGGAGTGTTGAACTGATCAGTTTCAGCGCTGTGTGAATATTAGCTCTTTGCCTCAAGCATGTGATACATGTACGCTGTCTTCATGTCTTCATGTTCTCTGTGGTGGTGCTGTGGTTACAGGAGCAGGTGGTGGATCTGATGTACAAACCTGGAGCATTACTGGATCTCCACACGCCAGAAGCAGAGCGCTACACCAGCTTCCACTGAAGCCAGGGCTGGCCCACACTCCATCAGTGGGTTGACAACATCGCCTTCCACTGAAGCCAGGGCTGGCCGACACACCAGAACGCTGCGTCAGCTTCCACTGAAGCCAGGGCCTGGTCCAGAGCAATGTGGAGTTCCACACATCAAGTGCAACAAAAACCGAAGCCCTGTTTTTCTGAACGCGTCTTTATCAACAGACAGAATGATAGCCAATATGTTGAACATACCGCCCTGTACTGGGACCACATCAGTAACAAGTCCAGGTTATTGACTGGCCATTCGATTTACTCCATGCAGTATAATAATTTCTTCAAGTTTCACCCTCGGCCCTCCTGAACGTCACACTCAACCATCAACTATTTTAGAATGTGGAATTTTGTTAGAGTATTTTTGAGTATTTTTGAAATAGTATTTTTGAAATAGTATTTTCGAGGAGTCATGAGTATTTTTGAAATTTTAATAGTATTTTCAAGGAGTCACGCCACATGAACAAGAACCTTGATGAGTTTGATTGACATGTTTTGTATTGAATGAATTTTAATTAACGTTTAATTAACGTTGCTAGTCCATGATGTATACATGTATGGTCTCTACTACCTACTTTTGAAGTACATGGTTAGGCATTGTTTAAAAAAATCTTTACAACTGTCTGGAGATGCCTGCTGCAAAAATAGTAATTCAGGTGAAAGAGCATTGCAGGAAAACAAAAATTCACTTCACCAGGCTGAAGGCCACGACGAGCAAATGTTCAGCAGTAGCATTTCCAGTGCCACAAAGCGGATTTAATAATAGCATGTTACGTCCCTATGTACAACAGGGTTGTAAACATGGGTAGACCAGTGCATGCACACAATTAATGACTCCTTGGCTATGAGTGAGCCCTGAAGGGGGTCGGTCGTACGGCAGGGGCTGTACTGGATGTACACAAAAGCACAGACAGATAGGTGCAATGCAAACGCGGCGCACACCTAACCTTGTGCTGGCGGCAGTAGTACACCTGGCAAATACGTCAAATCCGAAAATTAGAGCTGTATGCATACACCGAATACCTCTAATCTAATTGGCGCAAGAAGCATGGATGGAACTGGCTTTGAAGCAAGAGTGAAATACCCCAGCCAAAGGGACTTGTTCTCGGGGGCATGGCGAGAATAGTGTAATAAAACTGAAAGGCTGCAATACACCACCACCTACCTAGATGATTTGAACAACATCTTCAAACTGCTGGCTAGTTTCCGATGGCTTGTTGGAAGCCATGATGCGCACCAGGCTGTCTAGAGCCTCGGCTGAGAAGTAAGGCTGTGCTGTGATGCCCAGTAGCTTGGCTTGCAGCTGGGTCTTGTCGACAATAAAGTCAGCTCCATACATGGCGATGGGATTCAGACTGGATGCACATGACGGCGAGAGATGCTCGGCAGCACAGTTGAACACGTCTAAACAAAGCAAGAAACAAACGCATAAGCAAAGGAGCATTTTATTCAGAGTGCGCACCTGCACACACACACACACACACACACACACACACACACACACACACACACACACATGCGCACGCACACACACACACACACACACACACACACACACAGAGTGATCGCAACACAGTGACAGAGTCTCACCTCGCAGGCAATGGCTGATGCTGTACTGGAGCACATCGAAAGTAACACCACCTTCGCTCTTGTGTTGCTCCTTGAACTTCCCAGTAAACTCAGCATAGGGCATGGTCAGTCCAGCGTCTTTCTCAGACCAGCCGGGCTATGTGTCATGCAAAGAGAAATCACACATGGGGTACACAATTATGCCAACGGTACATAACAGTGCACAGAAACACAATATGGCAGGCACCCAAACAAAGACGCAAAGAAGTATTGGCACACTAGCCATCAAACAGCCTGCCCCCTCTGGACTTCCCTTCCCCCACTGGGAGCAGTCCAGTCCTGAAAATGAGAACACCTGTAGGAAGGTTTAGCAAGGAGACTGATCACTTCGTGAATAGCACTCGTGAAGTTATGCCGATGCGAATTTGCCCGTCATAAGGACTGGTTGTTTGCGGGAATTGCCTGTGGACTTGCAGAATTTCGCACTGCACTGGGCAATGTCAGAAAAGGCTACGTTCCCACTGCTGAAGGGAAGTTCACAGAGCACATGCAGTCATGTGATTGGTCGCCACTGTGCAAAACAAGACAGTTAATCCATTGTCCATGTTCATTCGATTTTGCCTGTATTTCACCTGATGATAAGGCATGAAAGTGTACTAAGTGAAAAATGTGTGTCCTTCTTCTCAGTACCATTGCATTCTTGTCTCCCAGGAAACTGTACTGTAAGAACTAAGAAATACATGTAGAAACAGGCTGGCACTGACCAGTGCAAATCCCGGTGAATCGGTGTACTCTGCTAGCAGGTCCTGGTCACAAGCTGCCTGTGCCGCCAGTCGAATGACAGGACGTAGTGACAAGAACACAGCCAGTGGCTTCACCGAGCATACAGCCAGCGTGTAGTGAAGCAGGTAGCGATGACCATCCAGCAAATCCGTTGCAGTGTTGTCTGACATAGCAAACGATGGCACCGGTGGCAGCAGCGGAAGCAGCAGCGACGGCAAAAACAAAATGCAACACTTATCAGTTGAATGTGGCAGAATAGAAAATGCAAAGCCGATACGCAATGACTACAAATCCATTCCTTAACCCTTTCCATGCCGGGCCCCTTTTCTCCAATCGGCCAGCTGTCCAGCACACTGACTCTCTTGGTGTAGTTTGCGCGCAGAGCTCTGAACGAAATTTATTCTCATTTCACTCCACCTTGATGGATTTTCATCATCCTGGGCTCGTTGGAAAGATCAGGACCAAGCGAATCCATCATAGTAGATCTCAGCGACATAGACACACCAGGGCCACTTCCACCTTCTCTCCAAAGTACTCCACCGTGCCTCGGAACGGCACAACAACTCAATTTCACGTTCTTGTTCAGCATCTTGCCCAAATTCAACCGATTTTCACGATACGAACTGCGCTGCAAAGTTGAGATCCAAGCGCTTCATTTGATGTCCATCACGCATGCGTCATGCCAAAGGGAAATCCCCTAGCACGCTCCAAAAAACTGCGAAGTCATGATAAAAAAAATTCGCGTTCGCTCCGGGCCGTGATTTCCTTCGCAAAGCTGATTGAGCAAGTATGGATCCCGCAGCGGCACTCAACCAAGAGTTGATCACGGCAGCGCAGGTTGAGGCAATTATAGTGGTAGAGGAACGGAATCTCCTTCTCCATGAGCCTCAACAGCAGGAGCAGCTTCGCCAACATCAACGTCAGCAGTATCCACAACCGCAAGAGCCTCCGCAGCAGCAACCGCAAGACGCTCCGGGCCGTGATTTCCTTCGCAAAGCTGATTGAGCAAGTATGGATCCCGCAGCGGCACTCAACCAAGAGTTGATCACGGCAGCGCAGGTTGAGGCAATTATAGTGGTAGAGGAACGGAATCTCCTTCTCCATGAGCCTCAACAGCAGGAGCAGCTTCCCCAACATCAACGTCAGCAGTATCCACAACCGCAAGAGCCTCCGCAGCAGCAACTGCAAGACGCTCCGGGCCGTGATTTCCTTCGCAAAGCTGATTGAGCAAGTATGGATCCCGCAGCGGCACGCAACCAAGAGTTGATCATGGCAGCGCAGGTTGAGGCAATTATAGTGGTAGAGGAACGGAATCTCCTTCTCCATGAGCCTCAACAGCAGGAGCAGCTTCGCCAACATCAACGTCAGCAGTATCCACAACCGCAAGAGCCTCCGCAGCAGCAACCGCAAGACGCTCCGGGCCGTGATTTCCTTCGCAAAGCTGATTGAGCAAGTATGGATCCCGCAGCGGCACTCAACCAAGAGTTGATCACGGCAGCGCAGGTTGAGGCAATTATAGTGGTAGAGAAACGGAATCTCCTTCTCCATGAGCCTCAACAGCAGGAGCAGCTTCGCCAACATCAACGTCAGCAGTATCCACAACCGCAAGAGCCTCCGCAGCAGCAGCAACCGCAAGACGCTCCGGGCCGTGATTTCCTTCGCAAAGCTGATTGAGCAAGTATGGATCCCGCAGCGGCACTCAACCAAGAGTTGATCACGGCAGCGCAGGTTGAGGCAATTATAGTGGTAGAGGAACGGAATCTCCTTCTCCATGAGCCTCAACAGCAGGAGCAGCTTCGCCAACATCAACGTCAGCAGTATCCACAACCGCAAGAGCCTCCGCAGCAGCAACCGCAAGACGCTCCGGGCCGTGATTTCCTTCGCAAAGCTGATAGAGCAAGTATGGATCCCGCAGCGGCACTCAACCAAGAGTTGATCACGGCAGCGCAGGTTGAGGCAATTATAGTGGTAGAGGAAAGGAATCTCCTTCTCCATGAGCCTCAACAGCAGGAGCAGCTTCACCAACATCAACGTCAGCAGTATCCACAACCGCAAGAGCCTCCGCAGCAGCAACCGCAAGACGCTCCGGGCCGTGATTTCCTTCGCAAAGCTGATTGAGCAAGTATGGATCCCGCAGCGGCACTCAACCAAGAGTTGATCACGGCAGCGCAGGTTGAGGCAATTATAGTGGTAGAGGAACGGAATCTCCTTCTCCATGAGCCTCAACAGCAGGAGCAGCTTCCCCAACATCAACGTCAGCAGTATCCACAACCGCAAGAGCCTCCGCAGCAGCAACCGCAAGACGCTCCGGGCCGTGATTTCCTTCGCAAAGCTGATTGAGCAAGTATGGATCCCGCAGCGGCACTCAACCAAGAGTTGATCACGGCAGCGCAGGTTGAGGCAATTATAGTGGTAGAGGAACGGAATCTTCTTCTCCATGAGCCTCAACAGCAGGAGCAGCTTCGCCAACATCAACGTCAGCAGTATCCACAACCGCAAGAGCCTCCGCAGCAGCAACTGCAAGACGCTCCGGGCCGTGATTTCCTTCGCAAAGCTGATTGAGCAAGTATGGATCCCGCAGCGGCACTCAACCAAGAGTTGATCACGGCAGCGCAGGTTGAGGCAATTATAGTGGTAGAGGAACGGAATCTCCTTCTCCATGAGCCTCAACAGCAGGAGCAGCTTCACCAACATCAACGTCAGCAGTATCCACAACCGCAAGAGCCTCCGCAGCAGCAACCGCAAGACGCTCCGGGCCGTGATTTCCTTCGCAAAGCTGATTGAGCAAGTATGGATCCCGCAGCGGCACTCAACCAAGAGTTGATCACGGCAGCGCAGGTTGAGGCAATTATAGTGGTAGAGGAACGGAATCTCCTTCTCCATGAGCCTCAACAGCAGGAGCAGCTTCACCAACATCAACGTCAGCAGTATCCACAACCGCAAGAGCCTCCGCAGCAGCAACCGCAAGACGCTGCGGGCCGTGATTTCCTTCGCAAAGCTGATTGAGCAAGTATGGATCCCGCAGCGGCACTCAACCAAGAGTTGATCACGGCAGCGCAGGTTGAGGCAATTATAGTGGTAGAGGAACGGAATCTCCTTCTCCATGAGCCTCAACAGCAGGAGCAGCTTCGCCAACATCAACGTCAGCAGTATCCACAACCGCAAGAGCCTCCGCAGCAGCAACCGCAAGACGCTCCGGGCCGTGATTTCCTTCGCAAAGCTGATTGAGCAAGTATGGATCCCGCAGCGGCACTCAACCAAGAGTTGATCACGGCAGCGCAGGTTGAGGCAATTATAGTGGTAGAGGAACGGAATCTCCTTCCAGTACTGCTGCATTCTGTACTGTACTACTGTCATGCCGTCCTGTGCCCTGGATAGGCTGCCGACCACCCAGTCGTCGCCCCGCCATACATTGGCACACAGCTACATGGGCTGCTGTCCTGCAAGACTTCTGCGCCTGATCACTGCGTGTCTTTGTGTTGTGGAGTTTCCCCCTGCTCTTTGCCTCTGCCCTCCCATACAGTTTTTTTTCTCCCCCTTTCTGCCTCTGACATGCTCTTTACCTCTGTCACGTTAATCCACCTCTGACATGTTAACCCGCCTCTGTCACGCATCTCTTTTCTGCTTCCTGAATTTTATTCCTCTGTTTCGGCCTTTGTTGCCACGTTAAAAACAGTCGTACGCCACATGCAGCGCTCATGTCCTTGTTTTTCTCTTTCGTTCTCTGCGCTACGCTTGTTCTCTGGTGGGGGAGTACTGTAGCGACCTCGCTGCATGACGTCAGCCCCCCTCCATACATAGTACGCATGCGCATGAAACATTGCTTCCTCTTTGTTCTAAATAAACAACAACCATTAGACAAAGTTGCCCTCTCCTCGGAGTTGTATTTATTAGGCCCCAGGGTGGTATGTCCCGGGATTCATTTGTCTCCCCGTGAACAGGTACAACCTCTGCCATCTTGGGTGCCTAAAATCCTGTCGCCGGTCAGCGATTGTTTATCCTATCGCGACGCACTAGATATCCCCGGAAAGATGAGCTCAAGACCTTTACAACGGTGTACTGGTTGTGGCGATGCGGTTTTGTTTCACGGAGTTACGATAGTTTGTACACTGGTCTATGCACTGCGATATAATGCGCGCTCGCTCCCGGCCATGATTTCGGTGTTCATCCTGTCGCCGCTCAGTGATTCTTTATCCTATCGCGACTAACTAAAGTTACTTTATATCCTCGGAAAGACGAGCTCAAGACCTTTCCAACGGTGTATCGATTGTCGCGATGCGTTTATGGTTCACGGAATTACGATAGTTTGTACACTGGTCTATGCACTGCGATATAATGCGCGTTCGCTCCGGGGCGTGATTTCGGTGTTCATCCTGTCGCCGCTCAGTGATTCTTTATCCTATCGCGACGAAGTTTATACGGAAAGATGAGCTCAAGACCTTTCCAACGGTGTATTGATGGTCACGATGTGTTTATGTTTGACGGAGTTACGATCGTTTGTACACTAGTCTATGCACCATGATATAATGCGCGAGATTTTTTGCGCATATATGGCCAAGCACGTCATAGTTTCAGAGCGCATAATTATATGCGCTCATGGCTCGAAAAGGGTTAACGAAGTACAACAAATATACCGGTACTGCATACACATCTCCTTTGCCAATACCGTAAAATCCCGCCAGAGCGCCCCTACCTCCTCGACGCTTCAGGTGGGGAGGGGCGGATGGGCGAGTCCTACTTGCCGCATTCAGTACTACATGAGAAAGTACCCCCCCCCCCCCCCCCCCCTACGAAAACTGTCCGTGCATCTCGTACACCGACCAAAAGGTCAAGAGCCAGGAGTAGTACAGACCCGTCAAAACTCAGGGTTTGTGCGATCCCTGGTCAAGAGGGTGGGCACTGTTGCGTACATTTCCAACGGGGTCGGGCACGCGTCTGCAGTACAGTACAGCATCACAGAGTCATACGAGGATATAATCAATCACTTCCCTGACCAGAAGTCAGGGAGGGGCGGATGGGAGAGATGGGGCGCTCTGGCGGGATTTTACGGTACTACAGTGCATTTCAAAAATATAGACGCATGGTATCTTTGAAATATTTCAAATTTGGCTAGAGCTTTTTGAGAAGTTTTTCAGAATTTTGCTCAGGTCCTTCCCGCAATTACTCTCATATAGATTTTTAAGTGATCAGATAACAAAAGCCCAATTTCGAAATTTTTCTGCACAAAATGATCACAGATTTTATGTGACATAGATGCTGGCATAACGGCTTTTCGAAATCATGCGTCTATATTTGTGGAACGCACTGTAGTAGTGCTGATCACCCAGTCCTCGTGCAGAAAGATCAGCTCAACAAGCACTGTGAACATGGTGTAGGCTGGAGACCAAAGGCATGGGTACATGTGCCAAGTCCTTTTCCATCTTCCCTTCAACTAGGCACTGGATGCGTAGAGTAGGGACCGCGACCATGTATTCTAAATAGTAGCAATCCAACACATTTCTTCTGTCAGAAAGGACAATGTTGGCATTGAAAGAAATAGGTTTCAGGTAAAGATGTAGCTCCTGTACAAAACTAACAGACAGGTACTGTAAATATACAAATTTTCGGCAGCTATTTAATTTCGGCTATATTCGGCACCGACCCAAAACGCCTAAATTAAAACGCCGATGAAATTTTCACAGCATCTTTCGCAATACCATGCCCTCTACCCCACGCCGAAAATAAATCGCCGCCGAAATGTCAAAAATCAAGTGCCGAAATTTTGCAGCGCCGAAATTTTGTATATTTACAGTACTAGGTGAGGATGCACAGAAACTAGTCACGAGGGACACGGCACGTGATCTTTCTACTAGTGTTACTGTAGAGGCAGAAAATTTCGTCCGTCAATAATTTCGTCCAACTCCAAAGAAAAGGAGTTCATCCGGTTGAAAATTTCGTCCATGGATCATAAGAGTGTATAGAAAAGCTGGGCAAATCGACATTAGTCCTACATTTAATTTAGTCCAAAAGCTCCTTGGACGAATAAGACGAAATTAAATTCCAGACGAATATTTCTGCTTATACACGGAAAGTTGGGTGTGGTCCTCGAAAGAGTGCTCAATGCACCGGGGTGCAGAGCTTCATACACATTTGCTGTCTGATGATTTCCACAGGCGTGAAACTCTGAGTCACAGCCAACCCAAGCTCCGTATCCCATTCTATTCTTTTTTTCTTCTTTTTTTTTTGTATTTCTGCTTATACAGTAGTATCAAGTCAAGACGTGAATTGGTGTGTGAAATGACCCACTACTGGCCACTAGTGAAGACAGGTGATTCCTTATGGTAGTGTGCTCACTGTACATAGGGTATACTGGGTATACTGGGCATACTGGGCATACTGGGTATACTGGGTAGTTGCACGTACAGTAAAACCTGTCAAGGCGACCACTCGGATAAGGCGACCACCTGTCCCAAAAGACCACTGCAACCAGGCCAAGGGATGCTATTTCCAGTCAAATGACCCTGGATACGGAGACCACCTGGTAACAGAGACTACATTTTGGAGGTCCCTTGAGCGGCCACCTTTATATTAAATATACAGTTTTCACTGTACTTCGCAAGTACTTACAGGGCAGGGCAACGGATGGAATGGACTCTGACATTCTGGCAACACGCCGCACGTCCCTGGTCACGACTGTCTTCATGCCCACGCTGATGTCGGAGCGAGCCGGCTGCACCAGCCAATGGCTGAGCACACCGCGCTCCCAGTGGGCCGCCATGGTCTGAGCTAGCTGCCGGTGGAGATCATACATCGGCACAAACCAGGGGCTGGTGCCATAACCGGATGACCTAAGAGCAACACCAACATGGCGACCATACACCGAAATCAAATCAAATTAGCATGACAAATAGCAAACAATATCCTCATGTAGTACTTTTTTTCAACGCGTGCCTGCCAGAGGCCAATACCCAACTCATTTAGGGAACAAGACCACGATATCCTGCAAAATAAGCTTTAATTCCCGTAGCTATGCAGAAGACGTTACTTCAGTAACGTCTGGCGCTAGCCAGGGTCCACACAGCTTTAATTTGGTGTTTGTGTGTTTGTATGTTTGTGTCACGTCTGGCGCTATCCCGTATCTGTCCCGTACCGTACCGTACCATCAAACACAGCTGGCCACATACAGCTGGCCGTAATATTCAAATAGAGCTTTCAAACGCAAGATCATAACGTGAAGCAACTTGGAAGAATGAGTATGAATGCGAAGTGTATGGGGGAATGCATGTAGGGCGATAACTGGTGTTAGTGCGGGTTCGAATCCCAGGTAATGCCTGAAAAAATAGGAGAATTGAAAAAATTATAACATCCCTTTTCTTTTTTTGCCGTCTTCAAGGCGGTAGACGGTGTCGTATTACCCTCGGCCGTACCTGTCCCGTACCTATCCCGTACCGTACCGTGCAATCAAAGACGGCTGGCCACAATGCATATTCAAATGGGGCTTTCAAATACAAGATCATAACGTGAAGCAACTTGGAAGAATTAGTATGTATGCGAAGTGTATCGGATGATGCATGCAGGGCGATAGTGCGGGTTCGAATCCCAGGTTATGTCTAAAAACAAAAAGTAGAAACTTATAAGAATTTATAACATCCCTATGCTTTTTTTGGCCAGGTCATCAAGGCAAAAAAGCATAGCGTAGGGCCCTGAGCTTCCAAGCTCTCTCGTCTCCTGATGATTGCTTTAAAAGCGCGAATTGAGGGTTTTTTAGATGAGATTTATACACCTATGTACAGATCAAGCCAGATGCCCCTCTTCAATTTCAAATTGGCCAAAAGTCACAGATAAAGAATCTCCTTGAGCCATCAAAGTCTCAAGCCACGACACTTCTATCACAGTTTTGTGCGTATTCTTGGCTATAATGGGAAGACCTTAGGACGGAAAAGCCTCCAATGAAAGCCGTTGACTATCACATGGAGCGTGCGGGAGAAGAGCCGGTCGTACAGATGCAAGTCACAGAAATGCAACCTATGTATTATAGAAAATTTCCACATCCTGACGACCCTGACGACACCAAAGAAGCTCCTGCTCAACAAGCGATCTGAGATGATCTCAAAATGCAGGCATGAGAATAAGTTCCGCCTCGCAAATTTCACACCTATTAAACGAACTGATCTATGGATTTGGTGGAATCGCCTCAATGAGAAAGGTCCATCATACGGCTATTTCCTCAACCCGACCAAGTCTGTCCTCCTTGTCAAGCCGCAGTTTCTGGATGAGGCCACCAGCATATTTGCTGGAACTGGAATTGACATTCGCACAGATGGATGTCGGCATCTGGGAGCCGCACTTGGCTCAGCAGATTACTCCCGCTGCTTTATGGAGCGCAAGGTTCAATCCTGGGTAGAGGAGGTGATGTCGCTCACCACTATTGCTTCGTCACATCCCCAAGCTGTATACGCAGTGTTTGTTCATGGCCTGCGAAGCAAATGTCCTTCCTGTCTCGAGTCATGGCTGACCTACACTTGTACATGCAGCCATTGGAGGATTCCATCAGAAGCAAGCTCATCCCCGCTCTCTTAGGTGGCAGGACCGTCAACGATGATGAGCGTACTGGCTCTACTCTGTCGACATGGTGGACTGGGACTCCTCACACCTGCCTCACTCGGGGCCCAGTTACCCCACTCCAAGACCATTGTTGGCCCCCTGGTGCGGCGCATCCAGCAGCAGACTGCCACGCTCGGCGATGCCCTGCAGGAAGTGCGGAAGAATAAGCAGCAGATGAGGGCGAAGGCAAAGGCATCGCTCCATGCCGAGGCCGTCGCTCTGCATTCTGCCGCACCTCCAGAGCTTCAACGCACCATCGACCTTGCTTCGGAGCGGGGGGGGGGGGGGGGGGCATCCAGCTGGCTCACCTGCCGGCCCCTAAAGGCTCACAATTTCACCCTCATGAAGGCTGAGTTCCGTGATGCCGTGCACCTCCGGTATGGCTGGCACCCCGTACGCCTGCCATCATCATGTTCTTGTGGACAGCAGTTCACTATCAGCCATGCCCTCTCCTGCCCGTTAGGCGGTTTCCCAACCCTCCGCCACAACGAGGTACGTGGCGTGACAGCTCGCCTTGCGAAGCGTGTTGGTCACCAGGTGGCTATTGAGTATTGAGCCACATCTGCAGCCGCTCACTGGAGAGCAGCTCCGCTACCGCACGGCTGTGGGCGACGACCAAGCCCGCCTTGACAAGGTGGCTAGTGGTATTTGGGGAGGGCGGTTCGAGCGCACCTACATTGATGTCCGGTTATTTAACCCTTTTGCGTCCTCGAATCGCCTCAACTCACTTGCTGCTAGATACACCCGTCACAAAAAGCCAAGCGCCATGCCTATGAGCAGCGAATCCGGGAAGTGGAACACTCCAGTTTTGCTCCCGCCGTGTTCTCCACTATGGGAGGAATGGGGAAATCTGCCACCTCTCTGTACAAGAGGATAGCGTCCCTCATAGCCGACAAGACCGGAGAGGCCTACAGTGCCGTGATGGCTTCGATCCGGTGTCAGATCAGCTTTGCCTTGGTCCGATCCAGTGTGATGTGCCTGAGGGGTGCTAGGCGGCTCTATGCACCTGTCTTTGCCGCGGACTCAGCTGTTCTTGTTGTTGCCGAGGCGGCTATACCCTGTTGAGGTTGATTGCCTTGCTAATTTATATCAAGTTCTCATATTTTCTGCTTTTCTTGTCATTCTTGCTTCTTGTGTTTGTTTGTTATCCTCTAGCTTTTTTTCTTTCGCGGAGAAGGCGGAGAGCCGGAACGCAGAACATTTTTTTAAATTATTTCACGGAGAAGGCGGAGAGCCCGGACGTGCCGGAAAAATTCATAAAAAAATGAACTGATCAAGTACTAAAGAAAAGGGGGTTTGTCAACTAACAACCGCTCTATTCAGTTGCTATTCACACTCAGTGCATGAGAATTTTTCATCCAGCGCATGCGTCGAGTGTGAATAGCAACTGAATAGAGCGGTTGTCAGTTGACAAACCCCCTTTTCTTTCATAATGCAGTAGTGTGATGTCCACCACTTTCTTAGTGATCAAGTACTGTACTGCAATCTGCCTGAGCATCCCAATATACCAATACCGCAACCCCTGTTGTTGACTATACCACTCTGCTCACGCCCACCCATCACCCAAAGACCCCCTAGTGATTTCACTCGCCTGTTGCCCGCCATCCTCCTGGCACCTCCACCCACCTGCTGTACACTGCCTCCCCTATGCCTCTGTCCGCGCTTTAGTGCTGACACCTGCCCTTGGCCGCCCCCCCCCCCCCCCCCACACTCACTCCTAGCGCCTTGGTTCGCGCTAGCTTTCTCACATTACCTTACGCTACCAGACCTAGCACCCACCTGCACATTGCGCTAAATTTGTTTATGCCTGTGGCCCTATGTGTTTCTAAGCGTACTGCTGGCTAGATTCCAGGAATCAGTTATCTGATGATAGCCTGACAGCATAAAACTCAGAGTTACAACCAATCTGAACGTCCTCCGCTGAGTCTGCCATGTTCTAAGCTTTGTCTTTGACATTAAGCACTCTCTGTAGCTCGGGGATCAACGGATTTGATCTGGTGGTGCTATAAGCTCAATGTGTCCAAGAGCTGGCAGAGTGCCCTGCTCAACATATATTTGAATTGTACATCGTGGAGCCACAGAGCACCCAGAATTCAACTATTTATCACTGATATCCGCACCCTGCACAAAAACATATGTAACAAACAACATAAGGTTCTATGTCTGGCTTACCAAGGCATACAAATACAAATACGTACCGAAGCAAGTAGCAGAGCAGACTACGATCAATGAGGCACTCTTCACCGTCAATTCTGTTCAGGCGGTGTGCTGAAGACACCTTGCCCTGCCATTCAGAGTGACGGAAATTCAACCAAAACCACTTGGCCTCCGATGGCTTGCGCACAACCCGACATAGAGAGCATGCAGACCAGGGCACACTGGCACCTATACGATGTCAACATTGTAGCAGAGAAGAGACAAGAGAGAGAGAGAGAGAGAGAGAGAGAGAGAGAGAGAGAGAGAGAGAGAGAGAGAGAGAGAGAGAGAGAGAGAGAGAGAGAGAGAGAGAGAGAGAGAGAGAGAGAGAGAGAGAGAGAGAGAGAGAGAGAGAGAGAGAGAGAGAGAGAGAGAGAGAGAGAGAGAGAGAGAGAGAGAGAGAGAGAGAGAGAGAGAGAGAGAGAGAGATAGAAAGAGAGAGAGAGAGAGAGAGAGAGAGAGAGAGAGAGAGAGAGAGAGAGACAGCAAAGAAGTAACAGTTACAGTACACAGGAAACACTGAATCAAAATCAAACCAATAAGTTAAACCCTGAAGCAGAAAAGGCAGAGACCAAGGAAGTTATAGTTACAGTCCATTCATAAAAAGATGGACTTCTAGCTTTTGGCCAAAAATGGGTCAAACTTTGAGTTTTTTTAGAATTTTTCTGCAATCCCCTGTGGAATCCTCTTCCAATTATGCTTCTGAAGTCTATTTCTCTAAAAAGTAAGCCCTAACAAGAAAAGGATTTCGGCCAGGTTTTGCCCCAAAAGCAAAACCTTTTAAATGCATTTTCACTAATAGGTGAAGTGGAAAATATCTCTGATAATGGTGGATGCACACAAAATGGTGTCCAGGGAAAACGGTCCAAATGAAGGGAATTGAGCCAGGTTGTCCAAGGGACTCAAGCCTCCAGGTTGGCATGTATGTTCTAGCAGTTTTGCCTACGAGGAAACAAGATACACATCAATAGTGATTACTTACTTTGTCGATCCAAAAAGACATTGACCACCCCATCAGTGAGCTGAGTACGAGCCTCATCCTCAACCTCCACGCATGTCACCTGCAAGTCAGACGAGGAGCTCGGCGAAGCTGATGTCTTCACTCCGTCCTCACGAGTACTCGCCTCTTCATCCTGCTGGCGCATTTCCCGGAGCGCCTGCAAGAATTCGTCAGGGCATTTCCTGGCAGATGGTATAGAGTCCACACAAACACAGGACCATTCAAACACATACCAGCATGGGCATCGAGAATGCACACCAAGCAATCGAGCAATCGTTTAGATTACCGATTACGATTATTTTGCGTTTTTTAAATTTGTGTCCAGAAAGTACTGTAAACCCTCGTTTTGTGAAGTTTGAATCAGTTTCCGCTGGGAGTATGCAGTTGCCAGGGGTATGGTTCATGTTCTGAGGTTAAATTGACTTCAAAACTGCCATGTTTCGGAGCTACCCTTTCACTAATGCAGATTTGTTGGTATTATGAAGGCATAGTTTGTGGAAACAGAGTAATGTTTGCACAGAATTATGACTCTATTTGCTAACGATTATAATCGATTGCTCGATCGTTAAGCTAAAGAGTAATCGATACGTGAAAATCCACGACCGTTTCAGCCCTAAGGTCCATTTGTATGTGTTCGTTTCTCAGGGAGGGGGGTTGAAGAGAAACGACTAGTTTTCGTTTCTAAATAAATATCGGTATTTTAAGGGAAGGCCCCTTACCAGGTAGAAGCCACAATTGCCACCTAAATGTCACTACGCATGTACAGTGCTGCTCAAATGAAATCCAATGAAGCGAGTCAATGTCACGTCGGGCGCAGTACAGCCCTAGACCTGAGAACACTGGGAGGTGAACTGGTGCACGGCGCAACTCACGCTCACGCAATCGGATTCCATTGAGCAGCACTGTACTTGCAAGTATTAGTATACAGCTGTAACAGAGTGTGCATGGAGTACAATGCAGTACTATACAGCTGTAACAGAGTGTGCATGGAGTACAATGCAGTACTATACAGCTGTAACAGAGTGTGCATGGAGTACAATGCAGTACTATACAGCTGTAACAGAGTGTGCATGGAGTACAATGCAGTACTATACAGCTGTAACAGAGTGTGCATGGAGTACAATGCAGTACAACCAGTTACAGACTACGACCATGGTAGGACCATGGTAGGGCCAGTAACAAGAGCCATGTACTGCACAGCAACTGAAGAACGTTTAAGTGGAGCAAAACGCTGCTCTGATCTGGATTCCAAGAGCCAGGATGGGTGATAGAACTGGGTAGAGCACTAGTAAATAGAGACATTGTCATGTTCACACATGCTCACAACTCACCCTACAGACATGCTGGCATCGTGCACGGAATTCCACACCCAGAGTCTGGCACGACGCTGCATGCTGCTCTCCACATCCAGCAAGGCTGGTGCGTAATCCCTCGAGCAGACTTCGCCACCACTCAGCGACTTCACGGGCCAGTAGATGCTATACGCTTGGCCGTTCAGAGCATAGATGAACGGAGCACAGCGGAAGTTCGGCTCGTCGCTATGCGACAGTGCTGACGCATGTGCATCCATGACATACCACACTGGACGCTGGGTTCCTGCGTGCAAGCACAATATAAATGCAAAAGAATACAGCAATGTATTTCCTGAAACTCATCATAGAATCGCAATAATTATAGCTACTTCTGCTCCAGCTCACACACAATAGGAATCGTAGAAGTCATTTTCTGATTGCCAGTGCTGTCAAGACGTTTGTGAATCGGGTTTAACATGCATTGAAAGTGCTACCCGGAGTCATGACAACGGACACGTTTGCATCCAGTTTTGTATGGATCCACACATGTCTGGATGGTTGCCTTCACAATAGGTGGCACATCTACCAGTACCGGTAGTGACTGCACTGGGCTCACCAGGTGGTGGACCCACTACTTGTACAGAAAGTATCACACCTACACGCGACACGAGGGACCTAGCCACCATATACGGCGGTTTACTATGTATAATAGCGGATCCAATTTGACTCAAATGTCGTAATTTGTTGACTTCAGACGTCATGACTTTCAAGCTACACGTGTATAGTCTCTCATGAGACTGGACTGGTCAAACCTGGTCAAATCATCATAGCCATGTTCAATTGTGATCCAGTTCCCATTGACAGGACTGGATTCTACGAGTATGCTTCTACTGAACTGTGAATAGCTCACACAACTTAGTTATTGCTTGTGACTCACCGTCTTTAGTAACAGCTTGATAGGTTTGGCTATAGAGCCAGGTACGCTGCAGGAGATTTCTAATCAGGCGTTCCCGATGGCGCTTCTCCTCCTCCTCTTCTTCTCTCTTGATATCCAGCTGAGACAACAGACGATTGCTCAGCGAAACCTCGCCTTCAATAACGTGCTCCCATGGCAAGCGGGGGTCGCGCTTCTGTAATGTCATTGTCACGACACCGATGTCTTCATCCTTGCCCAGAGTCCAATAGCTCTCATCTGGTATGCATGCTGCGAAGAGAGCGCCATCAAACACAGGGTTGCTGCCTTTCAGGGCGAACGTCCACCGCTGCCGTGACAACTTGCTCGCAATATCAGCTTTCTTCGTCTCCTTTGGAACGGGTATTCTCACGGTAATCGTGCCCTCATCTCCACTGCCAGGATGATCTTCATTCTCTTGCGTCCAGGAGTACTTGGTAGTGATATGTTCTACGTCACCTCGATCGTGCTCATGATTGGCCTTTCGTCGCCGGCAGAACTCTTTGTACAGTCCTTGTAGAACATCTTCACTGGCTGAAGCCTGCTCTGTGCCGTCCAATGCCTGCTTGAATTCTGCAAATGACACGTCCCTCAGCTCATTAGGAATGGCATCGGCACCGCTCTCGGGAACCGGTGGCTGAGGAGCTTCAGGATCGTAGTACCGCCATAGAGCATTCGTGACGTCATACTTGCTGTCGGTCAGCAGCTTACTGGCTTCACTTTCACTGATGTCACACAGCTTTGCCAGCTGGCTGCACACTACACCATCTGAGCCGACACTGGCTGGCAGGCTGGCCGGTGGCGAGCACAGAACGCTCTCCAAGCGCTTTAGCTGTGTACTGGAGAACTTCTCCAGTTTCAGACGCGCCTCCGCGTTGCCATCACTAAAGAGCAAGTGCCTGCTGAGAAACACGTCCGAATTAGCTGCAAGGCGTTGGTCATCTTGAACTATCAGCCTAGTAGCTCCATTAGAAACATCGATGTGAAATTTCTCAGTAGCATCCAGACGCTCTGACGGTGAGAGTTTATCGAAAAGTCTTCGCCACAGATCACCAGGCAATCCCACACTATCCAGTTGGTGTTTATGAAGCTGAGAAAACTTCTCAAAAGATATCATCTTGGACTTGGAGGAAGCTGGCCCCCAAAACTCAAGCAGCCAGAATAATTATAATAATAATAAAAATAAGCCAAAGGGAAGACGTTACCGCAGACTAGCGTTGGAGCGAAGATCTACTTGTAAGCAGTATTATCCCAGGTGAATTGATGTCAGGCAGGTACTTGTATGTCAGCAATATGCTTCGGTCAAGGTTGGTTCTCTCAACAACGCCTCCTATTCAATGGTTCATTCAAGAACGAGCTCGAACGATTTGTTCGTTTCTTGTCCAATCGGTGATTTTCTCGAGTACTCGGGAGTGGCGCCTCCAGGCCGCGGGATTTCCCCCTCAATGGGTCGCGACTCGCGATCGCGCGAGCGCATGAGCGGTGTGCGTTTCAACTTTCAGGTCATGAATGGGGCGGGGCTGCATTTTTTTACACAAGCAACAACAACAACAACAAGTAGAGGGGGGGGGGGGGGGAGCGCGAGCTACTACGTATACAATGGTATACGAAGGGAGCAACACACAACTACTCACTTTTCGCCGAAGCCCTGAAAACATCTTCTTGTCCCAGCGCCAGCGGGGCTTACGAGTTACGACTACATACAGCCTTACACAGTTACAGGGTTTGTTGTCAACATGTGATGGTCCTCAGCACGGTTACTAGTGTCTGGTTATAGTAGGGAGTTCAGGCAAAAAAATCAAATTCAGAATTCCCAGGAAAATTCTGTTGGAAATCGAATAAGCACGTCTTTCAAGAGCACACAGAAAATTTCATGTGAAAATCTCAAAGCAAACCTGAGATACAGTCATTTCAATTGTGGTGCCAATCATCATAGAATTGTGTTGAATTGTATGTAAACGTGTATAGCACGCATGGCACAAACTGACAAACGGACCCAGGGGAAGTTGACCAGGGGACATAGTGACAAAAACAAAAAGTTCGCTGAAAAGAGCCCAAATGACAGGCCTATATGATAAGCAATAATGTACAAACATTTCTATGTACAACAACTACCTGACGGCACGTCGCCATGTATTGTTTCCATGGCAACCCCTAGCAACATTGCAGAAACGCAACGAAACATATCAATGATGACAATATGGAGTGAAAACGTTGCACAAGCGTGGTAAAACAAAAATGGAATGTAGGTTAACAGTGTTAACGGGAAATTCTAGCATTGTTACCATAGCAACGGAACAGGAAAAAAGTGAAGAGAACAGTTGGAAGAGGGGAAGACACAAAAAAGACAATAAAAACAGTCAACACAATAACCACAAACTTGTCTTGACCATGTCTTTGACCATGTCTTTGGACAATAAAATTATTCATTTTCAACGCGGAGCCGTTTTGCTGTTGGCTCCAGCTCGCAATCTACATTGTCAGCCGAGGTGGTGGTGTTGGCGGCTGGCTCTGACGAAGCTGCTCGCTGACTGTCCACATCAGCCGGACTGGTGGTGTAAGTGGTTGGCTCCAGGGGAGTTGCGTGCTGACTGCCTGCAACATGAGCCGAGCTGCTGGTGTGGCCGGTTGGGTCAAGCGGAGTTGCTTCCTGACGCTCACCTGACTCCGACTGGCCGGATGATGGAGAGGGTAGTATAAAGGGCTCAGCCAGTAGGACAGCAATCTGATCGCTGGCTTTGTCCTTCAGCAGCCTTGCTCGACGTTGCTGCAGAGAACGGACTCTAGAGGCAAACGTGCCAACAGCAATATCTTTGGTACTGGAACCTATCAGAGAACCAGTCCATTTCAACATATCGTTGAACGAAAACTTCGAGGCATTTTTGAATGTAAGTAGCTCCAGAACGACATCGTTGGTGACAGGAAAATCACTCGTCTTCAAACAGGTAAGAGCTTCGTCTGATTTCAACGCATTTCTCAGTTTGCTTGAATAAATACCAAGCCTCCGACATGCAGGTCCAGGGCTATTCTCCTCCTCATCGGCCATGAAGAATTCAAATATTCAAATTCTCGCTGTAGAGAAATACAGAGCAGACAAATATTCCTTACCGCCTGGAACCGCTGCAAACTAGATGAAGAAAGACGATCGTTCTTACCTAATTTTGGGACGAGGAACACGATGGAAGAATCACCGTCCGTCAACGCTCAAAGGAACAACATCAAAATCGCGTTCAAAGTTTTACGGCAAGACGTGGGAAGTCCCATCTCACGACTGTGACCTCGAGTGAGACACCAAACGAAAGCTAAAAATCTCCTCTGTCAAATGGCTGTCATCTCCTTCTTCAACAAACTACAAGTCTAAAAAAAAATCAATATTTCCACGTGGCACATTTTTGTGCCATGCTCACGTCATAAATGCATGCATGACGCGTGACGAAGATTTTTCACCGTGCTGTCACGTGACTGAACTCCCTAGTTATAGAGACTGCAAGGAGGTGAAGTACAGTTTGCGGATGACATTGGCTTGTACTTCAGCCACCGGCTGCCTACTGAATGCTCCGCGGCGCTTACCCGGGCAGTATCTGCAGTGGCTGACTGGCTAGAGGATCGCAACCTCATCCTGAACTCCACGAAGAGCCAAGTCCTGAGCATGCACAGTGAAGCCATTCCTGTAAATTGCAATGGGACTAGTTTGCCAGCAGCAAGCACTGCGAAGTACCTCGGAGTTCTGCTGGACAGCTCCCTCAACTGGCAGAAACACGTGGACAGCATCGCCAAGAAAGCATCTCAGAAGATCGGGGCGCTCTGGCGATCTAGGCGAGCATTAAGTCTGAAGGCCCGTACACAGTTCATGAAGTCCATCATCATGCCTGATCTGCTGTACGGGTCGACAGCATTTTTCGCCTGCCTGCGACAGGAGCAAGTCTCTCGCGTGCAAGTTCTCCAGAACCGAGCTGCCAGGGCAGTGTTTGGCCAGCCACCCCGCTCTCATGCTCAACCCCTCCTGACCAGCTTGCAGCTCTACAGCATTCAGGAGCTGCACAAGCAGAAGATGCTGAGGTTTGTGTGGCGTTGCCAGCACAACCGAGCCAGCCCAGCCCTCCAGGACAAGTTTCGAAGTGCTCATGGAAACACCACCCGCCTCCAGCAAGGACAGGGTTTGCGCCTGCCGCTAGCCCGGTCAGCAGCAGGGACATCCCGTCCATCGCACTGTGGTGCCATCCTCTGGAACACCCTCCCCAGCGAAGTTCGCCTACTCAATCGTCCCAGAGAATTCGCCGTAGCTGCACTGCCCTTCACGCTGGTGGGCTAGATCTGCAAACTCCGTGAATTCTCCCGCCTTCTGTGTTCACAGTCCCACACTCCCCTTGGAGTAGTCTGCACGGCGCTGCTGCTGCTGCTGTTGCTGCTCAGTGTTGTTGTTGTTGTTGTTGTTGCTGTTGTTGTTGTTGTTGCTGTTGTTGCTGTTGTTGCTGTTGTTGTTGTTGTTGTTGATAGTGTTGTTGTTGTTGTTGTTGTTGTTGTTGTTGTTGCTGCTGCTGCTGCTGCTGCTGCTGCTGCTGCTGCTGCTGCTGTTACAGCAGCTACTGCTGTGGCTGTAGTTACAGCCCCTCTCGTTGTCAGGAAATGTTTGCTTGTGCTACTTCTCATCCAGTTGACTTCTTATTATGACTTTGTACGTTATAATTTTGTTGAGCTCCGGTTTTCCCCTTCATTCTAACTCAAGTGCAGTTTAGCGTGTATTGGCTTGTGATTTCCTTTCTTCTGTTTGCTTGGCATTTTATCGCTCCACAGGTACCCCCGGTCTCAGGTGCTCTCACATTTGTGCAATTGTTGATTTTGGTCCTGAATTGTCCTCCCTGTTGCCTTGCTACCGTCCTCCTCCTTCCTCCACCTTTTTTTCTTTTCTTAATTGGCCTCATTATGGCATTCGCTTCCATGTAATTGGGCTTGTAGCCCGTGTGTACTTGCGAATTCAAATAAAAATATACATACATACATACAAGTATATATATAGTTAGTTCAGAATTTAGGATTTTCAGGATTGAGAGACATCCCTATTCTCTCTAATAATAGTATAGATCATGGAAATCTGTCTGATATGGAGCAAGTGTTGATGTACAATGTGTCAAAGACGACCGTGTCCTGAACACGAACTTGCGATAGAAAGGTAGTAACTCAACAGTGGAGGGAAGGAGGGGGCGGGAGAGAGAGAAGTAATAATAATAATACGGTAAGTCACTCTGAAGAATGTTAAAAGAGTCAAGTCAAGTTGGTGGAAAGCCGAAAGGCTCAAGCTCCAGTGTAGGAGCAACCAACATCGCACTGTTGAGTCTGTTGTACTCATCGCTTGCTTGCGACTACCTTTACATGTTGTCTTGTAGTCGACTACATGTAGCTTAGCTGGTTTAGAGGTGACAGCTAGTGTTGCGTGAGACTGAGAGTCGGACTCAGTCCTCATTGACTCCTCAACGCCTCAGGCCCTGTACTGTTCTACATTAATTTTGTAGTTCTACCTATCCACGAGCGACACTGCTTTTAAAGTTTATGCTGCTATCTGGTGTTCACGAGGGCCGTGTCTGCCGCGCTGGAAACGGAATGTCTGTATATTAGCAAGTTGTATCCCTGGTGATGTTTTGGCCTGGAATCTGGAGCACATTAAAAGGGGTGCTCTTCAGGCACAATCTTCCTCAGCCTACTCAACAAAGCGGCTCAATAGATGAGGGGTGAATTCCCCCAAAACACTGTACATGTACTGTACATGTACATACTGAGCAGGGAGTGGTGCTTTCTTGCAGGTTTGCCGAGTCGAAGGGTAATGCTATGGACTTCTCGTGTGCTCTGGGTAGGGGTAAGCGGATTATGCCGGCATAATTCCGGCATAATTTTTGGCATAATCAGATTCTTTTTGAGAAGGAGCATAAAGTGGCATCCGAAAAACCAGGGCAGATGCCCAATCAGGCTGTTATATACACACCAGCTATTGAAGGACCATACAAAGAGCTTCTTGTCGATTTGGAATAATATTTTAGCAGCCACTATAGGACATCTCCCAAAGGTTCAGCGTGTGCCTGTGAATTTGGTATTCCTCTTGCACATTATTGTACAGTGTATTGTACTTCCACAAAGCTCCCAGTCCACATAATGACAATGGTGTGAGTCCTTTTTCCATGATGATTATCTGTTCTTTTGGACTTTTTGGTGAAGCATATAAAAGCATAATTGGCTGTTTTCTCGAGCATCCTGCGAGCATCCACTAGAGCATAATCTGGTCATTTTCCGAGCATAATCCGCTTAGCCCTACTAGCTCTGGGTGCCTGTCGTGAGTCGGTCAAGTGTCAGGTCAAGACAGCCGAAACTACGAAAGGCGCGAGCTCCAGTGTGGGGAGCAAACTAAGTAATAGTTACTTTCCTAATAATAATAATAAACACAGCTCGCATCTTCCCTGAACCTGTTAGACAGGAGCAGAGTCGACGCATCTGTCAACAGTGTCAAGCCAAGTTAGTCTATCTCCTGCAGCTTGGAGAGCGCTCTCCACGGAGAGATCCGCTGCCTTCAGGTCGTGCCGAATCGTATCTATCCACCGCAATGGCGGACGGCCACGGGGTTTTTTTTATGTCGTTTGTGTTGATTGATAGCTCCAGTGCTTTGAACGAGGCGGATTCCGGACCCTCTCGCACCACATGGCCAAACCACAGCAGCCTACCAAGTGTATAATTCACTTGAGTAATATTTCACCCACAACTCGTACCCTTTCTTCGTATCTCTGAATTCCAGCAGTAGGTAGATGTATAGTGGAAGTGGTGCTCGGTATACACGGTAACAGGCGCGGGTTTTAGATTTCTGGGGATACCTGAACATGTAAGTACAGTCCTATCCTCTGCGGTTGACCACGGTTGACCTTTGGCCTCCGTGAACCATGGTGGACCGCCCAAGACTACTAGTATAAGGACTGTGAGTAAGTACAATACAACTTGTGCATTGGTTACTTGTAATTGTATGGCTGAGGTACTTGTAGTAGGCCACCATGTCCTCCATAATACACGTATATAAACCATTAAAAAAACATACCCAGCCCTGGCACAGGCAGCCCAACACCAGATTGCCACTGCACTGTCAGCGTCGTCCCAGGTAACAAAGCACTACACGCTGACCCATATGTGTCAGTCAAGACCTCCCATGGCCCATTCAAAGGCATTTTGATCAGCTTCACTTAGCTACCGTCAAATATTTTCACGTCGTTACTATTCTATATGGCATGATCGCGCGAGAAACGATGAGTTAGTGACCGTCGACCGCATCGGATGGGTTCTGTGAACTTCTGTCATCATTTTAATTATGGTTTATTTTATTTTTGGGTCGCTGCACAATACTTTGTTGTTCCGCGCACCCTGGACCTGTGCATTTGTAGGGACTAATTATGGGTGTGATAAGCGTCAGTTGTAGTAAATTAGGTATTGCTGTTGCAATTCATATCTTTATCAATTAATTTTGCTGTTCACCTTTGCATTCACGTCATCATTGGTTTGTGCGTTCAATAAAATATCTTTTACTTTGAAGTAAATCATTAGGTGCCACAAGTCTCTCCATGCATGAAGCCCTGAAGGTTTGGTTAGGCAGTACCAGAGTAAGTAGTAATTATTAGTTTCAACACTCTGTTATCATCCACTTGTAGGCTGAGCGTTCAACTACCCTTGCCGTGTCTTCACGTTCTTGAAACTTAGGCATGAGAGCCTGTGGAAAAGCTAGCCAGAACGGCTAGGTGGGTCTGAAAATAGGGTTGGACGAAGTCCATGAAGTCGGCACGCGCCAGCACCTTGCATGCATGGCAAATCGCTGACTGTCCAGTCGCATTAATTATTTTGATCAATGACTTGGAGTCCTCTTGACTTCCTGACTAGCTCGACTGTCAAGACGTTAGTATGATTATGATTATGAAGGCTGATACATGTATAATGAAGTGAGCGAATCATGCGGCAGATCTACCAGTACCGTGCAGGCCCACACCTCATACCCGCACATCATCAGTCTGCACTCGACTGACATGTCTGTACTGCACTGTAGTGTAGAGTGTAGTGTAGGCTTACACCATGTACACCGGCTACAGAGACAGTAGACATCTACGTGATACCTGGACCACAGACCGAGCAGTGCCGACTGCCGCCGAATCTTCACGAAGCGAATCTACATCAGAGAGTTCGCGGTCAGGCGCGCCGGAGAGGGGGCAGGGGTGGTTATCTAAGCGACTACGTCCACCGTCAGGCGTCAGTGTACTCAGTACTGCAAGCTAGCAGTTGAAAGGCCAACACCTTCGCGTTCTTGTTCTCGACGTCTGGATGGTCTCACAAGTCTTCTACCCTGGTAGATCGACCCACGGTTGCGTGATCAAGTCCGAGCACGACCTACTTGCTAGCAGGCCATTTATCTCCGGAGAAGTGACAGCAAGTACTAGATTGGCGTGGTGTCGCTTGGACTGGCAAGTTTGAAGAGGAATGCCAGCGACCCGGCCCGGATCGATCGATATAGGCCGTACAAGAACACTCAGCTGAATTTTGTTGAAAAGCAAATCACTGAGGGCAGTGAAGGTCAGAAATCATGAGCAACGGATCTCTTGGTTCAGCGTCGGCTGCAGAAGCCGAGGGAGACTCAGAGGGCATTTTCGCAGTGCAGCTAGAAGTGATGGGCAAGTTACTGGATGCGGAACGCCGCAAAATGGCTCTGCTCCAGAGCGAGCTGGTGCAGCACACCGCTGCAGGCAGTACCAGCACAACAAACACTCACCACGCAAACGGTGAGAATTCCAGCGAGCAGCAAGCAGCAAGCTCCGGAGCTTCCACATCAGGACTGGCAACAACTAATCAACAGCAGCAGCAGCAACGCATTCAGCCTCTGCCCGTCAGTCGCACAATCCAAGGCGAGGCGATCAGTCGGCAACGTCAGAGTATAACTCGTCTGCAGGAGCAACATGATCGCTTGGAGACCGAATATCGCGTGGCAGCTGCTGGAATGTTTCGTAAACGAAGCTCAGCATCGGCACCCAAAGCCCAACGCTCGCAACCAGCGATTGGTTTGAGGCAAACCACCAAGCCGAGACCTTCAATTTTCAATTCATTACCACTGGGTGACGGGCAAACATCCGATCCGGAAAGTCCGTCTGACGACAATGTGTTCACACGGGCTCGGAAAGAAAGTCTTGCTGCTTCATTTGCAGACATTGCTGGACGGGGTGCCCGGCTTAGTTTTGTTGTAGCGGACAGTCCCTCAATGATCTACAAGAATGGGAGACTGGTCAGCGGAACTCTGGAGTCGCTCATTGAACATTTGGTGCCGACCGACAAACACTACCCTGATCGTACGTTTCTGTTCGCCTTCCTGTTATGCTCACGCCTCTATCTGCATCCGCACGAACTGATGGCACGCGTGGCCAAGCAGTTCCGCAACATAGTGGGACCAACAAGTGGCGGTGCTGGTGGCTCTGGCAGGCACAGCCGTCACTCTTCCGCATCTGAAGTCGATGTGGATGGTGGTGCGGACAACCAGCACACCCAGAGTTCCTCGTCGCCAACAGGCAACCCTCCGGTGCCCGGCAGTAGCGTTCCGCTGGGACTGCGGCCCGGCGTCATGGAGACGGCGCGCAACATGGTGCAGTTCCTGTCCGAGTGGACGGAGTCGTTTGCGTATGACTTCCGCGATGAGAAGATGATGAAGCACCTGAAGGAGATCACGCAGGCCTGTGCTAGCCTCTCACCAGCTGTACGCCAATCAGTAGGACAGGTAAGACAACAGTCATACACGCATATCACTATCACTTCATACCAATATACTGTACAGCGCTATAAGTATTCATAAGTTTGAGGGTGTTGACGGATAGTGATAACATACCTGCTAACCCGCTTTGCAAACCTGAGATCGGGACAATGACATAATAGGTATGAAAATGTATACAAATGTAGCTGTGTGGCGTGCGACTAGTACACGTTTGGGTGCCTATTACCACCCTCGATATCGGAACGGTCCCAGCCAAATCGGGATGGTTGGCAAGTATGTGATAATAATATCTTTATTAGCATTAGGACGACCTAAAAGGCCGGTTGCCTATCAAGGGGTTCACCGCGTTGAAGGATGTACATGTATAATGGTACGGTGAAACCTGTCTAAGACGACCGCTCAAGGGACCTTCAAAATCTGGTCTCTGTAGTACCAGGTGGTCTCCTTATCCAGGTTCAGTGACTGGAAATAGCATCCCTTGGTCCTGGTTCCACTGAGTGGTCTTCTGGGACAGGTGGTCGCCTTATCCAAGTGGCACCTTGACAGGATTGATTGTATTATGCTAAATGTAGTGAAAGTCGTGCAGCATGAATTCGTTGGAGAGAACATACAAGAATGGGGGGGTGAATGGGAATGGTCTGAAGAAAAATATAATGACTGTCACCCGATGATCAGGACTCAAACCGGGGACTCTCCGGCACTTTTGACCAGCTATGCTCTACCACTAAACATCAGTATAAGTAGGAGATTATTTCATAGCTACCGGTATATTGATTGAGGTTGCACGACTCTGCCACGTGAAGGAAACTCCCGCGACGAGTCAGCATATTCAAGGGTTCAGTTCTGGCCTGATCAGGAACGTGGTGTGAGTACAGGCACACAGAGGTGCGTGTAGGGCATGTCGGGCATGTAGGCACCGGTACTGTCGGTTTGATCACTGATGCAGACTCGTCTAAGTTCATACAGCCCGGATGACGGTACCGGTATTGGAGAGTGCAATGGACTTGAACCAGAGAGCTGCCTAGTATAATTATGCAGTCCGGCTTCGATGACTGTTTGGGTCTGCACAGTGCCCGGCAACTAGTCACTGTGAGTTGGTGTGTAATTCGTTGCTCGCTGCCCTGGATTTCGGGGCTGGAAAGTTAGCCATGATGGAATATACCAGCTGTCAATGTAGTGACTTGTATCCTAGAGTTGTGAGAAAAGGATAAAGACTACGCTGGGCTGTGCTGGGCTGTGCTACACTGCATGTCGGTAACCGTGAATACCAGCTTGCCGTGAAGATCATGACATGCCACACTGGTGTATATGTAGTGCAGGTCAACCCTCCAGATGCCACACAGATGGCACACAAGAACTACATGCCATATCCTGGCTGACCCGATGTATGGCTGTGTCATTTCTAGGTGTGTGAAGCGATTGTCAAGCATGCAGCTCCATATTTTTTGCGTGACGAACGATTAACACCTTTGATGCTAGAAATACTCTTTGCAGTACCCTCAGCAAATTCCTGTCATGTTGGAAATTACAATTACAGCTCGATTGTTCTATATTTAGAGCCCCAGCTCTCCCCAGGTGTGAACATGAATTTAGTGTTCGGACCAGCGATTAGTACAAATTAGGTCTCATTTCAAGGCGCTCGTAAATAATTTGTTGTCAATCATTGGCATTGATCAGCGGGCCTGGTGCAATAGCTATGTGGGTTGGTCTGCAGCCTGCAGTGGTAAATCTGGCTGTTTGTTATTGTCAGAGGGGCTGTTATCGTGAGCACTGCATACAAAACCGTGAAAACCATGACAGATGTAGTGTGCAGAGTAGTGTTAGGTCTGTATATGGGACTGCGGTCACAACACTGAGTATGTCAGCCACCATGATATGGTTATATTTGGATGGGCTCGGCCGCTGTGATGATGTGCTCCCAACGAGCCCAAATATTCCAAAACAAAGAAAGAAGGCGGACCATATATGCTGGGTGATGCAGCAGGCTGATGTTCAATGGACTCCAAATTGTACTGGATTCAAGTTCAACCCTTGCAGGAGATCAAAAGCAGGATAGTCAGTCCTTGGACATGCTTCAAAATAGCCCATGACTGAAATGATCATCGTTATATCCTGCTGGGAAGTCACGGGAAGGACTTTCAACCGTGGTGCGACCCACAGCCAGTTGGGAACTCGTGGCCTGGCACGTGGGTAACATGATGCAGTGAATAGTATTTTCGGTCTTTGACCACTTTGTATTGCTGCTTATGCTGACCTTCATACAAACTGACAGTCAATTTCTTCCTGTTTCTAAAAAGGAGTTTGTATGGTGGTGGTCTATATGGGGTTTGTATGAGGTATGAGGTTTATATGCCCAATATAAACCACCTGCATGATGGGGCAGTTGACTGGAAGTTTGTGTGAAAGGTCAGCATAAGCATGCACATTTACGGATGAGAAAGTACTTACGTAACAAGCAACATGCCTTCTTTTGTCACAATGTGCACTTGCAGGTAACCTCTGTACTCATCAAGCGCTTGGCGACACTAGACAAATACGAAGACATGCTGAGCCGGGCAGACATTGCAATGTCTGAAAAGCTGACCCAGGTCAATCGTCAGGTGGACATCATGGAAATCTGTCCATCAGCACGTGTCCTTGCCCAACAGGTCAGTAGGCCGAACTTGTAATGTTTGCAAAATACAATTGTCAAACCATCTATACTGAGTCTTGAGCATTTCAACATCATCTAATCAGTGAGTTGGAGAGAAATCCGACAATGCTAAAGAGAAAATGTCTGGGGAGAAATGGACGTTCACTTATCAGAAAATCTTCACCAATGTTACTGACTCGATCAGTCATTCCGTATGTTTTGCGTTGATACAGCTGACGCATGTTGAACTGGAGAGACTGACCCACATCGGAGCTGAGGAGTTCATCCAGACGTTTGTATCCGTAGAGTCGCCATGCACCACCGACGGTGAAATGAAGCTGACGCGCAACCTGGAGGCGTACGTGGAGTGGTTCAATCGCCTCAGCTACCTGATTGCCATGGAGATCTGCTGTTCGAGCAAGTCACGAGACAAGAAGAAGCGGGTGAAGGTGATTGACTACTTCATCGATGTGGCAAATGAATGCTTTCAACTGAACAACTTCAACTCACTCATGGCGATCATAGCTGGGATAAACATGACACCAGTAACACGCCTGAAAAAGACCTGGTCCAAGGTGAGTGTCATGGCTCGTTTTTGAAGGGAAATACGGTCAGGGCTGAAATGAGGACTTCAGAACCTCTAGTCCAGTCTTCTGGGCACTAGGCCTTGGGGGCTTGGTCGGAGGAGTCTGTGATGATTCATTTGTCAGATCATCCTGTGATCAAACTGAAATTCAGTCTCTTTTTGAAGTTTTTGTCCAATGGGAGAGTATGTGTACTAGTTGGCGAAAAAGTGGTGATCAATTTGTTTATCGGTCACCACTGAAAGCACATGAATGATGCAATCCCAGCTCAACCTTCTATGGTGTGCCTAATGTGGCTTGTCAGCACCGCATTCTGCGATTGACATCTAAGGCCTAACTAATGTGTGCGTGTGTGCGTGCGTGTGTGTGTGTCACGCCTGTCCACAGGTGAACATGGTCAACAATGAGTTGCTAGAAACATACGCCAATCCAAGCGGTAACTTCAACAACTACCGTGTAGCGCTGGTGGAGGTCATGTCAGTCGGTCAAGTGCAGGATGAGAGCTTCTGCGTGATTCCTTTCTTCAGTCTGCTAGTGAAAGACATCTACTTTCTCAACCAAGGTATGAAGAAGCAGACTGCAGAGCAGCATGTCAACTTTGAGAAATGCTGGCAGCTTGCAAAGCTCGTAACCCAGTTCATGAGCTGGAAGCAAGTTGCTTGTGACTATGAGCGATCTCGCAGCGTGCTCAATTACCTGATGACTACGCCACTGAGCAGCGAGGATGAGCTCTTCCTGGCCTCCTTCGACGTTGAAGCGCCGGAATCAGCGTATGAAAAAGACCGGTGCAAGGCGCTGCGGGCCAAGCATCCGGACATCGCTGATAAATCCTCCCCGAAGAAACGCTAGACAGTACAGCGTGTTACTGTCTGGATGATCTTCCATGCTACCAAGTACCGGCTCAGATAGATAGAGAGAAAGGCATGGGCTGCTGTACAATGGCATGCAGTAGCTACCCAAGGACCGAGGACGCAAGGCGGATACCGGTCTTATCTTTATTGGAACTCAGCATTGTAACGTTAGAAACTCAGCTGCAGAACGCACGAGTAGATTTCACTAGCCGTGCTGCATGTGCCGGTGTACAGTCATAGTACTCTGGGTTTGTCAGCAGCAACATCATGTAGTAGAGCTTGATTTTTATTGAAAGAGAACCTTTCTGTCAAGAGTTAACATACCGTTTAACAACAGCTTCTTGTTGCATCCTCAAGGTGCTTCGATATTCGTCTCTAGTATTTCTTACAGATTTCTGCTTCCAAGAAGGACTTGATTTCGGTACCTCTTACTTGTGTATCATGGTGTATAGTTCGCCTTCTCCGCTGTGTAAAAACTTGTGCACAAGCGCATATATAAACACATAGCTAGCTTACTTCGCGACTTGAGATTTTCCTTCAAATTTTTCTTATACTTTACTTATCTAATGAAATTGACACGTAACAATAGATAGAAGCCAAGTCGACGGTGATAAGTTATATTGCAATACACTGCGGCTGGTGAAGGTGTGCAGTAAATCATGTCATAGCGACACATTTGTCAAAGTACATGGTGATGGCTGTGCCAGGTACCAGGTGATGGCATCACATGCATTGTACATATAGCACCTGCTTCTTGATTGATCACTTGGCAAGACGCAGTGCGTCTAAAGCGCGGACTACAGTCGGATATGCATGGCATCTCAAACACAATCATGATGCTCGTTGATACTCAGCACTGAGCGGTGAAGTTGGATTTCCTAGGAGAAATATCAATAGCAGAATTGACCAATGCACTGTTCTACAAGAACATGGCAACAAGACTAAAAAAGGACTAAAAAAGGACACTAGAACATGACATAACTGGTTACAAACCTAGGCAAGACAGTATTAATTAAATATGGAAGCAAAAATCACATGGTTTTCCAGGTAATGAAGTGGCTGCAGTGGAGCTTGCGCACATTAAAAAATCATTATGTTAAAAAATTGTGAAACTACCAAATAAGTCCGTGCTAGAATTGTAATTGATTTCAGTACTTTAACTGGCTATACGTGGAGGAGAGTGACTAAAATTGAATACTCAAAATTAATTATCTCAGACAAATAAACAACGCATTGTTCAACACAGTCGTTACAATAAGAAGTTGGACGGTATACCGGAAGATCACTGAAATGGTGCGGAATTATAAAATCGGTAAAATATAAAAACTTGTGACGGCAGGGCACTGTGACTTATTATCAATATCCATACACAGGCTAGCACATACATGTAAGTGCTCTGGAAAACAGTGCGTTGCCTAGCTAGCTGTTGTCTAAAACAATGATACCACACACCCGAGCACACACGTATACGCACGCGCACACACACACACACACACACACGCACACAGCCACGTGAACTCTTGCTCATTCTCATGCAATTGGAGATTGCAGCTTCAACGTGACAGCAAGACCATTATGGTCCGAGACGGGAATACCTGGCAGGCCACTTTCAAAGCGCACAGGCGTCTTGAAGGTGATATCCCGCACCGAGTACTGTCCACCGCCAATGAAAATATGATCCAGGGTACGGCCAGAGCGATGAGTGACAGGATGATCTGTGAAGACTGGTGCCAGATCCATACCTCCCATTGCCAGAACCAAGTGAGTGTAGAGGGAACGCATTCCGGGCGTGTGCGAGCAAATGTTGAAGTCACCCGCAACAATAGCAGTGTGTGATGGCAGAACTCTTGATACGTGTTTGGCAACTTGATCCACCTGGAGAGAAGTACGCAACCGTTCCCGCTGGTCAATACTCAGTATTGTCCAGCACATCAAGGGTACAGAGACTACAGACGGCACTTGTGCATATTTCAAGTGTGGAGCATTTTCTGAGGACAAAACATGATCAATGTGCACATTCCAAGATGGCCACCGCTATAAACTACTTAGTGACCAGGCCCGGCCGAACCAGTCCGGTTGGCCACCAACGCACGTGTACAGCTGGGGGAGGGGGGTATGTGTAATCACTATGTCATACAGTTTACACAAAGTATGAAGGGATATGGTATGGCCGGACCAATCAAATACTTCTTCTAGCGGTCCTGGTGACCCATTGGTGAAGAGAATAAACCAAGCAGATCTTTTTTGTCAACTGTGTCGCGTGGTCGCAAAGCTTGCTAACCATCTCAAACAACACCTCACTTTAGATCCCGTGTCGGGTAGCCCACGAGGCATCGTAGTTGCTACCTAATACCAAAGACAGGATGGTAAATGCCACTTGGACTGTTACCTGCACGTAGCTCTGGCAGCAGACGGTGGACGTAGAACACGATGACCAGGCTGTACTCATTAAATTCCTCACTTGTACGTAATACGAAGGAAGTTGATTCCTAATGTGTGCAGGAGCAGGTCTCGTTGAACAGAACTGTAATAATGCTACTTTGTAGTATGGAGATAGCTTTTGCTCCTTTCGCTTTCAAAGAATACTATAGGACAACAAGTTTTGTTGAGTAGTAATACATTGCACACTCAACCTTTTCTTATCCGGGCACCGTCGGTGTTCTCAATTCAGATACATGTACAGTCAACTTTGCATATAACGACACTCGGCAGGGCATCAGAAAAGTCTCCTTATTCGCGAAGTCTCATGATTATATGTAAACGGGTAGATGGGAATTTGCTCTGGGCATGGAAATTCTGTTGTTATAGCCGCAGTCGTTATTAGCGAAGTTGACTGTACATCACATTGACAGTCACTGCACACAAAGAGCAATGCCATGCACACTTAGAGTACATTGTACAGTGCTGCTCAATGAAATCCAATCGTGCTCGTCAAGTACACACCGGGGGCCGTGCAGCGCTAGACCTGCATTAACGCTGGGATGCGAACTTGTGCAGGGCGCAGACTTGAATCATGCGATCACGTTTCATTGAGCAGCGCTGTATAATATTCAATGATTATGCATACCCGGTACATGCACATGTAAGTCGACAAATTTTCGGCCCATTCAAATTTCGGCCTCCCAGGGCTAAAACACATTTTGGCTGCAACAAATTTTCGGCCTGTACTGCTGCTGCCTGTATACACTGTCACACTGAACCTTGCATAACAAAATTACGGCTGCAACACATTTTCGGCCAAATATGATCAGGCCGAAAATAGCCACAAATAAATATGCGCCGAAAATTATTTGTTGACTTACAGTACTCGGCAGACTCAAAACAGTGCCCAGTACAGTTGAGAGGTGCCTGGATAGGGAGGTCTGGATAGGGGGGTTGAGTGTATGCAGTATGGAATTGTTCTTGCCAGCATACTCATTACTGACACTTACTTGTTTCTTCTTGACATCTGGTTTTCTCCCAGATGAATCCAAGTGTGTCGAGTAGAAGAAGAATAACTCTCTTCCTATGCTGACCGTGGCGTGAACAAATCCCTTCGCATTCAAACTGTCTTTGAGACTGTGTGTGGTGAATGTGTGGCCACCCCACTCAACAAATGGGTGCTTACTGAAGATGGCCAGACCTGATGATTGACCCAACACTACAGGAACGTTGTAGGCCAGATTTGAGTGATAAACGTACCCTGCAGCCTCCAGGCGCTCAGTGAGATAAACCACCTCCTCCACCGTCATGAAGAAATACGCCATGCGGTAAATGAAGAGCTCCTGTAGCAAGAGAACGTCGTAGTCACCCTCCAATGCAGCATTAACCAGGGCATCAAATCTCTTTCGAACCTCTGGGCCCTTACTACCCTTCTGGACAGCACCCCAGGAGTTTGTGCACCACATGTTCTGAGATAGAACGCGAAGGTGGTCTCGGGGAGGCCCGGAAATTCCCGGTTGGCCAAGACGGGCTCTCAGCTTCCACAGACATTCTTGGTTGTGCTTGTGAAGACTGCGCAACCAGACACAGAATGCTGAGGTCACAACACAGGGCAGAACCCAATTGAGGGGGAGTTCACTGAGAACCCATGGCATTCTGGCGTTTGGTATCTTTTCACGACCTGATGTCAATCAAACACAAAGTTCACTGAGCTGATGGCGAGAAACCATACTTCAACGACATCACATCGAAGAAGATCGGCTGGAATCATGGGACTGGGAACGCCTTAGTCCTGTGAAGCTCACATCAGTCAATCATAGTTCAATTATTATTTGTCGCAAGTGCAGCAAGAGGACAGCAGAAGTGAAAGAGAGGCAAAATGTGTTTTTGAATTTTTTGAGCACGTGCACAATCATGTACCATGGAGTAGAAATATTATAACCTTTCGCGCTCAGTTGTTTGAGCCTCGGCCTCGGCCTCCTGCTCCTACCCCAGTGAAAACTTTTTTCTTTTTCTTTTCCGGAGGAACAGCTCTTGATGATATCAGTTATAACAAGAGTAGATACACTACTGTAAACCGTGAAATTATTGCGATGGTCTATTAATTTCTGTGAAATTCGCGACCACGTGGAAATCGCGAAATTTAGACAGCGCGAAAAGGAGATCCATGAAAGGTTTAGCAAGAATGCCACAGTAGCACATTCTGCAATCGCAAAATTAAAACCTCGCAAACTTGTCCGGATTCTGAAAACGCGAACTAAAAACGCCGCGAAAATTTCACGCTTTACAGTACTCTTGGTAATAACAAGAGTACATAACCGGTTATGTACTCTTGTTAATAATAATACGGGTACGTAAATTTACCCCGAAATTGAGAGCACTTGACAAGTATGCTTCTGGTAGCTGCAGGGTGGCTATAACTTTGCCGACTCTTCCGCATACCTGGTGAACTCATAAGCAACTTAAAGCCAGCCTAGAGGTTATGCGAATGATTTCATCGCGGATTTTCCAATGGGCTTAACCAGGGAGTACGTACTCCTTGGGCTCAACTATACGAGCGTGAGTCATATCACAGCAGAGGTTCGAAATTCGAATGGGCACTACAAGCATGCAGAGTGAACTGCTAGTGCAAGTGCACCACTGTGCCACGGCACGAGTCCGCGTCTTTGTCACATCATCTCCACTGATGATGTTATCGCATAACCCATAATACAACCAACAGTGTATAATTGGGCAACATTGAATGAATTTACCATAATGACATAAAGACATACATATGTCGCGCTAACAATCGGTTTCTCGATTACCCGTAACTGGCTGCGGCCCTACCAGGAGAACAACCTCGCAGGTCAAGACAAGCCAGCAGTCATCATGTCGTTACTGAAGACTCGTGAAGAGCAGTAATTCAGTAGAGTTCGATAAACGGCCGTTGCAGAAACTTCAAGGACTCATGCCATCACCTAATACAGTCATCAACAGTTTCAATAAGGGGTCATCCATAATGTTGCCATTAATGTTGCAAGCTAACACGGCGAGAATGAATGAAAAAAAGTAGCCACAAAAAAAAAAGGTACAGCACAGTTCATGCCGACTGGCGTACTTGCAGGTGAAGATAAAAACAACATCTTGAAGTGTGATCGTGGAGGGATAGCACAACTGTGAAGCTTAAAAAAATCCTCCCGTTGTATAAAACTGGCGGCGACACCAGTAAGAGTACAGTACGCACGGTGCAGGAACGTGACTTACTCTGCAATAGGACCAGCCCATAGCAGGTCTACTGGAGTACAAGTGATATAAAAAGAGTAAACAAATATGCTAATTGCGTCTAGTCTAGGCACGGCGTGATTCACCTACAATAAAAAAAAACGGTGTAAAAAGTATATATCTACCCGGGGGGCTAGCACTTTACCTGGTCTTCACGCAATTTCACCTCAAAGAAGATGCCATAGTGATCTGAAACAGGCAAGTTGGCAATGGTACTTTGTAGTTTGACCACTGCCTTGGATGTGACGTCCTGCGGCGAGATATTCCCACCACCTATGAACGCGTGGTCTAGTGCTGTACCAGTGTGGTACGTAGGTGTAGAGCTGTTGAATATCGGCTGCACACCGGCCTGCTTCATGGTGGACAGCAGATGGTCATAATGCTCCTTAGCTTCTGGCGACAGCGAGTCAATGTTGAAGTCACCAGCTACAATAGCCGTTTGCGATGCGCCTGATGTGACCTTCTTCAAGGCCTCTCCGACCTCCTTTATCTGAACAAGCAGACATAAACATAAATCACCAGAAAATTCACAGGGATATTCCCTTTTCACAAAGTGAAACAGAACTACAAGAACAAGAATAATGACAGCAGCAACAGCAAGTCAGCAATAACAATACTAAGAATAACTGCCACAACACTGGCATTTGAAGACCTGTCAAAAGGAGAGACGGTTGTCTCTACAGATCCAATACTTTCGTTGCAGCAAATTGGTTAATCAAGATACCATACACATGTAGTGCTCCTGATGAAAGTCTCGATTGTAGAACTATTTCAGCCCACACTCTCCTGCTTCAAACAGTGAGCGCAATTCCTTGGGCTTACAGCCTTCATGTACAGCGCAAACACACTCCTCTAGCTCCTTGGCATCCTGCCGGGGTTATATGCAAGTGCTGTGACTCATAGGAAAGTCCTCTATACTAGAGTAGAGGCAGAATACAAACTGCATGTTGATACTACCTAGCCCGTACAACAACATAGGTAACGAACGGATCTGCAAACCAACGAAAGTGTACCCAGCATCAAGCACAGAGCACTACTTTTCAAAGCAACATTGCCCTCCGTACGTACCTGCTCAAGTTTTACACCTGGCTCCCATCCTGACGAGTCCATGTGTGTTGAAAAGAAGTTGACATGTGATCGACCGATAGATATCTGCGCTCGGACGAACCCTTTGGATGTGATACTTTCTTTTACACTATAGTGATTGAACGTGTGGCCCTTCCACTCAGTGATTGGGTACTTGCTAAATATAGCCACTCCGGACGACTGGCCAAACGTACTTGGCAAGTTGTATAGCAGATCTGTGTGATAGAGAAATCCTGCTTTTTCAAGTAGCTTAGTCAGATACGCTACATCATCCACTGTTGCAAAGAAATAGGCAGTGCGAAGCACAAATAGTTCTTGCAGAAGAAGTACGTCATACTTCCCCTGGGTGACTGATCTAACAAATCCATCAAATCTGGCACGAGGGTTTGGACCTTTGCTGCCAAGCTTTTCGGCGGCCCAAAAATTAGCAGCCCATAAGTTCTGAGAGAGAACACGTACAGTTACTTGTCCAGTCGTTGAACAACTGGCAGGCCGTCCCACGGAAGATTTGAGCGTCAAGTAGTGATCTTGATTTCGCACTGAAACTCTCCTCAGCCAGAACAGTGTCGCAGCCAGGAGTAAGCTCAAAGCAAGTATGCCAAACATTGAGGTTCTTGAGTTCACCATCTCATTCCATGATACGATCCAACTGTCGCCGTTCCTTTGTTGTATTGAGGGATCGGCAGAGAGGGGTCGTGAAGCAAGATTCCGCAACCAGAAACTACCAGTTACTTCCTTCGCTCACTGTTGACAACAGCTGAGGGCAGTCATGCATTGTTACACGTACCAGGCCATAACCATGATAACTTCCCTGCCTGGTGCACCTTCTTTGAAAATAATTAGACTTTTCACTGTTTGAAAAGCAAAGCATTTTCAAAAACTGGTTAAGGTGGCTCCTACCCCTCGGGTCCAAATTTTTTTTGTTTGAAACGTGGCTACAAACGATTGTACTTTGTTCCGTAGGATATCTAGTGTACGGAGACAAAATTTTATCAAGTTCTACCGGCCGGTTTCACTCGGGGGAGGGGCCAAACATAGCATACTCACAATTGCCAATTTAGGCCAAAAAACACCGGAAAACCACTTTTTTGGCCGTAGCACTCGTAGTTACCCCATTTTTCTTGATGTCCAACATCAGGACAGTAGTATACTTGCTAAATACCAGCATAAGCTTCAGAAGTGGGTAGAATTCTGCTAGAAGGTGACCTTTTTCTCTTTTCGGAATCATCCCATTTCAGCGCACACGTCCCACATATTAGCCCCGCCCACAAGTATTTGACACTGGACTTGCCCTGTATTCGATGGTTATGCTATCATAACCTAATAATGGTACTGTGTAGCAAGTTTGAGCAGGTTCTACCGAAGGTAACTCTTGAAATAAAACTTTGAAGTGTCAAGTGATGCCATATTTTCAAGAATCAGCACATTGCACTGGGACATTGTCCAACGCCTTAGAACCCCTGACTCCACCATATGACAGATACGTATCTTGCAATAATTGATTGCAACATCTTCCGAACATAGTAGTAGAGCTTTGGATCAAGTTTTAGCAGTTTACACCGAAGCTAACTACCAAAATAAAACTTTGAAGTCGCCCACATACTAAATGCAATAGCTGAGCATGTGCATTGAGTGTATGGTCTAAAGGTTTTCACAACTAGCTCCAATGCGGCAGATACGTGTCTTACATTACTTGATTGCAACATCTTCAGAACATAGTAGTAGAGCTTTGGATCAAGTTTTAGCAGTTTCCACCGAAGCTAACTACCGAAATAGAACTTTGAAGTCGCCCACATACTAAATGCCATAGCTGAGCATGTGTGTTGTGTGTATGGTCTAAAGGTTTTCACAACTAGCTCCAATGCGGCAGATACGTGTCTTACATTACTTGATTGCAACATCTTCAGAACATAGTAGTAGAGCTTTGGATCAAGTTTAGACAGTTTTTTACCGAAGCTAACTACCAAAATAGAACTTTGAAGTCGCCCACATACTAAATGCCATACATGTAGCTGAGCATGTGTACATGTATGCTCTAGTGTTTTTCACAACTTTCTCCAACATGAAGCCAATACTGATGTGGAATTTTTTGACTGCTTTGTCCAAAACACAGTGCTGAAGCAATGCACATTGGGCACTTTCTACTGGTAATGCAATTATTATTATACAATGTTTGCTGCCAACATAGCAAGCAATACTGCTATACTAAATGCGTATTCCATTGGGTACGGTCCAATGGCTTTTCACTTCGCATCTAGCCACTGTTCTTCGTGCATTACTTGAATGCTTAGTCTCCATGGTAATGAAGCTAAGAGCCACACTGGAGAAGTTTCTACTGAAGCTAACTACCAAAAATATAAAATGTCCAAGATGCTACTATTACATAAAGTAGCTGTGTGCAATGCCACTCTGTTGAACACAGTAAGCAAAATTGAGTCACTAAAACCCTATTTGCCAGATATAAGCTGTTGAGACTGATAGCAGCTGAGCTGTATGATCTGATATGGATGGCGGTTCCACACTGACCAGCACATGTACACGTGCACAGGCAGAAGAACATACAAATAATACACCTAACGTTACTTCGAAGTCCATCTTGTAAATACAAGCGTATATACAAGCATCACTCCTGTTCTCCACAACCTGCAGTCCTGGGCCACTCCAGCTGGTCAGAGTGCAATAATTTCTGTAGCAGGCTTGACTTGGAAAGCTAATCACAACTGCCATGGCTGCAACATGAGTATTACCAGCGCTTTTACAGCGCTACTTGTATTATATTATTGTCAATCCATTGTGCAATTTGTGGTGCATGGCACTCGTTTTCAACAACCGAGTTTATGTCATTAGTTGCATATCCAACGCCAATAGAAAAAAGAAGGGGTGGGGCAAATTACCACGGTTCAACACTAGTCATATTGAACGGCGTTATGCCATGCCAGGCGCGCACACAAAACGCCCGCGCGAGTGCGCATGCATATACACACCCGGGTAACACACATTCGTGCGACTCTACATAGCCTGCACTGTCGTTCTATGTCATAGGAGTGAGTGCACACACATATATATGTACATGTAGATTGCCTAATTTTGCATACGTAATAAAATGTGTAAGTATACACACATGTGCGTGCACATATAGATAGACTCAGCGGCATACGCATGAGTGTGTGCCGATAGGGCCACATGCCAATTATCGGATTAGTCTGTGAAAGTTGCACAGCACGACAAACTTTCGAACAGTCTAAAGATATGACACAATGAATGTGGAATACCCACCAGTGTGTAAGACCATTTCATACCTATTTCGCAGCGTTTGTGATTTTCGGAACGTCCCTGTTGATATTTGATGTCCTCACTTGGTTGATGACACAGTCACAAATTATCAAATTCACCTCCAATGCCATCCAATCTGCGTTCCGCGATACATGTACAGTGAACGGTGTTGAGGAAAGCCATGCAGCAATAAAACAGTCGAGACTCCCAAGCCGAGGATACAATTCAACAGCGTATTGAAGTACGAATTGTTGTAAACAATTTTCAAGACACAATTACAAAATTTGAAGTGCGTCTTGAAACGTGTTTGAAGTGCTTCGATGTATTTACCTTCGACCTCCCTGAATCGATCCATCCACAGCTACCCGACGGATTTACCAGTCAGTGCGGGAGATGATCGAGCAAGTTATATTTGAAGGTCGCGAGATGTCAGTGGCACTGGCAGGAAATCTACACAAGCGTATTCTGAAATAATTAATATTTTCTAAGACTCAGGCGTGATTCAAGAGCGGACTTTGATTTCTCCCTTCTTATAGTACGAGCACCAGTCGACATTGCATTCTTGGAAAATCTTCTGCGAGTGCTGCCTTCCCCTTTCATAGAAAGAACGAGTGAAGAGGGACACTAGCAGCAGGTTCTAGCTAGGTCGCCAGAATTGCAGAAAAGCGAGAAGACGTTTCCTACAACGATTGATCGCACAAAAATCATCGCTACCGAACAATTTACTGAAAATCTACACTTTTCAAACGATGCGCGCGCAGAGGGTGTGAGCCACCTTAACCGGTTTTCGATGTTTTTCGTAAATAATAATATTAATTTTATTTTCATTGATTATTATTGTAATTTTTTGTATACTGTACTTGTGTGAAGATCAATAATTGGTTTGCTGAGGTGAACGTATTTTTCTTCAGAGGATGGTGTGATTTAGTTGAAGACCAAGTATGTCCATGACAGCCACGTTACGGGCGCTGTCCGGTTCAAAAACCCATCCACCACATGGCATGGCCAGAAGAACTGTTTTCACCAAGGCTGCCAAGAGTTTTGCTCGCAGCTTCGGAAAATATTCTGCTCGTGCAACTGTTGCTTGTGGAGCTGTTGGAGTAGCAGCTTATGCTGCCGATCAGGTAGGCTGGATAGTACTATACTTATACACTCCAGGTTTTTCATTGTATGTATTTGTGTCTGTTGCACGAACGTAAGAACACATATCAATCCTCTGCGAGACAAGATTTTCTACCCAATCAATACATTTAACATTTTCAAATAGTTCGCTGAAATTGAAATTGGATAGCCTACAACATGTTACTTGGACAATGCGATGCATGAAGTGGGCATAGTATCAGAACTAATCAAAGACATGGGATATGAAAATGGCGGAGAAAATAATTCTAATACGCACCACGACACGATGGTACAAGAGAAGTAGTGCAGAGTGCCAAGGCTTAAACATCAAGACCTGCCAAGCGAAATTTTCCTGGGCCTAGTTTGCGAAAAGCATATGATGTGCAGAGCCCTGTCACCATGGCATGTATAAGAAGTGGCCCCTGTATACCTGACACAGGGTGTATGCCGTAGCATTGTAATTATTTGTAATCCTGTGCCAGAGCTGAGCAAGGTTCATGGAAAGAGCAGCAATGAAGCTGGGAAGTGATCATGTTTTATAAACGTATTCATTAGTTGAGGGAGTTGTGCAACTAAAATGTTTTATACAAGTCAAGTGCATGAGTTTAATTAAGGCGTTTGGCAGCATTGGTTACCGGCCGGGCCGAAGAGCTTATCATCGGTTCATTCTGTGTGGAACCTGCTCAAACGCACCTAGAGTGGATGATGAATATGTGTATTTCCAGTCCCATAGAAATGCAAGCTTGCTTGTGTGCACCTATGCAAAGGTAGTGTAGTATTAAAGTGAGATATTTGAAACCAGTACATGTACATGTACAGCGCGGTTGCCGTTGTACTTCAGGTGCGCTATTCTCACGGTCTGCTGTAATAGGTATCATTTATAAATACAGGTCCACCCTCGTTAGTAGACAACCCCGGGGGCTTCGAAAATGTTTGTCTAATGACGAGTATTTACCGGGTTTACCGTGTGTTAGCGGCCGTCGTTAGTTCCCTTCGGGAACGGACACGATAATTTACTTTTTTTTATGACGAGTATCATCTACTGTCCGGACTGGCATGTACGACTTTCAGGTGTCAGGGAATTTTGGACCGTTGTCTACTAATGAGGTTTGTCTTGTAACCGATGTTGTACTAACAAGGGTAGACCTATACTGTGATACATAGTGAGCGCATATTGTGTACGCTACAGCTAGCGAGTATCAACTCCTGTAGTCATAGCGAGCAGGCTTGGAAATCTCTGGTCCCGGTCTCTTCAAGACTGATCAGTGGGAGCCAAGACTGAGAGTCATGCACTAGAAGTGCCAGTGGGTGTTGTGTAGAGCTGTGAAGCAGTGCAGCCACCTAGTACCTATCAGCACTGTATCTTGGTACTAGTGTTGAAGGGAAAGCGAGAAGTCACTAATAATAATGTTGTGTTGCAGCTTCGCAGAGGTTGCATGTGTTTCTTCTGAGGTTCTCGCTAGCTGGCGAAATGTTTTATCTCACAGAATCATGTGAATATTTGAACTGCATTAGTTTTGGTCTGTGGATACAGATACACTCCTTTCCTTGGCAATAAGTACTACACGTTCGCTGATCTTATTTTCTCGCGATACAGCTCTCTTTTTAAAACTAACGCAGTAGAGCCTCTCCCTTAGCAGCCACCTCCATTTTCAGCACACACTTGTTCAGTCCCAATTGTTCCCAAACATGTATCACGGCATTCTGTATTCGGGACACCTCTCTAATAGTCTCTATCTCTCTCTACATGTGCATGTACGCCTGGTCCAGGTAGTGTTCTTGTATTGTAGAGGTGTTCCATTATAGTGATAGAGAATCAGCTGTGAGTGTACGGGGTGGGGTGGGTGTGATTTTTGTTACTTTTTTCTTCACCCTTTGTCCTCATGCAATATTCAACATAGCCCAGGGTTTTCTTTCATTGACCATTATGTACCTGTGTACTTCTGTTGTGAAAATATGAAAAATTAATGGTGTTTGGGAATACTACTTCGGTGTGTCTGCAATTGAATGTGCGCTAATGATCACTGTCATCTTACTACTTCAGTATAATCATTATTATTCAGGCGTTGCATCTCTTTCCGATGTTTAGTGATGGGGTTTGGATGTGTTTTTTTTTGCTGCACTTCTGACATTGACAACTTAGGCGTACCAGCGTTTCCTGCATGGCACACTGGACAAGTACGAGGCTGGGCGTGATCGCCTGCGCTCACGATGGCTAGGGGCACGGGACCGCGCTCTGGATGGTAAGGGTGGTCTGAATTTTGCCTTTCTTTCTGCCGTTCTTTTTTGTAGTGTCAGTTGCATGACATGCATGGCTGCTCCCTACTGGGTGCAAGCGTACGTTGTGGACATGCACTACATTGTAGAGTGCTGCGTACTGCGTGCTATGTATATTGGTCAGTGCGTGCAATGTTGTTTACCTGTTGGCGTTTGTCATGTGCTTTCCTTCTCCAGGAGCCAATAGCTTGCGAGGGTTGTTTGGCCAGTTTGGGCTGCAGCCTATAAACGGTATATACTATGAAGGTATTTTTGCCTGTGTGTTCTGCTGCTGCCACTGCTGCTCCTTGTTGCCCTTTACTTTTCTTTCTTTCTTTGCTGCAACTGCTGCTACGGTTAAAGGTGCTGTAGGGTTAGGAGCGGAGGTAGTAGAACATGAACATTAAGTGCTGCTTGCTGACGCGGACCTTTCTTCTTCTCTTGCTACTGCAATGCAGCTCGTCAATGATGCTGTAGTTACTTGCCGACACTGTGTGCTAATGAGCTTTGATTTTGACGGTGTGCAGTCCCGGTTGCTCTAAACTAAACGCTTTCCAATCTCCATGATTCGCTGCCTCTACAATTCGATCATAATTGCACGTACAGTACTAGTTAAGCAATTCCACCTGCACCACATGCGCTCTCTGGCCGACCTCATCACAGCAGCAACATGACAGCTGAAGCTGCTGCTTACCCTTACAACGTACAGCACTGGATAGTGAAATTTGATCACGAGCTTGAACACTGTGCTGTGAGTTTCACTGTGAATGCATGCCCCGAGTTGGGTTACACGGCTACAGCACGTCAAGGGCTACTTGACTCGGAGCGTAGACAGTGTGCCAGTGGTCCGGTTTTCACTGGCCAGTACTGTAGTTTGAAATTGGCTATACACTTTGCTGGGTATTGCTCTCTGCTGTGTTCACTGTATACCATTCGCAACTGTCTCTCTTGAGGCGTTTTGTCTGTGCCCGAAACGAAACAGAAATGAGTTTCTACCGTTGCTGACTTGCTGTGCTAGCCGGTGACTGTGCCACTTTGTATCTGGTTTTTATCATTAACGCTGAATGTTTATGTACATGTAACACTTGGGTTTCATCTCGTATATTGCGTATATCCAGCTAGCCGCATCGGCATGTGCGATCAAGTCAGATTTGTCACCTGTTTTATTTTGCAGACTCGAAGCCAAAAAGAACGATGCCTAGACCTGATGATGTTACAGATGAGGAGATCGAAGCAGCACTGGCAGCCGCGGAATCAGTTGCATACAATGCCTCGAATCCGGATGGTTAGTGTGCTGGGCATGTCTTGAAGTATGTCCTATGCAGTCACATGTGCGCATATTGCTTTTGTCAATGCGTTGTCGTTGAATATTGACTTAGAGGATATTCGATGTGAAATGTTCATCGTGTATGCGAATTGACTACCCAGTTTATATCTGCTGAGGCCAATAGTGAACTCAGGTACTCGTTTAAATCCAGTTGCGGGTACTTCAAGACAGGCTGTACCAATGCTTATGACATGCATGTTGTGGTGCGCTGTTCTGCTGAAGGCTCACTCTCTGACAAGGATAAAGAACTCGCTTCAATGAAGTCTAAAATCAAAGAGGTATGTATGGTAGATGTGCTATCTCAGTAGGGTACTAGTAGATCCTGACGTATTTGTGACTTTGTCCCGTGACTAGTATTTGTGAGCTCATACTCTTCATCTTGGCCATCAGCTTTCAAGTTTCAATGCCTGGAAGTTTGGGATCAACAAGCAGCTGAAATGGCTTCGAGTTTGATCATTCTTGACTACCCCGTAGCACTCCAACCCTCTTTTGAGGGCTATAATGGGATGCTCTGTATTAGTAGGTTGTAGGGATTGTGCTTCGCAATGTTGTGTGCGTGTGTCTTAGGTGTTGCCTGTGCTGTTGCTCTTTAACTGTGTTGTGTGTGTGTGTGTGTGTGTGTGTGTGTGTGTGTGTGTGTGTGTGTGTGTGTGTGTGTGTGTGTTGTGTGTGTGTGTGTGTCATCCTTCTGCAGTTGTCTGAGCAGTTATCCAGAGCCCACCAGGAGCGTGCTAAGTCACAGAAGGAATTTGTCGAGATGCAGGTGCGTTGGCTGCACGTGTGTCACTTCTTTCATTTGATTCCTTGCTGGTCATCCTGGAAGCCCGCTTTCTGCTCCTGTTTTCTTCAGCGACTTGTCTTGCAGTATATGATGTACACATTGTGAAAACTGCACAGTGCATAAGTGAATGGCCTTCTCATCTGGTGCTATAGTGCAAACTGCAGCTTCTCCTTCTTGTTGTGGTCCTGTGTGTAGAACCAATTGCAACGGGAGCTGGAGAAGAAAGAGCATGCCAATCGAGACATGAAGCGGCAGCTTTTGCTTCAGAAGCAAGATGACTCGTCGGTAGTTTCGGGTCAGCGCCTTGGTGAGGAAGATGAGAAAAAGGTGAGTTAGACGGCTCCTTGTGATGCTGGCTTTACCCATTTTTCTAATTTGGATATAGAACGATTCACTTGTCTACACCATGTAGTTGATTACCTCTCATGGGAAAGACCTCAGCTATTTGTTCATCTCCTTATCGTTGAGTACTGTGTACTTGTGTGAAGCAGTTGTGTCGGAGTGGACAGACATGTACACGTATAATGTATATGTAGGCTCTTTTGTTTGTAGATGACTACCACTACTGCGTACATTTGCGTGGACTGTGTTTGGTCAGACAACTATGCTGTGAATATGTCTATCCCACATGTTGTTGGTGTATATTCCATCAATGGTGTGGACGTTTCGGCAGACTTCATGCTTAGCGGTTTCTCTTGTGGCATTGCTTTTTTCTTGTCACTGAGCAGCGTCCCTTGATAGACATGTATTCCGAGCTACTCGACCTGCTCTCAGAGTATGATAGTGGCTTTGATGTGCAAGACCACCTGCCACGGGTAAGTGTGTTGGTTACCGTTGTGTGTGTGTGTGTGTGTGTGTGTGTGTGTGTGTGTGTGCGTGCGTGCGTGCACGCGTGCATGTGTGTGTGTGTGTGTGTGTGTGTGTGTGTGTGTGTGTGTGTGTGTGTGTGTGTGTGTGTGTGTGTGCGTGCGTGTGCGTGTGCGTGATTGTATGGAATTTCATGTGAGTAGTTGTGCACCACAAGGTGACCTCTGACTTGAGGTGTTGAGTCTTTTCAAGCTGCTTACTTCAAAGTGCTTTCTCCAGACAGTACTCGTGTGTGTGTGTGGTGTTAATTTGTTATGTTTGTTTCAGGTTGTGGTGGTTGGTGACCAAAGTGCTGGAAAAACCAGTGTCCTAGAAATGATCGCTCATGCGTGTGCGTGATTGTATGGAATTTCATGTGAGTAGTTGTGCACCACAAGGTGACCTCTGACTTGAGGTGTTGAGTCTTTTCAAGCTGCTTACTTCAAAGTGCTTTCTCCAGACAGTACTCGTGTGTGTGTGTGGTGTTAATTTGTTATGTTTGTTTCAGGTTGTGGTGGTTGGTGACCAAAGTGCTGGAAAAACCAGTGTCCTAGAAATGATCGCTCAAGCAAGGATATTTCCACGGTACGTATTTTTAACCCATGATCACCTGCCAAAAAACCTTTCGCTTCCTCTTTAGGCATCATGCAGGGTCGGTATTGATTGCTCACCAATTTCTCCTGACAAGAAGTTTTCAGCAGGCAGCAATCATTCGTCAGCAATTTTCCACGGAACCAAAGTAAACATGATGCTCCTATTGGTTTCACATTGATTGCTTTCACACTGTTAAGCAAGCAAGTGCACTATATTTTTTGTTGTTGCAATTTTTCAACTTGGCAAGAAATTCAAATACGGGTAGAATCCCACATAGCAGTGTCTGATAAGTCGAACCTCAAGCTGGATAAAAGCGCCTAAGCAGAAGTCCCACGGAATCCATGTACATAGAAAATGTGTGGGATTACTACTGATTTTTCGAAGTCAGCTAGCCGTAATTCAAAGTTCACTTTACATTATACAAGTCCATTCAGTTTGCGTAAGCAGACTGTACTGGCCAGTTCTGAATGCACGGAATCTGTGCATATAGTGCAAATCGCAACTCTATTTTAATTGTGGGTAAATGTCGGGATAGTTTGAATGTCCGTATGATAGAAGTTTTCCCTGGCCATTCGGGGTTCGAATTATCAGGATACCACCTGCTTTTTAATGATTTTTTATGCCTGCAGTTGCTACAGGAAATGCTCACTGTTCACTGTGTACTCGTATTCTTGTTTACTTATGCATGTGTGTGTGCATGTGTGTGCATGTGCACATGTGCGTGTGCATATGCGTGTTTGCACGCGCGCATGTGCATGTGTGTGTGTACGTGAGTACATGCATGCATGCATGTGTGTGTGTGCATGCATGCGTGTTTGTGTCTGTGTCTGTGCGCGTGTGCATGCATGATTTCTTGAATGTGTATACTTTTAGTGGTGGCGGGGAGATGATGACTCGATCTCCAGTTATGGTAGGTTTCCAGTTTCCAGCCATGATGTTACTGTTGCATCTTTATGAAGAAAACAAGTCAAAAGCAGAGCTTGGCTTTTGATGTAAATATGATGGAAGTCAAAGTTTTCCGCCAATATAAAAGCCTGTTCGGAATGGCCGTGGAATTTACCTGTACAATGTCCTGGAGGGGGGAGAGGGGCTTCTCTGTAGCTTGTCATTGTATTAAATTGGACCCATGTTTGCACACAGGCCAACATTGCCATGCATGCACCAACTGAAGCAGCATATTTATAGTGTATAGTTGCATGTGCTCACTGCTCAGTAATGATTGGGTTCCATGGTATTGAAGCACAATGTATGGGGTATGAGTAGACTATGCTGTGTATCTATGGTGTAATATGGTATGGATGTACAATGCATGGGGTATGTGTAGACTATGCTGTGTATCTATTATGCATTATGGTATGGATGTACAATGTATGGGGGCATGGGCGGACTATGCTGTGTATCTATGGTGTAGTATGGTATGGATGTGCAATGTACGGGGTATGGGTAGACAACATGATGTATGCTTTGTTGTGTTCCATGCAGGTAACACTCAGTGAGGGGCCACATCATGTTGCTCAGTTCAAGGGTAGCATGAAGCAGTACGACCTGACGTCTGAAAAGGAGGTCAGTTGATCGTGTGTGCAGGCCTTGCTGCTAGTTATGTCCTCTATGCAATCACACTCATGTATGTGTGCGTGTTCACGCATGTGTACGTGCTCATGCATGTACCGGTATGCGTGCTACTGATCTAACACCACCGACCCTGTACTAGTATCTACTTTATAGGCTAAGCATCTGCGCTATGGAATTTCACTATCACAGATTTCACCTTAGCTGCATGCATGCCTGTTTGTGTAGCCAGAATTTTGTTTGCTTTCTGCTCATGAATTTGAATTTGTTTGTCTATTGTTTAGCTGGAATCCTTACGGAAGGAGATTGAGCAGCGCATGCGTGCCAGTGTATCGGGCGGCAAGACCGTCAGTAACGATGTCATCTCGCTGTCAGTGCGCGGTCCCGGACTGCAGCGTGTTGTCCTCGTTGATTTGCCCGGTATTATCAGTGTAAGTCACAGAGATTTCAGCCCAGGTGTGACCTTGTATGACTTACTATAGCGTAGACCAGTAACGGCACTGAAACTCAAGTTATCGGACAGGCACTCATCTACTGTACCCATTGCACTCATTCATTCCTCAGTGATGAGGTGAAAAAGAATGGAACAAGTGTGGTCATTGATGTGATTTTGCTGATGGCATTTCACTGTGCACCCTGTTACTATCCACAAGGCATAAGAAAAGCGTACTTGCTCCCGGCAAGAACTAGAAAGCCGACAAAGAAAGAGTCTGTTGCAGTCGTAAACGCAGGTACGGCCGTGGCCAGACTGGTTAGCCACATGCTTAACCACCTTTTCACTGGTCCCCCCCCCCCCCCTCAATCTTCAGAATGTCCGAACCTATTTCTCTCTCCCTGCATGTGTGTCATTGTAGACTGTAACGAGCGGCATGGCAGCTGACACAAGAGACAACATTGCAGCAATGAGCAGGTAAGATCACCTCGCGCCTATACTGGAATGTGTCTTGTGAAATACTCACCATGTGACTAATAAATAGACCTGGGTTATTCCTCTCACGGCTGTTCTGAAATGCCTTGTGAACTATTCAGTATTCACCATGTCACTAGGACCTGGGTTATTAGAGGCTTGTTCTACAACGTATTCTTTGCGACTGCCAAATGTGTTTGCAGAAAATACTCCGGGTACATATAGCTCATGCCAGTGCCTTCCCTGTGTGCATGCATGTGCGTATTCGTATGCGTATGTGTGTGTACATATTGTCATGTACTACTGTTCTACAGGCAATATATGAATAACCCTAATGCAATCATCCTGTGCATTCAAGGTCAGTTTGCAGACTCGTACCAGTTTTTTATTGTGTATGTAGTACATATGTGTGTGTGTGTGTGTGTGTGTGTGTGTGCGTGCGTGCGCGCGTGCGTGTGTGTGCGTTCGTGCATGTTTGTGCGTGCATGCATGTGTGTTGTGTGTGTGTGTGGGGGGGGGGGGGGGGGTATACTTTCTCCCAGTATAAATTTCTTTGTTGTGCTGGGATACCTGTGCTCTGTATTGCCAGATACCAATCCTGCTTCTGCTGCCGTTGTTATTGTCGTCACCTTGGTCCTGTGCAGATGGTGCTGTGGATGCCGAGCGGAGTATGGTCACAGACCTGGTGCGCTCTATGGATCCGAGTGGTGAGGGGAATGTGTGTAGCATTACTCCAGAGATTGGTAGAATTATGGTCTGGGTGTGAGGGGCAACACAGGCAATGGCTAAGAGTGTGCATAGGAAGGGATGTGGCCTGAACCTGTTTAGCCAATAATACACTGCAATTCTCACACAGCAATGGTACAACCAAGGCCTTCTTTGCCATTACTCATTCGTGTTTGAACAAAAACACTCTTCAGACGACACCGTACGCAGCCTGAGGATCTTAGACACCTGTCTGTAAAGTTTGTATGCATGTGTGTCAGCTGTCTCAGCCTGATCGAGTTTTCTGATTGTTTGCATAGTCAGGCAGGCTACATGTGGTGCTCCTTCCCACTGATAGCATTGCTCTTTGTTCTGTGTCACTGGAGCTCAATGTTAATACCGCACTCCAATCATAGTGTCTTCTTCTGTTCTGTCAATGCCATGCCAGGGAAGAGAACGATATTTGTCATGACCAAGGTTGATCTAGCTGAGAAGTCGGCCGTCAATCCTGGAAGGGTACGGTCTCTAGCTTGGTGCATGATACAGTCATTGTAGAACTATTCTCAATTTGATAAACTGTTATTTGCTGTAGGACTCTTAGATAAACGGATGAGATAAAGTCTTTCTTCTTTGATCCGCCTCCTGGCAGCAATCACTACTGCTATCTTTCTTCTCACAGTAGCTGGTAGTGGTGGTGGGAGTGGCGGTGGAGGAGGCGGTGGCAGTGGTGGCGTCGTCGTCGTCACCATTGCCATTGTTGTTGTCAGCGGCGGCGCTGTCGCCATTGATGCTGCTGCTTCTGCTGCTGCTACGACTGTCATCGCCACTGTCACTGCCATTGCTTGTTGTCGTCATTGTTGCTGTGATGTGTGTCATTCATGTCATACACAGATCAAGTCTATCATGGAGGGTAAATTGTTTCCCATGAAAGCGCTTGGTTACTTCGCCGTGGTTACCGGCAGAGGTAAGTTGTTGTGCATGCCTGTGCTTTTTTTTTACTGTTGGAACAAACAATTGCTTTTTTATGTAATAAATGAGTATTTGTGCTAGCGAACGAGCTCTCACGGCTGTTCCCAGTGTGACGTTTATCAACATGGCTGCGCACTGTAGCAACGACCTTGGATACGGTACCTCGGGGCACTCGTGCGTACGCGTGGGTGCGAACAGCACAATTTGTGTGATGTTCACTGCAAGAAATTTGAATTTTATGAATGTCCTTTGGCGGCGAGTGTTCGACGTCGATCGATTGTCGATCTCTCTGTTTGCTGTGTAAAGCATGTCTTTGCTTGTCCGTGGCAATAGTCTTTCCTGTGAAAGCTGCGTGCCGGTTTGATCATGATGTAACTATTTATTCTAGTCTAGTTTTAGTAATTATCAACGAAACGAAAGCAATTTGCAGAGCACTGTAGTGCGCTGGATTTGAACTTGCTGACTGGCTGTCTTGTTCATGCAACTCGTCACTGGATGCTGTTTTGAAGATGCAGTCATGCTGAGTGCCGATGGATCACGGAGTTTGAGTGGACTTGTGTGTGACATTTCTGAACAAATTTCCTCTGGTAATGCCATATCGACATCAAGTGTGAAGGAAAAAGCACGTTTGTTGTGAACCCATATCCATCATAAGTTACTGCTGGCTGAAACGATCATGGGTTTTCACCTATCGATTACTCGATTATAATCGTTAGCAAATAGTGTCAGAATTTTGTGCAACAATTACTCTGTTTCCAAAAGCTAGGCCTTCATAATACCAAAAATCTGCATTCGTGACAGGGTAGCTCCGAAACATGGCAGTTTTGAAGTCCGTTTAACCTCAGAATATGCACCATACCCCTGGCAACTGCATACTCACAGTGGTAACTGATTCAAACTTCACAAAACGAGGGTTTTCAGTACTTTTTGGACTCAAAATCCCTAACGAGTAATCTACGTAACGATTACTTGATTGATAAGGAATTATCGATCGCTTAACGAGTAGTTGGTATAATCATTTCAGCCCTAATCATAATGTGCAAAAGATAGATGCCCATGCCCGCTCTGCTTGCACAGAGCCAGTCCTCCACGGACCAGAAGGGAATGGATGTATTCATGCATAGTGTGAATACTGTGGTGATATTAGAGTGCGGCCGCTTCCTGGATTGAACAACAGGGACCAGCGACTGGTACCTTGGGAGAGTGGTCAGAAAGTGCTGCTTGGTGATGGTTTTTAGCCTCTCTACAGGACAAGCAACAGCACCATGACGTCTTGCCAGCGTGTTCAACTCGGCGTGCAATCCCTCCCCGCCCTGCTCGCCGTAAAGGCCAAGGACAGTGCCAAAGTGTGCCATCTGGTCGACAACATGATGCTCCAGAAGGTGAAGCTTCGGTGTCACATTGCCCATCTTCCTGAGCACAATATTGGTACGAATACTTTGCATAAAGGTGGATATGCATGTATCCAGTGTTGCCAACTGCCCTGTGGAGATGGCACTTGCCGTAGAGTAGATACGACGGCAAGCAGAGAACTCTGTGAATAGTGTGGCGTAGCGAGTTGCTAGTTCCCCAGCACAAAGAACTACTAGGCTGCTCTCGCCTGTTCTATCGAGAACAACCTTAAGAGAAGCTTCCGTAAGGTCAGTTACAACTGAGGATTTCAAAGCCTGGTCCACATGGTTTCCCTCAAATGTTCCACCATGGTGCTGCTGGCGGCAAATGCAGTTCTTTTGCAGCACTGCTTCAAAGCTGCCTGTACATGGGCCATCATGCACAGTCACATCGGAGATGCTCATTTCAAACTTCTCAATTTCACCTTTCATAGACATGCATTCGGTTTCCAGTGCCGATAGTGTAAAAAAAACAGTTCCGAGAACCGTTTGAATGTTTTGAACATCTGCAGCCTCTTGCTGCAAATGACATGCAAGCCAAGTTGCTTGTTGCATTGTTTGGTTTTTCTCCAATTCTTTCTCTGCAAACTTGCCCTGCAAAGCAACCAATGTTTTGTGTTTTTCCACAAGCGTATCGAAACTAGTGCTGCCAGTTTGTGTAGTAGTGGTATACTTTGCCCGCATGACATCCAGTGTTTTAGCATCTGCCATCATGGCCTCAAAAATGTAGGAGAATATACCCAGATCAAGGTGGAGGGCTGGAATGCATGCGTCAGTGATAGGTACTGGCAAGAGAACTGGCTGAATGACATTGGCATAGTGCTTGGCACATGACAAGTTTACACCGCTTTGTTTAAAAGCATCGTGATTTTCTTTCAGGGACTCCAACGTCCTCGGCTGTGCTGTTGCTGATGGCAACTGGAAGTCCTTCTTGCTGCACTTGCAATGCAAACACGGGTGTGCTCCGCTGTTGCCAGACAGGCCATACTTGTGAGTTTGAAACTCATAGTCCCCGAAGAGCACAATGCTAATGGTATAGTCGCACCATGTTCTACCATGAAGGGATGCGATTTGCGGCACAAAAGCAGTAAATGCAGTTGCAAGGTTTGCGGGTGCGTCTTTAGCTGCAAACACAAGGAATGAAACAGCATTCTTCAAAGAGTTTGGACTCTTCATATTGGCTACCTGAAAGGATAGCTTGAACGTACCCCTTCCATGGTCACCTCCCAGTTTCACTACAATCACATCTTCTGGTATGGCATCCCCATGCCAGACCAAGCTACCTGCCTTCAGATACTGCTCCAAGTAGTGCTCAGTAAGGCCTACCAAATCAATGATAGTGCTGCGTTGACCTCACCTCTCTTGTCCACAAATGGAGCTTTCTCAGTGTAGAACTCGAAAGGCATCTCTTCCTGTAACTGGTTATTACGCATGGTGCGTTCGGAATCCAGGATCATACAAAAATCCTTAAGCCACACACGAAGTTTTCTAATGTTGTGCCAGGTTAGGTGAAGGTCTGCCTTGAGAGCTAAGGCTGTTCCTTCTTCAGATCGCCGAAAGATTCCTGCAGCGTGCAACAGCTCTTCCCTCTCTGGCTTGGACAGAACCTTTAGTGTCGCGGCCATTTGATATCGGGCACTTTCCTCGGACCCACACACTACATTGGCAATAGAAGAAAGGGCATTAGCCCTTCGTTGCTGGGTACGGGTGGATACTTCCTCGGTAGATTTGGAGCCAGCAGTTGTTCTGGTCCAAATTTGCGGACGACCAGCAGTAGCATTTGCTCTAACTTCGAGGCGGCCAGCTTCCGAGAGGTTAGTCACTAATGTGTACGCAAGGCTCATATCAGTATCACCTTTAAACAATGCTTTCGGACCGGTGCATTGACCACTTGGTCAACTGTGTGTTGGTTTAATGGCAGACGGTAGTGACATGGTTTGGTTTTGTGGGTCGTGTGCACTGCAAGTGACATGATGCTTGAGTTCCCCAAGCGTGACTATAGCATTGCAACCATCATACGGTGACACATGATAGTCACAATGCAGTGACATGGCAGGCAATGCTTTGGAAATGTAAGGATGAGGTCGGACAAGTTTAGAGGCATGGACGTTCAAGGACACCATGAAAAAAGCTACTTCCTCGCAAACCTACAAGTTGGCAGGCTTGAAGATACGAAAACTAGGAAAAGGAGCCTGTGAAGTAAAAGAGAAAATTGGAAGCATGCACAAGGAACTTGATTGGAAGGTCAAGAAGAGGCGACGAAGAGAGAGCGATGTCGAGGAGAAGCCAATGGCGGACAGCAACAAGAAGCTCGAACAAAAAAGGACCGAACATCGGCACCACGTGCCTGATTTGAGTTATTTTTTCACGAGGAACCGAGGAGCTCTTGCACAAGCGTATACGATTTCAGGTGAACACGGCCGTGTTTTACCTCGGTATTCAGCTAAAACGACAGTGAGTTGAAGGAAAATTTGATTGACTTTTTGAATTTCGTCGTAGGACGTGTGCTATAGCGTACGCGTTCCCATGGCTTTTCGACACCCAGTCCAGAAAAGGTGTACCGTACCAAAAGTCGCCAGAAAGTGTAACATCCGTGCTCTCGAGTACTCTTTAACTGTATCTACTTATGTACACCATTTGTCACCTTGATGTATTTTCGCAAAAGTTCGGCAATGGTGGAGATTCTGGCATATCAGCCTTAGCAAACACCGGATCGAACAGTAGCTGCGGAATGCAATTGTGTGTGTGTGTGTGTGTGCGCGCGTGCGTGCGTGTGCGCACACGTGTGTGTGTGTGTGCGCGCGCGCGCGCGCGCGCGCGCGCGTGTGAGTGCATTCGTGCATGCGCACACGCGTGTGTGTTTGTATGTATGTGTGTACACTGTATTATGCGTATGGATACGCGGATGTGTATTTGTGTGTATGCACGTAGTATAACATCGTGTGTGAGTGCCTCTGCACATTGGTTTTCTTTGCTGATTTCCAGCACAGAAATGATGCTCAGTACTTTGGGAACTAGTAGTCAAAGCAGAGCTTTCCAGAACGATGAGATGGGTGTCTGCCGTATCAAATTGCTGCTGGTGCTGATGCTGTGGTTATTGTTGTGTGCGTGTGTGCATGCATGTCTGCGTGCGTGCGTGTTTCAGGCAATGTTGATGACAGTATTGAGACGATTCGCCAGTATGAAGAGCAGTACTTTGCTACGTCTAGCTTCTTCAGGTATTGCTCCAGTAACTACTGATGTACACGTAGTATTGCCCTGTTACTCTTGTCAACTGACGAGTGATTATGGTACAAGCATGCAGTGCTATATCCTGGAGAGGTGTACATGATGTCCTTCAGGGCTGTGCTCTCTCAGTATGCTTTTCATGGCAATGAGTTTTAGACCGTTTTGTGGACACCTGGAGCTGCGAATGTGTGGCCTATACCTACACAATGCCACCCTGCTGGCGTTGATGTGTGGACACCTGTTTGAGTTGCAATGGTAAACGCCTGTCCTAGCTATCCAGGCTTGTTCTCCTCAATGTCGACGGCATACTAGTACTCCTAGTATGCATTGTGTCTGATGTGCTAGACACTGTGTTAGTAGTGCTAGGTGGAGGGAAATCAACAAAGGACTCTTCAAGGGAACATTGCACATCGGTCCTCTGGTACCTATTCACGTGCGTGTCTGTACATTGTGTTTGTGCTCTGTTGTTAGGTCGGGAGCGTTGAAGGCCAGCCAGATGTCAACAAGGAACCTGAGCTTTGCTGTGTCTCGGTGCTTTTGGCAGATGGTCCAGGATTCTGTTCAGCAGCAAGCTGATACGTTCAGAGGTAGATTCTAATACATTCTGGCGACTACTCATCCTTTCATTTTCTTTTTCTTTTCTTGTGTACAGAATCCAAGTGGCACGTATATTGTTGCGGTTCTTGTTGCTTTCGTATGAAAAGTAGTACAAGTCAAATATGATACCAGTTTATTTTATATTCATTAGTTGAGGGAACGGAAAGGGGAAGTTTATTTTATGCTTGTGTTGGGTGTGGTATTTGCATTATTTCCCTATCCAATGTGCCTTGGAGTTGACTTATGTTTGAGCAATGCTGTTCATGAGCTCATTTTCATGAGCATAGTGTAACTGGGTGCGTACTGACTCCACGTGTGTTTGGCACTGTGCACATCTTCTTTCACACTTAGCCCATCGCTATAACCTGGAGAGTGAATGGAAGAACACATTCCCACGGTTACGTGAGCTTGATCGGGTGAGTACCAATACACTCATGACTGGAATGCAGAATTGGCACACTGTGCACTGGTAAACCTGACGGAATTAGCTCAACTACGGACAAATCTGAGTGTGCTGTCTCTTCTTCAATTCATTCATTGATTGCGATCTTTTGATGAAGTATTTACACAGTCACAGTGACAAGAACTGCTACTCTCTCTCTCTCTCCTCTCCGATTCACTACTGTAGAATGAGCTGTTTGAAAAGGGCAAGGATGAGATTCTGGATCACCTTGCTGAACTGTCTCGTATCCAGCCGCATACTTGGTAAGTTCTATCTCTGTCTCTGTGCTTGCCTCTCACGTGTGTGTGTGTGTGTGTGTGTGTGTGTGTGTGTGTGTGTGTGTGTGTGTGTGTGTGTGTGTGTGTGTGTGTGTGTGTGTGTGTGTTGACTGTCTTCTTGGGGGACAGTTTGAATTTTTCTAGCTCCGGAATTTTTCTATTTGCTGAGACTAGTTAGAGCCTCCGAAGCAGCGTAGGTACACTCAGGGCTCTCCTAGCTTGCTAGGAGAGCCCCTGGCGTGTCAAGTGTAGACCTTTTGAATTTAGGGCAGCGGATCCAACGACGTGACTTACAGGACAATTATTTGAATTTGATATTGTCACTGTCGCGTCGTCCGTAGTCCTCCATCCGCAGTGGGCTAGCTACCCCTCGGATGTGTAGAGTTTCAGCTTCAAAGCAGCCAGAGTTTGGAGGCACCCGTCGGAGGCGCCCAGCTGGTGCTCTTGTCAAATTTGCTTCGTGGAACGTCAGGACTTTAGTGAACATCGATGGACCGGTTTCAACTGCTGCTCGTGGAAAGCGCGTCGTGGAAGACAAGAAAATCAACATCGTTGTCAGTGAACTTCGTCGGTACGAAATAGAAGTGGCTGGATTCCAGGAGTCGAAGTGGTTTGGTAAAGATATATTCCGTGTCGAGGATGCAATTGTTCTCACGTCAGGTCGCGCCATCCCAACGGACGATTTCAAACGAGGCGAAGGAGTTGGAGTCGTACTACGCGGACGCGCCCAGCAAGCGTTCGTAGCAGGGGGAAATCAGTGGTCTGCTGTCTCATCGCGTGTCGCACGCTGCAAGCTAAAGTTCGGTGACATTTGGGTCCACGTCGTGGTGTGCTACGCACCGACTTTCCGGTCCAGTCGCGATGCAAAGAACGATTTCTTTGACTCTCTTCAGGAAGTTATTCTGTCCGTACCCACCCAGGACTCCTTGATAATCTTGGGAGACTTCAACGCTAGAGTTGGAGCTGAAATCTGTGACGATGGCTGGTATGGAACACGTGGCCCACATGGTGTTGGCACTGTCAATGAGGCTGGCGCTGAGCTTCTCCAGTTTTTAGCGTGCAACAGCCTTACTGTGTGCAACACCTGGTTCATGAAACGTAACATCCACAAGTGTACCTGGCAACATCCCCGCTCGAAGCGGTGGCACTGCATCGACTATGCAATGGTCCGGGAACAAGACCTGTCCAACTGCACGGATTGCCATGTCATCAGGGGAGCTGAGTGTAGTACAGATCACAACCTTGTGTGTCTCACATACCGCATCCGCTCATCTGCTTGCCACAAGCGTGCAAAAAGACCTGTCAAGTTTGATGTGCAACAACTTGTCAAACACTCCTGCATGACGGAAGCGCAGAGAGCTGCAACCTGTAAAACTCGTGAGCAATATGCGACGTCTGTTGCGTCAGAGTTACGATCCTGGAATCATGATGGCTGCGTTGAAGACAAATGGTCTGCCGTCAAATCTGCTATCGTCACCAGCGCTGAGAAGCATCTTGGCCGTCCACGTCGTCGCCAGCCTGATTGGTTTGAAGCGTGTGCTGATGTTCTTGCACCTATGCTGGATAGCCGCAATGCCTTACATCGCAAATGGCTCGCCTCTGGTTCTGACGCTGACAGGCGTCGCTTTGTCGAGGCTCGTGGCAAGTGCAGAACTGCCGTGCGTAACGCAAAGAGTGAGTGGATTGGACGTAAAGCTAATGTGGTTGAGTCAAGTCGGTTTAGTGGCAAGCACGCATGGTCTGCAATCCGTGATATACAGAAGTGCTATTCGGGATTATCACCTATCTCCATCCCATCCATCCGTGACAGTGACGGAGTTATCTGTAGCTCCCAGGAGGGGCAAGAGAAATGCTGGCTGCAGCATTTTGCCCGTCTATTGAACGTTCGCAGCACCTTCGATGCTACCATCTTTGACCACATTGAGCAGCGTGAAGTTGATGAGTCACTCGGCCAACTTCCCTCGCTAGAGGACCTCACTATGGCTATACGCCAGCTGGCTAATTGCAAGGCTCCTGGCTCATCTGGAATTGCACCTGAACTGCTTAAAGCTGGTGGTACACCATTGCTTGAGGCTCTGCTTGATGTTATTCACACTGCATGGACCAGCGGAACGGTTCCCCAGGATTGGCGGGATGCCCAACTCGTCCCGATTCCCAAAAAGGGTGACTTGACCAACTGCAACAACTGGCGCGGCATTGCCCTCCTAGATGTCGCTGGCAAGGTTTGTGGCCGTCTCATTCAGGACCGTCTCCAACTTGTCGCGGAACAAGAACTTCCAGAATCCCAGTGTGGCTTTCGCCCTGGTCGCGGCTGCGCTGATGCCATCTTTTCCATTCGCCAGCTCATCGAGAAATCGTACGAGCACCGTCAGAAGCTGTTCTGTGTCTTCGTAGACCTGAAGAAAGCATATGATTCCGTACCACGCCAAGCACTCTGGCTAGCATTGGGGAGGCTAGGCATTCCTGAAGGGCTCCTCAATCTAATCCAATCGTTCCACGAGAGCATGCAGGCAGCTGTGCGCGTCGGTGCCAGCACTACCGAGCCGTTTGCGGTCAACAATGGCCTCCGTCAAGGCTGTGTGATGGCCCCAGTACTTTTTAATCTGTACTTCGGTGTTGTGCTTGAGCGGTGGGCACAAGTGATGCAGGACAGCGACCATCCACCTGGCATCCCCATCCAATTTAGCATCAATGGCAACCTTTTCTCAAAGCCCGCTCGCCAGTCTACTGCCGCAATCATCAACGACATTGAGTACGCAGATGACGCGGTCTTGCTCGCTGAAGACCGCCCTGGTGCTGAGAAGTGCCTTGAAACATTCTGCACGGTTGCCTCTTCCTTTGGCCTCTGCGTCAACGCTGCTAAAACGAAATTTCTCGTGGCAGGTAGCCAAGTCAACATGCCTGATAGAGCCGATATGAACGTCAACGGTGATACTGTGGAGCACGTTCCATCCTTCATTTATCTGGGGTCCGTCGTGACACCGGATGCCCGCTCCTCTACTGACGTCAGTCGCCGCATAGCTGAGGCTTCCAAAGCCTTTGGAGCTCTTCTTCCAGTCTTGTCGGATCGCTCGCTGTCATTAGTCAGTAAGCGAAAGCTATACGTGGCCTGTGTCTTGTCCATTTTGCTGTACGGCAGTGAGTGCTGGACGCCCTTGAAAGCTGATAGTAGACGTTTGGATGCCTTTCATCATCGCTGCATCCGCACAATATTAGCCATCCCTCGCAGTCAGCAGCAATCCGATCGCATCACGTCTGCGCAGTTACGTCGTCACTGGGGTGACCCAGTGCCACTCTCTGTTAAGATGCGCCATCGTCGTTTAGAGTGGCTTGGTCATGTGGCTCGGATGTCGGAGGACCGTGTCCCATTGCAGCTGTTGTTTGGTCGTTTGTTGGCTGCGCGCCCCTTCTGCGGTCCCAGGCGTAGGTGGAGAGACGTTGTGGCTACTGACACGAAGTCCATTCCAAACTGGTTTGATTGCGCACAAGACCGGTCAGCTTGGCGAGAGCAGGTTCTGGTTTTTCAGCCTCCTCGGGCAGTAGAGAAATCCGTACTCTGCTCATCTTGCAACCGGGCTTTCTCTCGTCCTCAAGACAAGGCACGGCACAAGTGTTTGGCTGAGCGCCAACTTCCCGTCCACCAACAGCGTGGTTCAGCACAGTGCGTCAGTTGCTGCCGATGGTTCCGTAGTAAGGGTGGGCTTGCAGTTCATCGCTGCCAGCCTGCACTCCCTGAACATGCAGATACGGCATTGACGGCGTCTCTCGCTAGTTGCTGCTTCCAGCATTGTCAACGCTGCAATCGCTGCTTCAAGTCCCGGGCTGGTTTTAACCGCCATAACTGCAACCGTGGAAAACGTCTTGCTGCAGCCGATAGGGAATCACTGCCGCTGATCTGCATGCATTGCCCGAAACGTTTCCGACGACAGCAAGATTTGACGAGGCACCAGAAGTCCTGCCAATGACGGTGCACTCCAAACTCTGGCCCCCTCCGGGGGTGACATTGCCCAATGGGCAGTCATGCTATAGTAGTAGTAGTAGTGTGTGTGTGTGTGTGTGTGTGTGTGGGTGTGTGTGTGTGTGTGTGTGTGTGTGTGTATGCTTTCTGTACATTCTGCTTGCATTAGACAATGTGAGCAGGTCCATGTACTAGCTGAGTACAGTGAAACCTGCCTTAGAGGCGATTTACACGACGACAGTGCATCCTGCCGGGAAGTGAAGCACGTGATCCGGGAGCTTGCCGTGACGCGGGAAAAACGAAAATCGATTCACACGGCAGGATGCACGTACAGTACCTGTAGCACAACACAGTCCATGGAATGCCACGTCATGCATTTCCCCTCCGCCCCCTCACGGCACCGGGATCATACTGGGATAGCTCGTGGGATACGTTCGCGGCAAAATTTGAGTTCATGTGACTGAATCTCCATGGCAGCATCACACACGGGATGAGTCCTGCCGTCGTGTAAATCGCCTCTTAGCCGACCGCTCAAGGGACCTTGCGATGTGGTCCCCATGTGCAGGTGGTCTTCTTACCCAGGGTCATTTGACTGGAAATAATATCCTTTCATCCTAGTTGTAGTGGTCTTTTGGGATAGGTGGTGGTCGGTCGCCTCATCAGCCTTTACAGGTTTTACTGTACATGCTGCTGCTGCTGATGCAGGAAGAGGAAGATGAGGCTATCAAATAGCAGCCATAGTGCTGGTTAGTGCTCTGAAAGTTGAGTGAAACTCGTGTAAGTTCTAAGAATGTGAGTCCGAGAGAGGCATGTTGAGCCAAGTCAGAGTAAGTGACACTGACCACTGACATTGCGTGTTAATGGACAAGCTTCCAGCCATGACTTTATCTGATGTGAGTACTTAAGGAGTGGCCAATGAGGCCTCTGTCTGATGTGTGTAGTGGCCAATGGGGCAATGAATGTACCCTCGGTGTGTTCCGCTTCTGTGCAGAGTTATGTACGCACTGCTTGATCGATGCGACACATGTATCGAGTCTTGATGAGAAACTCCACCCTGTATCGTTAGCAGTGCTTGACGTGTTCCAGAGCACACAGTGTGTCCCTAGTCTTCAACTGCTCAGGAACTGTTCAATGTCCCATGTAGGATTGTGGCCCATACTGACCAATACTGACCCTGGTATTATTGTGCTGTGTAATGATGTGCAATTCTTTGTGGATGTGCTCAGGGAAGCCAATCTGGTAGAGCAGCTTTGGAAGGAAATGAGCACGCCGGTCGTGGAGGATATCTACTTCCCAGCAGCGCAGGGCACAACAGCTAGGTAAGGCTAGAATCCAATGATGCATGCTGACCAGATTATTCCTGTCAACAACTGCACATTGTGTTGTTTCCTTCTTGGTTGTATGTATTGTCACCCTTGAGATTCTCGTGATAAGCCTCTATTTGCCTTTGGAAAATCACTCAACTAAAATGAAATAAAATGGTTTGCATTTACACTGTGTTGCTTCCTTCATGTTGTGCATGTCCATTGTAACACAGATAGGAGTAGCTACACAAAGTGAGGCGTAGGGCTAAGGTGGCTACAGCTAGCTGTGACATGACAGCAGGTCATAGTCATTGCATTCTCCCTACTCCGTTCTTTTTCCCCTATCCACAGCAACTTCAATACCAGAGCTGATATTCGCCTGCGTAACTGGGCCAACAAGGACCTGCCTCTCTTATCAGTACAGGTGAGTGAGGCAATGTAGCTAAACGTCTTTACTCACTTACACATAAGCGAGTCACTAGTACATGTCATATACCCATAGCACTACTCTGCTAAGACTATTGAAACCTGGATACTGTAGGTAAAGAAAGACACGGAAGCTTAGTTTCAAAGATGTGATCCTCCCGTAGTATTTTGTCAGACAGTGTTGTCTATCCTGACACTGTAAGCATACCTTTTCTTGTAAATTTCACCGTTATTAACACTAAACGAATATTCTAAATAGAGAGTAAGGTGGCACATGTTTTATCTGACAGTGCAACAATGGTGCCAGTCTCATCACACAAAATCTGTGACGATTCCCAGAAGCTTGTCGGCCCGATCTTGTCGGTGGAAAGTACATCGGAAGGAACGCCATCTGTCATCCAATCTGTGTGTTCATTGGGTTGTGAAGAATGTGGTTTGCTTGTGGGGGTCTGTCTATTACAAGGGTTATCATTATCTTCACTGGTTTGAGGGAAAGACACAAACGGGAAAAGTCTGAAGACAACATTGACTGTCACCACCAGGATTCGAATCAGGGCCGGGCCTTCGCTTGAGGCCAGCGATGCTCTAACCACTGTTATCATTATCATGTGCATTTGTGTCTGGGGTCTTTCTCAACTAATCTCTCTCTCTCTCTCTCTCTCTCTCTCTCTCTTTCTCTCTCTCTCTCTCTCTCTCTCTCTCTCTCTCTCTCTCTCTCTCTCTCTCTCTCTCCTCTCTCTCTCTCTCTCTCTCTCTCTCTCTCTCTCTCTCTCTCTCTCCCTCCCTCCCTCCCTCCCCCCCCCCTCTCTCTCTCTCTCTCTCTCTCTCTCTCTCTCTCTCTCTCTCTCTCTCTCTCTCTCTCTCTCTCTCTCTCTCTCTCTCTCTCTCTCTCCCCCTCCCTCCCTCCCTCCCTCCCCCCCCCCCCCTCTCTCTCTCTCTCTCTCTCTCTCTCTCTCTCTCTCTCTCTCTCTCTCTCTCTCTCTCTCTCTCTCTTCCACGTGTCTTATTATGTGTTCAGGCTGGGTGGGAAGTACTGCTCGGAAACTTTGCTGCAGCTTTGCAGGTAAGTGTGTAACACTAAAGAAAATTAATAGTGCAGCCCATTCTTCTACTTTTCGGTCATGTTATGAAGAGACTGCTCAAGTTTGTGTGTGGGTGTCTACATGTGTGTGCGTGCGGGAATGGGGAGGGGTGGTAGGGGGTGAGGGGATGACGAGTTTACGACCCTTGCTTTGTTTCTTTCACGGCATGGCACACATGAAAATTTATTATCAGTTGCAACATGTTGATCATTGTCATGTTCCTGCACGCAATGCACTTTTTTGACTGATATCTTGTGTATCTCGCTACTCCCTACAGCCGGACGGCAAGGACAAGCAGTCTGATCTCTTTGCAGCATTGAAAGAAGAGGTGGTAAAGCAATGTCGAAGTGAGCATGTTGCTATTGCTGATGCCGTAGACAGACTAGTAAGTACATGAATGGCTTCATTGCAAAACGCGCTAAACGCCAATCTCATGCATATGGCGTTTTCGGTGTCAATCGAATCAGTAGGGATCACTGCATCTGATGGCCAAAAAGAATTCTCCAAAGCGAGACATATCCCACTGAAAATCAACGTTGAAGTTGACGTTCTACTGCAAAACGTGATAAACACCACCGATGTTTTCGAGCAAAGTGCGACATATCCTGTCGCGCGGGCCAGCGTGACCTGTGACAAGCCAGCGATCGCGCGAGTGCATGCTGGCGCAGCACGTGGCAAACATCGCGACTAGACTGAGTCTGTGCAAAATGTCGATGTCAGAGTTCAAAGTACAGTGTTTTCGTGTTGTTGCTTTGTAGCAGCTACATCTGTTGTCATTTCGTTCTTTTCGTATCATCTTCTTCGTAGCTGTTGTTTTTTCTCTTTCGAAACTGCTAAGGGAAGTATGCTAGAGGCGTCAGGGATGGACGACGCTGCTGCTGCTAAGCTCCTTCAGTGTTCGGAACTCAGTGAAGTCGTTGCACTTGTATTTTCTAATCTCATAATACTGATTAGTCCGGCGAGTATATCTGGTTTTGCCCAAAAATATTGAAGAATCACCTTGCTTGAGATAATGGATGGCCCCTGATTTTCGAGAAAGCCTGTATTTGCATACATCACCCTACTCTTCTCATCTGCCAAGTTAGATTTGACCCAAACCCACCCAGTTGTTGATCACAGAAAATCGCTCCTCCTGAAAATTGGTCAAAACGGATTTATCTCGTTTTGCAATGAAGCCCTTCACATGTACCACGCGTGGACGACTGGCTAAGTTTGGACAGGCTAGCAATCACAGCAAGTGTCTCTGATGCCGTGCTCGCACAGAGTGTCTGTTCTGTAATTCATGGATTCATTTGAGTGTATTTCTCCTTCAACCTCTTGAACTGGAACTTCGGCAAGAAATGAAAACATAAAACTGGTTGTCATCTGGCCACTGTGTCGAAAGGTTATGGTTCGAAGCGGCTGATGCATAATTCCCTTTTCGAATGCGCTGGGTTTGATTGTGAAGATAGAGAATGTGCAAGCAGATCTACACCCTTGTGGGCTGTGTCCTCCTGGTGCTCCTGACTATACATGCACTCTTGTGGACATTGAAATCCGGTCGAATGACCGGGGCCGGTGCCCTTACTGCCTTGCACGTACTGTAGTTGACGTACAGTGCAAACATGGACCAGCAGTGCTCAATGCTGCGAGGCCAGTGCCCCATGGCTGCTTGATTTCTCAACAGATTTCAATATTCACAACAGCATATGCATGCTGTGCACTGTCCTCTTGTTGTTGTTCCCCTATGTGTGTGATAGCGTGTCATACAAATGAACACACTGGAAGACCGTGCAGTGACTAATGCACACCAGTGGGATGATGCTGTCAAGTTCATGGAGACTACACTTACATCTCAACTCAAAACTGGTAATCTCATGAAGAAGTGATGCCATGATGTAGTGATGTAGTGATGTCATGATGTAGTGATGACATGATAATTATTATGATGTAGTGATGTCATGATATGATAACCTTCCATTTTGCATTGCATCCTTGATAAAATTGTCTTCCCGGTATTTTGCCGGAAATGCCTGCTGTGCGGCTGGCTTAGGAGTTTGCCCTATCTCTACGTAGTATAGGACTGACTGCCTAGCAAAGAATCCATGTGTACTGCCACTGTATGTCATTCTGTATTGCTGGTTAATAGTATGGTTTGCCATACAGTGTACTTGTAGCAACCCATACATACTTTTGCCATGCAGCGTACTTCGCTTTATTTATTGCGTTAAGTTCTTTCTTGTCTCCATGGAACTGATTGAAGAAGAGACGTGAATAATTTACGTGATAGATCCAAGATTGAAGTTCTCAGTAATGCGCTGTGTATCCGGGGTCATTTGAACAATGTTCCTTTGTAATCACTCGTTTCATTGTGATAGCCCCCGTACATACACTTGTCATACAGTGTACTTGACTACATGTAACACAATCCTATACATGTACATGCATGGATACTGTGCCCTGCACTGTGTTCGCTATGTCCTCATGTTGTACTCTGTGTTTCTTTCCCCAGCACAAGACAAGAGCCGTGACATGGTCGGCCCCACCGCCACTGAGCGCTGGTTCTACTGGCAGTCGAAGAGCAGTGAACAGGTACGTTAAAACAACATCAAGTTTTGTAAATCTCTCCACACTTAGTAGTTGCTACCAGTCCTACCCATAATGGCCTCATAATAGAGAGGTTCTGCAAAACGAAAATGTGTACGAACTTTCGCTCTACGTCACGAAGTGAGAAACTTCGCACGAACTTTCGCAACTTTGGACGCGAAACTTGCAGGGAACGCGAAATGAACTTTCGTAGGAAGTTTCGTGAGATTGGGTCATGGCGTACGTGCACTTGGCGCGCGCAAACTACGAAAATGTGCAGAACACAAAGTTCGTGCGAAAATTCGTACACATTTTCGCAAGGCCTGTCGCGAAACTTCGGTCGAATTTTCGTTGTGCAGAACCTCTCTAATGACCCCATATCGATGTCATAAAGGACCTCCTAAGGACCTCATAATGGCCTCATAATGGCCTCGTAGTGGCCTCGTAATGGCCCCATGTACTTGGTTTCCGTGCCTGTGTATACTATGTAGTTATCTTGCCTTGATCCCACTGGCTTCAGGCTCTCTGGTGCATTAGCAACTGTAGAGCGTTCTTGAAGCCAATATTGAATGCTATAACGAATGCAGGGGCAGATGGGCTATGCATACTTCGATCTAGTGTTGCAGAAAAGAGTCCACGTCGTTCTGGATTGAGTTTCGATGCACTCGACAGTGAAATGTGCTGACTCTCTTGTGTGTTGTCTGACAATGTCTGTATGTGTTTGATGTTCCTTGACAGTCGGACAGAGATGCAGCTGTACAGGAGTTGAATAGGCTGCTGGATGCAAATAAGGTATATCATGTAGCATGTACACAGTGTGCGTGCGTGTGTGTGTGTGTGCGTGTGTGTGTGTGTGCGTGTGCGTGTGTGTGTGTGTGTTTTGTGTTGGCAGCTTCCTGTTCAATATCCTTAAGTACATATAAATGAGGGGCGGAGCGCTTACACATGTTGGCTTATCGGCTAACTGGTATGCTAGTGGGTTTTTTTGTTGCGCTCCGAGCAACCCTACCCCGGGAGCAGGGTTGACTGCATGCAACAGATTCATTTTTGCCAAACAAGACGTCTGTAGGTAACGATCATTGGTGTATGCATCTAGTGCACATAACGTTACAATGTAACTACGTGGACACGCGTTGCACACTGCAGATGTGTATGACAAGTACGAACCTGGAGTAACTTTTCGATTGTCGTTTTCTACCTCAACATAGGCACGGTAGCAGTGTGTTGCAAATGTGATCGATTGATTCTGAGGGATCCAGTGGATCTGGGATCTGGATCTTGATCCGGATACCACGAAACAATCACAGCCTTATACTCCAGTGTGGCTTTTACTCCAGTGTGGCTTATACTCCGGTGCGGCTTATACGTCGCGAAATGCGGTGTGTGTATTTACAGCGCACATAGAAATGCGGTGTGTGTATTTACAGCGCACATAGAAATGCGGTGTGTGTATTTACAGCGCACATAGAAATGCGGTGTGTGTATTTACAGCGCACATAGAAATGCGGTGTGTGTATTTACAGCGCACATAGAAATGCGGTGTGTGTATTTACAGCGCACATAGAAATGCGGTGTGTGTATTTACAGCGCACATAGAAATGTGGTGTGTGTATTTACAGCGCACATAGAAATGCGGTGTGTGTATTTACAGCGCACATAGAAATGCGGTGTGTGTATTTACAGCGCACATAGAAATGCGGTGTGTGTATTTACAGCGCACATAGAAATGCGGTGTGTGTATTTACAGCGCACATAGAAATGCGGTGTGTGTATTTACAGCGCACATAGAAATGCGGTGTGTGTATTTACAGCGCACATAGAAATGCGGTGTGTGTATTTACAGCACACATAGAAATGCGGTGTGTGTATTTACAGCGCACATAGAAATGCGGTGTGTGTATTTACAGCACACATAGAAATGCGGTGTGTGTATTTACAGCGCACATAGAAATGCGGTGTGTGTATTTACAGCGCACATAGAAATGCGGTGTGTGTATTTACAGCGCACATAGAAATGCGGTGTGTGTATTTACAGCGCACATAGAAATGCGGTGTGTGTATTTACAGCGCACATAGAAATGCAGTGTGTGTATTTACAGCGCACATAGAAATGCGGTGTGTGTATTTACAGCACACATAGAAATGCGGTGTGTGTATTTACAGCGCACATAGAAATGCAGTGTGTGTATTTACAGCACACATAGAAATGCGGTGTGTGTATTTACAGCGCACATAGAAATGCAGTGTGTGTATTTACAGCACACATAGAAATGCGGTGTGTGTATTTACAGCGCACATAGAAATGCAGTGTGTGTATTTACAGCACACATAGAAATGCGGTGTGTGTATTTACAGCGCACATAGAAATGCGGTGTGTGTATTTACAGCACACATAGAAATGCAGTGTGTGTATTTACAGCGCACATAGAAATGCGGTGTGTGTATTTACAGCACACATAGAAATGCGGTGTGTGTATTTACAGCACACATAGAAATGCAGTGTGTGTATTTACAGCACACATAGAAATGCGGTGTGTGTATTTACAGCACACATAGAAATGCGGTGTGTGTATTTACAGCACACATAGAAATGCGGTGTGTGTATTTACAGCGCACATAGAAATGCGGTGTGTGTATTTACAGCACACATAGAAATGCGGTGTGTGTATTTACAGCACACATAGAAATGCAGTGTGTGTATTTACAGCACACATAGAAATGCGGTGTGTGTATTTACAGCACACATAGAAATGCGGTGTGTGTATTTACAGCACACATAGAAACGTAACCGTGTTAACATGTTCTCTTTTCTATATCTTGTGGTTTGGTGTGATCTGGTTTCTCGTCTCTGCATTGTGGTTTGGTGTGATCTGGTTTCTCGTCTCTGCATTGTGAATTGGTGCCACCACTGTGACCTGTTTGCTTAGGACCATCCGGAGCGCTTGGCTGCTGATGAGCTGACTACCGTTCGCAAGAATCTAGAGACGCGCAGTGTGTCCGTCACAGATCTGTTTGTAAGTGTTGCCTGGCTTGATTTGGTATGTGTGGGTGTGCACTGTGCAATGTACATTGTTGCTGCGGAGAATGGCACCTTTTCTTGGCGAGCTCTCCAATTGTGTGAATAAATTCTCGTGTGTGTGTGTGTTTGTGTGTGCCTGTGTGTGTCTGTGTGTCTGTGTGTGTGCATGTGTTCTCGTTGCTGCTGCTTCTACGCTCTCAAGATTGAGGACACATGGCAGCATATGTACAGGGAGCACTTCCTGACCAACGCATTGTCCAACATGCAGGAGTGCAAGAAAGCCTTTTACCACCGTGAACTAGCTACCAGCCAGGTACTGCACCTCTTGTCACTGAGTATTTTCTGAGAAGAAAGTGCGTCTGTCCAGCATGTGTAGTGTTTTTGACTTTCCATACAGTAGAACTGGAAGAATGCTGCTTTTTGAACGATGTGGTTTTGTGTTTGTAATTTGACGACTTGAATGGAATAGAGTGAAAGTGTCTTGTCGTATTGTATTGTGTTGGTGGCAAATGGCCAACCAAAGTGTCTGAAATCACATGGCTTGAGCAACCATGTGTCTGCTTGATGTTGACTGGTTAGATGATATGATTGCGCAATGCTCTCACTGAGTCTCAGGCCCGACAGGGTGTAGATCATAACTTGCCAGACCTGTACTTTTATCTTGAAGGTGGACTGTACTGTTCTCCCATTGTCACCGTGCTGAACTGCTGTGCGTTGAGTGTTGAATGTACTGGAAAGGGAAAACTGCAAAGTAACACACACACACACACACACACACACACACACACACACACACACGTACACACACACACATACTATCTCACTCACTCTCTCTCCTTCTCTCTCTCTCTTGTTGTTTCTTGTCTTCTCATCATCAGCTGCGCTGTGACGATGTGGTGCTGTTCTGGCGGATCCAGCGCATGCTACACATCACTGGTAATGCTCTCCGACAACAGATTGAGTCTAGCGAAGGTGAGGCTCAAGAGCTTAGCGATGTAAATATATGTGTTTTCTATGATTTGCGTGAGGCTAGGCCGTTCCCCTGATTGTGACCTATCTACAACGTATCTGTGGAGAAAACAGTGCAATGTACAGTCGTATCACTGGTTAGATGAACCACAGGGTGCCAGTACGAATACATGTGTGCTGACTTTTCTGATACACTCTACATCATCTGTATCCTCTTGCTTTTAGCGCGCAATCTGGCTCGCCAGGTCAAGCAGATTCTCGACAGCCTGGCACACAACCCTGACAAGAAACGGCAGCTGATCACTGGTCGACAAGTTGAGCTTGCGGAGGAACTAAGTAAGTCTCGTCTTGCCTGAAAAATAGTTTTCCTCGCGCGAAAGTTTGCGACTCATGTCATTATTTTGGTTTCTCCCAATAAAGTCGTTCTTTTACGGGTTATTGGTTTGCCTGCCTAGGAAACATACATGGTAGAAGAATTGATTATTATTTTATTTAAATAACCAACGAGGAGACAACAGTCGTAAAATAGCAATGAACAATATCAATTGTGCACTCATAACCATGTATAAACAATTAAAATGAAACAATTCCAGAACGTTTTCGTGTGACCATCATCAGTGGAACATCGTCACATAGTAAGAATCACTAAACAACCAGTTATATAGCTAGAGTAATATGAAAAGAAGCGTGAGAATGCAGCACAGCTAGCGGTTATGCATAACGCGTGTAGTGTGAACCTTTGCAGTGTATCTGAGAATGGTAGCAGTAGATGAATGTGGCAGCTGTGAGTGCGTGTGAACAAAAACTGGTGAGTGCGTATTATTTAAAAATCTAAAAAACTCACAGCTGCCACATTCATCTACTGCTACCATTCTCAGATACACTGCAAAGGTTCACACTACACGCGTTATGCATAACCGCTAGCTGTGCTGCATTCTCACGCTTCTTTTCATATTACTCTAGCTATATAACTGGTTGTTTAGTGATTCTTACTATGTGACGATGTTCCACTGATGATAGTCACGAGAAAACGTTCTGGAATTGTTTCATTTTAATTGTTTATACATGGTTATGAGTGCACAATTGATATTATTTTATTATTATTATTTATTCTTCTTTTACTAGGGAATTCCCAACAGGCGTCAGCGCCTTTTTACAGGGAACCCTAGGTATAATTTGATGGATGAGCGAAATTCAGCTGGTGAACTAGACATGCGGCAAGCCGGTGGAAGTGTATTCCACCTAGCAGCGCCCAAATAAGAAATTGCACTAAAGCCATATCGGGTGTTAGCGGGGGGCAGAACAAGAGCAGCAGAGACTTGGCCACGGGTGGTGGCTGCAGTGCGAGCACCATGGGTGCGCAATGTAAAGCGGTCTCGCAGAAGAGGACTAGCAAGTCCATTCAGGCAGCGGTAAACAAATACATAGGTTTTGAAGTTGAGGCGTTTCTCAAGGGCGTACAAGTTAGTATGACTGTATAGAAGAGTGGTGGGAGTCATTCTATCCAACGAAAATATTCTTTTTAATGCTACGCGGCTGGCAGTAAAGATTGATGTCTGCCCATGTACTCTCCAAAAAATCTATTTACCAAATCGCCGATGAAATTGGTCCCTCTAACCGCGTTGTTTGTCTCCCCGCGATAGGCTGTTAAGAGCTTCTCGGCACTTTGGTGCATTTATGAAAAGATAAGCGGTCGTGACTGCCACGTTATTTTGTATTGCTATCTCCTATGGACATGCTTCATAACAAGTGCGTGTTCTTCATGTCTGCCACTTGATGCCTTGCAGAGCGAGTGCGATCAATTCAGGAGAAGCTAGACACATTCATCAGCACACTGCAGGAAGAGAAAAGGTCAGGCTGAAGTTTCTTACACTGCGCAATGGTCTTTCCTGTCTCAATGATCAACGCACAGCATGTCACGCATCACACTGGTCACATCACTCTGTAGATATGACCTTAACCTGGTCCGCATGTGATGGCACACTGATTAGAGCCTGGTGGCGCTGCTGACGAGGCATGCTGATATCCAGCCACCTGAATGGCATGATAACACCATGACATCATTGATAACATGATGATGTCATGAGCAATGCCTACACCAACCACCTACACCAGTCAGCCCGGTGGGATTGTATCGTGACGTGACGCTTAGTCCCGTACTGTCATACGCTGCACAACTCCTTATCATAGCTTTCTCAGAGCAAATATTTGTTTGCTCTGGCTCGCATGTGGCACTGGCTGCATTGTTTGATTTTCACTTTTAGAAAAATAGTTTATAGTTGCACTTCATGTGCGGTTTTCTCATACAAATTCAATATTCTTTGTTTTTCCCCAGCGTGGACGCTGGGTTTAATTTGTTCTACTGCTGCTGCTGCTGCTGCTATCACTGCTGTCGTGTATATTCTGTTGCTATCACGCTTGTTGAAATGAATATAGTTATTGCTTTTTTTGTACATTTGTGTATGCCCATTGATGTGCAGACACGCTTGTGCACACACCCATCATCCACGCTACACAGACAACACCTACGGGTCTACATCATAATGTGCTTTGTTGTTGAAGGACTCGAACCTTACTTACATCACGATAATTTCATCAGTTGAGGACCTTTTTCGCATCAGCTGTGGGCATATTGAAGTTGCTTTCATACTTGCCATTGTGTGCAAAGCACTGCGAGATGAATATACTGGTACTTGCACAGATATGTGAGAAGTTAGGGCTGTGGGCAGGATGGTTCTTGAAGTGATGAGTCGTTCCTGAGACGCTCACAGACTGCTCTTTGTTGATGCTGAATTGGACCACCTGGCAATGAATCAAAATCCAAGAAATGTCCTGGCACATTTAACTGCCTGCACCAGGCTCCTGGCTGAGCCTAAATGTTGGGTGCATTGCCTCCTTCCACTTTTCGTCCATCACTTACTAGTATTATTGTCTGCAGTGGAGAGCTGTGGTCCTAAGTGGTTGTATTATTGTCTGCAGTGGAGAGCTGTGGTCCTAAGTGGTTGGCACCAGCACCCTGACTATCAGTATGACACTGTGTTTCGTGCATCTTCTTTTTCTCTCACAAAAGAGAGGAAAGTTGCTGATGACTTCAATGAAGTTGAACACCTGAAGATCATCACTATCACCATTGTCTCGGTCGTTAACAAATACACGTGTACGTACAGGTCACCGGTGACTGACTTTCAGTGATCGCTTCGTCCCTGCAGTGCAACCAACCTGATGGCCTTGCATGTAGATGTACAGGGCAGCCATTTTCTACACTCGTCGCCGGAAAAGATCCGACCAATGCCATGGATACATGTACAGTGGCATGGTGCCTGTCACATGCATGCATTTACAGACAGTAGAGGGTATACCAGCATAGCACTGAGCACTGAGCTAAAGCAGCATAGCCCTGAGCTAAAACAGTCCACGCTGCACTCTATAGCTCTACCTGCTGCAGTGGAGTCGAGCACAGCACAGCACAGCACAGCACGGAAGTCTGTGCATTGCAGTGCAGAGTGCAGGCCACTACCAAGCAAGGCTTCTATAAGGCCTAGCGCTAGCAGTGGCAGTGCATGCGGCCACGTGCAGCTACCGGTAGCTAGCATAGCATTGGCCGGATTTTCTGGCGACGACTGTAAAATACCAGTTACGATTGTACACATAACTTTCTTCCATTCGCTCTCTGACCTTGTACATAAGTAATTAGTTCAATGGTAAAAGAAAGTGTACGATATCTAACATTGGACAACACAGCCGTAAAATTGAAATCCAAAACTGGCGAGGAAAATCTAGATTGCATGGCAAGAACACATTGGTACAGTTATGATGTAGCGTCTATGAAAGTTTTGCTAGCAAGTAGTGTAAACATGTGGCAGCACAGTGTGATAAATCAACATGTACGTATTCGTACACTGCTTGAATGAGCTGCATGCAATCGTCGTGTGGACCTGACACGGCTGAGCTGAAGGCGGCGGGCGAGCTAAGAAAATAGGCCGCCGCCGATCCGTCTTCTAGATTGGCTCGAAATAGTTTGAAGGTGCCATGCCACGTTGGCCGGTGCGCTCAATTGTGGCTGTGACCCAGCCGTCATCCACAACTTCCACGTCAATGGCAATATCACCTTCCACGAAGCCGATCTCATCCTCATCAGCGGCTTCATAGTCGTACAGAGCTGTCATGGTCTGGACAGTGAAGTAGACACAAACGACAAGAGACACTGAAAATCAGCTTTTATTGCACAATGATTTTGTAGTCTTTTGCAGGAATCGAGGGCGAAACCTCCCTCCCTGCAAAACAGCTAATACCAAGAGTATATAAACCAGAGTGTGCAACTGTGCATATCAGACCTGAAACAGCGCAGTCCGTGCACTACGTCACCCTGATGAGGTCAGCCAAGCTGCGACTTGCGTACAGCTCAAGTTTTCGTGTTTCACAGTCCGGAAATCAGCCAAGTTTGCATGATTTAGACGTCCTGTTTTAGGATTTCGGTGTTTTTGTGTGACTGCGTACGCTGTGTACATGCGCTGGCAAGTAAATTCACCATGCTATCCGTGTCAAAAAACCGAAATCAGGACAAACTCAGTGACCTGCGCCACTGTGACTGGTTACGCAACTTTTCACCGTACCTGTGGCTTACCATGCCGTGAGAAATGACGTACTGCACGAAGTACGCTCCCACAGGAACCATCCTGAGTTGCACACTCTGGTTTATGTACTCTTGCTAATACTGATAACATCGACCTCTGCTCCTTCGTGTTCTCTAGACCATTGTGTGCGGTGTGTTGTCACTGGGCATACGAACCATGGGGACATGGGTACGATGTTCCTGCTCCTAAGTTAACCCTGACTTGCAAGAGTTGTCTTTGTACTCTTACTCTTAACCCAGTGCATGTTTGACCCAAAGGAGCAGATGCAAGTAAAGTAAGGTTAACACATTCGCATTGCAACCAGCCAATATGTAACGAAAATAGAAACTCAAGCAGCTCAGGTAGTTTAGCTCGTGCCCAGCCACCACCGTGCTTGACTGTACCCTGTGCTTGACTGTATCCTGTGCTGGTATAGCAAAGGCAGTGCATAACGGCGGCGAGAGGAAGGGATACATCTTACAACCAATGTAGTACTCATAGTACTTGTACATGATTGTATGAACAGTGTCGCAACGTGCATGAAACTCTGAGTACCACCAACTTATCCATGTAGCATTGCTCCACTGTTTTATCATGCACTACGCTCAGCTCTCATGGCGTTTGATCATGTTGAGCACACTGGGTGCAATTCCTGGTGTGTATGAATGTAAATTACGGACCCCACGGTGATTTGAATGTTGTGTTTGATGACGTGAGTGCGACACTCTTAAAGCAAACCAGCAGTATACAATCATAGTCTTACAGTTCCACTGCCACCACCACCACCGCCAGCAGCAGGAGCTGGGTCATCTTCATATGCAGGTTCTGGTTCGGGCTCCGGCTCCGGCTCTGGTTCGGGCTCCGGCTCATGGTGACGTGTATAGGAGTGAGGTGCGGGCTCGGGTTCTGGCTCGGGTTCGTATGCCGGTTCAGGTTCGTATGCTGGTTCAGGTTCGTATGCTGGTTGTCTTGGGGGTGGACGCGATGCTTGATCCTGCTCCCAACGAGATCCTACAAACACCAGGCAGAGCAGGGTGCATGTGAATACACACACACACACACACACACGCACGCACGCACACTCACACACACACACATACACACACACACACACACACACACACACACACACACACACACGTGCACAGTGACACACAAATGGACGCATCGCAGGAGGAGGTGACTATCAGGGAATCGTAAAATACCGGTATTTTACGGCTCCCTGGTGACTATACTACCGTATTATCTCTAATATAAGCACAGTCTCCAATAATAGCACGTCTCCAATAATAGAACACCTTGGGGCGGCATTCAAAAAATATAGTGCTCAGTCTCCATTATAAGCACACTGTGTAAATTCATTATCTGTACCGGCGAAAAAAAACCCTGAAATGTGTGTGTCATACATGAATTTGGCATGGCAACATGCCTCTGAAATGAAGTTGAAATAATAATGGAACAGTCTCCAATAAAGGAACGTCTCCATTAATAGCACGGGGCGGATCGCGGAGGTACATTGAAAAAATAAAGGACCGTGCTTATATTAGAGATATTACGGTATTACAAAGATCATGAAAGATGGAGACCGTTGGATGTAAATTGGGCTCTCGACACATCTGTCTTACTGATCAAACCGTGCCCGTGTGCACTGAAGTTTTTTTGTAGGTGTCTACTATGTGATCGATTATTTTGATGGCTGTTGAGTTCAGCACAGAGGGGTCAATGAAATAATAATTTCGTGCTACAGAGGTACATTGCATGTTGAGAAATGCTAGGTGCAGTCTTGTGATTGTCTGTGCAACTACCGTATTTCCCCGAATAAAAGTCTTACACCTTTTTACACTGTAAACTTCATTCCCAACAAAGGGGGTGTGACTTACAATTGAGCACGACTCACTACTGAAGTGAATAATTATATTGAAACGATATGACATGGACCTGGAAATGGGGGTGCGACTTACAGTCGGGGAAATGCGGTATCCACACATGCACTTGACTGCAGACTGTGCAGTGCGCCAGACACTATACCAATGTACACACGGTTCTGTATTTCATGGGTCACTACAGTACTAGCTGTTCTTTGGAATACAGTCAACCCGACCCTGTGAGTACCAACCTTGGGAACATGTAACAGTTATCACAGCAACTCGTGACTATAGCAAAGCAACGACACTATCCTCAGATCTTAGTACCGTGAGCTACCATTTGACTGCATCATTTAAACCTGACTAATACTAGAGTGGTTTCACATCTGTCACATGACCACGTGGGACAGCCATATTGGTTCCAAATCCACTCAACCCTTGCATATATGGGTCACATGATGTTGTCCATGTTGGCTCCACTGTCTACATGGCATGATCATTTTCTGCACACATTTCGTCACATGGCAAACTGATGTGAAACCACTCTATAACGAGAACTCATGCATAACAGCCCTTTTTTTCAGGCATGCATGGGCGAGGGAGTCGTTATTCGCAAGGTTGACTGGCGTTACGTGTATGGGCGTTTACCTGCAGTTGTGGTGCCCTGGTGGTATGAGCCACCGCTCAGTTCCTGTTGCTTTCGGACACGCGCCGCTTCCGGGTTGTCAGCCACAGCAGTGAACTTCTGCAGGTTCTCACGATGCTGAGCTTGATAGTGTACCTACACACCACCAGCGTAGACATATCACACGGCACACACACACACAATGCACACACACACACACACACACACACACACACACACACACACACACACACACACACACACACACACACACACACACACACACATACACATGAAGTTACACTCAACGTCCATGGCTGAGGGCCAGAAGGTGCCTTGTGCCAGTGCTTGTTGGGTTTTTTTTCGGTCTTTGACCACCTTCGGCCCGGAGCCAGCTGCTGATGGGTGTTCTGGCCCCAGGTCAGCTAAGGGCCGATCATTCCCCCATGCCTAATCATGATCAGTGTTGTGCGAGGATGCATCTCTAGCTCTATGCAGCATATCTGGATGCATCTCTAGCTCTATGCAGCATATCTGGAGCTCTATGCAGCATATCTGGAGCTCTATGCAGCATATCTGGATGCATCTCTAGCTCTATGCAGCATATCTGATTGTTTCAGCTACACATTCTGGTAGTAACGGATACAGCCAGCATTTATAGTAGTCCTCCCTTTAATAGTGCTTCCACAAGTTATTGAGTGCACTCTGGAATGGTGAAAACGGGTACGGTCATGATTGTTCCCGTCGCACCGGTGGCGCCGGCCCTGCCTTTGTAACTCTCTTTAGTCTTTTCCCTCTTCATGAATTGCCTTGTCTCTCTCTCTCCCCCCCCCCCCCCGGAATACAACAATGGGTCACGTGGGTGGGTCCAACCAACCAACGCACAGAGTCACATCCACCACTGTAGAAGCTGTCCTCTGTGACTTGACTCACATGGCCGCAGGGTACGGGTGATGTACTTCCCTCCGGATTCAAAACTGCAATCTAACGCATGGGCATGCGTTCATCAGTGCCGTGTGTTCATCAGCAAATGAGGATGTCCAATTGATGTTGGGCCCATGGTGAGGACACCAACATCATCATGACCAATAAAACACAACCGTCTGGACGGAAGAAAGAAATACTTACATTGCTGACTTGTTCCTGTTGCTTCTTCAGTCGCATGTTTTCTGGCGTGTCGGCCACAGCAGTGAAGCGTGTAGTGGGATAGTGGCTGTGACAGGGCAATGATTTCATGAAACAGACATACAGACAAAGAGACAGACGGACAGACAGACAGATAGATGGACAGACAGACAAAAAGACAGACAGACAAACAGACACAACTTGGACCTTGGACGTCAATCGCTGGATCCGAGCAATGATAGCAATTCGACAGCAACGACTCGTGCTGGGATTGCACCATTCAACAGCTTTTAAAGACACACACACCACACCACACGCACGCACACACACACGCACGCACACACACACACACACACACACACACACACACACACACACACACACACACACACACACACATGTACACACACACACATACACACTTGTGCTTGTACTTGTTGCTCACTGCCAAAACTGGTCATGTGGGTCTCCCCGGGAGAGGGGGACTCAAAGGAATCTCGGAAAGATGACTCAATTGGATGCTGAACCGCCCAACGGCCGACACCCCCTGAAATCCCCAAACTCTGGGTGGACTTGGAAATGATCCCACTTCTGGGCTCACCACACCGCAGTAAGTGGGCGAGGACAAGGTGAAGAAAAAGGATTGACGCCATAAGGGTATCCGTGCTGTCATCCAACAGGTCAACTCTGATTTAGCCATCCACACAAGTAGCAGGTATTACCTTCACTGGGGGCAGGGGTAACTGCACCCCCCCCCCCCCCCAAACAAATACACACACATACTTACGCATTGCAATAGGGCTTCTTCTGATAACCCTTGTAGGATTTCATGGTGAGTGTTGTTTTACACACCTCGCAGTTGAAGCATCCCTTATGCCATGCCTTCACAACAACATCAACACGTGCAATGACATAGTTCAGCATACCCAAGAACATCAAATCCAAAAGGATACCTGCCCTACTATACAACTAATCAAGTGTTTCTCATTCACTTTTTTCATAGAGATAGTAGTGACCGTGCGTGACAGTCTTTTGAGCACCTTGCATACATGTACATGTACATGCAAGTAAGGTGGAACCAAAATTTATTGCAACTCCGAGTTCTGAGTTTTTGTTCCAGCTTACTACTTTGTAAAGGCACATCAGTGTTTTCTTTCAACTACGCAGGTGCTGCCTGTCCAACCTCACCAGTACGCAAAGCAGGACGGACAGCCATACCGGTACATGTACATAAAGCATGCTAAGATGTTTCCAATGTAATCGTCCGATGAATGTCTCAGGGTCCATAATATCACGACTGAGTCAGTCGTGATGAGGTCGGCGGTTGGATCGAGAGTCTTCCATAATTATACTGTAGTAACATCGAATAACAGCTAAACTGAACACGATCATCTTGGTGTCGTCTTGGACAACCACCTTTACTTCATTGGTCAGGCCAAAGTGTTAGACTTAGAGGATGGCTTATCCACTTAGAGCAATACACAAGACAAGTTCAATAATGAGACAGTAAACAGTCATATTGATCACCGCATCACCTATCGATAGAATGGCGTCGAGTGCACGATCGTCTGAGTCAGAATAACCAGACATCACGGCGAGTGGGTATGGTACAGTGTAACAGTGAGTGTAAAACGAGCCTCTGCAGCGACAGGATATCAGTGAGTGCTGCTCGCGTGGTATTGGTGGGCAGATCTCGGAGCAGCCTAACCCGAGACAGCAGCAGTGCATGCAGGCGAAGAAGGAGGAATCCTCTCCTCCACACCGCCGCCGCTTACCTTGTCCAAGCATGACAACTTCTCCATAGGATACACAGTCTTCTCGCATCGAGCACATTTCGGATTCATGATGGCGGTGGCCGGACTAGCTCTCGCCGACACAATGCCCTATACTGCTCCGACACGCATACACACACAAGCGAGAAGGAATCAAAAAAAGGTTGGATCCGATGCACCGCCGTACATACTCGCTGCCATCAGCCATCCACTCTCAACGACCTAGGTATTCGAACTGAAAGAAGCACAATGGGAATAGACCATGCCGTCGGGTAGAGGGAGAAGTTACTCACCCTCGTTCAGTTCCCAATGATTTTCTTGCGCGTTGACGATCGACAACACGACACACACAACCCAGTGCTAGCTGTGCACATCAGAAGCTGACAGACGAAACAGCAACACCTCGTTGTACACCTTCGTTAGCACCGTCTGTAGTTGGGTGTGAGCGGGCAGTGTGAAGGACGTATGGCAGCTATGATTGGCCGTGCTGAAGGCTTACCAAACCCGTGTCCTGTCATGGCCGAGTCTCTATGTCAGCAACGTCAACATACCTCGCTCTCACCACATTGCATGTACGGTCGAGTATTATACTGTCCATTCTCAATGGTCAGTGTGAACAGAGAGGGAGCAGAGAGGCAGAGAGGAGAGCGATACCTGTCCCTGCAGATATAGCCATGGTGCGACTCGACAGCTTAGTTTGTACTAGCAACACCATACATGTACTGCTTCATGACATCGGACTGGGAGTGAGGCAGGCCAGGGACCTCTCTTCGATCCTACCGCAACAGTGCAGTACATGATTGCACTGATGTGGGACATGTAGTGCTAGTCGCCAGTCTTCCAACACTGCAACAAACATACAATACTAGTATCCCGGGATCCCACAGCCTCCCGTCCTAAACGCGGCTTTGAGTTTGAGGTCGCGATGGCGCCTGACAATGAAAAGTGTGCATGTACATGTCAGAAAAACGAAACGACGACATTGAGTCGACAGTAAGTCAATATGTATCTAATATTGACTGAGGACGAGGTCAATATCGGGAATAAAAGCCGAGTAAAAGACCGAGGCGAAGCCGAGGTCTTTTACGAGGTTTTTATTTCATACTGACCAAGTACGAAGTCAATATTAGACTTATCACGACAAACAGTCCGTATTTCAAATTCCAGAACGATAACCTCATGAATCCCGGTTTTATGATTGCACCACCACCTACTCATGCAGTGACAATAATGCTGCACTAGGCACCGTTCAACTGCGCAACCCCATAGCAGTCAAATATAAGCAGTCAATATTGAAATATGCAGGAATATTTGACTGCTTAGGTATAGCGAACATCCATGGGAGTCAAGTAGGGTCCAGCGGATAATGCCGGCATTATATTCGACATTATACGACTATCCGAGCATCAGAGCATTATGGAGCATTAGAAAGGAACAAAACGAGCATGATTGTAAGGTTTGAGGGGCATAACGAGTTTCATAGTGGATAATATCGGGAAATCTCAGGTTTTTGGCAACAATCGGCTACAATCATGATCATGAGATGTTGTCTGATGATTGGTTTTTGCCATGAAACTTCTCAGTAACAACGAAACAGCCCTATTTTACTCCTTTTGTGTACCTCTTAATGATCTTCTTGCATACTACGCTCCGCCCATTCCGGGCATTTGAGCACTATGCATTGTACCGGCGCATGACTTTGTGATTATGTAGACACGTAACACCTTTACTAGCACTAACGCCACATTACTATTGCTACATAAAAACGTTATGATTGTAGCGATGTGGTCAGGTAAATGTATACAAGCCATTTGTGAAGCATGCCCAACCGAGGCCGAGGCAGTTCAAGTGACACAGATCCGGAGAAATTATTTACGAGGTTTCTTTTACTTTTAGAATAATGGAGAGCTATGGAGTGAACATACGCGAAGTGAATATCAAACAGACGAAGAAGAGTTTTCTCGCTGTGCCAGAGGCTCTGGCGATAGCATCTCTAGCGATACTGAAGTAGACACTGATGCATTGCTAAATTTGGACCAGGATGAAGGACCGGCTACAAACAGAAAGAGCTCGTTCCAAAAGAACAGCCTTTGCCGAGTCCAGCTCAGGCGGCTCGAAAAGAACTAGAATTTCTCATGGACTCAGTACCAAGTCGATTGCTCAGCAGCGCCTGTCTTACTTTCCTGATGAAGCACGTACAGTTAGTTGTGGACGGTTGTAATGCCAGGCCTACAGTCAAATGCTTTCAGAAAGAAAGAGTATTGTGGCAAGCCATACGTCTACACACCATGATCTCAAGGAGAAGATGAGAGCACAAGCAAAGGATGTAGAGTGGCAAAAAAACTTCTGACCACGTGTTTTCAGGATTTCCGCAAATGGGAGGGCTCTCCATCTGAGATCGGATCTCAGGAGCTGGCCTCACATCTGGTGTTTCAGATGAAGACATTATTCACATAGGGGACGCAGTGACAGTTTGTCTGCAGGCAGGAATGCTATTTGCCAAGATTAACCTCATCCCAACAATGAATGACTACCTGCAATAATGGTTTCATCTCTCACAACATGGATAATTAGGGGAAAGATTTGATACACCGACTATTCTGCCACAACCCTGCATCAAAGTTGGAATGGAGAGCAGTCAATGGAGAAGCGATCATGTCTTATAGTGCTAAGAAGTGGTGGAGCTCGTGAGAGATAAGGTGGCAGCTTCAGAGGCAGATCGACGATATGCATAGTTTCCTGGAAGTTTGACAATGTGCAGACTTTCTTCCATTTTTGTCCCAAACCAAGAGCATTATATCCCTTGCTGAAGAATTCTAATCAGCATTATAAGGCAGTTTTGGAGCATTATGGTTAGCAGTATACGAACATTTTCGGAGCATTATCCACTGGACCCTAGAGTCAAGACTAAGAGAGTGATAAACCGTATTATAGTGCAGCATTATTGTCACTGCACGAGTAGGTGGTGGTGCAACGGTTGTGCAATCATAAAACCGGGATTCACGAGGTTATCGTTCTGGAATTTGAAATACAGACTGTTTGTCGTGATAAATCTAATAATGACTTCGTACTTGGTCAGTATGAAAAAAGCCTTGTAAAAGACCTTGGCTTCGCCTCGGTCTTTTACTCGGCTTTTATTCCCGATATTGACCTCGTACTCAGTCAATCTTAGATACATAAACAGTATGCAGTTTAACATTGGTGCGGGGTGGGCATCTGCGGATAATGCCGGCAGAAAAATTGGCAGAATTCGGTACTTTTTCTGGTAAGTTTCATGCATGTTTGGTATGTGGATAAAGAAATGGAGCAGAATTCGAGGAATTGCCCGCCATAAGGTTTGTATGGTTCTGCCAATTTCACTGCTTTTCGAGCAGAATCTGCCACCTTTTCGAGCATTATCCGCACACCCCTAGCCCGGAGGTCCTCACCCAGGAAATTGTTTTTGAAAATTGGGCCTAAAAGGCCATAATATTATTTTAATGCTACAGAATCGCCCCTGGTATGACTACATTGTTGTGCTCAACGGGTTACTGGCGATAGTAATACTGCCTTGAAGATCATACTGTCACACTCACACTCACACCGATACTACACAATTATTACTGACAAGTGACAGTCATGCTGCTGGTGAGTGCTGGTGCCGCGTGGCAGTGTTGCGTGATGGTGTGTAGTGTTAGCGCTGAAAAACCGAGTGAAGTGTAGAATCATGGCTGGGTCACGTGGGTGTCCCGCGAAAAGCAGGATACACACTGCATGCAGACGAGTCTTACTCATTCCGTGCTCGCTAGTAAATCAGTTATCATTCTGCCGCTCGCCGGGCACAATGCACACACTTGCTAGGAATATCTGCAAACTCCTTTTACTTGCAGTACTCGGACAATAGTTTGACATTAGCTTTTTTTGTCGTCTGTCTTGAACCGGAAGGATTTCCGGTGGGCTGGTGTTGGCGGAAGGATGTTCACTGTAGCGGATATATCAGTGGCAACGAATCAATTCCTTCGTCGGTAACTAACAAGTGGCGTATGCCGAGTTCCTGCTGGCTCTACCCATTCCACGGCAACACTGCTGTAAGTAATTATAGTTACAAACTCGCTGAAAATTGCCATGTCGCCTCTCTATAAGGCTTTATTATAACTGTGAAAAGGGGACATTACCGAAGTCTGGCAGGAATGAAATTGGTCTGATAATGAAGTTTTCAGAAGGTGCGGCGGGCCTTGGACTGGAGTAATCCAAACGGTCTTTGTTCAAGAGGCACAGTTGCACAGATAATTGTGCTGAAGTTCAGGCACAGGTTCATAAAAGAAATCCTATACTAGGCTATAGCATAGCGCTGTGCCGTAGTAAATGCCACTGCGAACACCCATGCCACAATACTGCACAGCTGGTCTATACTACATGTATTCTCACAAGGCACTGGTCGGTCATTTGTTTGTCCTCACCAGTCAACGTAGTGGTGACCGAAATAGTCGTAAAGGTCGAATTCATGCGAGAATGACCTTGCTAGCTACAAACTAGCTACACGCGCAAGCGCACCCCGCATGGGGCACTGGGGCACGTGCACCCCCCTCCCCCGAAAGCCGGGGAACCGGCTACGCCCCTGATGTGTGTGCTACCAGGACGTCCTACTCAAGTGACTCATATTATCCTGCCTCGAAGAAGACATAATCACCTGGATACCTTTTGCTAGACATGAGCAGGTGGAATTGTTTGGTCCATGCAGATGCCCATGCCAGAGCCAACTCTGTATAGTAGAATACACATGTAGCAGTGTTTGCTCCAGAGCCGGATCAGCCGGGTCAGCGACCCCATTGGGAGGCACTTGGACCCATTTGGAAAAGAATACCGGGTCACCTGTGATTGGGAATACAATAACATTATACAGGGAGTCTTAAAATATTTACAACTCCCCGATGTACATGCAGTACAGCTAGCGCAGTAGCCGCACTTAGCCGGACCCGGCTCTGACCCGGTTGCAAGGGTTGTGCCAGGTACACGTGTACCAGGTTGGTTTGAAATGCCTATAGTGCAGACACTGTATAGGTCCTGAAACTTTAAAGGCATAGTTCACATTCGACGCAACGCTGACGGTACGGGACATAAGGGCCTGTCGGGATGGCTGAGGCGAGCTGTAAAATCTTGCGCGATTCGTACTACACGGCATGCTGCAGTCGTTGCGATGTTCAACAGCAAACAGCACGAGTCATAAGGCACGCCCGTGACGGGGTGACTTTCGGACATGATTTCTTGTTTTTCGGGACTTCTTTTCAATTATTTCTCCTTGAATGAAGCGGAATCTAGTTCACAATACCAGTTTGTCATGAAGACCAAAAAAGAAGCCTTGAAAGTTGTGCCATTCAAATAATTGCCCCAGGAAATGATGAGACAGTTCGTCTGTCACGCTCCTGAACTATCACTAAATACCATAAATGACATCAGATACTATCTTGCTAAAA